GCCCTCCCTTCTCAAGTGCTCGACCTCGTCACCTCTGTTTTTCCCACAAGTCACCTCCTTCAGGGTCAGTACATCGGAAGCTTCTACGGAATACCGGCCATCGAGCGCCCCTCTCACGCTTCCTCGTCCCCTGTCACGATAGTCTGCCTCTGTCTGAAACAGCTCATTCGCTTGGCGCCGTTTCACACAGAACAGGCACTCCTCCTCTGGAACCTTTCTCGCACACCCGACTAGCCGATCAGCATCATCGCCTTGACATTCTATCAGCAGAGTACTTTCGCTCGACGATTCAATTCTTCTTGCAAACCTACCTCACCCAACACGTCAAGGCCCGAGCACCTTCCTCGCATCATCCCCTTTCCGCACGCACCCCTCACGGCTCTTTTCACCGCTTCTCCTTATTCTTCAAGGGCTTCCTCCCCGGCTCTTGTTGACGCTACTACGAGTTTCGGCCTCGTACGACCTTTCAAGCACAAGGCTCACTCGTTCCTTCTGAGGGAGAGGTTGGGTTCTTCCACCGTCTTCCAAGACGGTCATGACGGCGTATGAAGCGGCGCCCCAGCGGGCTGCAGGAGTGGGAGGTGTGGCAGTCACCTCGCAATCGGGCAGGAACACAAGTGAGGGAGCAGTCATGTCGACAAAGACGAGTGGAAGAGATGTGAGTACATAGCGCGCAGAGTACAAAGGGCACACCATAGGCGCAGACTTGGGCGCACCGGGGTCGGACCTCTTTGAAGCAGAACGCGTTGGGTCCGAGCAGTGGTACCCGCAGTCTACTGTGAGGTCCCTTGGTGTCTCATCAGGCGCAAGGACAATGTCGACTAGTCGTTCGAGGTGTTGCCCAGTCTGCCTTGCACACCTTATGGGTCGCGAAGGATATCTCTTGGCGTTGCGCTGCCCCGGGTGGGGGAGGTACGGCGTAGGCAGGCGATTGGGCCTGCAGCGCTCTCCGCACTCGCCGGCGTGGCTGGCCGGGGCTCTTCCGGCCGGCCGACGATCGTCCTGATTCGTCTGCATGTTGCTCTTCCCCTGCAACCAAGGCGGCGCCGCGGCGACGAAGGCGGCGGCAGCAAAGGCCTGTCCAAAAAAAAATGGGCCGCGCGGGGGCTGCAGTCTCCGGCCACGCAGGGGGAGGGCGAGAAAAAAAAACTGGAGCAGCCACAGATTATTGCTGATTGGCCACGGCATGTAGCCCAAATCACCGCAAGTGAAAGTATACTGCAGGTGGACGCCAAGCTTGGGTGCAGTTGGGCCTCGAACTTCATGCACAGAAGACGTCGAGTAAAGCGGCATTCGGTGCTAGAGATAAGACCTCAAGAGACGCTCCACGTGTCCCTACTGTTCCGATGAAGCCAGATGTTCGGAGACAAAGAGCTGGAGAAAAGACGTTATTTCCACCTCGCCTTCCGTCCCTTCGTCTCCGTAAAGACGATGAGCCGACTTTGGGAGTGGCCTTCATAACCGATCTCCAACATCATCTCTGACATCAATGACGCCTCCTCGCATCTCTTCTCCGATCTGACAGTCCTCGATGCCAAACTCTTCTTCGGGCTTTGTCCCACCGCCAAAGGGCTTCTTCTCACCCTCCCCGAACAAGACGGTGGTGTCCCTCAACAATGGCTATCCTTCCACACCGCAAGGTGCTAGCGCCGATCGACAAGGATACTCGCGCTCCTTTGGCAATGGCTACACTGGCGATGCATTGGCTGGCTCAGAGCCTTCCTCTGTACCAAAGGGTCGTAGCAGACCGCGCCGCGAGTCCATCGGTCAGATGAGACGCAAAGCTTCCGATTCAGCGACAGCAGCAGCCTCTGCAGGTGGCATCGGCATCGCCTTTGCCAGCCGAACAGGCCAACCTATTCCGACTGGCCGAGGCGGTGCTTTGCCTCCCAATGTCAGCCGTGCCTTCTCCACTAGTCCACGCGTTGGTGCAGATGGCGCCACGCCTTCTTCGTTTTCTGCCTCATTAGGCTCGGCTGCAGAAGCCCTCTCCTTGCCTCCCTCCGTACTCAACAGTGGCGCCAAGACGGGAAGGCCGACAGGTCACACCCACTTCGGTCAAGAGTGCTACGGTCCTGAGCCAGGCGAAGCGATACCTCCCAATCCTCCTGCCAGCGCTGAAGTAAACAAGAACGGTGGTGCTGTCCCTGCTTCTGCTCCGAATAGTGGGTCTGCTGCCGCTCTCCTCGCCGCTGCAGCCAATGCTGCAGGCAATGGCGCGACTCAAGGAAGGAGAGAGTCGATCAGCGAATCGATGAATGGAGATGAAGAATCCCTCAGCTCCTCCGCCCGGACGGCTGGAGGCAAAGAGCTGGCTCTTCACCGCTGCGAAAGCTGTCTCAAGGTCTATCGCCATCCGAGTTGTCTCATCAAGCACCGCTGGGAGCACACAGTCTACTGGAAGGAGGCATCCAAATTCCTCATGTCCAAGCATCAACAAGTCCAGCTCCTTGAAGCCGCCGCCATTCTGGTCAACCTTGATGGAGACGCACAATCATTACCTGATGAAAAGGCTCTTTGGCCCGCTGCCGTCTCGCCGGCTGCTTCGGGTCTGTTGGGATCAGATAGGGTCAACTTCGATAAGCTCATGCAGCGAAAGGCTGCTCTGAGAGGCCGGGCTCCCTCGATTTCTTCTTCGGTTCAGTCTCCTCACCGCGAAGCATCCTACGATGCAGACGGCGCTTCGGTAGCTTCCTCTGTGCCACGCTCCGTCAGTGGTGGCCTGAGCCCGCTCAATAGCTTCAAGTCGCTTGGTCTTAATGGCACTCCTCCTGCTGGAAGACTAGGCAATGGAAACGGCTATGGCAGCTACAGCAACTACGCCAATGGCAACGGCAACGGTAGCTATACCACTCCTTATACCTTTGGTTCCCTGGGCTCACACCGACTCAACTCGGAGATTGCCCACCTTGCTCTGGATGAGGAGAGCGACGAGCGCAACACGGCTGCTACGACTACTTCGACGAAGACGGCAGGTACGACGGGCACGGGCACCTCTGGCACGTCGTCTACCTCTCGTACCGAAGGCGAAGAAGGCGGTAGCAGCATGGGTGGCTCCTCCCCCGCCTCATCTAGGTCCCCGGCCGAAGAGGATGACGAAGACGAGGTGGATGAGGACGACGAGGAGGATGTTTCTGGAGGATCCTCTCTGGGTGGAAAGCGTGGAGAGAAGCGTTGGGGCTTGCACGAAGATGCAATTGCCGAGATGGACATGGATGAATGACAGTAGCCTTCGCCGAAGGCAAAGAAAGGGCATGGACAGTTGGAATTGGAAGGTGGCCAGAGGAAGATGTCGGACTAGCGGATAGTGATCGAGCACAGGCCAAAGCCGGGGACATACAACACGATGTGGGCAGAGAGAGGGAGAGGGAGTCAACGTCGCCAGAGGCTGTATTGGTCTCGGTCCGGCTTCCTCCACCGCATCCCGCCTCGCCTCGGATTGCCACTCCCCACTTGGACTTCACACGTGTCGCAGTCTCCTCCCTCCTACCCCTAGCCTTTTCTATTTCTCCTTCCGTCTGCCCTTTACCTGTCTGTTCCTTCCGAGGACTCCGGCAGACTTTCTCACACAAACAAACAACCAATCAATCAATTAACTGGAAAAATCATCGAAGTCAGAAGACCTATGCGTGCGAGAGTTGAGCGAGCGTTCCGATTGCCCCCCGACGTGAATCTGATGTGATCAATTGTAGTGCACTAGATTTATCCGAGCGGGAACAGGAGTGGGGGGTCCCAGTACCACTTTACTTTACTTTTTTTGGGCTATTGGGCTAGAAATAGCCTAGCCGAATCCCAACTCAAAGGGTCTGGGGTTGGGTTGGGTTTCAGTCCAATGGCAATAAATGTCTCCGATTTCGAGGGGTGCTGGGCAAGTAGCGGGAAAAGGACAAAGGAATGAAGTATAGGCAGGCAGGCAGGCAGGCGCGATTGCGGACGGACGGACGGACGGATAGACAAAGGGAAGTGGCGCTTGCAGGTAGAACTTCCAAAAGAGGTCCGAGCGTTGCGACTGGCTGGCAAAGGGTGCGGCGCCCTTGAGGTACTCATGCTAGCTGCCTGCTGCCTGCTGCCTGCTGGCTGCTGCTGGCTGCTGCTACTGCTGCTACTGCTGCTACTGCTGTTGATGCCGATACCGACGGGGCGAAGAAGCCGAAGCCGAATCCGGCCTTGGCGTTCGCTGAGTGCTCGCGGACTGATCGCCATGTCCGCCTGACCAAGACCGATGGACCGATCGATGGATGCCTGCCGTGCTGGACAGGCATCTCACCAGATACCGATCGCTCCGTCCTCTGGCGGGTCAGCATGTCAGCTTCTTGCCTTCGTCGGGTCTGTCTGTCGGGAAGAGAAGGGAAGGCGAATGAATGTGAAGGGACAAAATGCCTCGGGATTATGTGGGTGTGGCTTGCTTGGCTGACCTCGGTTACTGATGATGGGATGAATGTCCTCTCTGCCTCGGCTACTGCTGCCCGCTGCTGCTGCTGCTGCTGCTCACGCGGCTTTGCCTCGCACGCCTCCATCCGGCTTGACAGACAAATGGGTAGCGCTGTTCACCCGCACCCAAGTTGCGTGAAAGGGGGGCTGCAGAGCCAGCGAGGGAGCTGAGACCGATGGAGATGCAGATAGGGCGGGTAGGACCCCCACCTTGCACTCACTAGGGGACCTTGGCAACCTTTACGCTCTTGTGCACTCATTGCATTTCGGACGAGAGCGACGAGCCCCTTCCTTGCCCGATGACCAGTCTAGGCCATGGAGATCGTGCGGGGTAAGCAAGGGCCGGTCGCCGGCACCGAGTCTGGCTCTTTGCAAGCTGCAGGGACTGCTGCAGTGTTGAGGTCGATATCCTCCATGCTCCTCCCTTGCATTTCGCGTCTGGCCTAAGCAACTCGGGTCTTGGCCCTTTTTTACCTCCGCCGGTTCCTCTCGGCAAGGAGGCAGGGAGGGGAGGCAAGTGAGCCTGTGTGCGCCCAAGGGTGTTTGTTCGACCCTTGTCGGATCCTGAAGTCTTTGCCTTTTCCATGCAGCCGGTGATGCAGATGCGCTGGTGAGTTGCCTGAACAATCAAGTCCCTCGGGAAATGCACGGACACGGAGCATCTCAACCCGATGGAGGCTCAGCCCGCCTTTACCTATACAAATCAGAAACACAGTCATCGGAGCGTGTGGGCAGCAGCAGCAGACCAAGGACACAGCTGCCAAGCCATAGTCCCTCTTGCACCTTCCAACAAGAGGACGGACAACAAAGGCGTGCACTCACCGGGGAGAGCCTGCAGCTGCACCCTGCAAACTGCAGCTCATCCATCCGGCTCATGTCGGGCAGCAGCCGACTGGAAGCGGATGAAGGGGGGCATGGTGATGCTGCGAGGATGATGCATTTGCTGCAAGACCTACTCCGAGATGCGGGCCAATGCCGCCTCTCACTCGCCATCTCCTGCTCCCCACAGACCATCTCTTACCCTTCCCCACTTCCTCTCTTCGATTGCTGCTCTCGCTGTGCCGACGAACAGACAGCTCCCTGCCTGGCTCCCCCCCCCCCCCCCCCCCCCCCCCCCCCCCCCCCCCCCCCCTTCTTCAAGCCCGTGGCCTGTCCGTTATATAGATTGCAGCATGAGCTGGCATTGATTGTCTCCCCCCCCCTTCTTTCCCGATCCATCATACATTCATTCGTGACTCTTCTCCTCCCTCTAGCCTCTCCACTTCCCACTCCACCCTCCCAATTACTCTTCCACCATGAAGGCTTTCACTTACGCTGCCATCGCCGTTGCCGGTGCTTCTTCCGTCGCCGCCTTTGCCCTTGAGCCAGTGGCTACTGCTGCTGTGAGTATCCTCCTTCTCCGCGCTTACCAGTGCTGCGCTGTCGAAGCCTTCTCCCTTCCTTGCCGAGATTGACTTCTGATTGCCCCATCTCGTGACCTTCCAGCCCATGGAGAAGCGACAGAACGATAGCCCCCTTGAGGCCATTACTGGTCTCCTGAACCCCCTCACCTCCTACCTGACCAACCCAGGAATCGCATCCGTCGTTCAGTCCGTTGCTGCCAACACCGCCTTTGCCGGAGCCGCTTCTGCCGCTGCGTGAGTAGCGTGGGATCTCCTTCAGGAGAAGACTATGCCAAGGGAAAGTCCTTCTGACGTCTGACATCTTGCTCCCGTCTCCTGCCTACATACGTCTTGATGCAGTATGAGCGACTATGCCCCCATTGAGAGCCTCGTCTCTTCCCTGCAGGGCGACGCTGGCGTCTCCTCGGCCATCTACTCTGCCCTAGGAACCTCTTCCGCTTCTGCCTTCTACGCTTCCGCCTCTAGCGCCGTTGCCGAATTGGCCGCTGCCTCGGGAAGTGTTACCACCACCAGCACCGGTAGCTCGGTAAGCAGCATGGCTAGCTCCGCCGCCTCTAGCGTCTCTTCGGAGCTCTCTTCGCTCAGCGCTTCGGCATCCATGGCAACCTCGTCTGCCGGTACCGCCGCTAGCACCTCGGCCGCTGCCAGTGGAGCTTTCGCTGCCGTAAAGGCCGGAAATGTACTCCCCGCCGTTCTGGTCGTGGTCGGTGTTGCCGCCGGTGCCTTCATGCTCTAATGAGCTCGAAGAACGCGGCCCACCCCCGCGGGCTGGCACTGATAAGACCAGGAGGAAAGACGAGGGTCATGGCAAAGCGCGTAGATGGAGCACGAGGCAAGACAAGAACGGCCTTGGCCGGAGAGTATGCATCGGTATCCGCTCTTCGTCCTCGCCGTCACCTCTTACCCCTAGTTGCGCCCGCGCATAGTCATGTCTCCTTGTCCGTACTCCTGTCGTGCCTCCTCTCCCCCCTCCACCCCACCCTTTTCCACCCAATCCTTTCGTATCCCAAACTCTGTAGCCCCCCTCCCCTATCTGTACCTTTCTGATTACCGTCTATCTCCAGACTGCCGACCCACTTCTCGTAGGGCCTGCTCAATCTGATCAATTCTCAAAGAGAAAAGAAGCACCGCACCCCGTTTGGGTTGATCTTCTCACTCACTGTGTGTCTTCGAAGAGCAGAGGGTCGCTTCTACGAGGACCGTGCATGTGTGCGTCGCTTTGACCGAAGAGGCAGAGGCAGCAAGTTCGAGCTTCGAGCAGTCCATTTGCCACAAAGTCCACTTCACGCAATGGAACAAGTATACAATGGGGGCTCTGGCATTGACTCTTCTCGCAGCTGAGAGTTGGATGAACTGGGCTTTCCTTCTTCCATCTCTCGTTGCTCTACAGGTACAGACCAGCAGGACCCTGATCCTCATTCCTAGCCAATACTCTCTCCTTTGCGCTGTCGAGATCCTTCTTCGTCACCTGCATCCTCCTCTCCCTCAATGCCAACAGGCCTGCCTCGGTGGCCAGTGCCTTGATATCAGCGCCCGACAGCCCATCATTCTCAGAGATGAGCTGCTCGAGGTCGACGTCGGAGGCCAGGTTCATCCTCGAAGTGTGGATCCTCAAAATCGACATCTTGATCTTGTGGTCCGGTAGCGGGAACTCAATCTTTCGATCAATACGTCCTGGCCTGATCAAGGCAGGGTCCAGATTCTCGATCTTGTTCGTGGCCATGATCACCTTGACGTCGTTCCTCGTGTCAAAACCGTCCATCTGATTCAGCAGCTCCAGGAGCGTCCTTTGGATTTCGCGCTCTCCAGATGAGGAAGCATCGTAACGCTTCGATCCGATGGCATCGATTTCGTCGAGGAAGATGATCGTCGGAGCATTCTCGTCTGCCACCCGGAAGAGCTCACGGACGAGCTTCGGTCCATCTCCGAGATACTTCTGGATCAGCTCAGAGCCCACCATGCGGAGGAAAGTAGCCGACGTCTGGTTGGCCACGGCCTTGGCCAGAAGAGTCTTTCCTGTGCCTGGAGGGCCATAGAGGATGACACCCTTCGGAGGTCGGATGCCCATTTCTTCGTATAGCTCTGGATGTGTGAGAGGCAGCTCCACCGATTCCTGTGAAGCAAAGAAAGGCAGCAAAGAGAAGTCAGACTGAGGGTGTCAGTCGCAAGAGAGGCTGACACATCACACTCACCTTGATTTCCTGAATCTGCTGATCAAGTCCACCGACGTCTGCGTATGTCTCAGTGGGAGCTTTGTCTACCTTCATCACGCTGACCATGGGGTCTACGTCATCTGCCAAGACTCCCACGATAGCGTGACCGTGGTTATGAAGCAGCACCTGACAGCCCGGCTCCAGCATATCCTTGTCCACAAAGCTCATGATGGGGACGTAGTACTCTGGTCCTGTTGCGCTACTGACAATGGCATGCTCGTCGTCGATGATCTCCTCCAGGGTGCCAACGCTCATGGGGCTACCTCGGAGGTCGTCCACCTTTGTGCGCTCCTCTGCATCCTTGTCCTCCTGGGGCTTGAGCCTCTCTTGATTCTGTACAAATTCTTCCTCTAGCAAGAGATGGTCCTTGATCCGCTCTAGCTTCAGCAACTTCAGTCTGCATCGTGAGTTGGGGTACACTTGTGGTAGCTTGCTTGCCGAGGCTGGGCCTTTGCTCTTCTTCTTGCCAACCCGAGTCGGCAGCGGCGGCTCCCACTTCTTCTGTTGATCCTTCTTCTGTTGGGGTCCGGAAAGGCGATACGAGGGACCATACACCTGGTGAGCAATAGGAGCGGGCAGGCATAACACTGACCTTGCAGACCATAGTACACACCTTGTCTTTATCTCCACCCTTTCCGCGGCCAGCGTTACCACTGGGAGCTTGACCCTGTCATTGACATGGCAAGGTGAGGGAGACAGAGGTGAGCGAGTGGCCTGTACAAGACAGCCAGCTATAAAGACGAAGGGCCACTTACCATGCTGAGAGCGGAGTATGGCTGTCCTTTGTTTCAGCGCCTTGATAGCCGTCTGTTCCAGTCGATGCAACAAAGAGATGCCAGGTAGGTGAATCGAATCGGGGATGGCAGCGGTGGTGTGTGGTAGGCGTGCAATCGGAAGAGGCGATGGAGCTCAGACTCAGACTGACGAGGCCTCCACCGCCGCCACGCGTCTCAGGCCCTGGATCACAAGCACACGTTCCGTTCCGTTGATTCACTCTATGTGCTGGATACCGTTGTCGGAACTCGCTCCAGTCACATATCCACCGTGAGCTCCTTCCACTACGCTCATGTACTTCAGCAAAAGAGATTGACATTGAGACCGAGCTGAGCTGATTGCTCGACTGGGCCGTAATCCACGCGGCGTGTGAGGCACAGAGTTGGGTCAGCCTGGCGTTGCTTTCGGGTCGACACCATGGCGCCGCGGGCTGCAAAGCGCGCCAGGAACGGAATGAGCTGACCCGAAGTGCCACGTAGAACAAGGAAGCAGAGTTTCCAAGACACCAGCCCCCCTCTCCCATCCCTCTCCTGTACCTCACTGCCCTCAGCTCTGTCGCACTCCCCATTGTACGCCTTGCCCTCGGCTCAAGGTAGAAGACGGACACCCTGCGGATGCAACCGGGGAGATCCAGTACCCCATTGTCATTTTACCCTATCTGCCCCGCGCTTGCGCAATCAAAGCGAGACCACCTCGATGAAGCGAGTCTGACAGCACGGGTTCAGCATCGAGACAGTGTCAGGAACGGTCCGTTTGCTCGCTTTCCTGCTGCTGAGGATCAACCGCTGGTTGATAAACGATCACACCAAAGATGGACTCGCAGACATGCTTCGGCGGCCTGGAGGGCCTATCTGCACTAAGCGGGCCAGGCCGTCTCCTCTGAAGCGCTCGCCACCGCCGTAGACTGACTCTCGAGTCTTGCAGCTAGTCCTATGATCTCGGGAGCCATGCCAAACCTCGTGCCCTCCTTGACTCCTTGATTTTCCCGTTATTCCCCTTTTGACCTCCTGTAGCCACTGAGAAGCGCGCCCTTGATCTCGACACTGATCGGTCCTTGGGCCGCCGAATGTAATGTACAGTTCTACCGTCACTGCACCCGCTGCTACTGTGAGACTGACTGCCCTTGCGATTGACGGTGCCTTTACGCCAAGGTTGGAGTGAGCCCCCGCACTGGTGCCCCGTCGCAGTTGGCTCCCCGCCGGGTGGCCCGCGTGGCCGGCTGCTCTGCTTTGGTGCCCGCTGCTGCCGAGATCTGCGCTGTCAGGCGGCATCAGCGCACTAAAAAGGGAGCCCGGGGCACAGACGGAAGCGAAGGGCAAAGACCGCTGCACAATCTCGGCGCTGCCATCCCACCTCACTCACTCACTCACCGTCCTCGCAAGGCTCATCACCTCGTCTGCCTTTGTAGCCTTTGCTTTCTGCTGCTACAGAGTCGGGCAACATGTCATCGCCACACACCTCACACAGTGCGATGCAAGACAAGGTCGCACCTACGCCTACGCCAGGCGTCTCTGGCTCAAACGGCACCGTTGGCCAGCCCGCACCCCCTCAGGCCAACGGAGCCGAGCCCGTCAAGCGCAGCACCACTACCGTCCGAATTCGTCGCAGGCATCGACCTAGCAGCTCCACAGACTCATCGTCCGCTAGTCCCATGCAGCGCCAACCCTCTGCAACGCTCAATCGACCCCGTAGGAGCACTCAGGGAGTCTCTTACGCAGAGGGCAGCGATGATGATGATGAAATCATTTCGGCCCCTAATCCCGCTGGCACAAGTGCATCTGCTATACAGAGGCAGCCAATTGCGGCGAGCACCCAGCCTTCCAATCTTGCTTCCGATCAAGCACACTGGAACCACCACATCGCCCCACCGGCGTCTCGAAACGTCTCAGGCACTTTTCCCAGCGCAAGTAACAGTCCAATTGCCACTGGCAGCTCGAGCAGTACAAAAGCGAGCGACGGAAATAGATTAGCGGGCACAGGGAAAAGCGAGATATCCAAAGAGGCAATGTTACAATCCCAGCGCGAACTTCTCAAGGCGCATCCTGATACCAAATGGTCAAAAGCAGACGGTGCTGGGTTGCAGCCAATGTTCGATATCTCTTTAGTTGTCGAAGCAGCAAGAAAAGCTCAAGATGCAATGGATGAGAAGAGAAACAGGGAAAAGGCCGAGGCTCGACAAGCCAGGGCAACTGGACAGGCGAATCCAACAGTAGCTATACCAGCGAGATCATCTTCGTCACTGCAGACGGCATCACCATCCTCCTCTGCATTGCCGCAATCCAAAATACATGCTCTTCCTTCGAGGCTACAAGAGCATCAGCCACCCAGCAACCCCATTTCCGCTGCATCCTCACCGCTCAAAGGGGATGCGAATGCCTCAGCGTCACCTCAGAGAAAAGCGAGCGGGTCGTCTTTATCCCCTTTGAAGAAGGTCCAGAGCAGTGAAAGCAGGGATGTTCCCTCTGTCCCATCACCGACAGTCAAAGCTGCAACGGCCGGTCCAGCTACATCAGCTGGCGCTTCTGGAGGTCCCCCTACCGGGACGCAAGGCTCACCTGCGAAGGGGAGGCCGCGGAAACGGGTACCCAAATTTGTCACATCGCGGAGCTACGCTCCTAATGTTGGCTTGCAAAATGACGATGCTAATGCTCAGCCAGCGAAGGAGGGAGGCATGAAGCGCATGGATCGCAAATACAAAGTAAGTATCGCTTGAGGTCTTCTTCCGAATGGACACATACTGAGACTTCCCCTGTCCTATCGCAGGCGGGCAGCGCCACCCCTGATGCTCTTTCGGCAGCAGTCTCAGATCCCCGCGCAGTCCTTACTGCACCGCCCGATCCGAATCGCCACCCTGCACGAAGGGCCCATCATGTCTCTCCCACAGATCCTATCCCACTTCAGACGGCCGAGGACATGTCGTCGACGGCATCAAAGGCTTTCATTCCCAGCCATGTCAGCTCCCCTCGCCATCCGCCACCGCGAACTCGACCCCGTCTTTTCGAGCTCGACGAGGCACCAATCTTCCGACCTACGTGGGAAGAATTCGCCAATCCGATGAAGTACATCGAATGGGTCAGCTCTCCCGATGGTGGCAATGGTACCAAATATGGCATTGTGAAAGTCATACCTCCCGAAGGGTGGCATATGGACTGCGTACTAGATCAGTCAAAGTTCCGTTTCAGGACAAGAGTTCAACAGCTCAACTCTCTCACCGCAGACGCCCGAGCCACACAGAACTACCAGGAGCAGCTCCAGAAGTTCCACTCCCAGCAAGGAAGTCCTCGTGTCTCCATTCCTGTCATCGATCGCCGCCCGGTTGATCTGTACCAAATGAAGCTCGCTGTCAAAGCCGCTGGAGGCTACGACGTCGTTTGCAGGGGGCGACGATGGGCAGAGCTCGCCAAGTCGCTCGGATACGCAGACAATCTCGCCGCTCATATTGCGCCACAGGTAAAGGCCGCATACGCCAAGATCATTCTGCCCTTTGAGGTATTCCTCGCTCGTGCGCGCGACCAGGCAAAAGGCACGAATGGTTCACCAGGAGATCAGCTCAGGCAGAGTACAGGCACGCCTGCTGCCGACGACGGCAAAAGTACTGCCGACCTCACAAAGGAGTTGCTTGCCGCTGGTATGACCCCGGAAGAGGTAGCCCTGGCCCAAGCTGATGCGGAGAGAGGCACCAAGAGACGCAGCTCTCGAAAGCGAGCCGACACGCAAACCTCTACCAAACGCGGAGCAAGTGGAAGAAGTCGTCGGCACACAAGACAGGATTCGGACATTGATCCCGATGATCTCATCACTGTCAATGGCGCGGAGGAACAGATGTGCGAAATTTGCCTCCGCGGCGACAATGGTATGGCAATGTTGCTCTGCGACGAGTGCAACCGCGGCTATCACATGTACTGTCTCGATCCTCCGCTGGCGACGATCCCGAAGTCGCAGTGGTTCTGCCCTCCTTGCTTGGTCGGCACTGGCAACGACTATGGCTTTGACGACGGCGAGACTCACAGCTTGGACAGCTTCTGGAAGCGAAGCGATGCGTTCCGCAGAAGCTGGTTCAAGGAGCATCCTGGCGCCATCTGGGACGGAAAGCAAGTCAGCAACGGTGCTCAGATCGCTGAAGGTCAGCCAGACACTAATGGGGACATCGCCATGGGAGGGACGCGATCAAACGCTGCATCCGTTGACAACGGTGTGTGCCGTACCATCGCTGGTACGGACCTACGCGTCTCTGAAGACGATGTTGAGCGCGAGTTTTGGCGTCTAGTCGAAAGCGCAGACGAGACTGTTGAGGTCGAGTACGGCGCAGATGTTCACTCGACAACTCACGGGAGCGCTTCACCCACACTCGAGACACACCCGCTGAGCTCCTATGCTCGCGATGGCTGGAATCTCAACAATCTTCCCATTCTGCCAAATTCCTTACTCCGCTACATCAAGTCAGACATCTCAGGTATGACAGTACCATGGCTCTACGTCGGCATGATGTTCTCCACATTCTGTTGGCACAATGAGGACCACTACACGTACTCGATCAACTACCAGCATTGGGGAGATACCAAGACCTGGTACGGCATTCCTGGTGGAGACGCGAACAAGTTCGAAGAAGCTATGCGACGGGTAGCTCCAGACTTGTTTGAGACCTCTCCTGACTTGCTCTTCCAGCTTGTGACCATGATGAGCCCTCAGAAGCTCAGCAAAGAGGGTGTGAAAGTCTATGCTTGCGATCAAAGGGCAAACGAGTTCGTGATTACCTATCCCAAGGCGTACCACTCTGGCTTCAATCATGGCTTCAATCTCAATGAAGCGGTCAACTTTGCACTGCCCGATTGGATCAAATTCGACTTGGAAGCTGTCTTGCGATATCAGACCTTTGCTCGGGCACCTGTCTTCTCGCATGATGAGCTACTCATCACTGCCTCGCAGCATAACACTTCGCTCGAGACGTCAATTTGGCTCCAGGAGCCTATGAAGGAGATGGTTGAACGTGAGCTCAGACTTCGCAATGCTCTGCGTGACACCGTTTCGGGCCTTCAAGAAGTCGTCGAGGAGAGAGACCGTGCAGAAGAGGCTGAGTATCAGTGCTCTCATTGCAACTGCTTCTGCTACCTTGCGCAGATCGTTTCTCCAGGCGTGACCGGCGTTGCCTGCCTTGAACACGGCTTTGACGTCTGCAAAGGCGATAATCCCAGGCAATGGACTTTGCGGATGCGCTTCTCGGACGAGCAGCTTCAGGGATCGCTTGAGAAGATTAGCGATCGAGCTGAGCACCCTGCTCAGTGGCAGAAACGCTTCCGCAAGCTTCTCCTTACCCACGCTCGACCTTCCCTCCGCACTTTACGCAGCATGTTGCAAGAGGGCGAGCGGCTCGGAACTCAGGTACCAGAGGTGGAGCAGCTCAGGGAATTCGTTGCGATTGCAAATGATTGGGTGCAAGACGCCACAAAGCTGATGCCAAAGCGCTACGGCGGACGTCCAACAAGCAACGTTGGACGCAAACGTCGATCTGGAGTCACTAGCCTGAGTCCCACTCCGCGGCAAGACACAGCCGGCGTTGATGATAGCGCTCGTACAGAGCTGCCAAGCGTAGAAGATCTCACACAACTTCTAGCTGAGGCCGACAGCATGCCGTTTGATGCTCCGGAGATTCAAGCGTTGCGCGAGGCGGTAGTGATGGTTCAGACCACCCAGTCCAACTGTGGTGCGATGTTGAAGCGCATTGAAGATGGCGGAGAACCCTCTCTGGCAGAGTGCGAGAACGTTCTCGTAAGCTGCGAAGGCCTCAGCGTGGATGTCGAGCAGTACAATGTCCTAAAGCAGTATTCGCTCAGGCGCAAGTGGATTGAGGAGCTTGATGGCATCTGGGACAATCACATCAACTACCAGGAAGTGCAAGAGTTCCTCAAGGAGTTCGCCAGCACTGGCCTACCTACCAGTCATCACTATTATTCTGGCTTGCAAGAGCGACTGGCCAAGGGTGACGAATGGAAGAAGGAAGCGGAAGCCGTCTTGTCCGGAGACAGCGAGCGCACACTTGAGCGACTGGAGCGACTGACCTCTACGGAGGATTCAGTCCCGGTCGTGCCGGAAATGCATGTCGAGCTCGAGGACCTTCTAAAGGCTGGCAAGGACTGTCTGAAGGCAATCACTTCGGTACTGCAAACAACTGCTAGTCGGCAAGGCAAGGAGGCTGAGCTGAGTGACGCTCGCAAGGTTCTTCGTGCCGTTCACAATCACAAGCTCGACATTGATCAGGCTACTCAGCTGCAGCGCGATGTCGATCTTCACGACGAATGGCGTTCGGACATGCGCGAAGCCGTGGTGACTGTGTTCCAAGAAAGTGATGAAGTTCTCTCTGGTAGACAGATCCAGGAGGCAGTCAATGACTTTGTTCGTCGAGCGTCACAGGGTGCATCTTTGGCAGTGGGTCAGCTGCAGAGCAGCGCCACTCAGACTGCTCCCGTGACGAAGGACCTATGCTTCTGTGGTATCGCGGTTGTACCTGGGAATAAGCATGCTGGACGACTTCTCCAGTGTCAACAGTGCAGGATCCACTTCCACGACCGCTGTGCTAGACCTGTCAACCCAGACGAGAAGGACGACGGCGACGAAGACGTCAGGAGCTACCGAACGCCTCTGTCAGCCAACGCTCAGGCTAAGTGGAAGTGTGCTCTCTGTCGGCCCTCGGGTCTTCCGCGCTTCCTGCGCTCTCGCCATGCAACGATCTTGAAGTTCCTGGCCGATCTGTACCAGTCCAAGTACCGCTCTTCAAAGATGCGCTTCTTGCCATCCGAGTTCGAGCGCCTTGAAGGTGCTTTGGAGAAGGCAAAGGAGCATTACGAGGCCGTCAGGACCCTTCTGGACGATATTCTGTTTAAGAAAGAGGATCCTCAGGGTCATCGCGAGGTTCTGCATGGACTTTGCATCAGTCCGGTCGACTTCGACGCTGGCTCAGGAGTCTCGCCTATCAATCGATGTGTACTTGCGCTCTTCGCAGCTGCTGGCCTCGACAGCTCTGGCAAGCCGATACGGGGAAGACCTATGCCTGCTGCACCTAGCTCGCGTTCCATCTCAGGTGCTCCTACAGCAACCCCTGCCGGCGTCGCCGACTCAAGCTTTGTTGATCAGAGTGGTGACGTGAGCATGCTCGATGCAATGCAAGGTGACGAAGGCGGACTTGGTCTGGTATCGGGCAGTGAAGGGCCAGGCAGCAACAATCAGACAGCGGCCCCGAGCGGTGCAGACATGAAACGCAAGCGCGGCAAACGAGCCAAGTTTGTGTTCCGCGAGGAAGTGGGCATCTGGGTACCTGTGCAAGGTGAGCGGATCTACTGCCTCTGTCATCGCAAAGAGACTGGCGACATGATCTGCTGCGACCGCTGCATGCTATGGTTCCACAATGCCTGTGTACACATCCCATCCAACTTCGAGGAGCACAAGTGGCACTGCCCCATGTGTTGCACAAAGACGGAGAAGAAGTACCCACACGCCGAGGTCAAGGTCAGGGAGATGGGCGTTACCGATCCAGACAAATGGCTGGACGTGCGAGCGTCTCTACGTTCTACTCAAAGGCCCATCAGCAAGATCCAGAGCTGGAACGTCCCACCTGAGAAGAGAATTGTCCTTCACCTGGACAGCTTTTATCCTGCCATCCATGCCGAACCAAGTGGTCCAGAGCAGGCCAAGCGAATTCGCGTTGATGATGGATATGTGGCCGCTGCGCCGATTCCCCAAGCTGGTCCGAGCGCTATGCCTGCAGACATGGCAGTCAGAAACGTCCCTCGACTTGGCGCAAAGGACAGTCCCATTGTACTCGGCGAGGATGACGATGATGCTGCAGACCGCTCAGTATCTTCTGCTTCGATGAAGAAGGCCTCTGTTGTTGCTCGTCCTACAGCGCAGGTCCCTGGCGGCTATGCCGAGCACACATCGCCCCCTCGCCTGCATCAATCTCCTGCTTCTCATCAGCAAGCTCGATCTACTTCTTCGCAGCCAGTCCACTCGAGCCCTCATCAGCCAGGTCATCCTGCCACGATGCCGCAACCTCACGCCGGATCCAAGCAACAAGGCCGAATTGGGGCGGCGACTGCTCGCATGCATGCTGCAGAGACGGACGAAGAGAGGTATCAAGCGGGAATGGCTAATCTCCGCGCTCGTGGAGTCAGTGATGCGATGATCAATCGATACGCCGTCGGCTGGAACGGACACACTTTGGTCTTCCCAAGGTATGATCCAGACAATCCCGCTGCCGAGCTCGACCTTGGGCCAACGATTCAATTGGCGCCAAATGATCCTGACGGCTCTATCCTGATCAGAAGTGCCAAGGCAAGACAACTTCAGCAAGACCTCGCTGCTGGTATCCTCCGACCTCCCGGCATGGGCTTCGGCCACCCACCTCCAGTGCATCGAGGAGGCCCAGGACCTGTTGCACCACCTCCGGGAAGGCAGCCATACGCTCAGCCTACCTGGGCCACAAGGCACGCTCCTTCGACTTACGGCAGCATGCACAAGACGCATCGATCACCCGATCCGTGGCATGAACCATACTTTGGCTATACCTCGCCATCTCCCGCGATGCGTCTATCAGATCCCAGTCTGCCTCCTCCGCCGCCGATGAGCGACCCTAGGTCGCCCGCTCCATCGAGTCTGCCATCAGGATCGCCTGCCTCGTCCCACAAGCGGGCCCGCCCATCTGATGGCGGCCATCCGCATCAGTCACCCCGCACTTCGCATCCACTTCATGCACCTATTCCTCCTCGAGCTGGCCCGCCCCCTGGCTATGACGAGGGCTATCACGAGCCCTACCCGCCTCAACCAATGCATCCGAGGATCCCATCGGAAGGTCCGCAAGCGCCTCGCAGTCCGGCTGTGGCAGTCAGTCAGCCTGCTCCTGTCCCTCGACCGACAGCTCGTCCTGCTCCTCCTCCACCGAGTGCAGAAATCCGTCCTCCCCATGCTCAGACCGTACAGTCTCGACCTTCGATCCCAAGCCCTGCCGTAGCTGCTGTGCCGAAACAAGAAGGGACCGTTGTCCCTGCCACCAAGAGCGTCCCCGCTGCTGCTGCTGCTCCTCCTCCTCCTCCTCCTCCTCCTCCTCCTCCTGTGCCTTCGGCTCAGAGGACGCCTAGTGTCCCGCCGCCGCCGCCAGCAGTCCCGACACCGGCACCGGCACCGGCACCAGCACCAGCACCGGCGCAAGCGCCAGCGGCAGTCGTGGCTGCAGCAGGCTCCTCTGCCTCGCCCACACCACCCGTGTTGCCCCCCGGTATCGCTGCCGAGGCGAGCGGTGATGCCCGAGAGGTGTACCGACAGATGGCCAAGCGTATGAAGCCCGATGCGGATGAGGCTGAGCTGGAGAAGATGGTGGATCGCATTCTTGCGCAATGAGCTTCGGTCCCTCGTGGTGTATGTTGGTTGAGGATTTACAGATTGGAGCTGGAATGTTTCTCGCGGGACTTTGTGACGCTTGTTCGCAATTTTTCTCATACCACACCTTGCGCTTGCGCCCACTTTTACAATACGTATACCGCTTCCATTTCTTTCTCATTGGCCCCTGATCTCCATCTTCACTCATGATGACTTCTGGCGTGTAAAATTGTGTGCAAAGAGGAAATGGATTTTCACGATTTTCCAGTAAAAGTACAAGTGTGCAGAACAAACGGATCGTCTGCATAGGAAGAATCTTCCTGCCGCTCGCTCGCTCATCTCCTCATGACATTCTTACTAGCGCTCCTACTTACATCTCTCCTCTTTTTCCTACCACTACGATCCTCCTCGCCAAGAGATTCAAGGTCCATTGCCTCACTTCCCTTGCTAAGTCCAGCACCAAAGGATCGCTCTCGCTTTTGACGCTCAGCGCGCTTCGCATCTTGATGTGTGTAGTCGTGTCCAGCTAACGTGGAATCCTCATCAGGGGCTGAAGAAGGGATGAAAGTCATGCTGTGCGCACCACCAGCCTCGTCGTCATCGTCTTCAACGCCGCCTCGAGAAGAAGAGGAAGGCTTCTTCCTGGAGGGAGCTTCACCGCCATCGCGGCGACGGGCGGCTCGGTCTGCCGCTTTGATCCTGCCTTCGAAAGTGCTTGGTACCTTGGCGCCTCCTCGAGCACGCCTGTCGTCCGCATAGTCATCATCATCATCATCTCCGTCCACCAATCTAGCACCGCGACCCTTCTTCCTTGCTTGAGCTTGCAGCTTCGCCGCCTTCTCGAGATGTCTCCTCTTTGTGCCCGGAGCATGGTTGCGCGGGTCGTACTGCGAGAGATCACCCTCGTCGGAATCACTCTCTGCCTCAGGCTGCTCCCTGCGCTGTAGCTCTTGCTCACGCTCTCGATCCTCCTCCTGATCAGGGTCCAAGGATTCCCGATCGCTCTCATCCTCTTCCTCTTCCACCGCTGTACGCCTCTTGCTAGCAGGATTGTTTCGCGCAGCAGTGACGGCAGCCGAGCTGGGGTTGAGCAAAGCGTACTCGCGCGAAGTCTGATCCACCTGGAATTCTGGGTTGGTGAAGAGCTCCTTGAATCGATCATCGCCAAGTAGGGAAGCCTTGCTGGGCTTCTTAGTCCTTGGGGCTGCCTCACCTGCAGCCGCTCCGTCACCGGCTTCAGCAGCAGTAGCGGCCAGGGCCAATTGCCTCTGCTCTTCCCTGTCTTGCTCCCGAGCGGCCTTCTCTGCCAGGTCCTTGTTGACTTGCACTTTGGCGTTGAAGCCCTCGAGGGCCTTCTTAGCACCACTGCTCCTGATCCTTGACTCGGCCTTCTTCTCCAGCTTCGCCTTGATGGCCTTCTCCCGAGCGTCTTCAAAGGATGAGGGATTAGCGAGCAAGCGTGCACGCTCGTAGAGAGGAAGTGCAACAAAGTATCCGTGCATGTAAGGACGCAGAACGTTGCTGCCGATGAGGTGGGACATGTTGAGCCTGTCCAATTCGGGTCGGTCCAAGAATTTAAAGTCTTCATAGACACCACGCTTGCCGCCGGACATTTGCTCCTCGTCGATCTCGTCAGTGACACGGTCCAGGAAAGAGCACCACTTGGGTGCTGGACCCAGTGTAGGGACGTACCAAGCCGCGCACTGTGTGCCTTCTACAGCTGCGAAGAGCAGACCTGAGCCTGGCAGGTGATGGACATCGTTGAGATCACAGCCCGATTGAGGCGAGATCGATACCAAATTAGATGTAGGATCGGTCTTCGACCAGACCTTGATACCCTTCGAATCGGCAGAGAGGACTGTGTCACGAGCTTCAGAAGAGGCAGCTCGATGTGCCTGAGAGGAGGTTGTTGAGAAGTTGGTGGCAGGAGGTGCGTCACCCGGCCATGACAGACTCTTGATAGGCAAGCTGAATCCTTGATCCTTGGTGGTATAGGGCCGGTCCATCCGCAAGTCGTAGAGAAGGACGTGTCCTGTCGAGGTGCCCACCGCTAGATTCAAACCATCCTGCGCTGAGCTCAATGCTGAGACGCTAAGCCCGCTCATTGCATTCGTCACTGCTGCCTCATTAGCATCCTCCCCAGGCAGAATCAAGCCTGGCAAGCCGCGCCTTGCTGCTGACAGGGCGGCATCCATGACCACTGGCGTGGTGATGCTCAAAGCTCCTGCTCTCCGCCTGGCTCTCTGATCCCACAGTTCCACCACACCCGCCCCCTCGGTTCCAAAAGCTAAAAGCCCATGCGCGGGATTGACGTCCACAGCGTTGCAGCCAGTGACCTCACCCTGTCCAGTGCCTTGACCTAGTTGGTAGGGAGCCATGAATCTGCCATAGTCTAGATTGAGGCGGTAGACTTCGCTTCCGGCGGCTCCCACTAGAGCTTCTGCGGAAGGAAAGTGATACGCTAATGCTCTTCCGAATTTGGGTATCCGGACTCGTGTGTGATGTCCACCCTGAGCGTGGAGCTCGAGCGTCCTATCTGTCTGCAGATGGAGCTGTTTCGTCCAATCATCGGATAGTAGCTACGTGAAATCAACGGAAGGGGTCAGGTCAGCAATGGCGGACTTTCGCGAGTAGCCCTCCCATCTATCCAAACGAAGCCACAGGTCCTCAGAGCAGGTTTGTCATCAGCGTCTCGCCCGAGGGCAAGATTGCAGATAATGTAGATAAAGGTTTGTTGTGTTCGCTCATCACTGGAGTGCTGCCGTCTCGTCCCTTCACACCACTTTTGCGCTCTTGCGTACCCAGAGATACTCACCACAAAGTCGATATTCTCGCTATTCGTATGCCTCTCAAACTTCAAGCTCAACTGGTCCAGCTCCCACACCCTGATATGAGGCTTGTATGTCCCAGTCGCAACGAGACTGCTGCCATCCCTTGTGCTCTTGATCTTATTGGAGGCTTCGGGGAATTCGTAATCTTGGATGAGCTCTATCCGGTCGAGCTGAGCATTGATGGAGGCGGAAGACTTGGACGTGGCCTTGCGTTTTGTACGCTTGTTTGAGCGTCCGTGGCGGCGAAGGATGTCGGGCAGAGAGGAGGTATTGGCGGATGCTGAGTCGCTCGGAGCTCCTGCGCCGGAAAGGGCGTACACCTTGGCTGGCTCTGCCAGTGACATCGGCCTGGAATTCGGTGCAGCGAGACCTATGGAGTAGGGACCAGAGAGGGGAGCGATGTGTGATGGTGTTTCCGAGGCGGGAAGACGAATGGCAGTGATCGTCGAAATTTTTGAGGAGCCGAGCGTCCTTCCTTGTGTTTTCAACTCCGCCGCTCTTTCCGTCTGGCTACCCCTCGGCTCGCTCACGCCAGCCCCCGCGTACGCGCACGCACGCATCCACTCACGCACAGTCGGTCAGCGATCCCTCGTGCTACTATAGGAAGTGCGACATTACTCACAGCCCTAACCGCTGTTACTTGGCACCGTTGCCTTGTGCACATGCCACACGACATCAATGACCATGTCGATGAAGGAAACAGGCTGTGCCACCAGTGACTGCATTTACCCGGTCCACACTTCCGAAGCCTCTGACAGCCATCAGTCCCTTAGAGACTCGGCTCACACAGCGTAACGTTTCGTGCGACTAGCTGTGGGATCTAGGAAGACCACACCAGTGAAGCTAGTGGGGCCCCACGAGGGCTCTGTGCGGATGATCAGATGACTTGAAGGGCGGAATCATTTCCCATTGCGCCATGGGAAGATAGGGAATAGGCTCGGGCCAGAGTGACTGAGTAGCCGGTGCTCTGGCCCGGTGCGAGTAAGTAGTGACTGATCTGGTCAAGAAGTGTTGGGCGATGGGAGTCTTCAACCTTCTTCGATTTCACATGTCTGCCTCTTGCTGTCTACTGCCAGAAAGAGCCGAGCGCAGGGAAGCGAGTGCGGGCGAGATGCGGGGGTGGGGACGTCAAGGAGGAGGTACCTGGCCCGCCTTGACTGCCTCAGAGCTGATGTTCCCCGCAACTGGTCGATTGCAAGGACCACCTACGCTCCTTCGCCTTGCCTCTGCCCCCCGCGTCATCGAACACCTAGGTTCAGAGGGGCCGGGCACTGCGCCAGTGTCCTGGCGGAGCTTCTACCCCCCGCCAACGTCGTCTGCGCTCGGTCCAAGGGCAAAGCGAAGAGGTTGCTCTGGCGTGGTGCCTGTGTTCCTGCGCCTGCTGCCGGTGCCGCTGCTGGTTCCGTACCCCGCTGCCCCAGCCTGCTGGGCGTCACTCCGATGGTGTCCGATATTCCACCCGCCCTTTGGCTGTTCTCCTCTGCCTCGCATCACCTCTCTCACGTTCACCTGCAGCTGCAGTGTCCAGAAACAGGCAGAGTTCACCAAGCCGACGCACGGCAGCCAGGTGTCTCAGTCCGTAAGACCATCGCCGCTTAAGCTACCTATCTTCAACCGACCTCGCCCCACTTCCTTTCCCCCACATCCTCCGGCTTATTCTTGCCGATCCATCCATATATCCTTCACCATCCACTCTACCTATCACCCTTTCCCCACCTTGACATTATTCTCAGTTCACCGGGAAGAGAGGCACCCGGCGAGAACACCCTTACAGAGCATCCCATCACCGCTCTCCTTTGATACCCTACAACACAAGCTCATCTCTATCCGCCCCCATCTACACTCACACACGGCTGCACATCGCTTGCACCTGTCCCACCATACCATCTGAGGGTCAGCCCGACATACACTAGCCCACACCAGCACAATGTCTACCAAGAAGGACATTGATGGTAACGAGGTGCTACCGGGGTACCGAGGTGAGTAGCGCTTGCTCCAAGGGGAGGCAGGTGCTTTGCTGCACCGTTGCAGTCGCATATGTACTAATATCATGGACACTTTACCACCTCTACCTCGAAAACCAGGCAATCTCGATGATTCCCAGCAGAAGGCTCTTCGTGACTTTTACAAGAAGTTTTTTGAGCTGACGGAGCGAAACAAAGAGGTATCTGAGAACCTCGAGAAGAAAGGTGGGCCCTCAAAGGCTGCAGGAGGCAAGCCTGCTCCACCCAAGGATGACAAGCAGGCACAGAAAGACACACCAAAGGGCGACGCAGCCAAGGAAGAGGCAAAGAAGCAAGAGGAGATGAAGGAGATGAACCAATTCCTCGACAAGTATGGAGGACCTTACCTCAAGAGAGGTGTCTGGGAATTCTGCAAGGTCAGTAGCTCAGCACTGCAGGCTTGCAAAACGTCTTGTTCGATCTGAAGCTGACATTCCCGAATTTGCTCTCTTCCCTGCTCACCAATTACAGCACGATCACCCAGATGCTTCGATGCTGCGTTTCCTGCGTGCACGAAAGGTGAGTAGATAATGGTGAAGTAAGACGGAGAGTGACGGCTCCGCTGACGCAGCTACGGTCGCTCCATTCCTTTCGGCTTACGTGCAGTGGGACATTGATCGAGCTCTTGCCATGCTGGCCGCTGCGTTGAAGTTCCGCTTTGATATGGACGTGGAAGGCATCATCCGGAAGGGTGAGGAGGGTCTCAAAGACGTCCCAGGGTTTCTGAACCAATTCAGGCGAGGTATCTCCTACATCAAAGGAAACTCTGAAGCACCCGGAGAGTACCCCGTCTACTTTATTCACGTAGCCAGGCACTTCACCAATGCTCAGAAGCACGAGGTCCTGCAGCAATTCGTTCTGCTTGCCATGGAGAATGCTCGACAGCTCACGACTCCACCTTACGAAAAGGCGGTGGTTATCTTCGACATGAATGGCTTTGGTCTGAAGAACATGGTGAGTACAGGCGTCAAAGGCATGGAATAGAGGCTCCAATTTGACCAACATGTGTTCCCTCAATTTCCTCCTCACAGGACTGGCAATGTGTCTTGTTCCTCGTCAAGTGTCTTGAAGCGTACTACCCGGAGTCTCTCCAGAGAATCTACGTCCACGGCGCACCGTGGATCTTCAAGGGTATTTGGCAAGTTCTGCAGCCCATGCTTGACCCCGTTGTTCGAGACAAGATCAAGTTCTCTTCCAAAGCGAGCGAATTGTCTGACTACGTCTCCGCCGAGAAGCTCCGTGTCGGAATGGGCGGTAATATGGACTGGGACTGGGACTACGTGGAGCCTGACCCAAGCGAGAATGACGACCAGAACGACACTGAGATGGTCAAGAAGATGTGGGAGCAATACATGGGTCTCGGCAAGGAGTACGAGGACCTGACCAAGGAGTGGATCGATGCTGGTGACAACGACAAGTCCTCTCCCGATCTGACCTATCAGCGAGAGGTTGTTGCGAAGCAACTTCGTTTGACTGCCTTGCAGATGACTCCCTACGTGCGAGCTCGCAACGTCTACCAGCGGACTGGGATTCTGGCGGACGACGGCTCTTTCAGCTGGGATTATCCACAGAAGGACGGTGACACTGTCAGCCAGACCATCAACGAAAAGGCCAATATCCCGGCAATCAAGAAGTGGCTCGAAGACCACGATGAGGACAATCTCGAGGACACACCGGCCGGAAAGTACGGTTTCTGCGGCACTGAGCGCTCTGGATCTGGCGGCAAGAAGCCAACGGCAAAGAAAGGAGCACCCAAGCAGAGCAAAGCCAAGTCCAGCGGCAAGTCCTCCGACAAGAAAAAGGAAGAGGAAGCTGCAGCAGGCGGCGCTGCTGCCGGTGGTGCCGGTGGTGCTGCAGCTGTGCTTTCCGGAGTCAAGAGCAAGACCAAGAACAAGGTCATGGCCAAGAACCCCCTGAAGAAGAACAAGGAACCAGAGCCCGAGCCCGAACCAGAGTCGTCTTCTGAGTCCTCTGAATCCAGCGAGGAGGAGGAAGAAGAAGAGGAGGAAGAGGAAGAGGAGGAGGCCCCACCCTCCAAGTCGAAGAAAGGTGCCAACGGCAACGCCAATGGTGATGACCAGCAGCAGACGTACACAGGTGCTGCTTTTGGCGCTGTTACTGGTGCTGCTGCTGCTGCAGGTGCTGCTGCCGCCGGTGCTGCCAGCTACATCACAGGCAGTGGACAGCAGAACCAGGGTCAGCAAGAACAGTCTCAGCCTCAGCAGAATGGCAAGAGGGGATCGCGAAGTGCTCCCCAGCCTGCCGAGGAGGAGGAGGAGGACTACGACGAGGAAGGAGACCCAGAAGGCTACTCCGATGATGACCGTGCCTCAAACTACTCGGAGGATTCCATCACGCCAGAGACCAACGTCGATCTCGACTTTGTCAACCCGAAGGGCGTCACGGCCTCGTCTGTCAAGATCAGCGACAGCGACTGCCGAGAAGACCTTGCCACTGTGCGTGAGGCTATGAGTCTCTTCCTCAACTCGCGCATGAGGGAAGCGGAGGAGCTCTGTCGCGATGGTGCTGAAACTCGACTGTACAAGGCGGAAGGTATGGCCCTGATCAACACAGTCAAGGCTATCATGACCTTCGAGCCTACCGACTTCCAGACCGCAATCATGTGCTGCAAGCACTCGATGAGCATTGCCGGCCTGTTGCGTAAGAAGAAGGGAACTCTGGGCAAGCTGCTCGGTGGCAGCAAGCAGAAGGCTTTCCAGCGCATGAGCTTGGTCGAGCAGCATTCCGATCTGGTCTATGCTGAATCTTTGCTCCTCAAGTGTGTTCTCGGCATCTTCTACGCTGGAGACACAATTGCCTTTGTCAAGCAGGCTCTTGGTCTTCGAAGTGCCTACTTCACCATGCGAGAGCTGCTCGAATTCGTAGAGTACTGTGACGGCGAAGCAGAAGAGGCTCAAATTGCCGGACGCCGCGCCAACTTCACCGTGGACCAGGACTTCCGCTCTGGTGTCTACCTCGGAAATGGTCTTTGCTCCCTCGTCTTGTCTCTCCTGCCAAAGCAGGCTCTCAAGGTCATGGAGGGCTTCGGATTCGTTGGTGACCGCAAGTTCTCCCTCGACATGTTTGGCCGAGCTGGAGGCTGGTCGAAGAGCAAGCCACTCCCAACCATCTCTGCTGAGGAGGAGGGCGTTCGACGCCCGTTGTGCGACATTGCCATCCTGGTCTACCACTTGGTCATCTCGGCCTATGTTCCGGTCACCGACGTGGACTTCGAGTACGCTGACAAGATCCTGTCTTGGGACCTGATCCGCTACCCGAACGGAATCTTCTTCCTCTACTTCTCAGCTCGTCTGTATGCTGCTCAGGCTCTACCTGAGAAAGCCATCGAGTATTACCGAAACGCTATTGAGTCTCAACGCGAGTACAAGCAGCTGCATCACATGTGCTTCTGGGACCTGTCCATCACTTACTTGTCAACCTGCGACTACGGCCGCGCTCACGAGTGTTACGATGTGCTCTCGAGAGAGTCGAACTGGTCCAAGGCCATTTATCAGTACGCCAAGGCTGTCATGCTCTACGAGACTGGCATGGATGACCGAGCCAAATCGGCCGTCGTCATGCGCACCGTTTCTAAGCTCGTCAAGAAGGTGGCTGGTCGACAGATTCCCTTTGAGCGATTCGCCATGCTCAAGTCCAAGAAGTACATCGCCAACGGCAACAAGCTCCCTCTGCCAGGTCTCGAATTCTCGTACCTCTGGCACTGCATCGGTCAGATGCCCATCTTCCTTTTGGTTGAGCAGACTCTGACCCGCATCGATGAGTTCATCGATGAGCTGGAGTCGTACCATGACCCCAAGACCTACCCTGGTGGCGAGACGGAGTATTACGGTGCTTACTGTATCTCGTACTTCTTGCGAGGTACTGCTCTGTCCCACGTCGCCTACCCTCCTCCTCACACTCTGGTCCGTCTGCCCACCGACGACTCGATTGGTGCTCTGAGCGATGTGGAGCAGGATGCCATCGGCTCCTTCACCAAGGTCTTCAAGTGGGCCAGCAAGGTCGACGAGGTGGATCGGTACGTGTGCTACTTTGCCCACTACGAGTACGGACGTCTGCTAGCCGCGATGAACAAGGGTGACCAGGCCAAGCTGGAATTCCAGAAGGTCCTCAGCGGCAAGCCTCTGGAGGCCAAGGGCAAGGGTGGTCTCACCGGAAGCGCAAAGGCGTCGTACCTGCTGAGCAACATGTGTCAAGTACGGTCACATGCTGCCATTGAGACGCTTCGCATCCAGGGTAACCGCTCGAGCTCCTTCTACGGATCCGAGTCGGGCACCTCTGCCGCCGGCTCCTCCATCGGTGGATCCTTGTCGTCAAGGTCCGCCTCGATGTCTTCGAGGGCCTCCCGTCAGAGTATGACCAGCGCCTCGAGCAAGTCGGGAAGGAGCAGTCGCACCTCGGCCTCTTCTCGGAAAGGCCAGCCGGCGGCAATCTCCCCACCCATTGACGGTGGTGCCAGTCTTGGAAGACAGTCTTCGAAGATGAGCAAGTCTAGCAGTAGGAGGTCTGTTGGACAGGTGCCCGCTGCTGTGGGAGGAGAGACTACGGACTATGGAGGCAGCCGTAGACGTTGAGAGAAGTGCAATGTGCGCCGTGCTGAGTGAAGCCCCAGATACCGTAATTAGTCTCTTGTTTGATCCGTGGTACTTGCGTCCCGTCCTTTGTTGCTTTGTCGAGCTCGCTGTCGTAGTTCTTGATGACCACTAGGGTCCTCTCTTTGTTGCTTCTCTTTCTGACTCGAGCCCGCAGCCTCTTTTTTTTTGCCCAGTCTCAATGTTATCGTCTTCTCCGTTTCGCACAAGCCTGCCTGCGTCCTTGTCATCTCAGCTAGAGCCTATAGTACGCTGATTTGTGACATCCATCCTCACCACTGCTGTCAGCTCTTCCAGCTTCCTCCTCCTCCTCGCAGTTCAAGTCGAACCAAGGGAGCGCCAGTCAGTCTGACTGGGTGCAATTTGACCTGACTCGGCCATTCCGCACGGTCCACTCTGCAGGGGCACACACCACTTTGCTCTGACTCCTTCTTTCCACTGCCGCTCCTTGCTGTGCACAAGATACTCATGGGAAGGATACCACTCACCACCGAGTCTCATCCCTCGGGAGGTTCCTCCTCTGCCTCCACCTCCAACCATCCTGAATACTCCCCTTCTCCCTCGGGTCAAGCTGCGCAAAATGGCAACAGCAACAGCAATGCCAAGCCTCCCTCGTACCCCTGCTACGACGGCGCAACCCAAATCGACTACCAAGCCCTGATCGCTCTCCTCTCCTGCGCTCCTTACCTACCTAGCGCAACACACGTGAGGAATACCCTCCTTTCAGGCTTGACCTCGCGGGAGGAGCCGGAGGAGGCTCTAAAGGAGTTTGAGCGGGAGCGGGAAAAGCAACAACAAGGCACGGCAGGAGGGAAAGGGAGACCTGGCAAGTGGTGGGAGGTACTGCAACAGTGGCAGCCCGGCGTGAGAGTGGGAGCATTTGGAGAGGTACCGCAAGAGGTACTCCTTCCCTTTGCTGGATCGAGTGCTCAGCAGAACGTCCATAATCAAGAGGGCACAGGCCTGTGGGGTCTCTGCATCCTCAAATCTCCTGGTTTCCGTTCGCCCAGCGATTCCCGCACCTACCTCAACCGACCAGATTTGTCCATCTGGTTCAGCAGCGAAGCCTTGCTCCAAGCTGAGTTGCGTCAGCGAGGAGACCCGACCTGGCTTCTCCCTCCGCAGCTCGAGGCGGAAGAGGAACATGTGCAAATGATGCGCTTTGTGCTCAAGGTGTGGTTCCCCAAGGCTCTGCGGGAGTTTAAGCAGAAAGTGATCCAGCGCATGGGAGAGCCGATTGCGGCCCCTCCTACTGTGCTCGATGGCAAACCTTGGACAGCCGAGCCCGGGGAGACTGTCCTGATCGGCTTTGCCGTCGGGGAAGTGGAGCGTAAAGCCCTCCTCTTAGTCTCTGAGCGGGATGAAGCGGCGGGACTGGTTGCACCGGGAAGGGTACATGTGGACTGGCAGAATAATTGCTATACGTTCCAGGATGGGAGATGGTCTGGGATGGAGGAAGGAGTACGGGAGGAGGAGGAAAAGTGGTTGAGCCGGATGAATGGAGGAGAGAGATGGGAGGTGGAGCGCTTGAAAGAGGAGACTGCACAGCTCGTGAGTAGATTCCGAGCAGCTGGAGGTACCAGCCTTGTGGGTATAACTTTACTGATAGCAGTCGTGTCCACACCAGGTCCACTCGTCTAACAAACTCTCTTTCCCGGCCTCACATATTCTGCGCAAACCTTTCCTCTCCCGTCTCGTCAGGGATCAGGCTGGACCTTCTGCTCAGCCTCTCCCGCCGCAGGGAGATGAGGTCACGACTACGCCTTCGAACGAATACGCCAAGGTCCAGGGGCGTGGCTCGGTAGCGGGTTGGGTGTACACGCACGAGGATCTCAGCCTTGCCTCTCTACACGTAACAGAAGCGTACCGGAGGTTAGGCAAAGCTCATGATGCGACAAAAGCTCCAGCAGCAACAAATGGCAACGGCGAGGTCTCCACTGTCACCCCTCGAATCGGCATCGGCCGCATGCTTGTCGCGCTACTCAGCCCTCACATTGCGCGACAGCAGCGCCGTGCGCTTCAGCTGCTGGACATTGGACCTCTCGGATCAGGTGTGCCTACTAGCCTCTGGCCAGTGGTGGCGGAGAGCGAGATTGACAATGAGGGCGCAGTGGCCTTCTATCATCGATGTGGCTTTGAAGTGACTGGACGTCACAGTTGGATGGGAGTTAGAGTCTGGGTGTGAGCGCTGATGGGAATATTCAAGAGAGGACGTCGAATCGCCGTGATCGAGCAATGTCGAGGCAAAAGAGCTAGGCGCAGCGCTACTGCATGTATACCATGGTGGTCTTGTGGCAAGGTGATTACCTTTTCTGCCTTTTGGTCCATGTACTTGTTGCCGTTTGCGTGGTCTGTCCTGTGCTTTGTCTGTCCGACTGACGGAAAGAGGAGCGTGGCAGCCGACGGAGCCCCGAGTGGCAGCCAGGCCGGGGTTGGGCGACATGGGTGTGGCGGGTGCGGGTGGCTTGGGTGTGCCGCTCTCACAGCCTCGTCCGTTGCTCCCACGGTACTGTCAGCCCTTTCTCCCCTTGGTGTCGCTTGTGGTGTACAGCCCCGGCACCTCCGCTCCTCTTCCTCTTTGCCGATAGACCTGCCTTGGTCCCTCCCTCCTCTGCGTATGCAAGCTGGCCTGTGATCCGTTCCGGTGCCTGTAGGACTCAATTGCTCCCGCACCTTGTTCCTGGCCGACGTGGTAGCAACACAGCAACGTCTGCCTGCCTCCGCACTCCGGTGAGACAAGAGAGCGGACTGACCTGGATATTCGCCTTAGCCGTCCTTCTGATCACCACTTGCCTTGCCTTGACCGTCGTTCTTGTACCCACTCTCTATGCTGTCCATCTTCCATGACCCGCCGCCATGTCACAGACACACACACGGCAAGCCAGGAGTGTCCCCCTCCTCCGCCCCTGCCTGCAAGACCTAGTCCGGGTCTCTACAAGTTCAGCCGCTCCGGCAGCTGTCCCCTCCTCGAGACAGTATCGCATTCAGGACTATCGAAATCGCACAGCCCGTCACGCGGACGTCTCGCACACGGTAACCCACTCTACCCTACCACTCCGGGGCCTCGGCTACCCTCGTGTGTAGCCCCTGGCAAGGGCTCCACCTCAGGAGACATGGCAGCTGCGCTGGATCAGAGCGATCCAGCAAAGCAGAAGAGCCACAATGAAGGGGAGGAGCAGGAGCAGCAACCCATTGACATTAGAGCTCGAGTCGCAGCTTTTGAGAAGAGGTCGGATACTGCTGCAGCACCCCCTCTACCCCCTCCCCGCAAAGCATTCTATGTCAAACCGGAAAGTTCGACAGCACAAAGTGGCACCAGCAGCATACCACCGCCACCTGTCAGTATCAGCCATGGATCCCCAGCGAGGCCTAGTGTTACTACGCAGGACATCATCAGCCGGGTCAATACCACCCCTCGGAGTAGAGGAGACCTCACCCCTGGCACGACCTCTTCCTCTCCCTCCCTGCGTTCGGCACCTTCCTTTCCAGGAACGACTACCGGTGGCTCAGATTCGCCTTCTGAGTTCGGTGTCCTCTCACCACTCTCCTCTCGCTCTCTTGGGTCACGTCTAACTGGCGCCGCCTCCTCTTCCTCCTCAAGCTTGCCTCTACCCCCTTCTAACGGCAGATCTTTGGGTACAAGCCCCAACGTAGCCCTGTCGCCCTTCTCTGCCGCTTACAAAGGAGGCAGTGGCGGTCTCGCCCCTACAGCGGGACCATCGTCATCTCATTCGTCTCAGTTCGATGCACTAGCCGAAGCAGGTAGCGTGAAGAGGGTGGGAAGCGGTACTAGCCTCAATGATCTAACTACATCGTCCATTGCTCGAGCCCGGGAGAGGGGCAGTGGGGTGGCAGGAGTCTCAGGAAAGGTCCCTTTGCCGCCGTCTGGAGTACCTGGGGGCAGTATGACCAATGGATCGTCCTCGTCATTGGGCGTCTTCATGCCCAGTGATATGACAGGTTCCTCTTCAGGCGCTGGTAGTGCCGGCGGCCGAGCTTCGCCGGCCCTTCCGCCTCGTAGCGGTCTCGCTTCCACTCGCGGTCTGCACAAACGCTCATCAGGGAGCTTGTCCCAGATCAGCGACGCGCACTCTGCGACTGTCCCCGCATATGCCATGAGGAGGAACCGGTCGACCACGGAGTCGCCGTTACCTTCGCCTTCAGTCCGATCTCTCAATCCGCTAGACGACGATGACAACGATGTGGCAGGCCGCGAAAAGGTGGAGGGAGGTTATGGCCTTATTCTGCATCCTACATTGAAACCAACCACGAGCCCCGTTGCCTCGAGGCCCGCTTCAAGAGCCTCCAACTCGCGGTCCGTGCCATCATCCCCTCAAGTCGGGCCTCCAGAAGCCGCAGATCTGCTGAGCGTTCAGAACCGGGTTAGAGTGGGCGTGCAGCCTCCCACTCCGAGCCCGGAGAAGAATCAGGAAGGGACATTCTCAATGGCAAAGGCTCCTTACATGTCGCTGTACGAGCCGAGGAGGAATCACAGCATTGACAGCACAGCCTCTTCGGAGGAAAAAGAAGCATCAGACGGCCGATCTCAGTATCACAGAGGGCAAGCTCCGAGCCTACCTCCCCGTGGGGGAGCTGCAATGCACTCCTCGTCGAGCCTGCCATATGTTCCCTACAAGCAGCGAGGAGGCAGCGGTAGCGGCCTGATGCTATCGTCCTCCAGCGCGGGAGGCGTCGTAGCAAGTAAAGTTCCACCTCCACCATCTATGCCTTCCACATCTCTACCTTCATCAAGCCAAGCTCCTGCTATCCCACCACGACAGCCGAGCACAGCAGGTCCCCGTCATTCGACAGGACACTCTCCTGCAGCGTCCGTGTCCTCTTCCCCTACTCAGTCACCTAAACTCGCAGCGGCGTCCAAATTTGCGCAGCGTTCTAGCCGCTCAGGAGGACCAGGCTACGAGGCGGTGTCTCGATCCGCGAATGCTGGCCCTTCGGGTAGCGGCATGGGATTAGCTGCTATCCAGCCACCCCCCTCTCGCTCTCGTCTGCGATCCTCAAGCGAAGGTCCATTAGGCGAGATGAGAGCTCAACATCCTCACGATGGTCGTGCTTATGCTCATACTCAAGGCGCCACGAACGGCGAAGCCTATGCAGCAGCGAGCAGTGCGCCCATTGTAAGGGATACCTTCCACGGCACTCTCGCTTACCGAAGCTCGCAAGCTTCCTTGTACGGCAAACGGGCAGCAGCAGCAGCGGGTGGGTCTGCTCGATTCAAGCCAGCTAGAAGTCTAGCGCCTGCGGATGAGGCTGCCCGGAAGCGGTACGAGGACGTGTGGGACCGCGAGGTACAGCGAATGGAGCGCAAGCAGCAGAGGAAGAATGGCAAGAAAGAAGTCGAGAGTGGCTCTTCAGGAGTGGATATAGAAAGTACCATCCGGAAAGCCAAGACGGGTGGTGGTGGAGGAGGAGGAGTTGCCTCCCTCGCAAGCCGCTTCGAGTCCACTTCTCCACCGTCCTCCACTTCTCCAGCCTCTCGACCTCCGGTACCCCGCAGTACGCGCAAACCCTCGGTACAGCTCAGCATCACCCCTCCCTCCTCCAGCACTCGTCTCCCCGCACATCGTGTAGGTAAAATCTGGCGTAAATCTCGACTACCGGAAGTCCTGCTGAGCCAAATTTGGATGGCGGCATTGGCATGGGATAGGGATTGCGAGGCGGTACTCAGTCCCACTCCACCTGAGGCGTCGTCCCTGCCTGCGACAGGGATGGGTGCGAGTGCGGGTGCGGGTGCGACAATGAGTCTTGGAGGGGCATTCGCTATGCAGCAGGACTCCGCGCGGGCCGGTGGCAGTGGGAGCGGGACTGTAGACAAGAAGGACAAGGGAGCTATCACTACCTCTTCTACCTCGTCATCTTCACCCAACGTTGGTCCAAGCAAAGAAGCCTTCGTACGCGCACTCGCCGCCATCGATGCCGAGCTAGCGTATCGTGCCGAAGGACGCGCACAGAGGAAGGCCCTGAGGTCAAACGCTAGCGCGGACGCCAGTGCTAGTAATGTCTCGCCTGCAGCTACTGGAGCAGGATACACAGGAGGGGGAGGGGGAGGAGGAGCGAGGGCGTACATTCCCGGCCATTCGCACTCGGCTGGGAATGGCTCAGGCTATGGACATGGGTATGGGGGTGAAGTGAGCTCAACAGGAGGGGCCATAGGAAGAAGGAGAATGCCCCCTCTTGCTCCTGGTCCGGCTTCTACGCCTGCAGGAGGGGAGTGAATACGAGCCCCCTTCAATTGATGTGGCCTCGCGTCGCGTAGCTTTGTCCTTCGCCGCCTGATACCAATCCATTTTTCCCCATCTCCCTCTCACTCTTGAGCATTCGCAATCGTATTTGCATTCTTTGGACAATTGAAATACCATGTTTGATCACATGACAACAATGACGGAGGTGCATCCGGTTGCGATTCGGCCTCTGACTGACCACTCTTGTCAAAACTCCTTCTGCCCCTCTTTGACCTCCGACTCTCACCCATTCACTCATGCCCTCTTGCTCCTCTGCAGCCTCTTCGGCTCTCCCTCAGCATTGAGCAATCCCACCTCGTCATCCGCGCCACCACGAGCAAGCAACCTAGGTCCATCCCCCACCTGCGTATGGATCAGTCGTCGTACAGCCCCCGCCTCGTGCACGGGAATGACGGCGCTGTTGAATCCAGCAGGGAGACCTTGTTCCTGTGTGGGCAGAGGGGAGGCAGGCTGGTTTGCGCCGCGGTGCGAGGCGTTTGCGCCCGAGGAGAGAAGGTTGAACTGGTGCGGGGGGTGGTACAGGGGTGTGCGAATTGTCAGGAGATGCCCTCTTCTGCCCTTCTCGCTGCAAATGTGCTACTTACCGTGTCGTCAAAGTCTGCATTTGGGAAATAGTGCCTGATCAATCCCAGCACCAAGGATACATTCTCCTTTGGCGCATATAGCACTGCATTCGGTCCTGCATCATAAGTGTAGGCAACAATCTTTCCCTTGCCTGCCTCCTCACTAGCCCGATTCACCTCTTCCACGAGCTGGACGATGGCCCGCGATACATCGTTCATGTAGAAGATGGGTGGGGAGGTATCGAGGCACGTGGCATGGAAGTTGTTTGAATCGGCCATGGTGATCTCTGCAAAGCGGTTGAAGTCGCGCGCCTTGATGGCCTGGGAGATGTCCTTCATCCTCGCAGGGACGACTTCGCGGATGCGGTGTTGCAAGAGGGGCGAGGTGGCTACGGTCCTCTGCATGCCGGCGGTGGAGGGAGTGCCCTTCTTGGCATCAGAGACGACACAGATGAGGGCCTGCAGCTCGCTCCAGTGCTCCTGGGGCGCTACTTCTACCGCCAATGAGTCAGACCCATCGGTCGTCTCACCACCTTGCCAGGCGACGAAGCCCCCGAAGAGGGAGCGGCAGGCCGAACCGGAGCCCTGGCGAGCTATCCTCGACAGATGAGAGGTGGACACAGCAGGCTGCAGCTCGTAAAGGGATGCGAGAGTGTAGATCAGGGCAGCAAATCCAGAGGCAGATGAGGCGAGACCGGCAGCTGTGGGGAAGTTGTTCTCCGAGCAGATGCGCAGACCATACGTTGAGAGCTGCAGTAGCAGGGGAGCGGGGGCATGGGTGAGCATACCAAACGATAACGAAGGCTCCTCTCTACGCACGCTTCGGTTGACTCACTTTTGGCAGCTTATCATCCTTGTCCTCCAACCCCTTCCTCAGCTTCCTCATCTCATCAATACAAGTCCTCATCCTGCCCTGAGACTTGATCTCCTCTTCCACTCCATTGAGCCATAACCGCTCTGGTGGTGAGCTGAAGGAAGGATCCGCACGGGCAGTAGTCACAGAGCGGAGATGATCTTGGTCAAGGGTGACAGAAAGAGAGTCGTTTGTGGGCAGAATGAGAGAGGTGTCGCGCTTGCCCCAGTACTGTGGTAGTAAGGAGAGAGAGAAGGTGTGTCAGGGGCAGTCGAAGCGACTGTGAGCGAAGGAGAGCTTTATGCTGCTCTTGTGTGGTGACACTGACCTTGATGACCGCAATGTTGACTGGAGCCGAGCATGTGGCTTCGTAGATGGTGGACGAGGCCATGGTGAAGTAAAGGTATGGTAGAATGTGATGGTGATGGTAGTGATGGTGGTGCTTCTATGCCTGGCGCCTCGCAGCGGGAAGAAGCGAAGAAGCGGCGAGATGGTCCTTGAGCACACAGAGGCAATCACACTCCGCTCGCATCGAAACGCTTCCCCGCACGACCCCACTCGCGTAGTAAAGCACACGACGCTACTCCCAGCTCACACTCACACCCTACGATACCATACCTCGCCTGTGCTGCTGTTCGAACATGGCCACCTCGACACTCTCGCCCTCATCCCTCCACCCCGTGCTACGCGTCACCTTCCCTTCGGGCTTCTTCTCCGCCGGCCCTTCTTCGACATGCGATCCCTACCTCCTCCTCTCCCTCCCACCAGCCCTCTTCCTAGATCCATGGCAAGAGCCTATCCATCCTGTTCTACAAGCACAACTTCTCACTCAAAATCAAATTCAGAGTACTGATGGCAAAGTGTCCTCAAGAGCAGCAGGGATTCGGATAGAGCAAGTGGACTTCCTCTCTGCTGGCTATCCTTCGCAGGTAGAGCTAGAAAAGGCAGTGGGATGGACAGGCGCCAGCGCTAGTAGTGGTGGAGCAGCGTACAGCGGACGTGCGGTGTGGCAGGGAAAGGACGAGCGGACTAGGTTACTTCGAAGCTCCAGCAGGGGCGAAGAAGAGGGGTCGAACTCGGCTGGCGGCAGCAAGAAGGCGGCCAATAGAGAGAGGGAAGCAGTCCTGCTGCGTTTTTCCTCCTCTCCCTCCTCTGCAGGTTCATCAAAGCAGAAGCTCCGACTACCCCTGCACGCTCGCTATCTTCCCCCAGTCGACTCTTCTCAAGCAAGTCTGACATCGCGTCTGCTGAGTCCGCATGGTAGTGGGAATTACATCGAGGTAGCCATCGAGGGGCTAGAGGTCTTCTGGGCTTGCACGGCAGGGAGCGCGCCTCAAGAGCTTGAGGAGGAGCAGGAGTGGGAGCGCCTAGCTCGTGAGTGTAACAGGACACAATCTCAGAACTGATCAAAAAGACAGCCTCTGACGCCCCTCCTTGGACCTTGTATACCCACATGCTTTCAGGCCCCTCGTCTCTTCTCCCCAGCACGCACCTACATCTCCTCTCCCCTCTCCTGTCCAGTCTTCCCGCCAAGGCCAACATATACAAGCCTTCCTCCTCCCTCTCCCTTGGCGGCGGTCAAGACTCAGAAGCCCTGCAGAGGGCGACGGTGCTCCCTTCTGTCCTCCTCCCGACGGGCGACGCAGAGCTGGCGCAACTCACGTGGGGAGTGACACAGGCGGTCATTTGGATAGTGGCAATTTGGATACTGGCTAGGGTGCGGTCGCTGTGATGCAAGAGGTAGGGACGAACAGGCCAGGTCTGGGTATACGAATTCCTGATTGTAGTTGTACGATATCATAAACAACATCGACGCTAGCAGGCATGGCAGTGTACGCATCCGAGCGCAGCAGCAACCAGCCTAAAGCCACACCCTCCTCCTCAGCCCCTCGATCAGCCCACTCAACATGGGCGCCTGCGCTTTCGCTTCTGCCAACGTCTGAATGTCTCCTTCTTTCACAAACCCCTCCTCCGCCTGCGCCACACCCTCAGTGATGCAGGCATCAGCATCGCTACATTCCTCGACGAGGAGCTGCACAATCTTCTCGACGATCTCCTTGGAGGTCAATTCGCCGCTTTCGTAGTTTGAGTAGAGCTGCTGGGCGGAAGAGGAAGAAGAAGAAGAGGGAAGACCGGTAGCTCCGCCTACGCCTGCGCTTGCATTGGCGGAGAGGACTCGGCTCTTGCGCTTCTCACGGGGTTCCCGTTTGAGGGTGCCAGCGAATTCGTCCGCGATGGCCTTGAGAGCGATGAAGTTCTCCTTGCCGGTGACAGCTGCACTGGCCCCAGTAGGGCTTGAGGACCCACTTTTGCTGCCTTCTGCTGCTGCTTCTCCTCCATCTAAAGGTGATGATGTTGCTTCGGTGGGGACATTCTTGATCGTGGCCGAGTTGATCCTCCTGGACTCAGAGAGGTACGAGACGACTAGTCCCCAGTGCTGCTCTCTGTGCTGCCCATCGCGCGGCGAGATGAGGTACACTCCCTTTTTCAGGCCTCTCACGTCCCCAAGCAAGATTCGCGAGAACTCGGAGAGCTTCTCAATCTGAAAGTCGTATGCGCAGATGTACAGAGCCTTGTTGGTCAACAGGACAATCTTCTCCTCGAGCTTGCTCGAGCGGATCGTGTTAGCCTCCATGGGCGAGAAGAGGGTCCAGCCGCCGATTTTCGTCTCGCCCTCGTGCAGGGCCATCTCTGCACAGGTATCGATAGCGGCTGCTCTTACTTTCCTGAGCCGTACCTCGCTGGACGGATCGACGGTGGTAAGGTCCTCGCCGTACCTCTCAAGACCATTGAGGGTCAGCTCGCCATAGATGAAGGAGATGACCGTCTGTCGCCAGAAGTCTGAGACGGCTCCCTGTAGCATACGATAGACCGAAGCAGTAGCATCGTTGATCATGCCCTTCCAATTCCGCTTGCCCGTACGAGTAAAGTCACCCTTGAGAGCACGGGTGCCGGCGTAGCTGTTGGCGATTAGGTCTCCATTATTGGCCCAGAGCTCATTGAAGACTGCATCGTAAGCTTCATGCGGTGGAGGGTTGAGAGCAAGTCCGATGCGGGCCAGTTGTGATGCGAGGAGGTGGCGACCAAAGGCAGACTGGACAACATTTGTGCGGTCCAGGCAGTCGAGACAATTTGTGCGCATCATGCTATGCTGAACAGCTTTGAGCTCCGACGTCTTCTCGCCAGAAGAACTCGTGATCCATGCTCGCCAGAAGCAGTCCATCTCCTTCAACGAGTCCTGAAGAGTATCAATGAGCTTCGAGACATTTTCGAACTTCATGCCTGCACACTCCTTATGAAAGTCAAAGGCCTGATACTTGACCTTCACACCTTTGCTTTCCAGCTCTTCTACGGACTCGCGGAAGGCTTGTGTGATGTCACCCTCCCTACCCTTCTGTTCGGCCAAGTTGACACAAGTGATTGGACCATAGCGCTCAATCTGAGCCTCGAAATGCTTCGAGCATGCAAGAGCGCGCTGTTCCTTTGTTCCTTCCAGAACTGGCGGTGGTTTCATACTGAAAGGGTTCTGCGACCAGTAGAGTGGGATGGAGCCTCGGAATTGGAGGAAAGAAAAAATGTGGGTCTGCGCACCTTCCTTTCGTCTGACATGGAGAATTTGCTCCGTTTCCACAAAGTTCGCAACTTGCCCTTGGTCATTCGCTCCTCGACGCTGATACCTCAATCCGGGCCTCTCCTTTGATCGCCTCGAGATGATGGTCATGGTGGCAGTCACCTCGTCTCCCTCAGGTATTGCGGCAGGGATCGGCAGAGTAGAGGTCTGATAGTATCCCTGCATCAGAGGAAGAACCATAGAGTGGACACCAGCAGTGATGAACTCCTGCGAGAGAAATTCGTTATGGAAGAATTTCCTCTCGGCTCGCCTCCACAGAGGCAGGGTGGCTCTGGGCTCCTCAAATGGCATTGTGTTGGAAGGTTTAACGCCGGTGGCAGTCACCTGATCGTACTTGCGCTGGAGAGCGGTGGTGAGATCGAAGTCATATGAGAAGAGCATCTCACCACGCGCATACTGCCGTGCGGCTTCCTTCACAAGCTTGTCTTCAAGCTCCTCACGATTCGCCTCTTGGTCTTTGGCGGACAGACCATCTTCTGCCTGCCTTTCTGACTGTGAAGCGGCTGCTGCCTCATTGACCTTGACGTGAGGCACCGCTGTTGTTTCGTCCTTGCCAACAGTACCCTGATCTCCCAGGCCCTGTGGGTCTTCATGCTGAGAAGCTGACATTCTGCTTGCGGCGAGGGGAGAAGAGCGAATCTCGCTGGCTGCTGAAGGTATGGACGGGGCGATCTTTGATCCAGTCAGGAAGGAGCTTCTGCCAATCAGAGAGGGTGTAGCAACGTCGTCGTGATCACTCTCCTCCCCCTCGCTGACATCGTCACTGTCATCCTCTTCTTCGTCGGAGGCACTTGCAGGACTCGAACTTTTGGCCTTCTGAGACTCAGATTTGAGTACGACCTGAGCGCTGTCTTTGCAAAGTGGTACAGCCAAGACACCACTGCACCGGTAGACCGGCTTGTTCTGCTCTAGGAAATCTCCTGCCAGCTCGCGCTTGGTAATGACTAGGAGGTACGAGTCTATAGGCGGCCCGGAAGAAGCTACAGGTCAGCAGAAGATTACGTGTTGGCAATGACAGGGTCACCACTCACTCTTATACAATTTGACCATTCCGATGAGCCCGAAACATGGTATCGAAGCGTGCTCTCCCTGCTCTCCCAGCACTCGTACTACCTCCGCTGCCTTAACGATCTCTGGTGTAGGCCGCCTCTCCCAGCTTAGCCGGACGCCAGAGGAGTGTGAGCTACTCAGAGGCCTGGAATTGCCATGCCGAATCTGCGATGGTACGATGAGTAGCCCATTTGTGGTATAGTGAAGTGTGAGGCTGCGATCGACTTGAGGAACTGGAAAAGGGGGAACGGAATAGCTAGTGGAAAGGGGTGATGCAGGCGTCTGTGATGAAGATGTGGTACCTCTGCGATTGGGCGAACCGGTAAAGATGCCCTTCAGAGTCCCCGACATCCTTGGAGAGAGAGAGAGAGAGAAAGGGGGAGGGGAGAACCCAGTGAAGGAGGCAATACGAGTGTACGTAAAGAGAGTAAGGGGCTGAAGCGGGGCTCCGGCTTGACCAGAGACGATGCCTCATGTGGAGCGCAGGAGCGGAGTTGCAACCGCGAGAGCAACACGGACCTCGTACGAAGGAAGGAGGGAGGCACGCATACAAGGACCCAGCATCGGCATCGCTCATCACGGCTTCGCCGCTCCTCGACGGTCCACACCCGCCAAGATGGATACAGTGGCTCAATCAAAGAGCTCGCAGCCATATACTCGTCACCTGCTACAGTTCACGCCGCCGTCTCACAAAGTCCCTCTATCCTTCGTCTTCCTTGTGCTCCTCCTGGTACGACTGTCAGCGGCTCTCTTCTCGCTCATCTCGGACTGCGACGAGACCTACAACTACTGGGAAGCATTGCATCTGGTCCTGTTTGGGCAGGATGGCAGTACTGCTACCAAAAGCTTCAAGACTTGGGAATATGACCCCAACTTCGCCATTCGCAGCTGGGCTTATATTCTGCCTCACGCTGCAGTCGGCTGGCTAGTCAAGAACCTTGGGGCTAGCAAGCTTCAAGTCTTCTATGGCATACGCACTTCACTAGCATTTCTCTCTGCCTTTGTTGAGGCACGCTTCGTTAGCACGGTGGCTGACGCGATCAACCCGCGGTGCGCCTGCTTCCTCTTGTGCATGCTGGCTTGTAACGCTGGCTTGTGGTCTGCAAGCGTAGCTTTACTGCCTTCGAGCTTCACGCTCTATACGACGACACTTGCGCTCTCGTACGCTATACAGCCAACTAGATCCTCATCCGAAACATGTCCCACCAGTCGGTCTCTCCCTTTCACAGACAGGAATCGGCTTCTCAAGGCAACTGCGAGCTTCGCACTGGGTGCGCTCCTCGGCTGGCCTTTCGCAATTGTGTTGTCTTTCCCATTCGTACTGGAAGAGATTCTCATCCCAAGCGGCAACCTCGTGCGAGGGAGCCAAATTGGCTCCTTCGTAGTAGGCCGGATCTTGTCCTTTGCAAAGGCTGCCCTCACGGCCTCTGTACTGGCAGTCCCTATTCTGCTCATCGACTCCCTCTTCTACGGCAAGGCGGTTCTCGTTCCGCTGAATATAATTATCTACAACATCATGTCGACAAAGAGAGGAGCGGGCCCTGAGCTATATGGAGTAGAACCTCCTACCTTTTACCTGGCTAATTTAGCTCTGAATGCTGGCCCAGTCATACTCCTACTAGCGCTTGCCGCAATACCCCTCTTAGCGGCGACCAGACTGCTCGACTCACGGCGCCTGTTGGGAGCAGAAGAGGGCAGCAAGGACCACAAGGAGAGCTCGTCATCAGCATTGATAGGATCGACAAGACTGACACTGCTCCTCTTCCGCATGGCGCCCTTCTACCTCTGGCTCGGTCTCCTGAGCTCTCAACCTCACAAGGAGGAGCGCTTCATGTTCCCAGCGTACACCGCTATGTGTCTCAACGCGGCTGTCGGGCTAGAGCTCGGCGTGGGTCTAGCAGAGAGAGCGATGCTTTGGCTGTCCTCTCAGACATCCGAGCAGAAGACAACTCCTCCTGCTCGCCTCCTCTACTTTCCGAGCTTGGCGTCCCTGGTGGTCCTGCTGATTTCCTCTGTCTTTGCGCTTCTGCGGATAGGCGCAAGCATCTCTGCTTACCATGCACCGTTCACAGTACTCTCCCCGCTCTCGGCAGAGGGAAGCAGGAAGGAGATTACAAGCCTCTTCCCCTCTACATCATCCGTGCAAAATGACGAAGGCTTGACTATTTGCTACGGCAAAGAATGGTACCGTTTCCCAAACAGCCTCTTTCTCCCACAAGAAGTCAGCGGAGCATTCATCAAGAGCGAATTCGACGGCATCCTCCCCAAGCATTTCGAACAGTCCGAAAAGGAATCCTCTCCACGAGAAAATCCATTGCCGCTTCTCCTCTACGGGCTGGATGTTTTCACGCCCTACATTTCCTCTTCGCTTCCTCCCCTGCTTGAAATGACGCGCAATCAGCAGACAGGGTTTAATGATTTGAATCAGGAGGAGTGGGACCGATACGTCTCTCCAGAGACGCAATGTCACCTCTTGGTAGACTCGGACGATTCAGCATACAATTTTGCAAGCATCCCGCCCAAGTACGAGCCGAGATATGTGCAGGACAGGAAGAATTGGCAGAAGATCAAGTGCGAGCGCTTCCTCGACTCCGAGGCAACCAAGAGCTCTCCGGCTCCGGGCGGATCGATTGGCAAGGTGAAGACGACAATTGCGAGGCTGCTTTGGACGCCGAAGAGTTGGAGAAGCGGGCTGAAGTACAGAGACTACTGTCTGCTAGCGAATAAAAGGTTGATGAAGGACGCAGCCGAGGTAGGAGTGGATGTATAGATGCATAGATGAACATGTGTGAGAAGTGGGGTATGTAGTTACAATATCAACAAGTCTTCTCCTACCTCTCCGCCTCTCCGTCTCCCGAGCCTCAAAGCATCCCCCTCACCCTCTCATCCCCATCAGCCTCCAAAGCCAACCTCACCTCATCCTCCCTCAGCACCAACATCACCCTTGCAAACCCTGCCGCCTTTCCAGGGCCATGCCCAGCGCCAACAGCAATCGCAAAGCCGAGCCCGACGAGAGTATTGAGCGGTGCGAGAAGATGAGCGAGTGCATGTTCCTGCTGCTCGACTCCTGCACTTGTGGTCGCGGTCGTGCTCTTCTGGTTATTGATGGAGTGCAGTCGACAAAGCGCCCTGTAGTGCGCTGCAAGATCCGCCAGTGTCACTTCGGCCAGACCCGTCTTGCGGGTGAGATTGACGAGGCCGATGAGGAGGACCTTGGAGTGGAGGGAAAGGGAGCGAGCAATGTGCGATGGTTTGGAGGATTTGACCATGCCGTCGAGGACAGACTTGATGTCGCCGATTGTGATGCGCGGGACATCGATGTTCACAGCGTCGGCGCTCTCACTGCCCGAAGTGGGTAGACTTTTCGTCTGGTGCTTGGCCTCGACGAGCTCCACTGCTCTACGACAAACGTCTAGCATCCTTCGTGCGTCACCAGAGACGTTCGAGATGCGCTTGGCGGCGTAGGTGATGGCGTCATTGACGAAGATGGCGTCACAGCCACGGACCGCAGAGCTGTAGAGGGCTTCCTTGCGTTGACGTTCCTCTTTAGAGAGGAGTCGCTGAGCATCGTCGTCGAAGAGGAGGGACTCGTCCATGTCCTCTTCGGCCAACTCGCCAGCCTCGTCGATTGGTGTGAGGGAGGCACTGCCCGCAGTAGACTTCCCACTCGCATCGATGCCCAGGCGCGAGCGGACAATTTCGCCTAGCTCCTTGTCCGCGTAGGGCATGAAGGTGATCCTCGTCATTCCCAATCGACTTGCGACTTTTGCACTCATCGTCCTCTCGGGCAAATCCATCGTGTTGGCTACAGCTACCACGATGAGTCTACTGTTCCTGGCGCTGGGCCAATTGAAGAGATTGTACATCACGTCCTGCCTTGAAGTGAGAAGTTGGTCCAGCTCATCCATCAACACGATCGTAGTTGCTCGACCGGAGCCTTGACCCATATCGTCCGCTGGACCTCGACCATTGTCGGCATAGTGCTTAGAGAGGAGGTTCAGAGCAGCCTTGGGCGATCTACGCGCTCGTCCCGAGCCTGCGCTGATTCCTCGATCACCGACTACACTCCAGAGCATCGAGTAGGCCTCTCCTGCATCAGCGACTTTCATACCATTGATCTCCAAAAAGTCAAAGGGATTCACTTGGCCCCTCTCGGAACGTTGCTGCAGCAGAGAGATGACTCCTCGCACAGTGGCTGTCTTACCAGTACCAGGAACGCCAGAGATGTAGATGCAGGAGCCAATGCCCGTGTCGAGCGAGTCTTCTAGCAGACACAGAAGATTTTCCGCCTGCGTTGTCCTGCACGGCAGTCTGGAAGGCGTGGTTGAGACGTGCAAAAGGCGCTTTGCTCGTTCGTGTGCGGTCATTGCATCTAGGTCGCTCTGTGACTCGAATTGAGATGGGAGTGATGAGCTTGGGTCTGGCAGGAAAGCGCCCGACGAGGCGCCCTGACTGCGATCGAAGAGGCGTTGACGAGTATCGCGTTGAAGGTCGATAATCCTCTTTGAACGAGGGGTGGGCTTGCCAATGGCTGTAGCTCGAGGCTTGCGAGGGGTAGAAGGGCCAGCTTGCCTCCTCTTGCGCTTGCCTCCCACCTCTTCATCATCGTCCCACTCGTCATCGTCGAAAGTCTCCTCCTCTTCGTCTTCTTCCTCGTCTGAAGTGGCTTCGGTAGACTCCTCGTCGCTTTCATCAGCCTTGCTGGCTTTCTTGCCGGACTTCCACCTCTGCCGCTCCTTTGTCAGACTATATTCGCTGCCTGCATCGCTCTCCTCGTCTTCGTCAGAGGTATCACTATCCTCGTCGTCAGATTCGCTTTCGCTGTGATGCTGAGGACGGCGAGAGGGTGTCGACTTCTCCAGCTTCATCCTCTTTGTAGGCGATGCCTTTGCAGACCGGACTGCTTTCTGCGCCTTCTGCTTGCTTCTCCCCTCGTCTCCTGTCTCCGAAGGCAATGGCTTGCCGCTGACCTTTGCCTTCTTCTTCTCCTCCTCGGCCCATTCCACTGGCCCTCTCCCTCTCGCATCCCCTTCCTGCACCTTGATATCCCATCCACCACCGCTCCTTCCCTGCGCCACAAGATCCGGATAGTGAATATGCCAGAAGAGCTCTTTGCGCGGGTGAGCCGCCTTTCGACAGAAGAGATGGCGAGGAATGGCTCTTCCTTTGTGATATAGCTGGGAAGGGCGCTTATCCGCCTTTGCTGCCTCTTCGGCTTCTTCCAGAGTGGGGTAGACGGAAGCAGATCCGAGGATACGGGCTACGGACCAGCCAGAGTGCTTTGTGAGCGATGGACCGGCAGCAAAGTCGTCCTTGATGGCCAGTTGGACGGCAGCTTGAGATCGCTTTGATGTGCGCGAAGAGGGAAGGGAGACGGACTGGTCTTGGTAGAAGACTTCATTCTTGCCCAGGATAGCCTTCAGGCGTTCTCGACTTCCGGCAGTCAGATCTTCCGACCAGGTGAAGAAGCGTAGACCCATGGATAGGGGTACATAGTCTTCTTCGTCTTCGGCATCACTTCCTTCGTCATTGTCATCGACCTCCTCGTCCTCGTCCGACCACAGCTGTGTAATGACAGCGAGGAGTGGCAGCGCTGTAGTGTGCTTGACCAGCACTACAGATCCAATTTCGAATACCTCCTCTCCAATTGGTTTCTCGTCTTCTGACGGTTGGGGCAGATCACTATCGTCTTGCCAGCATGTCCGACTCCTTTTTGCACCAGGAAGCGGGGTACGCCTGAAAGCGGTCCAGTCGTGGCGGATGCCTTCGTCACCGAGTGCCGAGCAGGTGGGTTTGCCTAGAGGTGTGTAGAGATGGCAGTGGAATGTCGTAGCCGCGGCCGACGAAGGACGATACGTCCTGCGACCCATTTGCGTGAGTGTTGGTGGAGAGGAGGAGGATGGTAGTGATCCGCACAGTCCATCTGTAGTGGAAGTTGAAGTTCAACGAGGAAGGTCGCCGGCAGCAAATCGGAGTTTGAAGTAGAAACGCGAAGGGACGCGGAGACGCGTAAATGAGGGCGAATAGGCGCGGCTGCCACTCCTGACCCGTTGAGCCTCCTCGACTGCCTCGACTCCCTTTGAGCACGTCAGACATCTTCAGCCCTCTGCAATCTCCGCCTTCTACAGTCTCACATCAGGTTCTGACCTACGTCCTATATCTCGAAAGTCTACCACCATCTCATCCTACTAGACATTCACAAGCATGGCCGCCTCTGCCTCTACCCTTCCACAAATGGAAGGAGGCTCTCCCACCAAGAAGCCTTTTGCACCCACCTCGTCAACTCGCACTCCCTTTACACGAACCGACTCCAGGGGAGAATACCAACTCGAAGCTGCCGTGCCAGAAGATGTGCAGGTCAAGCTTCAGTCGATCGGAATGAGGGCTAGGATGGGTGAGTCTGTCAAGAGAGAAACGTATCGCTCTTCGCTTCCCTGTACTGAAGAGTCCCTCTTCCGTCTCCTTGCTTCTGACAGCTGTCGGTAGAGGCTACGACCCCTCTCTTCCTCTTGGCAACATCTCCTCCTCCAACACCAACAATGCTTCGCTGGAAGGCTCCTCTCGCTCCGTCTGGTCGCGAGTACAGTCCGCTCCCAACTACACAAAGGAACTCCAGCCGTTCAGTGAAGTCCTTCTACCCACTCACTCTCCCTTCTCCATTCTTAATGGCGGCACAATCATAGAGGAAGACGGAATGAGTGTGGCTAGCGGGAGTCACTACTCTGGCATGTCGAAGAAGAGGGGAATGGACGCCGAGGATGTGTTGGGAGACTTTATGAGCGATGATGAAGAGAGTGGGGGAGAGGAAAACGTCTCGCTTACCAGAGAGGGCGAGGACTTTGCGATGATGACCGACGAGTGAGTTGTCATGAAGGAAAACTGTTGGCGCAGCTTTTGTTCACACAGCTGACTCCTTCCGAGATTCTTTCGCCCTGCCCATTCCAGTCGACCCTCCAATCCTCTCCGACCGATTCGCGCTCTTCCTCCAGTCTCCTCCTCGAACCCATTCCCGCGAAGAGCCTTCACTCAGTCCCAGACACTTCCAGCATCCCTCACAACCTCGCGCTATCTAGCCGGAGGTCTCGGAGCTTCAGCATCGCAGGCAAGCATGGCGGCTGAAGACCCGGAGGAGGAGGCCAAGTGGCGGGCCATTCGATTCGAGGAGTTTGTCAAGAAGGACGACTTCTGAGTGAAGGGCACTAGTGCCAGTGTAGCGGGCAAGCGAGCTCAGCTGGGTCCTTGCTCAGGTAGACGTGTCTTGTGATCTGTCAGTCAGTCTGTTTATATCTTCCATCGCATACGCTCCTTTTCTCTTTCAAGCAACAGATCAATCTCATCATCGCCGATGCCTGATAGGTCCTTTTGTTACGTTGGCATTGTCGTGACTCTACCAAGCGCAACTCCTGACGATGATCCTGACGCACTCCTCGAGTCCTTCTTGATCTACCTCGTCAAAGCCATCTTCATCCACACAGTCAATGTCCAGCACGCCAAGGATGACCTCCACGCCCTCGTCCTCTCCAGCCTTTGTCGTTGTCTTGCCTTCCGCCAGACGGCCAGACCATGCTATCAGCTCGTCTTGCGCTCCAGTCCCTTTGAGGTCTTCAGAGGCGGCTTGCCGGACCAGGTGACGATGTGCTTCGGATAAGGAGGATAAGGGCACCACCAGGGGGATCACCAGCTCCGACTTGCTCAAAGAGTCGCAGGCAATGTGACCAGCTGTACATGCGAGAGAGTGGGTCCCGAAATGGAACAGGGAGCGTCAGAGGTCTGGGCGGATCTCTCACGCTCGCCATGCATCGTAGCCACTCACGATAGTCATCCGTCCTCGCAACCCTGACCGTCCTCGGCGGTAGCACCGCGCTCCCGTCAGCACATACGCCCTTGCCCGGCACACTAGGGATAGCCTGACACGCCGGCAGACCGTGAAAAGGCCCCAGTACAAGCGTCGGCACTTTCTTTCCACCTTTGGAGAGCAAGGCGGGGCGTGGAGTGGGGAAGAGACCAGAGAGGAGGTAGAAGCCTGTCCAGTTCAAGGTCTTCCCCCGCGTTGAGTCTGCTTCTTCTTCTGTCGCTCCTGCCTCAGAGTCGGCTCTCCGCCTTCGCCAATCATTGAGGGAGGCGTGCAGAAGTGAGGAGGCGTTTGCTAGATTAGTGACCCAGGCTGTTTGTCCTTCGAGAAGTGAGGCAAGGGAGCTTTGCAGATGCGAGTAGAGATCGCGCTTTGTCCGGATGGTGGAGGGAAGGAGGGCTGAGTCTGCGTGTACCATGGTCGAAGAGACGTCCTATATGATCTCGTTCTCTGGAAGCGGGATCTACGAAGAGGACGAGCCGAGATGACTTGGACAAGAAGAAAGCAAAGCAAGGAAGGAAGGAGCCATTCCCGATCAAAGTCAGTCTCAATCAAGTGCACGGTGCGTCCAAATGAGAATTTTCGAAGCCCGCACAGTCTCATGTTTCGAAAAAGGCGCCATTCCTCACGGCAATGAGGAAAAGGAGCTCAGACACGCTCACAGCCTCTGACGCTATTGTACATTCTTCGGACATTCTAGTCATCGACGATCAGCTCGTGTGGAGAGACGATGATCAGTGGTTATAGTACAAGATACAGTGATTGCGTTGCGCAACGGATCCTTCAATCCTCCGCCGTCTAGTCGGAAAGAAGCTCCCGAATCTCGCCTGAAAGCTTGCTGGCCTTCGCGAGGGTAGCCTCCCGTAGCTCGGCAGTGTTAAAGACAGCCTGTCGTTACATGTGCTTCTCGTACATGCCAAATTTGTCTAGGATCTGCTTTCGTATGGGGTCTTCGGTCGCTTCCCGCTTAGTTTCCTTGTTTGGTGGGACCGTTTCTTTCCTCGCCATAGGTCTTGACTATCCATGTCAGCCAGTTTTCCCAATCGCTGTTGAAGCGCTCCATATGTCTTGCACGCTCTGAAGGGGTGAGCCGCGAATGCTCCAGGCTCGTGAGCGCAAACGTCTTGAGCGCTGCCAGACCCGTGGCATCAGAGGCATTGCACACCTGCCAAAAGTCGTGCGACAGTCCGAAGTTGCCAAATTGACACGGATCGTCGTTGCTCAATGCTACGGGCACACCGTGATTGACGAGTATGGGCAGCGGGTGCGAGGCCATGTTGCCTACGTAGCGCAGTATCTCGTTGGAAATGGGACATGACTCGACGCAGACGTTTCGTTCGCGGCACATCTTCATAAGCTCTGGGTGCTTCGGCAAGGAGTAGGCGTGGCCCAGTCGCTTCGAATCCAGGAGCAGAGCATCGTAGAGATTTTCGTCTGTACCATTTCCGTCGCCTAGTGTCTCACCGGCATGCAGGATCAAGGGAATATCTAGACCCTCTTCGACCTGACGTTGCTTGAAGCGTAGCAGCTCAGGGACATACTCGCGTAGCCGTAGCAGGGGATCCTCATGCCCTACTAGATCGAAGCCGATGATCAGGTCTGGATGGGCGCGGGCGAGCTGCAGACAGTCTTCGGTGTACCAGCGTAACCGTTCCGGCGTCACGAAACGGACAGTAGCGTAGATGATCTTGCATTGGCATTCGCCTTTGCCCTCTGCTCGCAGCTCAGCATTAGCTTCGTCGACAGAAGTGCGGAAGATCTCCACCCAGCGTAAGTGGGGAAGGGGAGTGACTGCGTCCGTCGACAAGTAGGTTTCTTCAACGAAATTCAAGCGCGTCTCGAGATACTGGATATTGTCCCGGGCATGCACGAGGACCATCTCTTTGAGATAGGAGGCGAGGATAGGCTCGTAGCTGATTACGCCTCCGATAATGGCAAACGTCGATTCAAACTGTGATGTGGATAGAGCAATGAGTTCTGAGTCAGGACTTACATTTCTGGGCCCTCCCCGTATCTCTGTAGCGAGCTCTGCAGCGGGCCGCCGTCGCAAAGTCACTCACTCTGGCCCAGGCTTCCGGGGAGGACTCCATCGGCTTCGAACCGACCACTGGTGTCATCGTCATGAGAGAGTGCAGCCAATGAACAAGTCCAGCTTCGCTGCGCGACCGCCCCTCTGCACTCGGAATGTCCGTCCCTTTCTCGAATCCTTCCAACCGTGAGGCGTAAGGACTCTTGAAAGGGAACAGCTTTCGGGCCTCCTTCAGCGGCATCCACTCGTCCGTGTCATAATCGTGTGAGAAGAGGTTGGAGGAGGGAGAGTAGGACTTGAAGGCGGGCATTGGCTTGAGGGAGACCTGCACCCTGTAGAGGTCCTCCGGTGCGAGTAAAGGCGACTCGGCTCGAATATGGATGACGGAATCGTAGCGCAGAGCGGCGTCGATGAGCCATGTCGCCGATACAGTCCCGTCCATGTGGCAGTGGAGTAGTGATCCCTTTGGCATCTTTTGGATCATCTCCCAGAGCCTACCCTTCCGCATCCCGGTGTCTATGGCTTGCCTGAATGGCATGCCTGGGTAATTGTGGAGGTCCTGATCAGTTGGATTCCATATCTCACCCTTCTCGCAGTCTTTGATCCTTTGGAAGATCTGAGCCGCTTGTGATTCGAGGTTCGGACGGTGAGACGAGGAGGGGGCGAGCGAAGCCTCGCGCTTGTGGGCAGCCTCGGAGGACAGGAGCTCGTTGCGAGCTGACCAATATGAGGATTCGGAAGGTATATCTGTACCCGCAGCCGCTACGCCATTAGGCGGTATCGTGCTGTCAGATGCCATCCAGACGCTTTTCGGCTGCTCGAGGAGACTACTACAGCTACAAGAGGTGGGACAAGTCGATCTCCGGCAAATATGAGGAAAGCGAGGAAAGCACGCCAAGTAGCCTCAGATCTTCCCGTCGACGTCTGTGCGTCAGATTCGCGCCTGTGCGTGTGTGTGTGTCTGGGCGGGCGGCTCCGCGCGTGTGGCTGCCCTGCCTTGGCTCCGTCAATCGCTCCTCGTCGGGAAGAAAGGTGGCCGCCTACCATTGCCGACCAATCCATCGATACCATTGGCTCCTTCACCTCGTCTATCTCCCCCATCGTCATGTCTGCTGCCCAAAGCTCTCCCTCGCAAGAGAAGGTCCCTTCGGAGGACATCATTGCCCGAAAGGTGAGGATCAGGGACAGGGCAGGGAAGAATCGGGAAGGGCCTGAATGAAAGGAGCCGCAACAGAGAGGCTGTCCGGAGGGTAAAGGCGAGGCCCTAATGCGAACAGTATCTCACCTCTGCCCCTCCTACTTCCTCCACAGACGGACCTTTGCATCTCGAATGCCATTGTCAAGACTGGTATCGGACTCGGAACGGGTGTGGTATTGAGCGTGCTGCTCTTCAGGCGTGAGTAGCTGCGAGGCAGGCAGGACCGACTTAGGAACGCTTCCTTCGAACTCAACATCTGACATCTCCCATGGTCCATCTCCTCTCTCCCAGGCCGAGCATTCCCCGTTTGGCTCGGAACAGGATTTGGAGCAGGATCAGCCTACACAGACTGCGAGCGTTCCTTCAACCCCTACTCTTCCCCCGGTCTACGAGTTCTCCCTCCTTCCCTCTCCCCTCCTTCCTCCTCTAGCAAATCCTCTCCTTCCTCTTCTTACTCGAGCAATCCCTCCTCTCCTTCTTCAGAGGGGTCTACTGTCCTCGAGAGGTTGAGCCAGCGTGCAGGCGAGGCAATTGATACTGCAAAGGTCAAGGCGAAGCCTACTGTTGAGGAGGTCAAGGATCAGTATGGACTTGCAAAGGACAAGGTAGAGGCAAAGGGAAGGGAAGTCAAGAGTGAGGTGGAGAAGAAGATTAGGCAGGTGTAGCCAGTGGGAGTGGAGAGGGGGTTCGAAAGAAAGCATTGCAGGCACGAAGCAATGGTCACCTGCTGGACTTGTCGAACCAGAACAATTCGCACCTCTTGTCTGTATGTCGGGCAGGAGCAATACAATCTCAGTCCATCGACGCACTTGAGCTGAAAAGACTTGCGGTGACCGACCTCTGCCTACTGATTTCGAGGTTGTATGACACGCGTGGAACGTGGTGACCGTGACGACGGTCGTGCCTCGCGGTTGTCCTTCCTGAAAAAGCCCCGCAAGAAGAGCTACTTAGTGAAGGAGGACCCGCGAATAGAGTGCTTCTCCCCTTTTTGATCTGCCAGCCCCACTTGCTTGCCCCGACTCTATCCTCGCAATACTGCTCATTGTGACATGTACCCCTCTCCTGACACTTACTTGCTGCCCTGCGCGTATGCCTACGGACCGAGCTCTCCGTGCAGCACTGGAGCGGGGAGCTCGCCAACGAGAGAAGACTCAGACGAAAACACATCGACGGCAGAGGACGGACGGGCACACCTCGACTTTTTTCTGCTGGTGAAGAACTCGTTCAATTCGGTGACACAGAGAGGGAGGGGGAAAGACAAGAAGAGGAGTGGTGAACAAGGACAACAAGAGATGACAACAGATGACAAAGAAGGAGAGGAGTGATCACGGGGTGAGTGAGCGAAAGGGAGGACATACGTATGAATACATGCACGTTAGAATGAAGGTCTTGAATCGAGATCAGATCTACACTTTGCGAGAGACATATGATTGTCCTCGCAGGCTTTTTGTGCGTGCCCTAGCAGCTCCTTCCGATTGAAATAGGCTGCATGGGCCACTTGGTCTATAGACTGCCGCCTCTCCTAAATCACTCGAAGTCTCTGCGCTCCGCTCACTTCTCATCGATGATGGCATCCTGAGGTCGGCCATTGTCCTGCAGCCTACCGTCAATGGGCTCCTTGGTGGACTTGAAAGCAGTCTTGTCCAGAGCATTGAGCTCATCCTCTTCGGCGTCGAGCTTGCGGAAGCAGATCCAGAAGAGGATACCAAATACAAAGGCCAGACCGGCAAAGATGCCGTAGTTGGCGACAAGGAGAGGGTCGGCGGAGACGCTGACAAAGGCAAAGCCAATGGCGGAGGCAATGGCACTGGTGAAGAGGTAGAGGGCCATGACCATGGACTTCATGTTGCTGGGTGCCTTGGTGAAGGCGTATTCGAGACCAGTGATCGAGGCAAAGATCTCCGAGAAGCCGATCAAGACGTAAGTAGGAGTCTGGATCCAGACGTTGAGCGGCGCGGGGTCGTCACATTCGGTGGCATACTCTCCGCAAGTAGATGTCTTATAGATGTAGTGCTGGCAGACCGCTGCACTGACCATGGAAAGAGAGGCAGTGAAGAAGCCGAGGGTGATCTTCTTCAATGGCGTGAACTTGATTCCGGCCTTTCGCAGCAGAGGGTAAACGAACAGGTCCAAGATGGGAATGAAGATGATGATTGACAGGGGGTTGAGGTTGGAAAGTAGATCATTGGGGATTCCGTTGAGGGTCATGGAGCCTGCTTGCGAGGTGAGGTTGTTGTTGATCTGGTTGTAGCAAAGCCAGTAGACTGGGAAGAAGACGAAGACCTGGCAGGCCTTGACGGCTCGTCGGAGCTCGTCGACCCACAGGTCGTCAAAGTTCATCCAGGATGGGAGAGGTCCCGACTGTCTCGAGGGCTTGGCATCCTCCCAGAAGTTTGCGGCAAAGAGGTTCTTGACAGTAGTGACAGGGTTCGCAGACAGCTTGGGCTTTGCGGCAAAGGCAAAGAATCGGAGAGCAGTAGAGAGGATGGAGCCAGCAGGAGGGGTCTTGACGTAGTACTTGCTACCGAAGGCGAGAACTGGGATGCACAAGAGGAACACCAGAGCTGGTAGCAGGTAAGCCAGCCAGTAACCGTGTTGCTTTACGGCGTAGACCATTCCGACTTGTCCTACGATGGCGCCGATGTTGATGGCGGCATAGAAGTACATGAACAGTCTCGAAATTGAGAGAGTGGGGTCCACGATGACCTTCTCTCCACTCTTGAGGTTCTTGACGGTGGGCTTCTTACCCTTGATCTGCTCTGCGATCAGAGTCGACACGTTTGACTTGAAGAATCCGGTACCGAAGGCCATGACGATGATCGATACGATGAAGAGACCCAGTGCGCCTGCACTGTTGTCGAGGACATCAGGAGCAGCAGAGCCGATCAGGAGGAAGTGTCCGACGGTAGCAATGCCGACTGCAAGACAGATGGTGTTGAAGCGACCAAGACGAGAGTCGGCAATCCATGCACCCAGCAAGGGCAAGACGTAGACCATGAAGGTGTTCATGGTAGTAAGAGCAGTCGATGCCCTCTGTCCTCGGCCCAGCGCACCACTGGGAGTGTCCAAGCCTAGAGCCGCACCGGTCCTGTGGACGGGGTTTCCTGGTCGTGAGTGCTGGATGAAGTTGGTGAAGACGTTGGTGCATCCGTAGTAGGAGAAGCGCTCTGCAAGCTCGCAGAATGCTACCGACCAGGCTTGCCAGGGAATGTTCTCCGGCACCCTCCTGAGGTTCAGGAGCTCGTCTTCAGTGGGGAAGACGTTGCCGTACTCGTCTGAGGTGGCGTGTACTTCCTCGGAAACCACTCCCTTTTCCAGGTGACCCAAGGGGTGGACCTTGTCGGTGCGGTTGGAAGCATCAACGTTTGCACGATACTGATCAGCAGCGGCCTCGGCCATGCCGACTTCCAAGTGGTCGATTGGGTTGCCTGTGGAGAAGAGGGAAGGGTGGGGTGGGGTAGAAACAATTAGCGAGAGGTCACGCAAGGTTACTAGCAGCACAAGGTGCCACTACTCACTCATGGTGTGTCAAGGGCAAACGGAAGGAAGGATGCTAAGGGAGAGGATGAATGGGTCGACGTGAAGTATGGAGGGGAAAAGGGCGGGAAGAAGTGGTCGGGATGTCTGGAATATGTACTCTGTTGCAGACTGACGGATCCAATGGGAGATGACAAGGTCACCCGACCAGGGCGGCGACAGACTTTGCCAGGGCGGGACAGCTACATTGCCTTGATTCCCTTGATTGCCTCAACGCGGAGGCACATCACGCAAGGCACCACGCAGCCCCCGCACTTTCCGACGCAAGCATTGGGACACCTGTAGCGTCTTGTGCTGTGTACTGGTACCGGGAGAAGAAGTAGCACAAGGGCAACAGCAGCAGCAGCAGCAGCAGCGCCGCTTCTGCCCGCTTCGAAGTCAGAAGCGGTGAGTGGACTGCATATAGGAAGGGGTGGGAGCAATTTGATCGAATAAGCGAGCAGACAGAGGGATGCCAAGACTCGTAGGCCAAGCAACAGCCGAGTGTCTCGTGGCTCTTTTCTCTTCCGCCACTCGCCGGCGGCTGCAGCTCCAGAGCCCGCTCGCCCTTCTCGCCGATGTTCGACGCTGCATGTCTGTTGATTTCACTTCCGCAAAAAGTCTGGGCAGCGCGGGGCAGGTAGGTTGTCCCGTGGTGGGATCAGGCGAATAGTCAGAGGCAAGACCTGCAAGTGGGAACACAGCAAGGGATAGCCGAAGATCACCGAGATACGCAAAAAGTACCACAATGGCGCTCAAGTGGCGGGAGGGCACGCGGTCACAGGCGCCTGCAAGCTGCACCTTGCGCCTCCTCGCCGGGAAATCCGAGACCAACTCGCTTCGGATCCCTTCTCTAGAGGTCTCGCCCGACCATCCCAAACGACGCTGTGCCAGGCTCCAGGTCCCGTCCCCAATTCAGCACGCCACGTCGGACTCCGCTTTACGCCCCCTCGTGTTTTCTTGGCTCTCCTGTCCTGTCACGGGAGAGAAGGGAGCGTGAGAAACGGGAAGCGAACTGTAGCGAGAGAGAGGGGGGAGAGCGGGGCCTATGGAGGAGTTTTGCAGGTGTACTTACGCACGAATACGGCAATGTCGGTCCGATCCTTAGAGCGCAGGTCGACTGAAGTGCAAAAGTAGGAAAAGGAAGGCACTACTACCAGAGCAACCAGAAAGACAATCCCACACGCATGCTGCCCCTTTGGTCCTCGCCCTGGAGATAGTGGCGGACTCATTACTTGGGAGCTTATCAATGATCGACGAGAAAAAAAAAAGCAACATGGTGCAAGGGACGACAACAGAGCAAGTCAGAGCAGGCGCAAGCGTTAGGCGCAATCGCCAAGACGAGAGGCCGGACGGGCGTCTTCTCTGCTGCGAAGCGGCGGGAGCGATAAGCATCGGCGATCAGCAGGTCCGGCAATCCCTCCACGGACGAGATTCGCTGCAGATGCAGAGGACTGGATCTCGCTGTGGGGGGTGCAAGAGGTAGATGAAATAGACTGGACATTCTCTATCTTCTGTCACGAGCATTGCCCTCGTACACATGGCCTCGCTACAGTATCATACCGTATCAATCACTCTTCTTGCCCTTGGCAACGGCAGGCGCACCGGTCCCGCTCCTCTTGGGCGGAGGAGGGACCTGGCCGGCAGGTTCGCCAGCGTAGGCGAACGAAGCACTTGTGGCGCTGGGCGCAAAGGAAGCACCATTCGCCTCGGGCGTCTTCATAGCGCCGTCGTAGTAATGCACGTGTCGCTGCTGTCCCACCCGCGAGGACGAGGAGACAGAGGCGGCGGAGCTGCCGCTCCTGCTACGCGCTTCGTTGCCCATGGGTGGGGGCGCTAGCGTCGGCGGGAAGGCTTGAGCTGACTGGCCGTAGTGGCCTGCCATTCCATTCTGTTCATACTGCAGGCCGCCTTGCCCAGAGCTGCCATTAGTCTGGCCGTAAGGGTATGGCGGAGGAGGTTGGGGAGCTTGCTGGTTCCATGCAGAGGCTTGGCCACCCCAGATCGGCTGTGCAGCCCCGACGTTACCTCCCGCAGCCCATGCTCCTCCTACGAATTGAGCAGCAGTTCTCCGATCCGTCGAGCCGAAGGCAGAAGAGTAAGCAGGCGACTTTTCGCCTGCGAGACTGCCGTGAATGCTGCGCCCGTGATCGCCTTCATCACCAGAGTCTCGAGGCGCAAATCGCATCACGAGCCGGTAGAGCACGACGGTGGGCAAAAAGATGGGTATCCTCGCCGGAAGGAACGATGACAGGGTAGTCCCAGCCGGGACGCTTTCACTGCCCATAAACTTGTCCGAGGTGCCAGAGATGGGCGTGAGCGTGCTTCCTGCGGAGGCGGATCGTGGCTCCGGCCTAGCAAGGAGGGCTAGCACGACATAGAATGGGTAGACGGCCATAAAGAGGAAGAGATTGAGCAGACCGGAAGGGTGGAAATAGGAAATGATCGTGGGAACAATGCCGAACGCCGTCTGATGGGAGAAGCGGTGTTGCGTCAGTATGATTATCTCTTCAATAGCAATAGTACTGAAGTAGCAACATCACTGAAGTAGCAACATCACTGCTCGCTACTCACCATGTATGCCCACCGGCTTTCAACGTAGCGCAATCTTCGTTCTACCGACCATCCTCGGCTGACCATGACAGGGTCAAAGCAGTAAAATGCATCGACGAAGCTCATCATAAGGAAACAGAGCGTGCTACCGATCCAAGGGATGTGGTCAAGAGCTAGGCCCAATAGCACGTAATTGATGACGACGAAGACCCTAAATGATTCGGAAAGGACGCGGGCTCGAAAGCTATTGGGTTTGCGAGAGGAACCTGAGCCATGAGTATGCGACATGCCAATCGCGGACGACATTGCGTGGCATCAGCACTCACCTGGTCGAAGTCACGCCGCTGATGGCAGCAGAGATGGACATACCTCTGCCATGCTTGAGCTTGGTGGCAGTCTTGGCTACATCTACGGTCCATGAAGAGGCTACAAAGTACGAGATGGCTACCAGAGGGTAGAGCCAAAGAACCTGAATGTAAAGAGAGGTATTTCAAAGGGATTAGTCATCCATCTCAAATGTACCTGGATATGCTTCAAGTCTGAGTACGTACCTCGTCAGTGTCTGCCCAGGTCTGGAAGTAGTGCTCGTTATGCTCATATTCGTCAAAGAAGATTTGGGCAGGGAAGTAAGCCATCTCGAAGAGGAAGATGACGAGGACGACTGCCGATGATAGGCACAGCCCCTTGAGGATCGTCTTGCGGATATGGGGAGAGCCAGACACGACACTCCCCATCTCTCGAAAGCGCAGTGCATCCTTCCAGCCCTGACTCGCCCACGCCCCGTGAATCTTCGCAGTCGGAACAATTCCCGTCGTGCCTAGCAAGGACTCGAAGCCTGCTCCTCCGTCAGCTCTAGAAGGCGTGATAGGTCCAGCAGCAGTCCAAGGGGTAGCATACTGATCTTCTCCCAGCCAGCTGGAGAGGGAGGGGAGGGAGAGACCCTGGAAGTAGCTCTGCTCGATACGACTGCCTGAGGCGCCTTCTACGTCTAGGTTGCTCATGTCGACGGAGGAGAGACCTCGCGTATGGTGGGCCATCGTGGTGGCAGTTTGTTGGTCGTCAAAGGAATGTGTGGGTCGTGGCTGTGCTGTGCGTTGCGTTTCGTTGCGTTATGTAGTCGGAGGCGGACCTCCTATTGTCCGTTGCTGCGAGGCAAGAGAGCAAGCCGATTTGTCTTGCCAATGACTGCAGGCTCACCGCTCTCCGCGCAGCAAGCAGTACTGAATGACTCCTGTCTGCAAATGGTGCTTTCCCTCTCCCAAAGTTAGAAGGCAAGTGAGCCAGCTCAGGGGGCACCAGCAGCAAAGGGGCAATTTGCCTGCGCGTACTCGTGTGACCAGCTGGCAACCCTTGATGTCAGGACACAGGTCGTGCAGCAACGTAAGCAAAGCAGCTCTGTACAGAAGGAGAACCACTCGTGAAGGCTACGAGCTCTGCGGAGGTAAGAGGTGGAACGATGACTGTCTATGCAAGAAAGGAAATGCCGGTTCCCAAGTGCAAAATACAACGAAAGCCAAGAAGCGGAAAGACGTGGCGTGGCGGTGGGCCCGTGCTTTTTTGGAAGAACCAGGAGAACTTCTGCCCGCCAATCCGCCCCGCAACACCGTACAAGAGCCCCTCAATCTCAGTCTCACTTTGGCTCGCCTCACTTGTCCTTCTTGCTCTCGCCTTCTCCCTCGGCCAAGTCTGCCTTTTTGCCAACGACCAGTCCTCCCCTCTTCTTCATCTCCTCGGTGGGCTCAAGCACCTGCCCGAACTCATTCACCCTGCTCTTGTCAACGCCGTAGTGCCACCACTGGTACAGGTAGATGAAGAAGACGACGTCGTCTCGCAGTGTGGCCAAACGATGCATCATCGGCATCTTAGTAATGCCCCATGCAAAGAGGTCGTCGGTAAATGTACCAATGATCTTGTAGATTAGAGTCTTGCCGTTCATTCCTGCAACTGACTTGCTCTTGTAGTTCACGATCAGTTGAGGGATGAGGGCAACGAAGCCGAAGGTGTATACGAAAGACGTAAGAGTTCCAATGGTAAAGCTCCACCAGCCTCGATGAGTTTGGTAGAGGGCAGAGTAGATAGTATAGCCAATCAAGAGAGGGGCGGATCCAGCGGCGACGATCTTGAAGGCCACTCGGTCGAACTCCTTCGTCTCTAGCTCTTCTTTGCTCAAGACGTGCTTGTCTTGGACGTCGAGCCTGTAAGGAATCAAGCTACCAGGAGGCGCTGGCTTGATGTTGACCGTCAAAGCCTTCGTGAGCTTCCAGGACTCAACGGCCACGCCCATGGCCTGAGATCCCAGAATCATCCATGACGTCTCCTCCGACGAGTCAATCAAATACAGGAGAATAATCGTTTGGGTGACAATGGACGTCATGATGGTGCCCACACTGATTCCAGTCAGATTGTCCTTCTTCTTCCAGTAAGAGACTTCAGATGAGAAAGCAAGGAACTCGAAGACCATGTGCAGGATCGTCACCACAACGATGAGCAGGAGATACCAAGGAGACGTGTGCAAGAGGGTGTGCTTGATGATGTCAATCTCACCACCGGCCATACCAGGCTGCTTATCGAAAGAGTCGGTCATCGCTGCCAGCATCTGGAACTTGAACCACGAGGTTGTATCTACCGAAATGTGCAGAGGCAAAGTCGGTGTGGTCGAGTTGATGGGATACATGTCCTCCCTCATGTCCCAAAAGGTATTTGGAAAGACGACTGGGTAGTTGTAGACCACAGATGGGACAGCTCGGCCATTGGAGTCGCGACCATACAGCAGAGGTGTTCCGTGCTCATGATCAGGCACGAGATAGATGTACTGCAGTAAAGCTGGAGGAAGCTGACCTATCGCCAAGCTCGAATGAGAATCTTGCTTGGGGAGGGCGAGGGTAAGATTAGAGTGCCAATAAGAAATCAAACCTTTACCCTCATCGCTCGTAGCATTAGCAGGCGTCGTCACGGCTTCTTCAGCAACGTCTTCTTCTGATGTTGAAGATGCTCCCCCGAGGAGCTTGCGTCCTTCACGATTCTTCCTGGGCGGATGGAGTCGTGTGAGCACTGAAAGAAAGACGATACACGTTCAGCTGACCAATCGCAATATTGCCCTCGGATACACGTCGTACTCACTTTTACGTGTCCTGGCATGTCCGACTGAGTCCCTCACATCAGCTCCAGTTGGTACTGCCACGATGTCTGCCCAGATGGACCCATTGTTTAGCAGGACCTCTTGTGGAGCGTGCAACGTGATTTCCGCGGCCAATTTGATATCAGAGAGCGTGACCTGGTCCGCCTTGAGGATGGGAAAGCTCTCTTGACTCTGCGGCATGACCACTGTAAATCTGCTGGACTGTCCCGAAGTCTCGGCCTCACTGCTCAGCGACGGATAAGCGGCAAAGTCGATCAGACTGTCGAGGGCAGGAAGATCTCCAGAGCTGCCCGGGATCAATGCCGAGTATTGCGTGGCGAGATCTTCGTGTGATGCAGCGGCAGACCAAGACAGGAAGACATAAAAGTCGAGCTCGTCCTGGGGCTTCCAGAGGGGTCGACTAGTGGTGTTCTTCATCACCTGCAGCGAAGGCTGGCCCGGCTGGCTCCCAACGCCGCTCACAGCCTGGGCTACCTGAGAGCCAGCTGCGGCAGCATCGCCCAATTGTCCAGCAGAACTTTGAGCAGGAGCCGTCTCCGGCGGGCCAAGCTTCTGTTTGATCAGCGAGGTAGCCGCATTGACGACGAAGTACATGAGCAGACCCCTAGAGATCGTCTTACCCCAGCCAGGGCCTGCCTCTGCTTGGCCTGCGGATGCGGCATCGCCAGCAGCGGGTGCTGATGCCGACATGAGGGACGACAATGGAGGAGTCTCGGAGGGAGGAGAGCGAAAAAGTGGTCGCAGTGGCTCGCAGACTGTCGATGGATGGCAGGAGGAACGAAGGAACGAGGCAGGAGCGAGATCTCGGCCTTTCTTGGTCGACGGAAGGAAGAGCAAAAGGCCACGAGGCGCCGCACACCCGCCACTCGCACGTCCCACATCCTCGGCTCGGCAAGGCGACGTCGCCGGATTCAGACATCCACCATCCCCGGCCTTGGCGCAGCAGCCTCGGTCATGGCACCGAGCTAGAAGTCATTGAGGTGCATCTTGTCCCTCCTACGATACTTCCCTGTCTGATCTCTTCAAGAGACTGAGTGTCGCACGTCGAGTACGTCTTCATCCTTCAGCAGATTCTCCTTGTCACTCTCAATAGGTCGCACCATGATGCGCGCCACTCTCCTGTCCCTCCTCCTTGGTCTCATGGCGTGCTGTCTTGTGGTCGCGGTGAGTCATGCCAGTCCTCCACCAGCAAAATCCTAGCAAATTCACTGACAACCTGTTGCCTTCTCATCCCACTGATCCGGTTGCATCCAGCATCCTGACCGAGCATCTGCGGCCCTGGTGCGACGGCAGGAGAGCTCATCAAGCTGCGAGGCTTCTGGCTCAGGAAGCTCGAACAACCCGTGTGCTACGTCGGCTAGCCTTACTGGCGGGCCACCGGCTATCGGACCTATTACAGACGTCCTGCCTAGTCAGACCTTGTCTGCCATTACTGGATCCGTTTCCAGCATCCAGTCCAGCGCCACTGGCACTGAGTCAGCAATCACAACAAGTGATACCTCGAGTTCATCGAGCAGCTCAAATAGCTCGTCTAGCTCCATTGCCTCAAGCACCTTGGCCACCTCGGCCACATCGTTGACGAGCACGACTGCGAGCGCCGAGACATCGGCGGCTGCGAGTCATGCTGCTAGTACGCAGGCAATAAGCCGCGTGTCATGGATGAGCGGACTCATGGTTCTGGCTGGGGTCATGGGCGCAACACTGCTTTTGTAGACTCTTTTTAATGCTAGTCTGATCTTCTGAAGGCAGAATGCAATTGGGAAACCCAGCTACCATTGTATGTTTGGATCTCGAGGGAGCGCGTGTGCCTGTGCTTCAGCACAACACGCCTCTATCCGTGATTCAAAGAGCGCCTGTGCCTCGTGTGATGGCTCTCAACAACGTCGGTAATAGACTGTGTCGTGACAATGGTGATTGACGATGCCTACGTCAAAGCTCTGGAGATGGTGATTCTTGTTCTGCCCTCTCCTCTGGGCCTGACCGAGGTGTAAACAACACTTGCCTCGACGCGTGGCTGGAGTGGACAGTGCTCCTCCGCCCGTGTGCATCGTCACTTTTGCCTGTGCGCCTTTCCGTGCGACCCGTTCTCGCGCCTTGGGTGGATGCCTACTCTTCGCTCCCTCCATCCCCCTTCACTCGTATCGTATCCTGCCGCATACCTCCTACTGACGTCGAGAGATATCCTCCAGCCCGTCACTCGGCCCGTCCACCATGGCAGATCAATTTGCCAGGGCGGCTGGCTTTGCTGGAGATGAGACCACCGAAGCTAGCATGATGCCCCCACCCCGCCGACTGCCAGACATGACAGTCGATGACTCACAAGCGACTGGCATGCTCCCTCCACCCCTTCCTCAACAAACCCAAACTCGAGCTCAAAGACTGCCCTCACAAGTACTGCCACCATCAGGGGACCGGGTCGTTTCCCGCGGCAATGTCGAAAACCGAGGCACTGGCAGCGTTGCCGTTGCAAATGGCAAGACAGGATCAATTCGAGTGCCTGCCTCTCGAGTCCCTCTACAACCTTCCAATAGCCAGACTGGTAGTAGCAGCGCAGGCAGTCGCCCGAGCTCAGCTCAAGCTGTGACCGGCCGGAGCTCGCTATCTGGCAGAGGTGCTGATGATGACTATCCTCTGCCAGACGAGGAAGAGGAAGAGGACGGTGATAGCAGCGATGAGCTCTTCGACCGCCCCAATCCCAACATGACAGCTGCCAACGAGACCACAATAGCCTCTGCCGACAATAGCGAGTGGCATAGACATAAGAAGGAGCATCAAGCTACCGCGGGCATTGGCATGAAGAACCTTCAGGCACGGATCGGCGAGCTGACTCAGGAGAGGGAAGACCTCAAGATCGAGGTGGACATTCTGAGGAGAAATTACCGCCCCGATGAAAATATGGCCGAGCTGATCCGCATACGCCAGGAAAACATCAGAGCAACCAAGTTCTCGCAGACCCTCAAGACTATCGGACAGCAGCAGAGCAGCGCCATCAAGCAGCTGAAGAAGGAGGTCAATGCGCTCAAGAAGCAGCAGGCCGGAGGAGGTGATCCGGCAATGGGAAAAAGACTGGCTGAGATGGAGGATGCAGTCACACTCCTGAATCAGCAACGGGAAGACGAGGAAGCCGCAAGGCGAGCGGCCGAGGCCGAGGCTCAAAGACGCAAAGAGGACTTTGAGAAGCTCGAGCAAGAGCACAATGCCTTGTTGGTGAGTAGCCCAATGTGTCAATCTTGAGCGCAGAAATAGACTTTCTGACGATCCCTTTCCCTACTCATGCAGGACAAATTTGACGACGTGGATCGTCAGAGGGAGGACATGGAAGCAGAGGTGTACAAAATGGAAAAGGAGAGAGACGAGGCGATTGAGGAGCGGAGCCGTTGGCAGCAGCAGGCGGAAGATGTTGAGGCTCGGGTAGGAGAGCTCGAGCAGGAGGCGAAGGTGAGTAGAAGCAACGAAGCTAGACATCGAGGCGCAATAGAGACTCAGCCGCCTTTCCGCCTCCTCTTGCCCTAATTACCCGTAGGAACGCGATGAGCATTCCAGTGCGCAGCGTGATCTTGGTCACCAGGAAGATCTTCAGAAGCTCGAAGAGGAGCTCGAGAGCCGCAACGATGAGCTACAGAGGACACAACAGGAGCTACAAGAAGTTCGCGGCCAATTGGAAACCACCATCTCAGAGGCCGCCGTCTTCAAGGGCGAAGTCGAAGCTGAACGTGCCGCTGAAGAGGAAACAGTGAGTTCGAGCCGGAGGGAAGTGAGCTCAGCTGTCTGATGATTCTGACGCTCTCCACTGCATCTATTCTCAGTACAATGAGCTCCGTGATCAGCTGTCAGCTAAGACCAATGAGTTGCTGCAGCTAGAAGAAGAGCATGAGCAGCTGCTTTCAGCTCACAAGGCCGACGAAGAAGAGTTCGCCGATCTCGAGAATAGATTCGATGAACTCCAGCGAATCGTGGAAGAGAAAGAGAAGGAAATCCTGGACTGCAATCAGGATATTGCCCGGCTCAGCGAGACCAATCGCCGCTTGGAAGAAGAGCAGGAGATGAGCATGGCCGATGCTAACGAGGCTGATGCTGTCCGCGCACAAGTCGAAGAGGACATGGAGGCTCAGAAAGAGCACTACGAAATGAAGATGGAAGGTCTCAAAGGCCGACTAGCCGATGCGGCTGCTGAGCTGGCCGATGCTCATGAGCGCATCGGTATCGCTGAAGAAGACGTTGAAGCCCTCAAGGCCAAAGTCGAGCAGTACCGCGAGAGGATGAAAGTGCGTAACCAGGAGCTCGAGGAGGCAGTCTCCACTAATGCCAAACTTGACGAGAAGGTGCAAGATCTTCTCGCAGATCTCAAGGATGAGGAGAGGAATCGTGAGCTCGATGCAAGCGACTGGGAGAAGAGGATGGGCGATCTTGAGGACGATCTGAGACGCGTCATTGACGAAAAGGAGGACGTGAGTATGGCGAAGGTTGCCGAGATTCCTCTTGCTCGCCATTTATTGATTGACCTGGTGTCTCGTCTACCTTGCCGACAGGCCCTCGCTGGAGCGGAAGACGACATCACCTCCCTTCAGCAGACTCTCAAGGATCGCGACGCTGACCTACAAGCACTTCAGAAAGCTCTGAGGGCCAAGGAGTCAGAGGTTGGCCAGACAGACAGGACCTCCTCCGCTGAGCGGCATTCTCTGCAGCTGGAGATTGACCGACTGAGGCGGGACTTGAGCCGATGCGAAGGCGATCTCGCTCGCACTCGCGAAGAGCTGGACAGGAAGGACGAGCTTCTCCGAGAGCGAACGAGTCAGATGAACAAGGTCTACGGCGAGAGCTCCGACAATGCCGCGAAGCTTGCGTCGGAGACGCAGAGGAGGCTCGGCCTGGAGGAGAGGATCGCTACACTCAAGCAGTCCCTCCGCGATACCGAGCAAGCGCTGGACGCAGCCCAAGCTCGAGCAGACGATCTCGAGAGGCAGAGGACGGATGAAGACACCTCTATTGCCCAGATCGAGGGTTCCAGCAAGCGTCAGATCCTTGAGCGCAATCAGCTCTTGGTTCTCGTAGCGCAGCACATGGCCAAGATTCTCTCCAACGACGAGGGCCCACCGGCCTCTCGCAATAAGCTGAAGGATACAGATCCCAAGCCTTCTACAGACTTCGGAGCCTTCCATGGTCTTCTTACTGACCGCATTCGCAAGTTGGCGGAGCTCAAGCTGGCCTTTGAGAGGCGCGCCGCAAAGATGCAAGGCTCCTTCACCGAGTCTTTTGCCAATGTCAAGAAGCAACAAGACTCTCGTGGTCGACAGCTCGAGAGGCTTGAGCACTCTCTGAAGACTGCTGCTGAGAAGCAAGCTCAGTGGCGCTCCAGGGTTGTCGCGAAGCAGAACGAATTGGAATCGGCCAAGGGCACCATCTCAGAGCTGCAATCGCAGATCTCATCCCTCAAGACCCGCTCTTCCCTCGCCTCGCCAGGGGACAACAACAAGCTCACCAGTCTGACTAGTCGGGCAAACCTAGCCGAGAAGAAGATGCAGGGTGCGCTACGAGATGTGCAAATGGCCGAAGAGAGGTTGAGTGAGGCCAAGAGCAAGTATGCAGAGGGGGAGAATAAGTGGATGGCTCGTATTAGGGAGTTGGAAGCGAGGTGCAAGGCTGCTGAGGAGAAGGTCAAGAGGGAGAGACAGGGTGCCAAGGAGCGCGTGGCGGAGCAGCAAGAACAGAGAAGGTGAGTAGTAGCGAGCTGCTCGCGGGGCTGACGAGGGAAACTGCAAAGGCCATCAAGACTGACCATCAATCTTCTACGTCTTCACAGGAAACTCGAGGCAGACGTTGCAGCTGCCAAACAACGGCAGAAGGTCGTCGACGAACTCCAAGCCGAATTGGAGAAGATCGACTAGGCCTCGCCGACGTTTCCGCCTCCCATTTCCGCCTCTTATTTGCCTTCTCTCTGTCTCCTTGCGTCATCTTTCGTCCTTTGATACCCTAGCTGCTTCAAGTCATGCGAGGCTCGTCCATTTTCTGTTCTCAGCATCCAAGCCTGCGTTGCTCTGTTTCTGTCTTTGATTTTCCCTTGTAATATACTGTCGCCTTGTCTCTTTCAATCTGGTATCGACGTAGCGGCTGCTGCCAATGCATTGCATTGCTTGAATCGCGACAAGTCTACGATGGAGCTGTGCTGACTGATCGGTATTGCTGCCGTAGACAAATAGTCCCCCCTCCCCCTCCTACTCCCTCCCGCTCTAGTCATCCTCAAATTCAATCTATAGCAAGCTTGAGCCGCCTCGTAGAGCCAACACGAGCTAAGGGGAGGAGGAGAGGACATTGTAGACGTTGAAATTGTGGTCAGCCTTTCCGCTTGACCTGTGAGGTATCGATCTCTCTCTCTCCTCGCAACTCACATGCAGAACCGATCCTCCCTCCAGTCCAAAGTCAGACACTCCCTTCTCGTCGTGCCTGTAGGTAGTGAAGAGAGCAAGGAGGGAAGCAGTCAGCATGACCCGCCTTTCAAGAGCTTCCCAGGGCAGTCTGGAGCTTCCTTCTGCATGAGGTAAGTTGGCGAGCAGGCTGACTCACATCTGCTTTCCACCAAAGATGAGCCTCTGCTGCGCAGGGGGGATGCCTTCCTTCTCCTCTACTCTCTCCTTGATCCTTGCGACCTATAAGATGAGCCAGCATTGCGGCAGTAGCACAGGAAGGAGCAGAGGTGGTAGGCAGAGGCTATGTCAGTCGTCGTTACAGCTAGGTGAGCTCTCTCATAAGAAGCTCCTACGGGCGGAGGGGCCAATTTACTAACCTTGTCTGTGGGCTCGATGTCCAGGTCGATCTCCCGGCCTGCAGGAAGGGATAGAAGCAGAGGTCAGATGACAATTCTATTGCTGCACTGTAAGCATGTGCTCGAGCTCTCGATGGAGATGACAAGAGGAAGAAGTAGTTGGGTGCCCACTCCGGCACGCATCTCTACTTGTCTTAAGCCCGGCTGCTCCCCTCGATTGTCTTTCCCTATCGCAGCTCACCTGTCAGTGTCTTGACTTTGATCAGCATTGCGGCCCAGAGAATACTGAGGTGAGGATGATAGAGTGGAAATGGTCAAGCGTGATGGTACAAAGGAGCGGTATCAACGTCTTGGAGGAGAGGAAGGTGAGGAAGTGGGATCTGGAGCCATCGCAATCCGACGGGAGTGCGCGATTCCGCCCTGGCGCTTGGACCACCCGCACACCCTCCTCCCTCACCGCGGTACCAACGTCACAGCCTGACAGGCTTGGCTGGTTCTGGACCTGAGCCACAGTCTGAGCCATTTTCGCTCTGCCGCAAGTGTCCCTCAGAGCTCCTCCTTTCTATGAAATCGACTCTCTATGCTATGGACTGTTAGGCTTTGCACGCAATCAAGAGCAGCTTGGACGTGGTCCCCAAGACGAGCTGCTCTCCTCTCTCAGCACAGCTGTATGGGTGTTTGCACCATGCTGTGCATTCAGGCGCTAGCATTCCATCTGGCATTGCTCGCTACAAGACGCAGGCCAGTCTGTTGCGTCGTGTGATGGTCGTCGCCTGCTTGGGAGACGTCGCAGCAGGGATGTCTGCCCAGACGGTATGGTTTCCTCGTGGCCCTTTCCGCCTCCACCTGTCAGAGAGTGTTGCTTGGGTAAGAAGATCTGGTGACTGCACCACCCGCCAATCCCAACTCCTTCTGGGGCCAGGGCCTAGGCTACCCCTGCTCAATGTACCAGCCTTGATCATACCCAAACGTCCAATCCTAGACTACCCCTCCACACTTCCTACTAGCTCACTCACCATGGTCAATGTTCCAAACGTAGCAGTCATCGTTGGCTCCTCAAAGGGCATTGGGTTGCACCTCGCTCGAGCCTACCTTGCCCGTACCGACCTGCAGATCATCTCCCTCTCCCGCTCTCCAGACTCAGCTCGTAAAGCCATTCTGGACACAAAGACCGGCTCTCCTCTCTCGACGGGTGCTCGATCGGATGATAAGAAAATCGGACAGGACGATGCCTCGAAGCTCTCCTCGTTCGACTCTGGCCGCCTGACCAACCTAGAGGTGGACGTGCGCAGTGAAGATTCCATCGCCGAGGCCGCTAAGAGCATCAAGGACAAGTTCGGCGAAGGCTCCCTCAAACTTCTGCTCAATGTCGCCGGCGTCCTCACACCAGAGAAGAATCTGCAGCAAGTGGAGTATGAGGAGTTGATGAACCACTTCAAGATCAATGCCTTCTTCCCACTCTTGTCCTTCAAGCACTTCTCACCCCTGCTGCCCAAGCCTGGCAAGTTCCCTGAAGACGCTCCTTGTCTGTCCCATGGGCTGCTACCAAGGGGTCTGTCGGTCATTGGATCCCTCTCGGCGCGTGTAGGATCCATCACGGACAACCAACGTGGAGGCTGGTACTCCTACCGCGCCTCAAAGGCGGCGCAGAATCAATTCACTCGATCATTTGCCCGAGAACTCGACAATCGAAACTTGAACGCAGCCGCCTTTGCTCTACACCCAGGAACAGTGCGCAGTGAGCTCTCAAAGGACTTTACAGGTGGGCCCGGAGCGTCCAAGGAGTTGGGCAAGGGGGAGTTCGAGCCGGATCAGGCGGCGGCAAACCTCGTAGAGGTGCTCAAGGGGGTGAAGAAAGAGGACAATGGCAAATTCTTTGATTGGGCAGGTAAGGAGGTGCCGTGGTAAAGCAAAGACGCGGGAACTAGAGCATCAAGAGTGAACCGATTGAACTGCAGAACAATAGCACTGAAGAGATCCAACGCATAGCATTACAGTGTCCTCAGCAATCATTATCTGTGAAAAATACCTATGGCTTGCGTGACATGTTGGTATAAGAGAGAAACGACCTAAACGTGACGGGTACGACGGACGCTTCTTCGGAGTAACGGTGGAATACCTGCGAGCCTCATGTCCGAGTCAGATCATCCCACAATTTGCCTATTGAAAGACACGGTAGGTTATCAGCGAGCTATTCATCGAGAAGAAGTCATCTTCAACGCTTGACTTACCTTCAAGCTGCTTCGACCCATCCTCGAGACGATTCCAGGAATGAGCCGTCTCTCCAAAGTTGGAGAGCTCAAAAACTCTACATCGTCTGTCGAAGCCAGCCATTCCATACCCAGCAAAGGAAGATCCGCCGCCAAAACACGTCCAGATTTGTTGACCGTCCTTTTCTATGCGTTCACAATCCGCATTGTTGTGCATATGTCCGCTCACCACCAACCTCACGTCCCTTTGACCTTGCAGTCCTTGTCTCAGTAGAGCATCGAAGAAGCCCCTCTTTCCTTGGGCTCCTGCAACTCCTGAAGTCTCCTTTCGATCGGATCCAAATTTGACAGTCGAGGCACTTGTGTCGAAGAATTCAGCAAGAGGGATGTGCACAAAGGTGATAGCATTGGGCTTGGCCAGGAGAGCGCCTTGGGCAGATCCTGCATCCCAAGTCGGGTTGGAGTCGCCATCACGTTGGATCTTGTCTGAGGCTTCACGTTCGCTTGACCAATTTTGGGCCGGCAAGTCTACCCCTCCATCAGGCTTATACGGACGGAGAATCTTCTTCATCTTGTTGCTCTGCGTGACAAACCAGTCGATCTGGTCTTGTAGAATCGAGTCGTAGGCCTTATGGATGCCCCAGTTCAGCCTAGTCTCGGTGTCCCCTGAGTCCAAGAAGTAGAGATTGAACACATTTGTGCGGTCCGGTGTAGGTGAGAGCAGCTTGATGTAGTAGTTACCTGCTCCGACGCCATTGTGTAGCTGAGCTGGTCCAACCCTTGCCAAGGAGTATGGCAGACGAGTGAAGAGCTGTTGTATCTCCGGCCGGCTCAAAGGACCCGACTGAGAATCATGGTTGCCCAAGATTGCCGCCCACTGGATCTTCCGCTCGATGACCGGCTGAAAGACCTTGGGCGCAGTCGACTTGGGATCCCATGAGCTGCCCTGGCCGTTGAGCTGATCGCCAGTGAAGACCACCAGGTCCGGCTTCTCAGCATCGAGCCAGCGACCGATGAGAGCCACGGTATCGTTGACGCTGCTACATGGGCGCTTGGGCGTCTCCCAGAGCACGTCTCGACAAGGCTCGTCCTCGACACTGAAATGCAGATCTGCTAATTGGAGGATCTTGAAGGTGCCATCGGGCCGAAACATTGGCTGTGCATCGACTTGTGTACTCGGCAAAGGTGTCCGCCTCGCATTCAGGAACGTCGAAGGGTATCCCAAGGCCCGGAAAGCAGGCATGACTTCGCCAACGACGTAGAAGCCGGGCCACGGAACGTTGTGGGAGCCATACTGCCGTTGCAATTACGCAAAAATGGGTCAGAAAGCCAGTCCTCACCGGCAAGCTCTTTGCAAGTCGACTCACCATGATATCGAGCTCAGTGATGGGCTCCAACGCCGCCTGCTGTCTCTCCCAGTCGGCATCACGCGTGCTTGGGCTTCCTGCTGCTCCTCCCATTGAATCCACCTTGTAATAAAGATGCAGACCCTTTTTGCCGCCCCAAAGCCTCATGTAAGGGGACCTCATATCAGTCTTGACCCTGAACCAGCCAGCTTCTGTCCCTCCATTGGGCGGATCCTGTCCTGTCTCGACCACCCTCAGATCTACTACTCTCGGAACATTGAGCCTCCGGCTTCGCCGGTAGAAGACGTAGCGGGTATCAATGGCCCCCCATAGCTTCTTGAGCGCTCCACCAATACCCTTCTCACTCCAGCCAAGACTCTGTGCGGCCTCTGAGTCCAGCGGACGCGGGACAAGGACCCATTTGCCCAGTAGGGCATCCTCTTCGGGGGTGGAGGGAGGCTTGCACGTGCTCAACCGGACCGGTGAGCAGTCCTGAATTGTCACCTCGGTCAGAGGAGCCGGATTGGGCAGCAAGGGTGCATACACATCCAGCGGATACGCAGGGCCGTCTGCCAGAGCTCCGTTTGCGCCGGCCGCGTTGCTGGCCTCGTCTTGCTGCGATGATGAGGAGCCTACCGCCGGTGTATCATCGAGGCTAGTGGCTGAGGAGGCAGACGATGTGGAAGGGAACCCCAGATTAGCGAATTCTTGCCAGCCGACGAGGCCAGCCCCAGTCGGGAGCCTGTCTCTGGATAGTGTGAAGAAGTTAATGGAGAGGAGGAACACGAGACCAGCCCAAGTCAGCAGGAAGACCACTGGCGGCCGTTTGCAGCGCCAAATGCGCCGCGGCCTCTTCCGCGGATGCAACCGGTCGAGATTCTCGTGGTCGTCGTCCTCCCGATATGTGGGATGGTAGCGCCTCATGAAGGGCGAGAGGGGCTTGCGGTAATGAGCAAGTGGGGCAAGAAAGACAGAGGAAGAGTGTAGGTTGGAATGGACGCGCGAAGAATTGAATCCATCCGAACGAGGGCTCGGCCGGAATTCAAGGGGCTATCGGTAAGGAGAAGAGATTGCCGGAAGCCGAAGCGGCCGAGGCAGTCTTGGCTCAGGTTCTACCGATCTGGCGTGAAGCTCCAAGGCGACGGCACAGCAGCGCCCACGGGGTCTACGCTGTTCCCCGGAGGCCGGATCGGCGGAGTGATCGGGTCGAGAGAGGAGGTCCTTCCCATGCGCCTTAACAGGCTGCTGTTCCGCTAGCCGAGCAACACCGTGAGAGCGAGCAACATGCAGCTAATCAGACGTCTGAGAAGGCCGAGGAAGACACTTCTGTCGTACCGCACTAGTCTCTCACGCTGTCCTGTCCAGATCTTGATTCCCATGCACGGAGCGACGTCAACTGCCGCCGGCCCGATCGCGATTCTCATCTAGCATCTCGCTACCGGAGCCCAGCGCAGGTGGGTCGGCAAAACTCCGTGGGTCGATCAGCTGCTGCCTGCTTGCCTGCCCAGCTAGCCTTGGCTCTCTGCCGCTTGCGTCGCAGGAGCTGTTTTCCCCTTTTGAGCTGATGTTGAATACATTTCCAGAATCACCTTGCAAAGTTCGCTACTCATCCCAATTCCAACTCGATGTCATGCGAGCGCTAAGAGTGGGCAGCAGGCTCGGATACTGCGTGCCACAGCGCCATTGATAGGCCGGGTCGTCGGCAGGCCGTCCATCTACCTCAGACGAGCTCTCTCTTCTCCACTCCATCTTATGCCACTCTTCCCTACGTCTCAGGCTTGAGAGACCAGCTCTTGCAGCCTCAATCGCCCCATCACAGTAGCAACGCTTGAGTCTTCGCCCTGCCCTTCCCTGATTCCACCCCAGGCCTATTCGTCACGTCGAGCCCAATATGCAGGTCACATCAGGCTGTCTCGATCGTCGCTAATGGTCAACAAAGCTTTACTTGTGTATGCTTCGCCTCACGGACACTACCGGTCTCGCCAGTGTCTTTGGTATATCGACCGTCGTGATGGGCTTCCGAGGCAAGGGCCCGTAACCACTGCCCGACGGCGGCCCGGATCTTCGTGTCAGGCCTAGAGGGGCCTACCGTCCTCGACGACGATGATCCGCTGCGCGAGAGGAGGCGACGCTATCTGGAACACAAGGACGGCAAGGTAGGGCTACGACTTATATTGCTATGAGTGATATGAGGGAGACTGGTGTAATATGACAGATGAGGAGGAGGAGGAGGAAGCGCAGGCTCAGAGATGAGGGTAAAGTAGGGGATGGGTGCATTTACAAGGTGCGTATGTACTATAAGAATGTGGCGTGATGGATGATGGAGGAAGACATCGAACTTTTGCTGGCCATCAGAGCATGTCGTATGTCGATCCACAACGGCAGAACAGCATCTCTATCGTATAGGCAGGATCTTCTAATGCTGCCTGGACCTCTCTCGATGAGCCCACTCTGCTGCCCGGTCCCGGCCCATGGCCGCATCGGCTTCTCTGCCCCTCTCGCCATCGTCCCTCGAGCTGCTGTCTGGGTACATTGCTCTAGGGTCCTCATCCATGAGACGAGACTGTCCACTCAGGGCCATTGCAATGGGAGGGAGGCGGTAGCCTCCATCAGCGCTGCCTTCCCTCTCCTCTTTGGGATGGGGACCGGCAGGTGAGTGAGGATGGAAGGGCCTGTTCCTTGCGTCCTGGTGTTGGACGGGGGCAGCATGCTGAGGTTGGGGAGAAGGTCGCGAACCTGGCTGATGGCCCAGGTCGTGCCTTCCGTCCCTCGATGGGCTGCGACGCTGGTAAGGGTACGGAGCCGCGCGGGCACTATGACCATCACTGTGCGACTGCTGGTGATGATAATGCTGCTGCTGCTGCTGGCCCTCATACCGCTCACGAGAAGGCTCCTCAGCTGCTCTGGGGTAGAATGCTCCAGGGTTGGGAGAGGTCGAAGCGGCGCGATAGCCCTCGGGGTGGTACATGTAGCGTGTGTCTGGCATCGATGCCGAAGCAACCGAGGACGGAGCGTAAGGAGCGAGGTAGCCCTGGCGAGGAGCTAAATAGGCACCGCGTTCCGCATTATGCGGTGCTCCGTCGTAGCTCCTTGGCTGGTGGTGATGGCCAGGACCAATCGAGCGATGCGCATCGGAACTGTGTGAGAGGGGAAGATGGATGGCAGGTTAGCATACACTTGCTGCTGAGTCTAATCTCGTTCTGTTATCCAGCGGACGGCGGATCACTTACTTCGGAGGCGGTGGACCAGGATGCCATTGCTGAGGAGGCGGTGATGTTCGGTATGAGCCGTAGGAGTGGTGACCACGCTGGTCGACTCCCGGATAGCCGCGGTCGTACATCTCTGGGTAGCTCTGGCCAGGCGGCGGCGCCGGACGACCATCGTAGCCCATCGGAGGCTGAGGCTGGGGAGCTCTGAAGGCATGGGGGTTGTAGCGAGACGCCATCATGATATGCTCGGTTGGCAGAGCTCCACCCAATTGCGAAGGATGGATCATGTGCTGCCTGCGGTTCTTCCTCGCTCTGGGCTTGATTACATCCGTCTTCAGGCTATGCGGTCTTGGTCTTCCCTTCACCTTGGCGAACAAGCCGCAAGCATTGCATAGGAGCCCTCCATGGCCATCTCTCCTCCACAGAGGTGTGGTCCTAGTCGAACAATTGCTGCAGATAGGCCCAGTACCATCGTCTGGCTGAGAGTTGCTGGCAGGACCGGTAGGGGCAGTGCTGGCTGTGTCTGCGTCCCCGGTGCCATCCATGCTGGCAGACTGGGATCCATCAGGGGAAGGTACCGATATGCCGCTGCCATCCCCTTCCTCCGAAGAGCGCGATGGAGCTTGCGGGCGACTTCTGCTGGGATCTGCCAGGCGCTGCTGATACGCGCTGTCCCCTTCACTGCGGTTTCCCGACGGGGAAGGCGGCTGTCCTTGCATTTGCTGTTGCTGTTGCTGCCACGCAGCTGATGAGGGCGACCATGAGCGGTTGAGAGCGAAGGATCGTGGGTCTGAGCTTGTACTTGCATCAGCTCGCGGGCTAGCGCGCTCCGTGCTCAGATCATCGGACCGTTCTGCTTTGGGAGCGTAGCCTCCGTAGATGGCTACTGGAGTGTAGGGAGCCCTTTCGTGTTCAGCGTCTGGCTGACTCCGACGCCGCGAGGCGCCATTGAGAGCGAGAAGTGAAGCTAGGGATGGTAGGGTGGGGGCATCGCTTCGAGCGGCGTGGGAGGAATTCATTGCAGCAAGGCGCTGTTCCGGAGGATACGAGGATGATGAGGACTCTGCATCGGTAGAGGATCCAGAAGCTTGAGCTATGTCCTTCCACTGTGGCAGCCGAGGCTGCTCGTCGCCGCTCATGTAGGTGTAGTGGTTGAGCGGGATGGAAGGAGGGGTTGTGAAGGAAGGCTAAGTATGGATCGTCGTCGTCTACTTGACTGCCTTCATCCAGAGCGTCAATGGGAGAGGTCGAGCCAGCAGTGGTCTACTGATTGCAGGGGTGATGCTGGAAGTGGGGTAGCAAAGAGTGTAGAGGGATCAGTGGTGGTTCGAGGAGGGCTTACGTTGGGCTCTCAGGGGAAGGTCCTTGATGGGACATGCTGGTGATGGGTACGCTGATGCGATGGGACAGGAAGAAACACTTCCTGCAGCTCCCTTGCATTTGGTCGCTTGCTGGGCATTGCAGCAGCTCGCTTCTGCCTCCGTGTTCTTCCACTTCTCCCCGTCACCATCACCAGCCTGGTCCTCCTGATTTCCGCCCAGCCCGGGCTGCGTACCTTTGCTCTGAATCTGCCAATCGTAATCTTCTTTGGCTCAAGAGCAAACCTCATGGGACCGAGCCAAGGGGTCTTTGTCCTTCATTTACAAGCGTCGGCCATCAGGGCAGAAGCGAACCAGGGCGGGCGGATACAGGGCCGAGGTCGGGCGATCACCCCGGCCCTGAATCTGACTGCCACTAGTTTTCCGTCGCACTGACCTCGCTCCCATCACATGCGCACTGCAGCTACTCACTGATTGACTAGCCCTTGACGGCCCGTTTGTGTTGCCCGGCGTGGTAGCTGAGCACAATTAAGGAGGTCAACAAAGCGATTGGATGCCGTGGCTACCTTGGTAGAAGGAACGATGAAGGTGCGGTGATGCAATCTGGTGCTTCCCCGGTAAGATGAATCGAGTACGGGGATCGGGGCAAGATAGAGGGGGAGATAGACCAAAGAGAACAAGGGGGAAAAGGGAGTTGCAATGAACGAAGGAGCAAATAAGGGAAAATCGACTATGCCTCGGGACACAGGCGCATAGGGGAGATGACGCTGCCGCCGCCGGGGAGCAAGATTGTGGCTGCTGAGTGATGGCGTGGCGTGGCTGTGATCAGCGGGCAATCGAGGAGCTGTTTGAGATCCTGGAGTTGATAGAGTGAAGTGGACGGGCAGATTGCCAGTGAGTACGGGATATGGGCCGAGGAACAAGGCGATGTATGTGATGGTGAGGAGGGAAGAAGAGGCAGGCCGAAGGACAAAGTATGGGCCGCAAACTTCGGGACTGGAGAGGTGGGGGGGGCGGGAGAAGCGTGGAGGAGCCAAGGAGAGCCTGAGATGCGAAGAGGGGGCGTTGAGAAAAGCGGAACAGATGGGTTTGATGCTGAAGTCCGAAGGAAGCTAATCGTGGGCCCTTGGGAAGGTGGGCGCCGCGGCTCTTCACCAGGTAATTCCATCCCGAGGGTAGCTCCGAGCCATGTGTACCATTGCCTCAGGCTCATCCTTGGTCGTGCCGAGGCGGGAAGAATGACGGCCCAGGACAGCCACAGTTGGGCGCCTGGCTGCTGCTGTGCCCTGACGTCGCCTGGCGGACAAGATTTGATTCGCAAGCGAGCTAACCGCAACTGCCGTGCAGCCGGAGGAGCCGGCGGGGCAATCAGGCCAAGGCTGACTTTGCAGATGGAATCTCCGGAAGGCCAAGGCAGGCCACACCATCGTCGAGGCACCAGACCCGACGGACAAGAGGGGGCGCAACCCCCACCTCCGCTGCTGATCTTCACCTTGCTCCAAGTGCCGCTGCCGTCGGCCAGAGGCGCCAGTGGATGCACTGTGCCCTAACTGGAACACCCTTACGAAATGCATGCAAGCACACATCCACGGGAGCAAGTTTATTCATGACAGCGCACGATCGAGATTGCCGGTAATTTACTGTCTGATCAGAGTCAATCATGCGCACAGCAGGGTAAGCCTGGACGACTCCTTGAAACTATTGGCTCCTCTCCTCCTTCTAAAGCAGCCGGGTGGACCCGGGGCAAAGGCGGGAAGGACAGGAACGCATGCCAAGCGAGGATATGATGCCAATCGATCTTGCTCGGCAGGGAGCAGACGATGATTGCTCGCTTGGCAACGCGGGTCTTTTTTCCGGTTTAAGGCTCCGGAAGATTGACGTCTCTCCCGCCTTTGATCTCGACCAGGCAGTCGTCTCGCACGAGTGGCATTGCAGTGTGACTGCAGAGCTGCGCTTCTTCCTCCCGGCCGACAGTCAACCGAATTGTAACCGAATTGTAACGGAGAAGAATACCATGACGGTGCATGTACCCTCTCATGGCTAGTGTTTGCCCCCTTGTTTCCCGCGTCTGGTGCCCCAAAGGGGACAGTAGATACTGCTCCTGTCTCACAAACCCCGCCCGCCCTGAGCGGCTTTGAGCGGGAAAAGACGGCACAAAAAGGTCGCCACATCCCGTAGTCTCTGGGCCAGTAGCATCTCAGCTGCTACATCCTTTCGAGTCTTGCCGCTGCTCAACGGGCTTCTGTGACGCGTCGTCGCGCCCTGCTGATTGGGCTCCGGGAAATTCGTCTGCAAGATTGCAGCGTCGACGAGGCGAGAATGCAGCCGATCAAGGTCTCTGCTGCGCCACGCAATTTTTCTCGCACGTAGTTCCGCACCCCCCTCAGGACACTCAGAAGGCAATCTCCCCCATACCTCCCCATACCTCCTCGGAGCCCATGGTCAACTTTCCTCCATACTCCGTCTGAGTCGCTCGGACCCTCCAGGTGCATAATGTAAGGTGGGGGCGAATACCGGACAAAGGGCGTCACAAGATGAGCTGATAGTGTCCGTGGCTTCTGCTGATGATCGGCTGGCTTCACAGCCCCGTCGGGCCTTGGCCGAAGAATGACACCCCTCGGCAAGTCTCTAGTCTGGTTGAAGAATGAAGCGCCGCCACCACCTGCCCCCGTTACCGTCAGCCGTCTCTGCTCTTCTCTACTAGTGAGTCCTGGAGCCCAACTTTTCTTCTTGGCGCTGCTGATACGGCAAGCGGAGCCTCGAGCTGAGATGAAGGGTGATGTCTTTCCATGTTCGCCCCGGCATGGCGGGAATTCACCTGTCGTCACTTTTGATCGACTATCACGCGGGCCGACGTCCTCTATCAAGACTCCGAATTCCAAAAACAGTCTCCTGTCTCTCTTTTGCCACGGATTGGCCCTACTGATTGACCTCCCGCCGGGCCGATCACTTCGGCGGTGTGATCATGTGCCTGTCCCAAGTCTATCAATGGCGTATCAGACGCCCCCCTCTTTTTTCTCTTTTTCGGCTGCCGAATCTGCCCGAGAGGCCAGACTCGGCCGGGGCGCAAAGCGGACTTGTGACACCCCCCCCCCCCCCCCCCCCCCCCCCCCCCCCCCCCCCCCCCCCCCCCCCCCCCCCCCCCCCCCCCCCCCCCCCCCCCCCCCCCCCCCCACCTCGGCCAGCACCTTCTTCGGTGCTCTCCCGCTTCCCGCCACCACTCCTGACGCCCTCTCGGACATTCCGTCCTACCAGACGATACGAGGTGGAGATACAGACACAATCAAGCCGGCGTAAAGGTGTGCAGAATCTGATCGGTCAAGGACGGGAGGAGCGCGCTAGTACAGAAGGTTGGTTGTGGAGTTGAGAGCCCGACCGACCCATGTCGGGGCTGTACCGTCAGTCGGCCGAGGCAGAGATTCGGCTTCCTCTGTCGGTAATGAGCCGACGCAGGGTACAATTTTCTAGCATTGCCCGCTGTACAAGGTAAGCAATTTGGCCCAGCCGGGCACTTGTACCAGTGATACATTCCCATGTGAATCCATGTGAATCGATGCAGATCGGGGGCGGTGGGGGAAGCTGCCGAATGTGGGATCTCTATTGGCGTGGGAAGAGGATCGCCAGAGTTAGCGAGCGCACCGCGGATCTGACACGTTTGCAAGGTCAGGGATTTCCGAAAGTATGAGCTCCGCAGGGAACAGATCCGAGGGTACGAGCTTCAAGGAGTAGCTCCGAAGACCTACATCACTTTGGATTCGAACATCTCCGAGTCGCGGCGTAAGGAGAGCTTCACAGCATACTAGGTTCAGCATCAGCTACGTACTCGGCCGGCTGGGCGCGAGTTTGCCGGCGTGCCACAGCAGGAAGATCTCCGAAAAGTGGCGAGGATCGACGATAGATCCGCCCTTGGCACAAGCGAGATTTCATACATACCAAGGGCAGGAGTTGATGACGACGGTGTGGGAATGACACTCGAGCACGGCATCGGACTTTTAGCATCAGCCGATCAATGCCAGACCAAGAAGCCGATGAATCAAGCGTAGTGATGCGTACGTGCTATCGAATGAGAGGAAGATGGGCCTGGAGGAAGTTCACAGCGCGTCAGGTTGGGAAAGACGCTTGGGAAGACCTGAATGTGATTAGAGTACAATGTACGAGGCCCAAGGCCGGAACGCAAGCTGAGACACAAAGGTGGGAACATCACGGAAAGACCTCATCGGCCAGATCGATAGCACTCAGCGCATCGCACCGCACCGTCCTCTTCCCTCACCTTGGCAAAGCTGTCCAATTGCTTCCCGCACTCTCCTGCTCCTCCTCGAGCCGTAGCTCGTGCCCCTATGGCACTGCTGCCAGAGGAGCTAGCAGCCATCGATCCGCGACAGACGAGACACTTGCGATGCCAGTGCGAGCCGGCTGGACCTGGTACGCTCTCCAGTGCAGTAAGACGGCCAGTACAGCCGGCACAGCTGAGCATACCGCCGTACCGCGAGACTGGGGAGGCGATCTTGCTGGGCGAGCCGGGCGTTGTGTTTGCGGCTTCGACTGAAGGCAGACCTTGACGTAGCAGAGCACCTGCAGTAGGGACTCCAGCACCATCGAGTCCGGATCGGATGGGGCTCCTGCTCCTTGGTGCGGGAAAAGTGCGCGATGGAGACGCACTGGAAGAGGCGAACATCCCAGCTGCGGGATTCATAGCAGCATTGGGTTGATGACCATTGAGCAGGGTCCGTGTGGGGGGTGCTGCACCGCTCGTGGCTTTGAAACGCTTGCTGGCCTCACTCAGAGCCAGTACCGGTCTGACCTCGACTGACTTGCCCGCTGCTAGTCGTCTAGCGTCTCGTGCTCGAGCTTCCAACTCCTGTGCTTCCTGAAGTCTCTTTTGTTCCGCTTGGTACGAGTCGGCTCGTCTGATAAAGGAGTGCACGGCAATGTGCTTGCGCTCAGTCTCTGTCGCGCTCGGACGAGGCAGGCTCCGAAGAGTAGGGTGCTGATGATGCGGGGATGAGGTGTCATCAATCGTCGCGGTCGTCTTGCGAACCGCGGCCGCCTCAATCAAACGAGGTACGAGCCTTGCAGGAGGTGCACAAGCTGGATGCGCAAAGAGGGGCAGGATGTACGCACTAGACCTGTCCGAATGGTAATCTAGTCTCACGAAAGCCCTCCCACCATCGATGACTGCTTTGCAGACGTCGCAGCGAAAGCAGGCCGCGTGAAGGCAAAGCGGTCCATCAAGATGTGCTTTGCTGCCCGGAAGCGTGACCATAGTAGCTTCTTGCCCGTTAGTGCCGATTGCCTCTACGCTGGGACCCTCGAAGGGACCTTTGCCGCACGCCGCACAACTGATGCCGTTAGAACTGGACGGAGGCTCCGCGAGGCGATCGTCACTGCACTCAGAACGCACTGGAGCCTTCGCCTGTTCCGTAGAGATGGGCGAGACAGTTTGAGTAGCCTTGTTTCCCATCTGAGACGTCCGCAAAGGACTGACGGCGCTCGTCTGCTGCTCTGCTTCTCTACGATTGCGCGGTAGTGGGAAGCCACTGCTCGTGTGCGTCTTAATCGGGGATGTTGTTGCTGCAGTCTGAGCCAAGTCCTTTGATGGACTGAGACTGCGACTTCTTGACGGTATTTCAGCAGGAGGCTGAGCGCTCGACTGTCGAACAGGACTTCGACTCAACGCTCTGACGATCGGAGGAGGTACCTGTTGCTGCTTGATCTGTTCTGAGCGGCCCCTGTGGCTTCCGAACTTCTGCGAGAGCTCGGCAATAGTAGCTGTCATTCTGGTGTCTCCCCTCTTCGTAGGTGTCCCCACACTTCTCTCGAGGCCGAAAGGGAACTCGCCCTCGGCGCCATGACGCATGGTCGTGCCCAAGCTGGGGCTGAAAGCCGTCGCAGCTGCCATAGAACCCGAAGCATGGCTCCTTCCTACCACTTCCCTTCGACGAGGAGCAGCTCCAAAGCAGCCTTCGCAGGAGGGTCGTCCTTCCATGTCCAGCATGATGTCCGTCCCATCTCCACCAGGCAGCTGACCTCCACCAGCATCGCAACTATGACATCGGAAACAGGTGCCATGATACAATCTACCGCCTCCTGCCTTTACGTAAGTTCCGCTCTCCTTGGTGCTTCCCAACACGGGCTTCTGGCAGATTGAACGGGCGCATACACCCAGGGCGTAGCGCTCTGTGTAGCAGCTCTTGCAGTAGAAGCTCTGATTTGTGGCTCCTTGTTGTACGGCACTAGCGGGGGGGACGTATACGGTACTGTCCCTGGCGAAGACGAGGTTACAGTCCGAGCAGGCCCACTTGTTGCGCGATGAGGCTGGCTCGATGACCGAGCCGCATACCTTGGACAAGAGTCCCCCAGAAGCGTGTTGTAGGAGTGGCTGCGAAGGACTATGTGCCATGTGAGCATGTCTGGGTTTCAGGGCTGGCAGACTGCCGATAGATTCATCGCCTTCGAGGCTCTCTGCACTGCCTGAGAGCGAATGGGGTGTAGCCCCTGTGCGTGCAGGGAGAGGACTGCGCTGAGGCGAGCTCGATCCTGGCGGGCTGACGAGCGAGCTCAATTTGAGGTCTCGAGAGATCGAGCTGGGCATTCCGACCCCGAGTGAGTAGGCGGTAGACGACGTGGGGTTGCGAGAGGAGCGCATCCACCTCTCCTCCTGTGCTTCGATAGTAGGCTGCGTCTCATCTCCTTCGTCCTCCTCCCCTCCTCCTGTCATATCGTTCGCAGCTTGTATCCCCGAAGCGTACCTCGAGACCCAGGGGTCTGCTTTACGATTTGAGAGCACAGTCATACCAGAGAGGGCGGAGACTTCACCTCGAGAACCACAGCGGCGACATCTTGCCCCCAGAGAGAGAGCCTCCCCGCATGTGCGACAGTAGCGGACAGAGGAGGAGCCAGAGGACGGAGAGGACAAGGCTGCTGTGGCCATGTGGTGTGATATGGCGTGATGGTATAGGTGCAATCAGGCCCTCGCAGTGGAATGGTAGGAGGGATGGTGTGAATGGTGAGGAAGAGAGCGTGGAGGCGTAGAAGGTCATGCAACGGCGTCGTTGCTGCTGCGCCCCTGTGTCCCGCCAAACAAACGCGGAAAGGGGCAAATTCTCAATGTGCCGCACAGACCACGCCCACAGGCAAAGAAGCGCAGGAATGTTTCGGTAGGCGGTCCGGACATCGATCGCAGGCAGTGACTCGATGTCATTGATGTCATGACCATCCTACCGCTTCGGACAGACCCCTGACATCGGACACTCCTTCCAATCGGAGGCCGCCACGCCTCGATTCACTTTTGTCTTCATGGCCTTTGGCGCCTCCACTCCGGCTTAGGAGGACCCCGACACTCAATCCCTTCTCCTTTGCGCCCATCAGCGTCTTCTCGATCTCGCCAGCCCTCGACCCAGCGGAAGTCCTTTCGGAGATGTAAAGCACGTAGAGGGCATCGTAGCCGCCAGCTCCCGGCACTCCACCTCCTACGACACCTTCCACTGTCTCAATGACCCCTTGGATGAGACGACCCATCTCGTCAGGCTCGATGGGAGCTCCACTTAGCTTGCCCAGCTCGCGCATACCTGCACGAATGGAGCGCAAGGCGTTGCGAGCTGATACGAGGTGCGTCATGGGATCTTCCGGATCATCCATAGCGGTCGGAGCGGGCCACTATTGTACGGATGAACAAGGATGAAGCAGATCAGTAGCTATGCATCGAGTGTTGCGCTGCTCTGTCCACAACTCACAGCTTTAGACCTTAGCCCGGCCGCCTTGTCTAGGGCTTCATGATACCGGCTCGCGTCAGTATCATGCGCTATTTTAAGGCTGAGCAGCGCATCTGCTAGACTCTGGTTGGACGTCGCGAGCACATTGTAGAGCTGCTTGGCCCACTCGGGCTTCTTCTTTCTCCACTCCATCACCTTGCCGACTAGACTGGGGGTATTCGAGCCGGCGTCTACGTCTGCCAATAGCATCTCGATGCGAGGGGGCAGCTCAAGAGGAGCCGGACGGGGTATACTTGAAACGGATGCGTTGTTGCCATTGCCGAGGCTAGACGGGGCATAGTGCAGTCCCTCGTAGGCTGTTGGATGAGAGCCATCCGCCTTGGTCGAGCCTGACGAACCTTCTGCTGCTGACAAAGGGGACGGCTTCCAGAGCACATGCCGAGGGTTCAAATGAGAAAGCAGGTCAGGTATGGCGCGGAGGTCCGTAGGCTGAGCGACACAAGAGATGAAAGAGGTGTCTTCAGTCGTCGTCTCTCTGATCGCAGCATCTACACGGCGCGGCCGACTCACCTCGCCCCCTTCCACGCCGATAGCTGGGACCTCCTGCAGCAGTGCCTCTAATGCCAATGGGTCGAATCTTCTGAAGATCTGGCTACCCCAGACCGCCGAACTGACATCGAAGCCACTTCCAACTTTCCCCTGTGCTGCGCAGTGAGCCAGCTGAGCTGCATTGTGAAGCAGAGCAAGATCCTCGTCGGAAAGGTCTCGGCTCACTACTCCGAGGTGAATGAGGAGAGCGGATACCAGGGACGTGGTAAGGGCTGCAGAGGAGCCCAGGCCCGTCTTGTGAACTTTCGAAATGGGACAGTGAAGGTGATTGAAGGGTGCGAGGCTTTTGAGATATTCCGACGTGGGAGGCATGGCCTGATCGAAGGCGTCAAAGACTTAGATGTCAGTACCGGGAAGAGGCCGGGATGCGTCAAGCCGTCTTGTACTCACTTCTTTTCGCTGAGAGTAGAAGTCATTGTCAGCTAAGACATGGATGTCTAAGCCACTCCCTAGTGAGGTCTTGAGCTCTTCCTGAGACTTGTGCTGAAATGCTAGAGCTAGGCAGTAAACGATGGAAAGGCACAGGAAAGGTGATCGGCCTGCATTGGGACTCTCTGCTGAGGTTTTGCTAAGAGTGATGGTTGCTTGTGTCACATCTAAGGAGAACGCCCAGATCGCTTCCTCGAACTGAGGGCTGCGTATTGTGATGGGGACGACAGAAGGTGAGGTCGATGCGCTTGACTCCTGCTGAGAACCAGGGGCCACGAGAGAGTAGAAGCGCGAGTCGGTGCCTACCACGAGGCCTGGGTATGCTGGGGAGAGGACAAGGTAGCCGCCTGCCAGGAGCACCTTGCCGGGCGAGGATGCGAGGGTATAGCTGGAGGAAGCTGGCGTCGTCATCCTTGCTGCTTGTGCGACAGCGGTGTGCGAGTAGCAGGGGTGATGGTGTCGAGGAGCAGCGGTGGTGAGGCGGGGTAAAGTCTTGGTGGCTGAGGATGCGCAAGGCGGAAGCAACTGCGACACGAAGGACTGACCACAGAAGCGAGGCGGCGAGGTGCGGCTACGCCCAAGGCAAAGGCAGACACTGACTGACACCTCGGCGCTACCTATCACCCCGCCCCACTCCTCTACCGCCTGCCCGCCAGCGCACCTGTGCTCCCAGACATCGTCCTTGCTTCGTCTCTCACCCGTATCTCCTCCCGCTCCCCCACCTCCTCGTTGCGGCACCTTCCATGAGCAAGTTCAGGATCAAACTCAAGCTACACCCTTCCGAGGAAGCCGGCAACAACCCACCACTGTCTGCTGCTTCCACCTCACAAGCAACCCAACCCCACGCAGCCGACGAAACTGGGGAGGCAACGTCGGACGCGGGCGGGGCAGACGTCAGCATGGCAACATCCAGTCAGTACCATGTTGCTACGAACAGCATACAGATTGCAAGCCTTCTGACGCTCCTCACATTCACGTACCTCACTTCCCCCTCACAGATGCAGCAGATTCGGAAGACGAGCTGGCCTCCGAGGATGAAGATGATACAGGCTCCAATGCACCATCTTCGTCAGCAGCCGACGGCATAGCAGGACAGCATCTACAGCGCAGCCTCGGCAGCTCATCTTCTAGGATCGCTTCACCATCACTCGTGGCTCCAGTCAAGGGCAAGCGCAAGCCCACCATCAGAGACGAGGTGGGACACATGACAGCAGAAGAGCTTGACGCTCTGCCACCGGCAAAGAGGAGGAAGGGAGCAAAGGCGAGAGGAGCGCCTGGCCCGGGAAGGGGATGGAGGAAAGGTCTCAAGATGGGCCAGAAGCCGATATATGCGTTGCCGGACACCACACCGATAGCAGAAGGTCAGTACTTTCCCAAGGTCCCTGGCTCGATGTTTTACTCATCTTGCTACGGTTCGCTCACCATCCCCCTCACGTGCTTCATTTCTTGCCTACTTCCACACATTGTCCAGGCACACCCGCTACCTTAGCTTCCGACTTCCACCGATCCTCCCCAGCGTCCGCTTTATCCCCCTCTCCAATGCGGTCGACCTCAGCGGTCATCGCGCCATCAGCATCAGGTAGCAAGGTCACAAAGATCGGTAGTACCTCGACTGCAGCCACAGCTCCTGTCGCAGCTCCTTCTGGCCAAGCACTTATGCAAAGGCAACAGGCGATCCCTGGCCGACCCTCCCAGGCCGTAGCTGCTGCATTGGGTTTCGGACCACCGGTCAAGCAGCCACCGAGGCTTATCAACACAGCGGGAACTACATCGAATGCGACTACCGCTGGTGTGGAAGGTCTCATTTCAGATCCGAATCAAAAGCCGCGGCGATGGTATTACGAAGAGCGTCAGCTCGTCAACCTTGGGGGTAGAGTCGTCAATGTCAAGACTTGGTGGGGAGGCAAGAATGAGTCCTTCGATCCCATCTCTGATAGGGAGAGGGAAGAAGCTGCGAGAGCTCAGGCAGCATCAGACTATGCGAAGGGGCGGTCGGGTCACGATGCGGATGACTCCAGGGGCGGTTCGCCTATGACATCCAAGACCTCAACACCCAGACCAAGCGCCAATAGCGTTCTTCAAGCAGCTTCGGCCGCTCTCTCCGCCAGTAACAATGCATCTTCACTCCGAGGGGCACCCGAACAGGCCGCAAGGGGAGCAGCTACGGCGGCTAGTAGACCCAGCACCGGCAGCACTGGCTTCTTCTCGCCTTCTCTGACCCGCAAAGTCAGTAGCGGCTTCTCAACGGATCAGCAAGGAAGCCCAACACCCGCCACTGCTTCGCCATCAGCTAACGGCCATCTTCCTAAGCCCAAGTTTCAGCCAGGGACGGGATCCATCGCTGACTGGAAAGCATCCAGCGTTGGCAAGCCTGCTCCTAGCGGCCGGAAGTGAAGGGAGCAGTGGGACAAGGGCAATGTACAACACGATCACACAGCAGCATTCAGCGCCATGCACACATTTCACAATGACAATAGCAATACACATCATGCCACTGCCTGAGCGTGATGGCTGTACTCTCGGTCCAAGCGGTCCGAACGAAGTGGTTGTCGGTATCGAAGCTGGTGCAGTGGTGCTCCCTTCTCTGCTGAGGGTCTCTCGTCACCGATCCCTGACGGGATCAGACGCTAGCCATTACGCGTCAGGCTAGCGAATGACTCGACTTGGGTGGGTTTAGGGATAATCACATCGGCCAATGGTCCTGCGCTGGGATGTAAGAGGCACTCTGCGCGAGGCTCCCTTGCGGTACCACAGCTGCGTGACGGCATCCACAGCTGTTGAAGCGTGTTACTGGAACACTCCCTTTGCCTTAGCCGAAGAAGAGTGAACAAGCGCTTATCTGCACAGGTCATCAACGCAATGTCTCATCGCGTCGCGCTGCTCGAGGTTTCACTCGGAGGCATTCCTCCCGCCAGAGACGCGTCTTGATGCCGTACACTGAGACCTCAGGAAATGCTTCCGCGAGATGGAGGCTTAAGATGGATGCCTCCCCTTGGCAACATCTTTCCCTTCGACTCTTCACTCTACGTCCTACCCACCTTTTGACCCACCCTTTGTGCTCATATATTTGCATCCGCTCCTTTGTGCAATCGACTAGGTGAGTACAGCGCGTTCGGAGGCCGCGGTCGTATGCTCGCGGTATACCGACCTTGCCAGCCTTGCTCCCGCGCCTGATAGTGTGCCAGCTGTCAATCTACACTCTGCCATACCTATCAACACCCTTCTTCTTCAAGATGCACTGCATTAGCAAGTTCTTCTCCACTCATCTGCTCAACAACCGAGCCGGCCATCAAGCTGAGGCTGGTGAAGCAGCCAACTTGGACGGGCAGCGAGGCGCCGAAAGGTTCTTCCCGCTCGACGCAGCCCTCGCGTACGTTCCCACCATGGGCAGGTTCGACCTCCGCACCGAGGTGCTTCGAGCAGCCGACGAAGCGGCATGGGCTGCTGATCTTCTTCAGCCAGCCCCCGGACGACGGAGCCCTGAGCACGAAACCGAGGCCCGCTTCGAGACAGAAGAGCACATCTCTCACGAGCGCCCCAGCACCTCTGCTCGAAGCGTCGCGCCTTGCCCTTGTTCGCACCGACGGGTCCAAGCAAGCCCTGACAGTCGCCTCGTACCCATCCTAGAGGATGAGGAAGAGTCCTACGACGAACACTACAAATTCAAGCGAAACTCCCATGACTCAGAATACCATGCTCACGCTGGGAACCACTGGCGAAACGCCCCCACCCGACGAGCCTTTCGCAAGCGAGATTCCCCGCCCTCTGCCTCGCCCGAGGAAGCCTGGTGGACCGTAGAGGACTTCGCCACTCCTCTTGTAGCTCAGAGGTCCTCGGAGTTCAGGATTCGCAAGCACAATTTCAACGAGGTCTTCCCTGGCAAGCAGCAGCCAATCAAGAAGCTTCGACTCGACACTACCTTCGTCCTGGACGTCATCCCCGAAGTTGTCAAGAAAGTGCGCTTCGAGCTGGACACCGTCGTGATCCCAGACGTCAAGATCGTGCACTTTGACTCTGAGGTGACCGAGTGGCCCCTCTACACGTACGAGTCTGATGAAGACGAAATTCAAGTCGAGGAGGAGATGTGCGAATGCAAAGCCTGCCGCAGACTGACATTCGGTGAATATGAAAGCGATTCAGACGAAGCAGATGTGATCTTTAGGAGGCCTGGCGATTTCTGGCTGTGCTCTGAGCCCAACGACTAGCTGCTTCCAGAAGTATTCCTTCACTGTCAACATCTCTGCACTCATCCACTCACTGCTCGATTCCCCCTCTTGTCGTACACCCTGCATCCATCCATCCAATCTGTCGTTTCTTTTGCTGCTCCATGTCTGTACTTGTATCATAGTCTCACCCAAAATTGTGCCCTCTTTGAATTCTGAATAGACAATCTCTACCAATTCTGTAATGCGAGGCGAGCCAGAGAACGCTCACAGATCGCACTAGTGCAACGACAGGCGTGAGAGTACCTTGAGGGTCAAGAGCTCGGGCACCGGAGGAAGTCGAGCCCGACGTTCCTCGAAGCCTCTGGAGCCCCTCGTTTTCTGTATGAGCGGCAAGGAAGTGCACCCTTTTCCCCGCTTTGCCTGGACCCTCCAATTACCCCTGGGCTCACCCGGATCCTGCTGTCAGGCACCGTCGGTCCGAAAGATACGAGGTGGCCAATGTGTGCCTGATCACGCGTGGGTATGTGAAGAATCACCGACGCCAGGGCCCTGCCCAGCTCAGTGGTAATCTCTCGGACCTCAGAAGAGGAATGCTGACCAGGATGCAATCGAGATAAGAGCTCCTTGCCTAAAGATCCGGAGCGACGGGCTGCACTCCGGCCCCCCCTCCAGCCATCGGTGCCCCAGGTAATGTCGCTCCGGAAATGTCCGCGGGGCTATCCTTGGGAACCACTCAGCACAACATCTTCATCCCTCGTCTGCTTTCCCATGATCACATTGACATCGTGTGACAAAGGCAAGGGATAGAAGGGTGTGGGAGCCGGAGACTGCTTTCGCCCGACCCAGGGGCTCGGTGTCCTCCCGATGCAGCAAGGATGTGATCAGGGCCGTACCCACGCTCGGCGCCGCCGCGCTAGGCACGAGCAAACCATCGGTGGAGCAACAGCCTAGGCACACCGTCCTGAAAATTCTCCGTCTCTGCCTCAAAGAGTTGGGGCTGAGAGATACAAATATCCGCTCAGTCCCAGTAAGAGCGAGCATCCCTCCCTAGACAAATCCCCACATCATCTCAAGTCCCTTTCCTGCAAACTCTGCAGCGAAGCACCTTCAACATGAAAGTGGCCCTCCAAGCCGTGATGGCTGCAGTCACTCTGACCTTGCTCACTGCTCGGTCTGATGCTGCCCCCTTGCCCAGCTTTCGCTTCAGCGAAGTCTCAAAGTGTGAGTGTATCAGAGCAGGCAGATCCTATCGACATTGCCTTCATGCTCAACCCTTTTTCCATCCACTCACTTCCACTTCCACTTCCATGCTGCAGACACTCCTCATGTAGCCAGGGGCCTGCCGACCCAGCTGCTCCCTCCAGGCTTCTCCTACACTGGATGGGTCCGCTCTGCCATGCTCAACAACGGCCATGGATGCGCCCACGGCCCTACCGGCTGTGCAAGCGGCTCTAAGCCAGGCTCCAACCCGCCTCGACCTCTCGACACTGCCGCCACCAAGAGGGCCGGCATCACCGCTCCTGCTCGTCACCCACCCATCGAAGACTGTGGCCAGAGTCCTACTGGCTGCAACAGCAAGGGTGATCCACCTGCTCCTACCCACCACACTAGGGCCGAGACTGGTGAGGGCATGCCCTTCTTGGGCGGGGGATGCTCTCATAGTCCTACTGGCTGCTCAGTTGCGCTCCCAACCGACCCTGATGTTGGTACTGGCGGAGGCACACACGGCAAGAAGCGAGATGTCACCCAGGCTCAAGACGAGGCTCCTGTACTCGCTGCTCGAGGCAAAGGAAAAGGCGGCTGTGCGCATAGCCCTACTGGCTGCGCACCAGGTGGTGGTGGCAACCATCCTCCTCATCCAGTGCAAGGCAAGGAAGAGACCAACACCGTCGAAGAGGAAGAGGTACAGCAGCGTGCTCTCGCTGCTACCGAAGCTACCCTACTTGCTCGAGGCAAAGGAAGAGGTGGCTGCGCTCATAGCCCTACTGGTTGTGCTCCAGGTAGTGGTGGCCATATCCCTCCCCCATCTCAAGGCAAGGTACAGACGAATGTCATCGATGAGGACCAGGTACAGGAGCGCGCTTTGGCTACTCGAGGTAAAGGAAAAGGAGGTTGTGCTCATAGCCCCACAGGATGCGGCCCTCCCGGTGGCGGCGGCAATCATCCCCCTCACCCTGCGCAAGGCGAGGAACAGACGACTGTAATCGACGAGGATCAAGAGACGAAGCGTGAAGTGGGCGCTACCGGAATGGAATTTGCTGCTCGAGGTAAAGGAAAAGGTGGCTGCGCCCACAGCCCGACTGGCTGTCCTCCAGGTGGTGGCGGTAACCATCCTATCCACCCCAAAGTCAATGACTACCAAGTGGAGCAGCGTGCTGCGAATCTCGATGCGACTTTGGCTCCTCGAGGAAAAGGAAAAGGAGGCTGCGCCCACAGTCCCACTGGCTGTGGACCTCCTGGCGGAGGTGGCGGTCATATTCCACAGCCAGGTCATCCCGCGGACGAGAAACGAGACTTCATCAAGCAAGGCGAAGAGCTCCTTACCACGCTCGTTGCCACGCCTACTCGAGGCAAATCTGGCAGGTCTTGCGGACACAGTCCTACTGGCTGTCCTCGACCACCTCCTCCTCCCGGCAATGGAGGACCCAACCCCGGCCACGGTAAGCGCGACATTGTCATCGCTCAATCTCTGGCTTCCAAGCTTGCTGCGCGAAGTAGGTCCAGGGGTGGATGTGGGCTTAGCCCAACGGGTTGCATGGCACCAATCAATGGCGCACCTCACATCGGCGAGAAGCACAAACGCGGTATTCCAGAGGCTTCTACCGAGACTGCTGCGCTGTCTGCTCGAGGAAAGGCAAAGGGTGGATGCAACCACAGTCCTACCGGCTGCCCTCCTGGTGGTGGAGGACCTCATGGTCAGAAGTGACCTACACTACCTCTCTGAGGTGGCATGGCTCTCCTTTCGTAGAGCAGCCAGCAGTATAGACTTCCCCAGTCAGATTCGTGTCGTGGCTTCTTCACTCTCTTTCATAACACACAATGCTTCGTGTAGGCTTCGGTATGTTTTGGGGTCTAGCCCAAAGAATTGAGATATTCCATACAGACTTGCATCTACGACTGCACCAAGCGACGCGGCCTGACTTGCAATGTGTTGATATGTGCAGAGCTCGACAGTGGTACGAAGCTACTCTGTGTCTTGCAACGACTGTCAGCTCAGACTTTCCTTCTTTTGCCTCCACCGCCAGCTGCACCACCGCCGCCAAACATGCCCAGCCAGCCGTTGCCTTGCGCCAAACCACCGTCATCTTCTTCGTCATCGTCATCCTCTCCACCAGGGCCATCCAGGAATGGCTCGACGTCCACTCCCACGAGGTCGCCGTACTCTCCTTCCAGGAGCGATTCGTACGTTTCCTGTAGCTTCAAGTGGCGCTCTTGCAGTGTCAACTGGGTCAGTATGTCCTACGAGGAGACGAATAGGGTGAGACTCTTCAATGTCAATACTTGGAGAGGGACGTAGCAGCAGCAGTATGCGCACTCACCTTGTTGAAACGGTACAGTCTGGCTTTCACTTGCAGTCGATATGCCTTGATAGCCACAGGGTCCGAAGGGTCCAACTCCATGAGTTGGATCATCTGCAAGCGAGAAGGGTAGTCACGTTAGTGCCGCCCCTTCCGCGGAGTGTCTGCAGCAGAGACTCGGAGACTCACCTCGATCAAACGGCTCCACTGCCTCTTGGCAATCTTTGCCTTCAATCTCCATCTCTCACTCCTGACTCTATCCAGTGGGGAGCGTAAGCCTCCTTCTTCCTCCTTCATTTGTTCAATGATTGCTCCTGGAGCCAGTAGCCGCTTGAGATCAGCGGTATCCCTGAGGCGATCAAAGGCCTCGTTGGGGTCCTCGACGGTGAGCTCGGTGATTGAATCGGACTCTAGTGTCGAAGAGTAGGCGATCTGGTAGAGATGGGTCCCGTGAGACTGCTTGTGATATGGAGGGAGGATGAGGAACTGCGAGAGACGGAGTCGCGATGAAGAGGGATAGTGCCAGAAGCGGTAGAGACTGAAAGGCAAGACGAACAAGGGAGACCGTGGCGTGAGAACGCTTTCAAGAAGTATCGGTACACTTTGCAGCCAATACTCACCTGGTATAGCCTACGAAGACGTATTTGATCCTACCTTCCGCATCCACAGACTTGTGCCATGTCGTCAACCATTGCCAATTCTCTTCGTCCTCGTGTATGTAGCTTGCGCCTTCGATGTAGAGCAGGGCAAACAGCTGCATCCTCCGATGGAACTCCCTCCAGCCTGGCGTAGCCCAAGTCGTACGGTACACCTCGAAATGATCCGAGTCTGCATTCGAGGCGGCTGAGCCAGAAGCTGTCCCTTTGCTCGAGCTTGCGCCAGGGGCGGACCTTTTCCCTTGACCTTTCCCTTTGCCTTTTCTTGCCGCTGCTGGTACATCATACTCTCCCACCTTCTCGCCAAAAGGCGTGAAGTCCGATTTCTCTTCTTCCTCTAGCCTCTTGCCGAACACCTCAGCATCGGTCGTATAGTCTTCGGGTAGATATTCTTCTAGTATGGAGGGTATGTCGTCAATCTTGGCTGTAGTGGACTCGTTGACTGCTGAGAATGTTACGCTGAGAAGGGTATGCAGGTTGGAAGGGGTGAAGGAGAGGCGAATATCGAGGCGCGTGTAGCCAAAGATGGTCTCTTCCTGACCGAAGCCGACCTGTGAGGAGCAACAGTAGAGGTGGTAGGCGCAGAAGAGTCAGCATGTGGGCGAAGGCGAAGGAGAAGGCATATATCCCTTTGCTCACCTGGTATGTGAATTCTGGTCCGAAGAGCTTGTCCGCGGGGCTTGGGGCGCCTACCAGCTGTAGGGACAGGGCTTCGTTGGCATTGGCAGCCCACTTGTCACTCTCAGCCATGATTGTGCTGCGCTACGGGCTTATGTTGGGCCACCAGTGAGAAAGAGAACAGTAGCGGTGGAGGGAAGGATGGTGTTGGAGAAGGACGTCTCGGAAGGAGAGGAGCACCGGCCTGGCTCCGCTCTCCACTTTCGCCAGACGCGTTGGAGCGCGTAGAGGCGTACTTTGGCTCTTGCATGTAGCTTCCTACTTGTACTCATCGTCTAGGACATGGACAAGGATACCAGACGGGGCTTTAAGACGGCACAGCTCTTATGTACTACCCTTTCAGACCTTGACGTCGCGGATCACTCTGAAGCAACACTCCTGCAGCGACAAGAACGTCACGCGAGTGGCTTACAGTCATTCTTGAGCTACTTCCACTACCGAGCCCTGTCTTGTGCTCCCCTTCGCAAAAGCGCAGATCATGGGCGCTTGCAACGGATGCCACTTCATCTACTGCCGGCGACTTTACTCTGGTGGTCACATGGAGGTGATGTAGCAGCACGGTGAGGCGTACTCCGCTAGGAGGCACACCTTCGAAACAATGGTGCTGTCTGTATGGCAAAGACGTGCGATGAACCAAGGGCGTCTGCTCTTACCCCTCTGCCGGTGGGAGCTCCCGATTGTGCCTCCCAAGAGGTACACTCCAGGCGTAGCAGTGGCTCTCAGGCTGACGCCGAAGTATGGACGCCGAAACGGTGCGGCAGAGGGAGGAGGAAGCAAAGAGCAAAGGCACTGCGGAGGACAATCGGAGCCGCCGCCCGTCCTGGCGTGGGAGAGAGCAGACATCGGGCCAGCGGTGGAGCCGCTGCTGTTGGAGCCTAGCAGCTTCGGAGGGACGGCGTTGGAAGAATGGGTGGAGTGCGTCGCTTCTGCCGGCGAATTGCTACTTGCAGCTCACACCACCCTCACCGCAGAGGTCCACAGAGAGCCATCCACAGTCCTCTTGTCTGTCATCCATTCTTCGCCCCTCTCTTCTCCTCCTCCCTACTCTCCAGCCTCGTTCCATCCCCCCCTCATCAGCTCATCACCATCGCTACAAGTAGCACTAAGTCAAACAGCAGTCTTTTCAACTCACCCTCCCATCAGCACTCTCCGCTTTCCCTGCAGAGCCTTCAGCTCAATCGTCTCATCCGGTCACTGCCCATCGCAAAGCACCCAAACATGTCTTCTTCTGAGCGAACCTCCGATGCAGAGGGACAGCAGCGCTCGAGCGTCTACGTACCACCTCCTCCCAACGTCGTCCAGAGGTTCAGGAACGCCTATGGCGAGTACTTTGCTGAGATGTTCGGAGCTGGCACCATCATCATCTTTGGTGCTGGCGCTCAGCTGCAGACTCAGCTTTGGGGTGCAGGTGATGTACTCACCTGTGCTTTTGGTGAGTACCAAAAAAGCATCAAATGCCCTGGCTGCCGCTTTGCAAGCGAACAGTAAGCTCAATACTACCATTACTTTACCATCCTGATCAACAGGCTGGGCCATCGGCGTAGCTCTGGGAGCATACATCAGCAGCCCCATTAGTGGAGGCCACATCAATCCTGCCGTCACTATCGTAAGTAGCAAGAAGCAACAGAATGAGCAGCATCTATCCTGATGGTGCCATCAACGTCCTTCCTGTTGCCCTTCCCTCTCCCTGTTTCAGGCCCAAGCAGTTTTCCGACGATTCCCACTGAGCAAGGTGCCGGGCTATATCCTCTCGCAGATCCTTGGTTGCTTCTTTGCGACACTTATCATTTATGTGAGCACTCACTGAAGTGACAGCCCGATCGCGCCCTCAGCTGACTGGCGATCGCTCGACCTTCACACTGCCACCCTTGATCCCTTGCAGAGCAACTATGCAGAAGCCATTGCCGACTTCCAGCGAGGCACCGGCCACACAGTCTATGGAGACACCGCCACGGCCGGCAACTTTGTGTCGGTACCCAAGGACGGCCTTTCAGCAGCTACGGCCTTCTTCGACGAATTCTTGGGCACCGCCCTCTTGGTTGGATGCATCTTTGCCTTTACTCACCCCGGCCTCCCCAGTCCTGCTCTGCCCTTGGCCGTCCTGTTCACGCTTCTTGGCATTGCCGTAGCGGTAGGAGCCCAAACTGGATTTGCCATCAATCCTGCAAGGGACTTTGGACCCAGACTTGCTCTCACCGTCATTGGCTACCCTGCACAGACACTTTGGAGCGTGAGTAGTACCGTGTACTGTCACCAGGAAAATCGGGACGCTGACAAATCTTGTCATATGACAGCACAACAAAGGCTATTGGTGAGTGTCGAGCGAGTCTAGCAGCGTGAGTGAGTGTCATCATTGAGGCCCTTCTATTTCCCGTCTCTGCTTGTAATCAGGTTCCACTCCATCTGGGCCGCCGACATCCTTGGCGCTTTGGTCGGTGGAGGCATCGTGGACATCTTTCTCTACCCTGGTCCAAATTCCATCTTCAATCGTACCGTGAGTGGTGAGATGAGCAGGAAGCTTATTAGCGATGTGAGGTACTTATGCTTGCCTCCACCCTCTCAGTCGGCATCGGCTCGCTTTACTCTCAATTGTTGATGACAAGCGTCAGGAGAGCTGCAGACAGCCTCCTGGCCAGTACACCCAAAGCAGCTGACTGTCACGAAGGAGCACAACTGCTGTGACAGGGCTCTCAAGAATAGCAGAATTCGTAATTGCATTGCGTCTCCACCCTTGTATCTCAAATACGACTACACTCGATGTCCCCGCCCCGTCTTTTCCTGTCATACTAGCAGCAGAGTGTAACATTGGCGTCTGGTACGCTGCATTTTTCTTCCCTTGAATTGTCATTCTCTCTCCCCCACTCTTTTCCCCACCCACTCTGAAGCGTCGTCGAGAGTCCGTGCCAGTGTGAAGGCGAACCTCGGCCTGGTTGGCTGCAAGGGCGAGAGGAGAGAGCGGAGGAGAATGTCCCGTGGCTTGGTGTGGGATGCGCTGAGCTTAGACTTGGGACGCAGTCCTGTCGAGTGGCGCAACGCGTCCGCGTCCCGACGTCGGTCCTGACGTCTGGCTGCCACTGCCTCGCCTCGCCTCGCCTCTGCCTGTCTGCCCCGCATACACACACCCGCTCACCACCCCCTTACCGCTCCCGCTGCCTCGCCCGATCCATTGGTATGCCGGCTTCCTCATCCGCCGTTCTGGTTCCATCCTCGCCCTGTATTCCGTTCCACCACACGGATTGATTGCCAGGCAGCAGAAGCTCTCCCCTATCACTCTTCCGTTTCCGTAATCTGGCCTTCTTGGCGCTCCCTCTCTTCCCAGCTCCTACCTCATCAGCAGCCCTATTGATTATACTAAGCGGTCCGCTCCTCCGGCTCCTGTTCCTGCTTTTTCATCCGCTTTCCGCACTTGCTCCACTGCTGTAGAGCATCGGAAGCTCATCGCCGGTCTCACCCAACGGCTGCTTCTTGCCTAGCGCTCGCAGCATTGCAGCTGCAACCCTACCTTCGAGGGACTGCCTATCTGCCTCTTCCTGGTCTTCAAGTATGTGCTGAACGAGACTAAGCCGCCAATTCTTCCTCCTGGTGGCGAGGCTCCGGCCGCTCAAATGTCCTTTTCGATGCTTCCTCACCTTCATGACCCTCCCGAGGTACACGTCCCAGCTGCACGGGACGATCTCATTCTCGAGGATCACTCAGTATCCCTATCGCGCAGCGAAAGCCTCAACAGCGTATGGAGCTCAGCCGAGGTACCCCTCTTCTTCGATGGCAGCAAAGGGGGAGACGCTGTTGGGCTGCCAAGCTCATCGCTGCCTTCCCATGCAAGATCCTCGACGGCTAGCTCGTCTGCATCATCTGCCGGGCCAAGCTGGGAGGCAAGACCTTCCATATCGCCCGCTGCTATACCCCGGAGACGTGAAAGTCGCAGCGCTTCGTCCCACTTTGTGAACCCATGGGCAACTAATGTCAGGAGTATCCCGAATGGCCCAGAATCTCCCAGGCTCAGCTTTGCCTCTTCGGCCTCCTCTGCAGCGGCGAGAGCTGCTGCTGCTGAGCTGACAACAGACGAGCACGGAGATGCAGATAGGCTCATGAAACAGTCCATGATCAGATACCCTACGGAGAATAGTGTCACGAGCTCTCACCGTGATTCCCAAGGATCAGCTCGAGGCTTCAAGCTAAAGAAGCCCGCCACCTTGCAAGTCACGCCCATCGCTTTCTCTACTCCCCTTCGACACACGCCTTCGGCTTCCACTCCTACGACGAATCCTCTTTCTGCAGGGGACGTCTCTACGCTCGCGCCGTCTTCCTGTACAAGTCCCTCACAGTCACAAGACACAATGAGTATAGACCTCAGGACTCCCATGACGGAAAAGAGCCTTCCGTCACGGCCTTCGCGCCAATCTCAAGCAGTTGGCACTTCGGGCGGTGTTCAGAGGCCAGAAGTCCAGAGCATTGACCGGCAGCATGGCTCCCTCTACTCTCGCGCTGAGAAATTCTTTGGGACAGATTATACGATGCTCTCAGCGCCTGCAGGCGGGCAAGAGTATTACATTTCGACGGATGAGAGGCGCGACCGGCTAGGAGAGCCGTCGGTACTAGGGACGAGCCAGGAGGCTGGGTCATTATCTGGAGAACGCACGAGAAAGACAGAATTGCAATATGCCGGGCAGCAAGACTCTCCTTCGACTTTCCCAGTGGAGGACTGGAGGCCTGATGTGGCGTCAGCAACGACGGAAGGGGGAGCACTTTCTCCTGCTGTCCCATCGAGGCAATACCAGGGCAGTCTTCCGTCTGTCCAGTATTCTCCAAGTAGCGCAAGGCCTCCCTCACAAGCAAGAGGATCTTCCGTTACAAGCCCTGCCAAGAATCGCAATTTATACCCGCCTCGTGGCTCTTCTTTCGTTGGCCGCTCTGACACCGCAGTGGCGAGTGCGATTCTCGAAAACGGCCGGCACTCATCGCTGTCGACACAGACCTACGACTATGGGAAAGCATCGCCGCGCTCTCCGCTTCGTCCCAAGCATTCGCCCCTGACCTTTGTCCACCAAGGCTCGCCCGAGTCGCCAAAGGCGAGTAGAGTCCTACCGAGAGAGGATCAGTTTTTCAAGACAAGGCTACGAGCTCTCTCTGTCCCAAAGCTGCAAGCCTCTTGGCATGCGCCAGATGAGACTGTGACAGCTGCCAGAAAAGCGTCACTTTGTGTACCGGAAGGAGAACAGCTAGGACCGCGGGGCTCATCGCGCGGCTCGATCTCACCTGCTCTACGTCTACTGCAATTGCGCAACGATGCCAGATCAGAGCTTCCCCATGATGAGGTCCCTACATCGCCTTCAGCATTGGGGCTGACCAGACAGTCGCAAGTCAGTCGCTTGGGCTCTGTCCTGTCCCGCTCCTCGTCGCAAAAATCTCGCAAAGGATCGGTGGCTAGCTTGTCACAGTCACAGGCAACTAGCAAGCGTCTTGTTCGGACTCCTTCTAAATCCAAGACCAAAGGCGATTGGTCTTCGTACCTCTCTGAGGGCCTCACGCTGTACGTAGATCAGGGAGGCTCGAGAGAAGTGGCTTTGCGGATGCCCTACCTCTCCTACGATCCCTTTGGGCGTCTCGACTCACTAGCGACGGGTAACGGCGGCTCTCCCCCAACCATCACCAAGAGAGGGTCTTCACGCCCCACCAGCGCGGGCAAGGGGGCTCAACCGGCTGAGGACGACGTGGGTTTGCTGGAATTTGCACGCTCTGAGGTGTCTGGCCCACTTGGTGCTGCCTACTTTTCGCCCATCGACACTGCCCCCATCCTTCGTCATCTAGGTATTGGCGAGGATACCAAGGCAGACCTACTGACAAGACAAGCAGCTCTCTCTGTAGAGGTGAATGGCTTGCATCAGGTGTCTGGCCTTGAACGCAGTGGTAAAGTAGGATGGCGCTTCAGCTATGAGATCAGCTCCATCTACCGTGGTGAAGATGTCCCGGAGAGGGTCTTGCGACCCGTCTCTTTCGTCTGCTCGGCTACACTTCTCGATCCTGAGCGTGCTCGAAAAGGCCGCTTCCTGAAGATGGTGAAGAAGGGTGTCGCAACGAACATCTCTTCCAATCTAGTGCAAGGACCTGAAGGATCAGAACGGCATCCGAGTATGCCGGGTACTCCTGTAGGATCAGGCAGGGGCAGCCTGCGTAAAGACTCCCTGTCCGTGCCAGACGGCTCCATCCTTTCCGACTACAGGGGATCCGACCGGCAGTCAGAAAGCGTAGACTACGGCCGCGATGAAGTCTCCTTCACTCGAGGTCACGAGTATCGCTTGGCCTCCCTCCCCTCGCCACTACCTTCACCCGGGCGACACTTGGAACCTACTCGCACTCCAATTCCGCACAATTTCCGCGCAGGAGTCCATCCCTTCCAGTTCAAATCGTCACGCAAAGTCATCACGCCTCCGCGAACCTCCTCGGCAGCAATGTCGCCCTCTTCCTCCCGGGAAAACGATCTCAACGACGCTCTCCTGTACCTTTCCCTCGAACCCCACACGGCATCTCTGGTGAGGTCGTTGGATTCGGACGAGGCGATTGCGCCACGTGTGCAAGGGCGTGGCTCGCAGACGGCCTCTGAAGAAATCAAAATGGCCTACCTGCGATCTTCTTTGCAGCGAGAAGAAGCAGCAGCTGCAGCTGCCGCCGCAGCCGCGATCAACATGTCTAGCTCCCCGGGGCGCAAGAATGAACTCGGTAGCAGTCCGGGCCACCTCAATGGCAATGGCAGTGGCAGCGGCAGTGGCAGTAGTAGTGCCCCCGGCAGCGGTACCTGGCCACGCTTCAGAAGCCGTCGAGGGGAACCGCCCAGCTCTCCCTCTTCAACGCGTGGCAGTCCTTTGCATCAGCACTTTGAAGCCAGGGAGACCAATACCACCAGCGCAGCGATACGGCAGAGCCATATGGGCGCTTCTTCTCCCACTTTTGGACCTGGCAAAGCGCAGGCTGCCAGCGCAAGTGCGAGCGCGAGTGCGAGTGCGAGTCGAAATGCTCTAAGGAAGGCTCTTTCGACAAAAGCTCTTCCAAGGACTCCTGGTGAAGAGAGGAGCTCCGGGTACGGGTCCGGCTTATTGGATGAGGATTCGCCCGGATCCATCAGCAGTGGTCTTCCCCTTGATGGACCACGGCGCCCAAGTCACGCAAGGGATGCTGGACTGCCGCAGAATAGAGAGAAGAGGAATGGCAGTACAGTGTCGACGATGGATATAGGGCTCGTCTAGCGACGGCACGAGGAGGACATCGTCCATCCATCCGTCCTTTCGTCTATCCGTCGATTGCTTGCTGCTCGCTTTGGGCCACGCTCTGATACATTGGCAGTCACAGCCAGCCAGCCAGTCAGTCCGTCAGTCAGAGCGCATCTTTATTTCCCTGTTGGTCTCTTCTCTTCAACTTCTCGTCTGTCTCTCTGCCTGCTTAGATCCTGTTGTAGTATGTATACATGCCCGCCGGCCCTCCTCTGCCCCCCCCCCCCCACCCCCCCCCCCCCCCCCCCCCCCCCCCCCCCCCCCCACTTCCTGCCTGTCTCAGGCGGGGCACGTCTCGCTCTTTTTTCTATACGCCTCCCAACAACTGCAAATTGCAATCGATACCATCATGATCCACGACTTGCAATCGATTGCAATGCATCTAACATTCAAGGGATCGGGTATGAGGTTACAAGATTTGCGGGTTACCGAGCGGACACCAGCCTAGGCAGCTAGGAGGAATGCATCGAGGGCTGCAAGTCCCAACGCGGTAAGTGCAGAAGAGATGAAGTTGACCTGACCATTCGTGAGTAGATCCCACCCAGTAATCACCTCCCACTCGCCGCCACCTCCTCCTCCTCCTCCTCCTCCTCCTCCTCCTGCTTGACGAGCTACATCCTCGGGTAGTCTCCCCACTAGGACTTGCTTCGACTTGATATTATACCAAGTCCGTTGCGCGATAGCTCCCAGCAGCGAGTCTAGCGTGCTTCCCGCGAATCCACCCAAGGTCGCCAAGGTCAGGATGTACACCACCTGGGTAGGTGAGGAGAAGAGGGCGAGACTGGAGCGACATGCTGAATTCCAGTAGGCGAGAGAACCGAGGAGGATAATACCGATGAAGCTGCCTCCGAGAGCGGAGGCGGTTGTGCCCCAGAGTGAGATGCCGCCATTGGTTCCTGGAGGGACGGTGCGCCAGGGTGATGTGAGGAGACGCGGGGGAGAGGAGGCAAGGATGCCGAGCTGGGGGAGAAAAGCATGTCACACTTGAGCTATCGTATTGAGTATGGTCGTTCTTCTCGCGTCGCCTCGACTTACCTCGGAGGCAAGGACGTCGCCCATGCAGCAGGTAAAGTGACCGAGGACGAAGATGGTGATTGCTCTGGACCAGCCATTGGCCGACGCGGAGTCGAGGGCACAGAATCCTCGACCAGCATCCCATACTGCGGGTTGAGAAGTACCGAAGAGTGCGGAGAGGAGTCCGTCCTGACTGGCCCCGGGTAGATGCCCAGATGGGACTTCTCCAGAATGCAATACTCGGAATGCCAGGGCGCCCAAGCATCCCGTCAGGCCATTGCTCAGCACCTGCCAAGCATCCCTCTGTCCACCCGAAGCACTCTTGTGCTCGCTCGCCCCTTTCCCTTTTCCCTTGTCTGCAGCTGCGGCCTCCTCATACCCTTCCTTCTCCAACGTGGCTTTGACTCCCGCCTTGACCTTGGTCGCTCTACTTCCAGTGAGGTAGAAGGCTATGAGCACAACTCCGAACCCGGGAAATGGGTTGGCTAGCGTCAGATAGCCCACCAGGAAGGCGGTTGCTGCTCCCGATCTAGAGAGGGAGCCTTTGCGCAATCCATGCGAGGCTAGAATAGCTGCCAGCCCTAGAGATATCGGGTGGGGCTGTAGGTGCCCGAAAGGAATGGGAAGGAGCAGGAACAGGGTTGGCAGTGAGATAAGGCGGATCTGTGCCGATATCTCGCATATCAAGTCTACGGAATGTCAGTCTCACCTGTAATCTCTGCATCTACTGGTTTGATCACTGTGCGTCTTTGGGGAAGAGGGGCGCCTTTGCTACTTTGGTGTACGAGTGTAGTGTACGATGCCGAGGGTGTGAACCTTGCTGAGCCTTGACCGGGGAATAGGGCCGGCGGGATATGCCCGACGTGCGGAGTTGAGGTGGAGGCTGCTGCTGCTGCCAAGCTGAGCCTACGGGAAGGAAGCCTTGGCGCCCAGTTCAAGTGGCCGTGAGGCTCAGCGCCTGGCAGCCCAAAAAAAAACAAAAAGAAGGAAGAAGGACGGGATCTCAGGGTGCAGGCAGGAAGAAATGGACGCGACACTGCAGGAGAAAATAAGTTAGAAGAGGTCACGAGGGTCTCCTCCTCCCAGGTACCTGATGCGGGGGAGCCGTGTATATCGGGTGCAGGAGCAAGGCGAGGCCAACAGAGGCTTGGATCTGCATCACCTCTGTTGAGGTCGGCAGGACGCCAGAGAGAAGCACAGCATGCCAAGGATGCCTGCTTTATCTCCCCCTTTGCACGGGTCAGCACTAGAGGGTTATATTTGAGCTTGTTTGCATTTCCACCCCAGCTCCTCCCTCTTCTTCTTCTTCCTCTTCGTGCAGCATTTCCTCGCCAGCAGGCTTCCTGACACCCCACGGTCCCTCTTCCTTCCCTCCGCTTCCCTCCCTTCGTCTTCATCTCTCTGTTCCTTCTGCGTTGCTCATTCTCTGTCACCCTCTTCCACCCTCTTCCTCTCTCTCACTTCACAACAATGGACGAAGTCAAGGTTGCTTCTCCCTACAGGGCCAATCAGAAGCCCGAAGTAGACCTCCATGAGTCACACTCAGACGACCTGGAGACTCAAGTCGGTGGAGGCAGCCACGACGCCAAGGTCTACGGCGAGACCGACGTCTTTGCCGCCTCTGGTCCCGGCCAAGTTGACTTCAAGGGTCTCACCTGGCCTCACGCAGGTGTCATCATTGCCAAGCTGCAAATCGGAATTGGACTCTTGGGTATTCCAGGTACATTTGCCTCCCTCGGCTTCGTCCCCGGACTCATCTCCCTTACCATCCTCTCCATCTTCACCACCTATGGAGGTATCCTCTCGGGTCATATTCGTATGCTTCACCCAGAGATTCACTCTCCGACAGAGCTGGGAAGAATCCTTTGCGGAGGCAATGCGATTGCAGCTGAGGTCTTTGGATTCTTCTACTGGGTCCTCCTGGTCATGGTTGCTGGATCTGGGCTCCTCACCACCAGCATTGCCCTCAATGCCGTATCCTTGCACGCTATTTGCACCATGGGCTGGGTAGGTGTAGCAGCCGCAGTGGCTCTCATTGTTGGAACCAGTTGTCGCCAGTTGACAAAGGTAGCCTGGATCGGCTGGATCGGAATCGCTTCCGTCGTCATTTCCATCTTCACTTTGGTCATTGCCATGCTCACGGAGACTTTCCCCCTCACCGAGTTTGGTCAAACTGGAAAAGTCGAGGTCTTGGCTGTAAACACAGATGCGACATTTGCAGAAGCCATGTCAGCCATTGTCACCCAGCTCTTTGCTCTCCTGGGTAACATTGCCTTTTTCGGAGTCGCTGCCGAGATGAGACGTCCCCAGGACTTCACCAGGGCGGTTCTTGCTGGTCAAGGATTCATCATTGGAATGTACTTTGTCATTGGTATCATCGTCTACGCCAAAGCCGGTCAATTCCTCACCTCGCCAGCTCTGGCATCGGCTGGTGAACTCTTCAAGCGAATCTGCTACGGTCTGGCCATTCCTGCCGTTCTGATCACCTCGATCATGTACACCCACATGGCCGCCAAACTCATCTTCGTCAGGGCTCTCCGTGGTACCCGTCATTTGACCGCCGGATCAACCGTGCATTGGGGCACTTGGATCATGAGCAACATCAGCTGTCTGGCCCTCTCCTTTATCCTCGCCGCCTCCATCCCCATCTTCGACAGTCTCCTCTCCCTCATCGGAGCCACCGTCGGAGCCCTCTTTGCCGTGATGATGGTAGGATTCACAGCTCTTTACCTCATCGCCCACGAGGAAGAGGCAAATGCCGCAATGCGAGGTGTGAAGATGGACACTCCTTCCGAAGTCTCTCGCTCCTCGTGGTTGAAGCGCTCCTACACCTTCACGTGGAGTGACCCAACTTCGACCTGGAAGCGCAAGGGGACATTCATCTGGGCTATCATCCTCATCGTCTGTGGACTTTTCCTACTGGGTGGTGGTACCTACGGAAGTGTAGAGGGAATCATTTCGGCTTATGATACGGGGAGCATCACCAGCGCGTTTAGCTGCGATGACAATTCCGTCACGTCGGCCTAGACTGTTCTGAGATGAAGTAGAGCAACAAAACGTTATGCAAAAGCTGAAAATCCGAAGGGTCATAAATAGGAAGAGGGGTGGTAGAGAGCCAGCTGCAAACACATACACACACAGTCAGAGAAGTTGAGAATGGACACGGTATTGTAGTGAGAGGACCAGAAGGGGTATCGCATTACTAGACGCCACGACGGGTCTGTAGATTCGGGTCGCATGTCACTTGCTCCATCAGAACAATGTATACTATGAAAGCATATAGAGTAACTCTAGCCTGAGTTCTCCCAGTAGGTCGAGACTGACAAAGGAGAGGAAAAGAGGGACATTGTCAGCGAGGGATCTCGTGATGAGTGCAGCAGTGGGAAGTTCGCCGTGCTACTCACTTGGTAGACCCTCCACCTCGCACTGCTTGACCCTGTCGAAATCGCTCTGCCTCGAAGGCCAATCGAGCAGTCTCAGCGACCTCTTCCCGGCCACGTCCACAGGCTCCCATCTTCCGGTCTTCGCAAGCGCGTCAGCCGTCGTCTTGTACGCCTTGCCCCTCGCAGCTAGGTACTCCTTTGAAGGGTTCGGGTCGAGGTGACGCACAAAGCTCGTCCAGTGATCCATGACCAGCCTGCCAAAGAGGAGATCCTTGCCGTCCCTGTATGGGGAACCGAATTGGTCCAGGGTCCCAAAGTAGTACAGCAGATCACCACCATGGCAGCGGAACGAGCCCAGTCTGCTATCACAGACTTCGTGGGGTAGTCTGAAGTATTGCTGGTAGGTGCGCAGGAATTGATAGCTGTACACGCGGGGAAAGGTTCTGTGCTTGGCGGCGCTGTATGCCGTTGCTTGGCCGACGCACCTGAAGGTGATGTCGGTGAAGATGGTGGCGGTGAGATTGAAGGCATTGAGAGATGCATTGTTTGTCGCTGTAGGGAGTGGGAAGAGAGCCTTATCGGCGGACACGGCTGCTTCGAATGCTGCAGATGGATTGCTCTGATTTGCCAGGACGGCATCGATGGCCTGCTTTCTGGTAGTGCCAGAGTCATTGAAGTTGAGGAAAGGAGCTCCGTCGTCGGCAGTAGTTCCAATCATGATTGGGACCTGGGCAACCTGGGAAGGGTCTGTCACCTGCAGATGTTCTGACGTGATGTAATGACCATCCTGAATGATGTAATGAGCTTGACTGTCGTTGCTGAGGGTCGCGAAAGTCTTGGCGACCAGGTCCTTGGCGGGGAGCGCCTTCAGACAAGCTACTGTTTCGGCGAGGTCATCTTTCACACATCCTGCCTGCTGGATGTTGACTATTCCGACCTTGTTGTAAGCTGCTTCAGGGGTCAGGTATCTCGAGTACTCATTGCCATAGTGGCCGCCTGGATTGGAGCTGATGATCGCTCCGACGAATTTGCCTCTCGCTACTGGGCTATGCAGCATAGCTTGTACGGAAGCTGCTCCTGCGCTGTCGCCGTGAATCACAATGTGATTGGGGTCACCTCCAAAGACTAGGAAATGGATGAGCAAAAAGGTCAGTCAATCGGTTCGAGGAACCAATGCCAAAGTTGCCATGGCCGACTCACCTTCGATGTTTTGCCTGACCCACTCCAGAGCTGTCATCTGATCAGCGATTCCATAGTTGCCTGTGATGTTCGTGCCAGGGATGTTGAGGAAGCCGAGGTTGCTCAAGCGGTAATTCGGGAAGACCATGACAACGTCGCCCCTGGAGACGACATTCGCTCCTTCTCCCATTGGGTCCGAGCCCTCGCCAGAAACAAAGGCTCCTCCATGAAGGTAGAAGAAGACCGGACGTAGTGGCTTCTTGCTCAAGTGTTTTTCGGCTTCCGGCGCAGGAAGGTAAGGGGTCCAGATGTTGAGGTAGAGGCAGTCTTCACTTGAGCGCTCGACGGCAGTCTGAGTGCATGGTGACGCGAAGGAGGTGGCTTCGAAGACCTCGCCTCTAGAGCCCTCGACCTGCGCATATTCCCATCGGCCAGGCCCGTTGGAGTACGGGATGCCCAGGAAGCGGAAGGACTTGAGATTGCGGTAGCCATTGTATGCATTGCCTGTTGCTGGATCGATCACAGACACAGTGTTGTCGGCGGTAGCGTTGCTCTGTGATGCCAGCGTCTGTCGGTCGCTCTGGGTACACAAGCAAGGGGCCGAGACCTGGTTGTCTTCGTACAGTTTCAGAAAGACGAGCTTGCCAGTCTCGGCATTGTAGGCTACAGTTGCGTCTGCTAGCATGATGTGTTGACCTGCGCCCACATCACCCCGGTAGGTGTGGTAGCGTAGTAGGTCTGTGAGGTCACTTGCATTGCCTCGAGCTTGCTCTGCGGTCAGGAGGCTTTCTGAGAACCAAGAGCAGGCTGCCTGGCCCTCGGAGATGTTTGTTTGCGGCGAGTGCAGGAGCAAGAAGGAGCTGTGGTCGGCATCTTGTGTGTAGTTGAGGTTGTTGTTGAACAACAAGGAGACGGACGAGGGTAAGACGCGTGAGGCGGGTGTGCCAAGGGAGGCAAAGAGGGGAGCCGCATTAGCGAGGATTGGCAATAGAGCCAGACCGAAGAGGCTGAAGGCAGTCATTCCGAGACTGATTGGAGACTGTGCTGGATGTGTTACAGAAGCGACGATGACAGGGAGAAAGGCATGAGTCCGTGGGCGTGCTCACACTGCCTTTTGTAAAGGATATGTCTGGTCCCTTATACCCCTCCCCCCCTCCCCCTGTCCCTTGACCCCTGGCTCGGCGGGGTGCGGCGTCTCCTCGAACGAACGACCAGCCGGGCCGGGCGAAAGCCCCGGCAGCATAGTGACCGTACCTGAGCAGCTTCCATGTACCTTAGCCTAAACAGACTGTCGCTGCTGGAGAATAGCAGCAGATGTATACCCGTCACATCGCGCGACCTCGAGAACGGACTTCGGAGGTGCGTACCGACCCCCAATACGTCTTTCAATGAGCGGACGATTGTGTCGTAGACATGCCGGTACCGACAGCATGAGTTTGCCTGAATATCATCCTGATCTTCCGATGGTGAAGCCTAGTCGTGTGTAATAAAATTGGGTCCAGCCTGGTCATGTATCGGCACGCTGGATAATCTGACGGTTAGACTGTCGGACTGCTGTCAGAATGACGATCCGAGCTTCGGTCGCATCGCAGCGGGGTTGAAGATGGCAGATTCCTGCATTTCCGCGTGTGAATGCGCATAATCCATTGCAGCTCCTCCACCTTACCCTTTCTTTGCTTCGTATCCTCCGTATCAATCCCACCCCGAGTCCATCACAATGACATTTGACATCGACAATTTGCAAGATCTCACTGGCCAGGTCGCCGTCATCACCGGAGGCAACGCTGGCATTGGTAAGTCGGCAGGGACAACTTGAAGCTTGGAGCAACCACCCTCATCCCTCCCCCCCTCCTCTTCCGCAGGTGAGATCTGCTCTCAGCGCATCGCAAAGCACGGAGCCAAGGTCTATGTCCTCTGCAGATCCAAGCAGAAGTACGATGATGCTCTCCAGCGATGTCAAGACTACGACGCTGAGACTGCCAAGCGCTGGACCTACGTGCAGTGCGATTTGGCGGATCTGGAATCTGTCAAGGCGGCTGCCGAGACTATCAAGAGCAAAGAAGATCATCTTGACATGCTCATCAACAATGCTGGCGTCATGGCAGTCCCTTACAGCCTCACCAAACAAGGTCTGGAGATCCAGTGTGGAACCAATGTCGTCGGCCATGCTCTCCTCTCCTACATGCTCTTGCCTCTCCTCGTCACCTCTGCTCGCAAGCTGGCAGGTACAGGGCGAAGCGTGCGAATGGTCCAGCTCAGTAGCATTGCCCACTCAAAGTTCGGCAAAGGTTTGCCGCAACACAGTTGGGAGAATCTGGAGAAGGTCAACCAGGATTGTGGAGGCACCTGGGGCCGTTATGGAAAGAGCAAGGTCGGCAATATCCTCTTGGCTAATCAGCTGAAACAGCTTACTGCAAATGAGAACATGAGGTGCGTATGACCCCGACAAACTACTGCGCGCAGCTCGCCAGCTCATGTGATATGCGCCCTCCCCTCGATCAATTGCTCTCCTCGCCACAGCCACCTCTCCATCCACCCAGGCTACGTCAACACAGGCCTTTACAATGGCCTCGACCAATCGTATGGCTTCTTTGGCAAGGTATTCAGGACACTCGGTTCCAAATTTTTTCTCGTCACACCCGCCGAAGGCGCCAGCTCCTCCATTTACGCTGCCGTGTCTTCTGAGATCGACGAGAAGAATCTCAATGGCACTTATTTCGATCCCAAGACGAAGATCGGTAAGGCTGAGCCCTGGGCACAAGACAAGGATGGAGTGTTGGGCAAGCAGATGATCGACTTCTGCAAGACTTTTTGCAAGGAGAAGGTGGGGGTTGACTTCGATGCTCTCGCTCAGGAGGCGCTGGAGAAGAAGTGAGCGCATCGGGCATGGAGCTCTTGCGCAGTGCGCCTATCCGGTCGCTTGGCTCTGCTCGATCCACTGCTTGGATACCGATAGCCGTTATCAGTGAGAAGCTCGCCGTTATCGTGGGCGGCCACCTCTTGTCTCCCGTTATACCCTCTGTTCAATCAATATGTGATATCTCTGGTCAAAGCGAGGTGTACGAGATGTACCAAGTCCCAGGTAGCGGCGGGCAAGGGGTCGATTGCGGGCCGCACTCACAGCGGCGCAGGTACCGTACCTGATGACCAATTGGCAATGCCGACCTGGGTTTGCCCTGACAGAGCCGCGGAAGAATGACGCCATAGAGAAAGCCGGTGCGGGGAAAGGGATGTTGTAATGAGGTACCAGTGATCCGGAGAAGTGCAACGGTGGGAAATGAATATTTCAGCCCTCCAGGACGGTAACTGAGGAATGGTATAGGGAGAGGGGCGGACCTTATCTCGTGGGGGCTGCCCTTGTACTTATACCACCGTAGTCCCACTTTGTCCCCTATCTCTGGTCTGGAGAGGTATATAGGTCAGCTGGTCTCGTCAGATTCCACCCTGCTGTTCCTACCGACAGCAATAGCAGTATCATCATCCAGCCTACAGCAGGGCCCTACCCTTTTTCCAACTCGTCGCACTCTTCACATAGCTTCTCTAAGGTATCGGTAGCTGTACTGGTGTACTAGTAGCTGCACAAGACTGCAAAGGAATATACTCAGCTGCACGAGCACGCGTCCAGCTGCACCCGCACGTGCCTCACGATACCAGCTACCACTGGTCCGGAGTTGAGCACAAGACGCAGGTCTGTTCCCGATCATGGAGGATCCGAAGCTCTCGGAGAAGGCTAGTGGCTCTCCCGTTATGGAAGATAGACCTGTTGAGAAGGTGAAGGAGCCTTCCAGCAGCAGTGATGAGCCGCCTGCGCACGACGCGCATCTCGACAGTATCCTTGACGAGAAGCGCGACCGCAGCGATGAGAAGGTCACACTCGACGAAGAGAAGGCTCGAGCCATATCGCAAAGTGATGATGAATACGCTACCAAGTTCAACAAAGACGGGGAGCCTATCATCAATACTGGACATGACGTCAGTCGATATCTCGTCTCGATGCGGGACGACGGAGATGAAGCCATCACCTTCCGTGGACTGCTGATCGGTACCCTCTTGAACATCCTCAACAATATCACCATCAGTCTCTTCACTTTGAAGCCAACAGGGGCCGCATTTTCGGATGTATTTCTGATGCTCATCATCTACATCTTCGGTATCGTTTGGGCGAAGTGCCTTCCTCGAGGATCTACCGTCGCGGGCAAGCCGTACATCGGTTGGCTGGAGAAGCCGCTGCACATTCTCAACCCGGGCGACTTTGGGCTCAAGGAGCACGTAGTGGCCTTCATGATCTCCACTTTGGGTTATCTCGGTGGAAATGCTGCAGACACGCTTGCTACCTGCCAGCTCTACTTCAACATGCGAATCTCGACCACCGTAGCCGTGCTCGGAATCTTCTCCTTGACAATCTTCGGAGTGGGACTGCTGGGCTGCCTGCAATTCATGATCGTGGCTCCTTCTGAAGTCGTTTACTGGGGTCAATTGAGCTACACTGTTACTTTCCAGGCGCTTCACTTTGACGTCAAAGAAAATCCTCGAAGGATCAAGATCTTCAGTTGGTCGGTGATCACCGCCATGGTGTATGAGGTAATTCCAGCGTACATGATGCCCTGGCTTAACGGTCTCAGTATCCCCTGTCTCGCTTCGATTGGTGCTCCGGACAACATTCGAGAGCCATTTGGCAAGATTTTTGGTGGTGCTCTACCCAACCAGGGATTGGGCTACTTCTCATTGAGTCTTGACCCGCAGTACGTCGGTATCGGAAGTTTCGCCGGCTGGCCTATCAAGTATCTCGTGCAATACTTCGCTGGAGCCATCATTGGCAGTTTCTTCCTGTTGGCCTTCTACTACACCAATGCTTGGGAAGCCAAATCCTATCCATGGATGGCTGCGACACTCTTTCAAGGCAATGGCTCCCTCTACGACAACAGCGTGGTCTTCGATGAGAATTATGCACTCGACGAAGCTGCTCTGGCTACCTATGGCCTACCACACATGTCCGTTTCGCAAGTGTGGAGCTTCATGACGACCGCTTTGGCGTTAGGTGCTCTGATTACCCATGTCTTCATCTTCTTGACCAAAGAGGTCAAGGAGGACTACAAGCGTGCAAAGGCTGGTACACTCGATGATCCTCACTGGCAGGTAAGCAGGCGTTAGAAAAGCACTGAGAGACAGCGAATGCAACAAACACTAACATGTCTCCATTTTACAATCCTTCACCCTCTCGCAGGCTATGCAGAAGTACAAGCCCGTGCCCAACTGGTTCTACATTGGTACTTTTGTCCTCTCGATTCCCGCTGCATTCATCACCATCACCAAGGGTAATACTACTCTTCCTTGGTGGGGTCTGATCGTTGCCTTCATCTTCGGCGTGATCATGACTCCGATTTCGCTTGCCATCTACGGAAGGTACGGATCGGGTGTATCGACTATGATGGCTTCCAAGACAATCGCCGGAGCTATCCATCCAGGACGACCCGTTGCCAACCTTTGGTTCAACCAGTATGCGCACCAAGTCGTGGACTGCTGTGCGTCTCTCGCAGGGAATCTGAAGATGGGCCAATACCTCAAGATCCCGCCCCGTACCAACACCTTTGTACAGGTATACGGCGCTCTCCTCGGCGGCTACGTACAATGGTACATGGTAACAGGCCTGATCGACGACCATCGAGAGATCCTGCTTGATCCTCAAGGAGACCGACTGTGGTACGGTGGATACTATCAGGATCTCAATGCACAGGCAGTGCAGTGGTCGCTGGCATCTAAGGTCTTCGCGTTCAACACGGGCCTTCACTATGAGTGGATCCCGATGTCTTTCTTGATCGGCGCCTGTATCCCACCCCTCCACTGGCTGGCGAAGAAGTATATCAAGGTCATCAGAGACGCAGGGGACCTCATTGTGAGTTGCAGAAAGATGGCAAGACTGCTTTCCTCATGGGCTGACTGTCTCCTTCCCTTTCTCTTTTGCTTTCTATCACAGACGACGCCCATCTTCATGGACAACCTGTCTGTCCTCGGAGGTGGCATCAATTCTTCCTTTACGTCGTCAATCCTCGTCGCCGTCTTCTGTCAGATTTGGCTGCGTACGCGACACCCAAGAATCTACATTGACCTCAACTATCTGGTCGGTGCGGCAATCGATGGAGGTGAGTAGTGCTGAAGAGCGCAAAGTGACATGTACCGATCAGCGTGCTGACGGTTTTGACTCTTCGATACGCTGGACGCACACAGGTGTCGCTATCTGCCTCTTCATCCTCTCCTTCGCGGCTTTTGGCGCTGCGAACGGCAACAGCCATCTCTTCCCCACTTGGTTCGGCAACCCCGAGTCCGGTGAATCTCCAGACCATTGCTACATGCCTGCCTATGATGGTTGATGGGGGTGAGCTCTTCAAGCAGGCTTCCGCTGGCTGGGTACAGAGTATCGTGGCCATTTCCTCTGTCGCTAGCTCGCGCATGTGATCATCGAATCGAATCTAGTTGAATCTGCACAAGGGATCGTCTGATCTCTATGTGTCTGTTGTCGGGGGCTTAGGGCGGCTTCGGGTGCCTGGAATGTGACTAACACCGTGTGGGAGAGTTGACCCCTCCGGCAGCTCAAGTCATCATCGCGCCATCGGTCATGAAGACGATGAGCCGCAGTAGTCGATTCTTGCCTCTTGGCAGCGAATTGCAGTGCAAAGGCCAGGGCTAGGTGGTGCTCACCAGTGGGTGTCTGCGCCTATCGCCCCGCTTCGGCGGACGTCTCGGCCGGTGAGTGTCGCACGTCCGTGCAGTCCGCAACTCCGCTTTTCCGTCGAGGCGTGGGCGCAGAGGCTTGGCTGGGCCGAGGCTACCGTGACTTCCACTCCTTCCTCCTGGCCGCCCAATTGCCGACTTCGCTTCTGTCGTGTCGTCTCCCCCTCCCCGCTGACAGAGTCATGCCATCTCACATCGCATCCCAGCGAGTACTGGCAACCACTTACCGAAGCTATACCACAGCATCAGCCAACATAGCAGCAAGGACCTTCTCCACTGCTTCTGCCAGAGTACCCTCTTCCCGCCTCGCCTCGCCCAGAGTCGCAGCAGCTTCTTCTCCGCTCCTTCGAGCCTCCTCCACCTTTGGCAATACCACCCCTGCATTCACTTCGAGGACATTTGCTACCACGATGCCCGCCGCAAGCAAGATCAAGGTCCAGAATCCCATCGTGGAGATGGACGGTGATGAGATGACAGTCAGTACTTGCGGCGCACACGCAGACGCCAAGGCAGATGATGCGCGAGGCACATTTTGCTGCGACAACCGATGAGGGACTCACACGACTTCCATCGACTCCTTTACCCAATCCAAACTACTCACAGCGAATCATCTGGCACAAGATCAGGGAAGAGGTGAGGATTTGGGCGGAACCTGCGACAGACTCGTGCTTGATGACTCACATTCTCACCCGCTCTCCGGCCTCTTTTCTCTGACCCGTCCTGCAGCTGATTCTGCCTTTCCTGGACGTCGAGCTCAAGTACTATGATCTCAGCATTGAGAATCGTGATGCCACCGAGGATCAGGTGACAGTCGATGCTGCCGAGGCCACCAAGAAGTACTCGGTGGCCGTCAAGTGCGCTACTATCACCCCTGACGAGGCTCGAGTCAAGGAGTTCAACCTCAAGAAGATGTGGCTCTCGCCCAATGGAACCATCCGAAACATCCTCGGAGGTACCGTATTCCGTGAGCCCATCATTCTGAACTCCATCCCCCGGCCCGTGCCTGGATGGGTCAAGCCCATTTGCATCGGGCGTCACGCCTTTGGTGACCAGTACCGCTGCCAGAACTTTGTCGCACCGGGACCTGGAAAGTTCACCATGACCTACACTCCTTCCGACGGCGGTGAAGAGAAGAAGTGGGACGTCTTCAACTTCCCTCAGAGTGGCGGTGTGGGAATGGCAATGTACAACACCACCGAGTCCATCTCTGGCTTTGCGCACGCCTCCTTCAAAATGGCCATTGACAAGAAGATGCCCCTCTACATGTCTACCAAGAACACCATCCTCAAGGCATACGACGGAAAGTTCAGAGACACTTTCGAGGAGATCTTCGAGGCTCAGTACAAGGCCGAATTCGAGAAGCTAGGCATTTGGTACGAGCACAGGCTCATCGACGACATGGTCGCCCAGGCCATCAAGTCCGAGGGAGGCTTCGTCTGGGCTTGCAAGAACTACGACGGAGATGTAATGAGTGACATCTTGGCCCAAGGATTCGGCTCTCTGGGTATGATGACCTCGGAGCTGATCACTCCAGATGGACAGATCATGGAGAGCGAGGCGGCCCACGGAACAGTCACGAGGCATTACCGTGAGCACCAGAAGGGCAATGAAACCTCGACCAACTCTGTGGCTTCCATCTACGCCTGGACCCGTGGACTGAACTTCCGGGGCAAGCTGGACGGTAACAAGGAGCTGCAGATCTTTGCCAAAGAGCTCGAGACTGCCTGTGTGGATGCCATTGACCGTGAGGGTGTAATGACCAAGGACTTGGCACTGGCAAAGAAGGGAAAGCAGATGCAGAGGTCCGACTATGTCACAACGACTGAGTTCCTCGACCACATCAGGGAGTCCCTCAAGGAGAGGCTTAGCAAGAGGGGTATCGCTGCCGGAAAGCTATGAGATGTGCGGCGACATGAGGGTGGTCTGTGAGACATCAGGGAGGACAGCTGGGACCTTTGCCTGTAGCATTCGATTACAATATCAGTTCTTAATCTGTCATTCTCGGTGCTCGATTTTTGTTGTACTTCGCTGCCTGCACCTCGGAGATGTACGGAGTTGCTGCTGCATCTCTGCGTGGCCCTTGCGCGCCTCCACTGCAGCACAAGTGTCGAAGCGACGTGACAAAGTCTTGTGTACCACGACTGCCACTTCTTCCTTGGTTCGTCACATCAACCTAAGAAGCCGCGACGTCAGAGAAGCGTCTCGCCAATCCCTACGCTCCTCTGTCGCCATGGTCCCATCATCGTCTTCCTCGCCCGGTGGCTCCTCCTCAGCCCACAGCAGCACCACGCCCACCATGATCACCTCCCGCAAAAGTGGAGTTCCGCACACCCTCTCCGAATGGTTCTCCTCGCCTCCAAATACCGATCCCTCTCTTCCCTCTCCCGATCGAATCTCCCACCGACAGTTGCGCATCTCGGATTGGACCATCACTTCTTCCCGTGGAGCGATTGGGAACTCGGCTTACATGGAGGGGCTGGGTGAGAAGTTGGGGATTCCCCCGCCGGAGATGGTCTTTCCTAGCAATAGACTTGTGCTGCGCCACGAAACAACTGGATGGGAGTACGTCTTTGGAGTCGAGAAGGCTCTAAGGTGTGTTGATGGCGTGAACGGGGATTGGAGAGTTCAGGGAGTGGATCTTAGTCAGGAGTGGAGGGGACAGGCTAGTGGTGGTGCTAGTGGGACGGGCAAGAAGAGTACGACGCAATTTGGAGAGAAGCCCGATAGGAAGAAGAAGAGCAAGGGGATAAAGGTTGCTTATGCTGACGAGTGGGGGAAGAGCCGGTGAGTAGGGGATCGGCAGATGAACACAAAGCTCTGGTGAAGGGGGAGCTCACTATCGATCCTCCGCTCCTTTGTTGTTCTTAGCGAGCCGACCTCTCAGTCGACCACCTCTACAGCAGCAGCAGCTTCGCCCACCTCAACACCTCCAACTACAGCATTCGGGGCAGCGGCCGCAACACAAATCGCCGATGCCAGAGACTACGATTGGACCTACTCTACCACCTGGGCCGGTGAAGCGGGGCGGTCCGCCAGCTCCAGCAGTACCTCTTCCCCTCCTTCCTCTGAGACTCCCACCTTCACGCCTGGAAAGGACCCGACCGTCGATCGGATACCTGTTGAGCGCTTGGGTGCTTCTAGTGGCGAGCCGATACTCTTTTATGATGACCTGGTCTTGTTTGAAGATGAATTGGGGGACAATGGGTCGAGTATGCTGGGAGTCAAAGTCGTGAGTCTCGAGGGGAGACCAGCGACGATACAAGTACGGCGCACAGACTGTCATGCTGATGTCTCATCCTTGCTCCCCTTTGCGTTGCTGTTCCTGTAGCGAGTAATGCCTTCTGGCTTCCTCGTTCTGCAACGCTTCCTGCTCCGCGTAGACGATGTAGTCTTCCGACTCTTCGATACAAGAATGTACTGTGCCTTTGACGAGCAATCCCAGGGAGCCACATTGTCTTCTTCCTCGGCGACTCCAGCGCTTCCACAGCCCGGAGCAAGGCCAGGGAGCACGGTAGCTCCGCCAGCAATGGCTCCCTGGGCCTCGGGCGGTACTACTCGACCCCCACCGTCGACTAGTGCTGCGCCAAGTCTGCCCAGCCTGGGAGGTCTATCTCTCGGACAGCCGAGACGAACTGGAGGCGGAGCTCCCCAGGTCGGTCATCCTGCAGCTTCTACACCAGCGTCTTCGGGCGCAGGCCATGCGAGTTCCGCAGCGTCAGTCGAGCAGAGGCTGATCAGGGAGTGCAGCGGTTGTGAAGCACCTTACAAAGATGTGAAAGCAGTAAGTCTTTCGCAGCGTCTCTCGGTCCTTCCCCTTGCAAGCTAATCGGCTGACAGGTCCTATCATCTCTGCTCCTCTCAGCGCCTGCCCGCCTACAGACCCAATGACCTCTCCCTCCTGACCGACAGCAACTGGGTCTCTACGACTCTGCAGAACCTAGCCGCCAAACAATTTGCCGCCTTTCAATCTTCCAACACCCCAAGCAAGAGCAGCCAGAGTAACGGAAAGACCACCACCACCACCACCACATCGGGTCTGCCGGCCTTTTCGGCTTCTTCCTCCTCTGTAGCCAGTCGACCTGCGCAGCCTCCCACCCAGGCACCGCCGAATGCTCTCTTGAGTCAGACGCTCGCGCCGGCTAGACTGCCCGGTCATCCCACTGGGAATGAGGCGAGCGGTGCGCCGCAGAACGTTGCGCCCCCGAGTGGGATCGTGGGCGAGATGGATGGGGTGGCAGCGGAGGAGATGTGGGAGGGCGTGGGTGGAAGGGTAGACGTTGTCACTTTTGGTGGGGCTTGAGAGCAAGACTGGAATAGACATAGAGAGAGTGTGAAGTGTACGAGTCAGGCGTGAGATGAGAATGCATGAGTGAGATTGACATGGTATGATAACGCCGCTATGAGAAGGGACAAAGTGCGCAAACAATAGCTGTAGCCCGCGGGTTGCAGGGCGTTCCCTGACACAACTCCCTCCAGCTACCTCATTCAATGCCTTCGAACTCCCTACAAGCCATTGACTCTGCTCTTGCTCATCGGCGACGAGGAGGGCTCGGCGAACGGGATCGAGAACGAGATGGCGATCGCGATCGCGAAGGAGAGTCTCGCCTCGCCGCTGCCGCCCTCCGCGGAGGCGGAGGAGACCTCGATTCTGACCTCGATCTCGAGTGTGAGCGTGAAGGCGAGCGAGAGTAGGATCGCGAGCGTGATCGTGATTGTGATCGTGACCTAGATTCTGAATAGGAGCGTGAGCGCGAGCGGGAAGGCGAGCGCATGGGTCGACGTCTTACATCCGATGTTCCTGCTGCTGCTGCTGCTCCTTTTCTTCGTGGTGGGAGGGGAGATCGAGAGCGCGAGTAGGGCGATCTGCTCCTACTTATGCTCCTGCTTCTACTTGGGCTGCGACCGCGGCTGGGCGCCGTTGCTCGAACTTTGGCTGGAGCGGGCGATGGACTTCTCGAGAAGGATCGCTCACTGGGCGATCGTCTTCTGCGCTTTGAGCTACCGACAGGGGCGCGACGAGGGCTGGGCGAGCGACTGTAGTCTGAGTTGGAGGGAGTGTAGCTCCTGCTTCGACGGGTGTCTCTCCTTCGGGCAGGCGGTGGAGAGGGAGAGCGTGAGTCATAGCTTGAGCCTCTCCTCTTCCGGGAGCGGGGAGGTGGGGTTGGGCTTCGTGAGTCGTAGTCCAGCGATGACCGTCGTCTTTGTCGCCTAGTGGCAGGCGGAGAAGGAGATCGACGACGGCTCGTAGGCCTGCCATCCTTCTGCGGTAGCGGATCCGCTGCTTTGCCGCTTGCCCTCTTCTCTTCGAGCTCTAGCTCGAATCGCTTTCTCTCTTTCTCCTGCTCCTCTCGTCTCTTGAGCAATTCTTCTTGTCTGTCCTTCCAGGCCTGCTGCCTCTCCCTTTCTCTCTGCTGTCTCTCTTCATTTCTCCTCTGCCACTCCTCCTGCTTCTCTATCCTCCTCTTTTCCTGGTAGTCCTTGTCGAATGCCTGTCCTTCTTGGTAGTCGGACCTGATTCCCAGCGCTCTCCCGAAGCTCTCAGTCTCCTTGACTTTGGCCGCCTGTCTGGCATGTGTATCCGAAGGACGCAACGCTTTTGTCTCCTCTCGAGTAAGCTGACCGAATCTGCTACCGGCAGGCGTAGCGAGGGATGCGTTGAGCTGTTCGCGCAACTTGGAGATGCGCTCCTCGATCTCTTCCTCGTCTACGCCCTGGTCTTCAAGATCAATCCTGAGCTCCATGCATCTCACTTCCACTTTTCGTTTCCGCTCATGGTCCAGTATTGCCTGGTCAGGTTGACGATGCTGTGCTCTATCATCATCTCCTCCTCGGCCACGGAAGTTGTCGGAATTGGAAGAAGAGGAGGGTCGCTTGGAGTAGGAGTCGTCCCGTACGCGGAGGTGGGCGGTGTTCTTGGTGATGTGGCCAGAGGTGCCCGAGCCTCGAGCGGTGAGAAGTCCGATGCCGTTGTACATTGCTGGCTTGCTCTCCGGGCCAGGCTATGCGAATCGAGGGTGTGAGATGAATATGATGGCGATGATTGGGGTGGAAGGAGGCAATGAATCGGATGGTAGTGGTGGCCTGAGCCAGTTGCCCGCGCGCAACGGAGACCAGGCTCATAGGACTAGTCTAAATCTAATGGCCCTGCCTCACCTCCCCGCTTCCTCCCAACCATCACCACCACCATCATCAGCTGTACATCACTGCTGCTCGTCTTGACCTCGACGGAGTCACAGACGAGTAGTGAAGGAGTCAGAGAAGGAGAAGCGAGCGTACTTGTGCATCACGGGATAAGGCAGGCAAAGGAAAAGGACATGAAGAGGTGAGAGCATGGACGAGAAGGTTTGGGATTCAGCGAGGCCGCTAACGCTGAGACATTCTACCGTCCAGATCGTACCCATACACAGGACCAGCAAGCAACACAGTACCATCGGGCAATCAGTATACTGGCCAACAGAGCCACACGACTGTTGCGCCTCCTCAGCCGGCAGCTCCTCCAGGATCGTCTTCGGCAGCGGCCAATCCAAGTGCTGCTGGTCCTGACTATTCAAACTACGGGTACGGCCACCAGCAACCTTCCTCGTCCAAGATGACTCCAGAGGAGCAGCAGGCCCAATGGCATCAGCAGTGGCAGCAGTACTACGCTCAGCAAGCTGCCGCCGCGGCTGCCACTGGAGGATCCGCTACCCCGCATCAGCAGCCGCATCAGCATCAGCAGCCCATGCAACATCATGCTGGCCCGCAAGCTCAACAGCCCTACGGAAGCTACCCGCAAGCAGCTGCGCCTCCCCATCAACAGCCCGCCGGCTTCTATCCTCAGCAGCAGCAGCAGCAGGGCCACCATCCTCAAGGGCATCCTCAGCAGGGTCAATATGCTCATGGACCCTATGGGGCTCCAGCCGTCTATCAAGGCGGCATGCCTGGCGCCCAGCAGCCAGCCGGTCCCAATCCACCCTACGGTCCTCAACAGCCACAACAAAACCCATACTACCCACCGCACAATGGCGCTCAGGCTGGGCCTATGATGGGAGGTGGAGGATCATCCGGACCGCCTGCCAAGCGTCAGCGCTTTGATGGTGCACCTCCAGGCGGCCCTAATTACAATGTCGGTGGGCCGATGCAAGGGTCAGGATATCCCCCTCAACAACCTGCCGCGCAGTGGGGTGGACCAGCGACTCCCAGCGGTCCCGCTGCGCCCTCCTCCTATGGCTGGCCGGGAGCTAGCAGTCCCACCCCAGGCCCTCAAATGATGGGAATGGGAGCCAATGGAATGAACGGCCCTTCTGGTCCATCCTCTCGAGGAGGAGGCGCCATGAGGACTCCCAGTAGCTCTAGAGGCGGATTTGGTGGAGTCAATGCGATTTCACCAGCCATGAACTCTCCCATGGGAGGGCAGAATGGTGGCCATCAGCAGGGAGGGGCGCCGTCCGTCAGGGGTGGGAGAGGTGGAATGGCTGCGAGCAACGGAGGTCCGCCCAAGATGCCCTCTCGCGGTCCGCAGGGCAAGGGAGGATCCGGTCCTGGCGGTTTCAATCAGCAACAGCAGTCATACCCCTCTAGGGGAGCGCCGGGATCTTTCGGTGGTCCGAGTGGGAGCAAAGGGGGAGCTGGGCCCAGCAATATGCGAGGAGGTGGCATGAACGCTTCGCGAGGAGGTAATCGCCCTGTCTCTGGTGCCTTCAGTCTCTCTCAGCAACAGAAATGGGGATCCGCAAATGGTCCTGCCAAATCTTCTTCCAATAAGCAACCACCCACTGGGCCAGGAGCAGCTCGCTCAGGCACGCCGGCTTCAAGCAAGGGCTCGCTGTCTCGGGCGCACGGCGGCAACGTCCCTTCGTCCCCTGCGCTGTCCAACAAGCCTGTGTCCATAGCTACACGTGCCGCCGGTGTCAACGACCAGCCCGTTCCCAGCACGTCCAAGCGTACCTTCACTGACTTCCGGATCAAGGCTGTGGAAATCCCAGTTCTCGACTGGGCCTGGAGCTTGCGAGGCGACTTCGAGAGAGAAGACGAGGACAACGAGAAGCTAGAGACTCAGGAGGATGGAGATGATGGCGATGCCGCTAACGAGTCAGAAGATGAGCAAAACCAAGGCGGAGTGGAAAACGAGGTCACCATTGCAGGCAGCGACGAGGAGAGTACTGCTGGCGACACTTCACAAATATCTGCAAAGAACGGGGGGCAGGCGAGCGCAAAGAGACGTGCTTCAGCAAGCAAGCAGAGCGTCCCCGATTCAAGCGCACGGTTGCCTCCTCGCGGTCCCGCTGCTGAATCATCAAAGAAGGAGACATGTCGACTGCGGATATGTTTTGCAGCCGTCACAGCTTCGCCTCCAGTCGGTGCACCCAGTGGACCCAAGGCTAATATCTCTGCTCCTTCGGGGCCCAGTGCTGATAAGAAGCACAAGAAGCCAAAAGCGGAAGTCAAGGAGGAGCCTGCGGATGAGGAGGCAACTGGTTCTGTCGCTGATGCGACCGAGCCCTCTGAGCCTATCAAGGACGGACAGTCTTCGACTGGGTCGAAAAAGAAGAAGAAGAAGCGTGGCAACGCCGAAGCTGCCGTAAAAGTCGAAGGTGAGGAAGAGGAGAAGCCTTCGACAGATAGAGATGCGGGTGCGGATGCTGATGCTGATGCCGAGATGGCCGTGGATGAAACCGCTGCGATCAAAGCAGAAGACAAGCAAGACATCAAGGTTGGAGAGGCCGCCTCGATGCGAGAGGTTGCTCCTACCATCCCCACTGTAGAAGGCTGGTCAGGCTACACGAAGACACCACCTCAAGGCTCACCCAACAGGGTGAGCATCTCATACTTCGGCACAAAGCGAAGGCTTGTCATCGATGCAGAAGTCGTCAAGGCACTGAAGGTCTTGCGAGCTGAAGGCAGAATTGAGATCATTGTCAGCGTTACTCCCTCTGTTGGGAGCCTCAAGGGAGACGCCGAGGAAGGAAAGGAGTGGATGCTCTGCAAAGGAGTCCTGGTGAGCTGACTGTCGGAGTGGGGTGGGTTCGGAGCGACGATAGCTGACGCCTTTATCCACATCCATGACAGATTGAGACTCGAGACCGTGATTCGGACCACTTTGCAGCCCTAGCTCGCCCCGATCTGCAATACGCATGGGACAACGAAACTGACTTAGAGCCAAGACCCGAATCGACCAAGCAAGGCAAGAAGTCGAAAGGCAGAAACGGGAGACAGACTCAGCAGACGCCGCAGAAGAAGAAGCAGAAGCGTTCCACTACAGTAGGTGACGATCATCAGAGCGGCGATGAAGACAATGATGATGCTAGTGGCGACGATGAAGCCGAAGGAAGCGTCGCTGCTACTACAGCTGCTGACGAAGAGGAAGAAGACGAGGTGCCAAAGGTAGAACGATCAGAAGAAGAGATGCTCGTACCCAGTGGGCCGTACAACACCCTCCCGCCCTTGTTCCGTCTGGCTCAGAGTAGCAGCGGAGTAGACGGGAGCACCGTCTCAGACAGCCTCGACGCTAGTGCTCCGCCTCAGGAGCTAGTGATCAACGTCTACCTCGACAAGCTTGCGCCCCTAAGCGAAGCAAAGTGGCTGAAGACGGGCGACGTTGAAGACTGGCTGTCCGCCCTGCCCGGCTTTGCTCATTCTAGACTATCGGACCAATCCTGGCATCAGAAGATTCACGTAGATGATCCGGACCCGCCTCCCACCATCTTCGACGTTTTCGCCGACTGGGGCACGAAGTCTTTCCTGGGCACTGGTCGGGATCGTCGCCGCTTCGTCCTGGACTGTCTTAGTGACTCCAAAGGCCAAGTCGAGATCCTGTGCAGGCTCGTTCGAGGGGAGAGAGCCAGTACCGTGTCTTCAAAAGAGCTGGCGGTCGCTGGAGGGAGTGGGAAGAGAAATCCACTGGCAGAAGCTGCTAAGATGACGTCCTTCACGTCTCATCAGACGCACCTCTCGCTAGCTGTCATGGCAATGTTCGGCCTCACGGCAGAGTACGCCGAAGCTGCTGGAGAGAAGCAAGAGAGCTTCGATGGGAGAATCAGTGAGATCCTGATGGGGCTACCACAGAATCTGGTCTTCAAGGCATTAGATGGTTTGGTGAGCAGTCGTGGCAAACGTGGCGAGGAGGCCGAGTGCGAGTACTCGAAAGGACAAGATCAACTGACAAGTCACTACTTCCGCTTGCTACGATTGTAACTTTACCCTGACTTTCGCCCACAGTGGAAGGAAGTGATGGAGAAGAATGCCAGAGTCAGCGCAGCCGCGGCGAGAAGTGCTGCATCTTCGATAAAGAGCAGTGCTGCCTCAGCCTCGTCTAAAGCTACTCCGACGTCCAAGCAGCCAACGCCTGTAGGACCTTCGACAGCTGGCGCTCCTTCGCAGAAGCGCAAAGCCTCGTCAGGTCCGGCAGCCGAAGATGCTTCCCCGTCTGCGAAGGAGAATGGCTCAGGTGGCGCAGCTAAATCGACTTCACCTGCGACGCCGTTGCAAGCTGCGGGGCAGGAAGGAGGTAGCAGTAGCAAGAAGGCCAGAAGCGGTAGCCGCAATTTCGCTTCGACTCCAGCTGCTGCTGGTGCTGCTCCTTCAGAGACCATCTCTGCGTCGTCTGACGCCTCTAAAACTGAGGCCGAAGCCGAGAATGGAGATGAGGAGGAGGAAGAGGAAGACGAGCTAGAGTCTGAGGCTTTGCAAGAAGGTCGGGACGAGGGTGCTGCACACCGCGAAGACGAAGGGGACGAGAAGACTGCCGCTGCCGATGCCTATGCTGATGAAGCGGAAGGTGAAGAGCAAGCAGATGCAGACGAAGTTGATGGCGACCAGGAAGACGGCGGTGATGAAGAGGCCGAGGAAGAGGTGGAGGAGGAAGATGAGGGGGAGGCCCCATCTGTGCATGTGGAGACACATGGTCCCGCGGATGAAGAGCAGGAGGGGGAGGGGGAGGCAGTCGTCGTTCTCGAGCGAGACAACGGAGAGGAAGAGGAGCAGGGGTAGGAGGGTTGCAGGAAAGAAAGGCTGGGCAGGCACGAGGGAAGCCATGAGCCTCTACACCGTGGTTCTTGTTGCCCGCTCCGTGTATCCTTCTTTCCCAAGCTTCATCGAGCGTCATCCTCTTCTCTGACCATGTAGCTCCAATTGTCTCACTCTATCGGCCTGTGTCAAAGTAATCCATTGCCTTTGTATCTATTAGCTATGCGTGCGTGTCCCATTGTATACATGTATGCATTGCAACAGTCGTCTCTCCCCTCTATCTCCCCTCTCCGCCCTACCCCTGCCAAGGCTTAGTCCCAAACTTCATCAATCCTCCCCCTCGCCACGGCAAAAGCTGGAGTGATCCAAGCACCGCACCCACACTGCATTCCTGCCCAATCCCAATTGCCCAGCTTGGCACCACAGCGTGGAGCATTGGGACAGAGGAGCTTACCTGACAGATGACCCGAGGAGAGGGAAGAATTGGTTGCGACACTGCCCGTGGAGTCACCTTTGCTCTTGGTGGCACTGTTGCTAGTGGTACTAGAAGGGGGATCCTTTTTGGAAGTGGAAGTGGAAGTGGAGGAAGGAGGAGAAGAGCCAGAGCCAGAGGCGTACATCCAGTCTAGTGGCTCTAAGAAGTAGGATGTGCAAGCAGGGGAGTGGAGGATAGCCCGGCGATTCTGGCTCTGGCTCTGGCTCTGTCCTTGTCCTTGACCCTGTCCTTGCTGGGAAGTAGAAGCCGAAGGCGACGCTCCATCGGCGGCTCCCCGCTTGTGCTCGGCTTGCGCCTCTCCATCGCTAGAAGGAGGGACCGCTCCTGCTCCTGCTCCGGGCTCCCCTCCCCCTGCAGCGGACGTGGTTCCTCCGCCCATTCCCATCCTCCCCCTCAGCCGCTCCATCGCAATACGATTCTTCTCTCTGCTATCCTCGAGCGCTTTCCTCTGAGCGTCCTGCGTACCAGGAGGAGCACGGCCTGCTCGCAGAGCTGCCAGGTGCGGTGGCAGAGAGGCTGTGAGGGATGCGGCGGACTGAATTGGTCGGCCAGCTGGTGGGGAGGCAGGCGTGGGTGGGTCTATCGTCATGGAGGAGTCTGCTCCTGATGGTTGACCGTCTACTTGAGGAGAAGATGCGTCTTGCTGCGGCTCTGAGGATTGGTCATCTGCTGTTCCAGTTCCGTCCGGTAGCTTAGCGGACGTCTCGTCGTCGTCCTCGTCGCTGTCTACGATCCGACTGCGTCTCAAGCTCCCAAACATCTGACTCATGCCCAGCTTCTCCTGCTCGCTCCTCGAAGCCTGTCCCCCGCTCCCGCTCCCACTACCCCCAACCTCCTCGGCCGCCTTGGGTCCCCTCATCTCCTTTCTCCTGTTCTTGACATCAAATGCCATGATGCCCTTGCCCGGCTCATGCTCCACAATGTGATCCCTTGCGGCAATCTCTCTCCTGCACATCTTACACCTCAGTCTTGGTGTTCCTCTGAGGTAGTCTGGCTTGGGTAGAGAGCCACTACCGGAGCGCGACTCGTGGCCGCGAATAGAGGGCACACCTCCGGGCAGCCGGAAGCCGCGTGAGCGAGCAATGAGGACCTCGTGCGGAGAAGTGATCGAGGTGGCCCAAGAAGAAGAGGATGTGCCGGTGGGGGGACTGGCTTCCGCATCGGCAGCAAAGAGGGCGTCTGTATTGCCTGGCATCGGTGGAGAGATGGAAAGGTCGGCTAACTTGCCCGTCTTGCTGTCCCTGACTGTGCCCTCTCCGACTGTAGAGCGAGAGCGCCGACGAATCATGGGCCGGCGAGGGGATTCCACAGATGAAGTCGAGTCATCCACATCTCCATCGATGGAGCTGAGGGGAGCGAGGTTGAGGCCGTGTGGTCCACTGCTACTGCTGCTGTTTCTCCTCGATCTGCCTCCCAGTGTAGAGCCTGACATGCTTCCCGAGGGACTGTGAGCGGGCGAGGGAAAGTAGCTCATCAAGATGTCCTCGACACTCCCACCATTGAGGACATCGACTTTGCTCATGAGGAACCTCCTAATGGGCGCATGTCTCAGGTCCACTTGGTAACCTGCTTGCTCGAAGAGGGAAAGCTGCTCCATGAAACCACTGTTGGGCTCTGCTTGAGCTCGACGAGCGCGGACCATACTTAGAGCAGCGTCCCTGGAGCACTTGCGCGTGGCCATAATGTATGCTACCACTAGAGCTACACTCCGTGAGCAGCCCGCCTGACAATGTACCAGTACAGTACCTTCGCCCGTCGTCTCCCAATGACCCCACTTGCCATCCGAGGACCTTTGCTCGTCCAAGGGAGCTCCTTGCTGTCCTTCAACCCATCTCTCCTGCAACACTTCTTCGAGAAAATCATTAACAGCAGGAAACTGCACCAGAATGGGCTCCGACTCCTCATCGTCGATGGACACATGACGTTGGTGTTCTGCGAGGATTCTACGGCCGCAGGGAAGAAGGGGCGGAGGAGGTAGACGCTGCTTGAGGGCAGTGACGATGTGGGTTACCCCCGCGAGGGAGAGGTATTCGGTGGAGAGGGCACAGGCGAGATCGCCCACCCAGAGGCCCGGTAGGACCTCGTCCATCGTCTACAGTAGTCAATGGGTAGAAGTTGGGAAGCAGGGAGGTGAAGAGGGTGCAAGGAGGGACAAAGGGAAAGCAGTGAAGCGCTAAGCTGACCAGGGGAGCCTTGTGCGGTGTGGTTGTGAGAATGAGGCGGCGTGCGAGCGGGGCAGCTGCCGACGTCGGGACGCGGAATTTGAGCTTCACCGGACTTCGGGATTTGCGGGGAAGAAGAAGCACAAGCCAAGCCCACTCAGCATTAAGATCGTAAAGATTCACACTTCTTTCTCTTTGGTATGTATGTTACAAGTGACTACAAGCCCTTTCACACCGTCGATCTCTCCCAATTCCAGCTCAGTCGCTATCATCCAACAATGACTTCCCACTCTTCACGCTCGAATGACTTGTGCTCCTCGCAAAATCCGGTCGCCGGCTGGGCAGCGGTGGAGCTTGAGACTCTCCAGCTGTGCCCGCACCAGCACCAACAGCAGGGTGACCAGCACTCGAAGCGGCAGAAATGGCGCTTGAAGGGACCGAAGGACGAGGGGGAGGAGCCTTGCGTGGCACGTAGCTCACAGGGGTAACAACAGGTGCACCACCCGATCGCGGAGGTGCCGGCGGAGGGTCTCTACGTCCTGTCGGTGCTAGTGCACTGGAGCCGGCCTTGGTCGTCGTCACCGAGCTTGGGTGCTCAGGTGGAGAGGAAGACGACAGACCAGAATCACTGCGACTGTCCGCGCTATGGCGGAGGATGAGCGTTCTCGTCTTCGCGCGGAACGGATTGAAGTCGTTTCGACCATTGCGATGTGTTGAAGAGTCCGAGGACGAATCATCTTCGCTTTCGTCGCCAGTCGAAGAGTCTGTAGACCCACTGGAGATCGAAGACGCATCGTTGTCAAACCAATTGTGCACACCTGGTGCATCTCCCGATGGAGCAGGCAAGTGCTCGTCGTCCTCGTCATCGTCAAGGTCAGAAGAATAGCTGGCAGCCCTCGAGCGCTCCTTGCCGGCGACACCCAAAACAGGCGGACCGCCCAGCCCCCTCGCTTGCCTCGATTTTGCAGCAGAGAGAATTTCCCTCCTCATCGCATTCCGCTTCTCGCGATCGAATATTCTCACCTCCGCCTTGAACGTAGCATACACAGGCCTATGGTCCGACGTCTTGATCTCTGCTCTGAAATATGAGGTTTGATTGAGCTGGTGGCCCCTGCCACTAGCCTCGCTGCTATGCGCATTGCGGCTGTAAAGAATACGATCTGTCCAGGCAGGCACACGTTGCTTCTCCGAAGAGTCGTAGACGTCTGTGCCGACATCGTATTTGTAGGTGGGGCGGAATCCCACCTGTCCCTCCTCGAACCCTGGAAAAATGGCTCCTGAGTAATGAGCCCTGCGGAGCTGGTCGTGAGCAGCCAATGCCTCGTAATCATCCGTCTGAGCTAGGGCTCTACATCGATCATTGGGTAGATCTATGCGGTAGTTGAAGTCGCCCAGCCAGATGACATGGTCATGCCCTACTAAGTTTTTGCCCCTCTGGAAGTTGAGACCTCGTTGGATTGTCCAATAATCAGCATTGCGCTCTTCTGCATTCGAATGGCCGGCGGCGAAGTGGGCAGTGACAAAGCAGAATGTAGAGTCGTGGAATGTCAGCCTGATGGCGACTCCACCTTTGTTGCCGCTCATCCCTTTGAGACCAGTCTTGCGGGTCGTCGCTTCCACCTGTCGAATATGTCCAACCACGGATGACTTGACAAGTATGACAAGCGCGGTCCCGACCAGTTGCTCGCTGCGCATGATGAGATAGTCAGATCGCTTGTCGGGTCGTCGGCCAAGCGTGTCAAGTATGACACCTTCCCACACTCGAAGCTTTGCTGGGTCTGTCAACAGGATCTGCTGAGGCGACAGAGGGACGATCTCCTGGAAGCCAATTGCGTAGACGTCTGGCTCCTCGGTCATGCCGGGAGGCATCAGCCATGGCAGGAGGCTCTCGCCAGGCGCCTTGGCGTTGAGATTCCATGTCCCAACAAAGACGTTGATTTCAGATTTGGTAGAGTACTCGTCCAAGCGTGAGGTCAGCTCCGACGCAACTGAGTCGTGCAGTGGGTCATACACCTCTACACTTCTTTGATTCGCCATGTTGCCCAGCAGCGCATCGATGACATTCTGCTTTCCCTTGTCTTGAAAGTTGTTGATGTACATCCTGCCAGCGCTCTTGGCAGCATCGCTCAAGAAGGAGCCTATACTCTTCTTTGCATTGCCTGTACGTGTGTAAGTCGTATTGAGGGCGCCTGTGCCGGCGTAGATGCGCGAGAGTGCGTCGCCGTTCTCGGCCCAAAGAACGCGATGATGAGCCCAGAGAGGATGAGAACTACCGCCAAGGGGCTGAAAGCTCTCTCTATGCCGTCCGGCCTTGTCGAGGAACTCTTCCAGGACCGCTTCGGACAGGAATGCTTCGACTACGTTGGTGCGATCGAGGCAGTCCAGGCAATTTGTCCGAATCACCCCGTTTTGGCGTCTTCTGACTGTGCCTGCGCTATCCACAATCGTGCAAGAGAATGCCTCTCTCTTCAGTCTGATAGGACCCAGCAGCTTCAACTCTGATCTGACCCCGTCCAGACTACCCGACAATCGATTGACAGCGTGGAAGTCGAAGTTGGTGATCCCTATCCTCTCCTCCTGATCCAGACCCTCTGCCTCTGCTTCATCTGCAGGGGGCGTGGCTAGCTCTACTGCAGCAGACATGCGAATGTGCTCAGCGTAGGCGGCAGATAGGATTGTCTCTGCATCTCTCGCACCGAGTAGATTCAGTGCGTGGACTCGAGAATAATGCGAGAGTAGATCGGCAAAGTGCCGATCGAAAGCAGGCTGAGAGGCCTGCCTCGAGCGAGTGACCTGAATCCGAGCTGAGAAGGTCTGCAATCCTTGTTGCTCCCAAAAGAGCGGGACCGAACCTCGTAGCTGAACGTAGCTCATGGAGACGCCTTCATGGTTCAGGATGGTCTCGCTCTCCACAAAATTGGCAACGTTGCCATCATCGTCTACTCCCCGCGTGTTGAAGCGCGTACCAGCTCTCTTCCAGCTGAGTCTGCTGACCAGAGCAATGGAAGTGGGCTTGCTGGGTAAGCTGCTAGATCCAGCGAGATGAGACTGTGTCATATCGAAGACGGCAGCATAGCCTTGGATAGCTAGAAGGAAGAGCCCTTCCTCGTCGAGCCTATCCCTCTCTGGCTGCTCGAGCCTATTCCTGAACTCCATCAGGGGATGTATCATAAAGGTGTTCCAGACGAACCGCCCGTCGTACTGCGAAATGTCGTGCGTCTGATGGGGATGCCTAGAAAGCCGCTTCTCGAGGCGAGTCGAGATATCAAAAGATCCGTTGGCGGCGTAGTAGAACGATCCCATCCCCAATAGTCGCTTCAGACTTGCGCAAGGATGCTCGACTGGCCCAGAGGACGCAGTTGAAGAGGACTGAGGTAGAATGGCATCGTACGGGTCAAGGGCACCTCCATTCTCCATGTAGCCTGTCTGGCTGAGCAGCTCCGGAGCATCGAGTCCGTCCCAGGTCGGGCGATTGACGCAGAAGAAGGCAACGGAGCCAATTGACTTGACCACTTCTCCTGGTCGGATGGACCCCACTTCGGAGGCATGCGTGACTACACACAGGAACAGGTCTGGGGCGAAAAGTTGGGGTCAGAAGCTGTGAGAAGTAGCGCTCGCGAAGAATGTCCTTCTCTCTGTCGCCCTACTCACCACTGGCGACGTTCATTAGCCCCAGGCAGCCAGCCGGCGTGTGCCCCATTGCATCATCCTCTGTCAATCTGACGCAGCTAGTAAAGTCGACGTCCTGTATGGAGACCATCTCCACTACCGCCCTCGCTGCATTCATCGCCGAGGACGATGATGAAGAGGACTCCCCACCGTAGCTGGTTGTGTTCGAGGCCGCACCGGCTGCCGCGGTAGAGATGACCAGGACTGACCTTCCGCTCTGGGCGGAGAGGGTGGAATTGACGAGGTAGAGACATCGCGGCGACTGCCGAAGCCAGACGTGCATCGTCGCAGAGGAGGCGACGCACCCTTGCGTCTGAATTCGCAGCTTATCGTTCCAGCTATCGCGGAAGTAGAGGATGGTGCAGCGGTAGGGTGATGATCAATGGGTAGGATGAATGCCTCCTTGGCCCCCTTTGTGCGGGGTGCCACTGCTTCGGTCGAAGGACGGCGGCTGTGCGCCAACGACGGAAAGGGCGAGTGTCGTGCACTCCACACAGATTGGCAGGACACAAGCGAGGCAGCAGCAGCAGCAGCAGCACCTCATTGCTCCTCTCACTCACGACGCTGCCGAGGGGAGTGGCCCAGAGATGGTGCTCAGCTCTGACGCTTATCGCATGAGCTGATCACACTCGGCACACACCAGCGCTGTGCTTCTTCCTTGCTTCACCATACCGACCACGACGCCTCTGCAATGACTTCACGCAACGTTCTCATCTGGAACCCTGCAGCGGGCGCACGTCTGGCTGCCGAGATTCTCGCACTGGTCCGGCAGAGCCTCGCCGAGAGCGGACAGACCTTTACAGAGTATGAAACAGACGCTCCTGAGCATGCCAGCAAAATTGGAGTTGAGCTTCGGTCACAAGCACACGGCGAGTCAGCGAGCGAGCCTCTTACCGTGATCCTTCTCGGAGGCGATGGCACCACGCAAGAATTCTTGAGCGGCCTTTTCGAGAGTTGCTCGGATCAGCAGCAGCTTCCTGACTTGCGGATTGTACTAGTCCCCACGGGTACGGCCAACGCTCTCTATTCTGCCCTCTACCCGCCCGCCTCTTCCTCGCGGCACGAGCCCTTGGAAGACTCTACGCAGCATGGCTGGCGCCTGCGCTCGCTGCGAGCCTACATCTCCTCTCTCAAACCTGCAAAGGCCGAGGGATCTTTCCGACTCTACCCGCTGACTCTGGCGAACACAACCGTCCATGAAGAAGACTCAATACCCAAGGAAGTCCTCACTCACCTCATCACCTCCCATGCACTACATGCAGCCATCCTGCGCGACTCCGAGGAGCTGCGTGAGTCGCATCCCGGCATTGAGCGATTCAAGATGGCAGCGCAGAAGAACGTCACGAGCTGGATTGATGGCGAGCTCGTGCTGAGAAGAGCTCCTACCGCCGGCCTGCCGCTCCAAAAATATAATCCCAGGTCAAGAAAGTTCGATGAGGTCGAGGGTGAGGGGAGTGTCGTGGAGGGGCCCTTCTTCTACATTGCGAGCATGACGACCGACCGGCTGGAGCCTAGCTTCGTACCTGCGCCCTTTGGCTTTGCAGAAGCCTCCTCCAGCGCCTCTAGCTCCTCCCTCGCGAGACCACCCCAGTGTCTCGATGTCGTGCTGATCCGGCCCCTCAAGGATCCGCAAGTCCAGGTGGCTCTGCCCAACACACTCAAAGACATCTCATGGGAGGGCGAGTCGACGCTTCAAGCCCGTCAAACCTTCGCAGAGAAGAGAGTCACGCCTATCACGCAGGGCATGTATGATGAGGGAAAGCACGTGAACCTGGTGTACCCCACTGTGGAAGGCAGGCTGGAAGAGAGGATAAGGGAGGACGTGGAGGGCGTGGATGTAATTGACTACTGGCGTGTAGGAGGGTGGGAGTGGACTCCGGTAAGCGGCCGCAAGGGTCATGCTGTTTTGAATATCCATCTCAGAGCTCACACCCACCCTCGTTCCCCATCAACAGCGTCCCGACTCTACTCGCGCAGGTCTCGTTTGTCTCGACGGCGCATTGATTGATTCGACCAAGACGAGCAGTCGTGTCTTGAGCGAGCTAGATGGGAAAGTTCAGGTGTACTACTGAAGGCTCGATAGACGTGCTCTGAAACGACCTTCACGAAATGTTGCTTGGTACTCCAACAGGAAAGTCCCAATCAGAGGATCAGGTCCGTCTCCTCCCTCTAGGTGACTCCTATATGGCTGGAGGCGGCAGAGCAGATCGCTGCTTCCCCTGTCCCTCGAACCGGCGCGCTTGCGTCCGGCAGCATAGCGAGGGCCTAGCAAGGGGCGAACCAGGTTCAGACCACCCCAACGTGAGATATCCCGCTGCTGTGATATTCAAGTGCTGAGCACACGAGCAGAGACACTCAGCCAGCGAAGAAGAGCAGCAGGGAAGTGCGGTGGCTAGGAGCAGGAGTATAGCAAGAGGGTCAAACATCGCCTTCTCGTCTAGCGGCATAAACGCGCTGCAAACCAATTTCGTCCCTCTACCATTTGCACTATTCTTCCGTCGCCTGCTTGGTAAGCTTGCATCCTTGCTCCATCGTTCTGTTGCTGCCACCCTTGCAAACGCCGGTAAATGCACTACACCATGCATCGTGTGCCCCTGGAATGTGAACGTGTGATCGGAAAACTTCCAAGGTGGTTGACCGTCAGGGGGATTAGTCAGCCAAGTACTCAGGGACCGTTATTCAGGGCAGGGCAGACGGGGGCGAGAAGAGGGTGTGATCGGCGTTTGGTAGGCAGGCGGAAAGAGGTAGCGCAATGGAGCCATTCAGGGCAAGAAAAGATCAGGGGCAGGGCGGAAGCATGGTGAGAGCAAAGAGCAAAGGGGGCACCAGGGTGCGGGTACGAAACGATGACGCGTCGATCGAGGCGGTATTGCTAAGCAGGGACCTGAGCAAGCAACGACGAACACCAGTGGTTGAAACGGGCAGGCACATCTCAAGGTACCAGAGGATTCCATGGGAAGCGTTCAGCCTGGGCAGTCCCTTTGCAGAGCAATATCCATCCGTCCTCAGCTACGTGCGCTGAAAACGACTTGACCTCGCACCTCGTCCGGATTGTTTATCTTCTCAAGGTCCGGACATTCGCTTCCCCTCTCTCTTTGTCTCTCGTACCATCACTTGAACTGCAAGCTGCTGCGCCAAGAGTCCTCCTTGCTACCAACTTCCCATCCAACCCTGATCCCCACGCCCTACAAGCAAGCATGCGCTCCCTCGCCCTCCTCTCACCCTTTGCTCTCATCGGGCTCAGCCTGATCTCCAATCTCCCCAATGGCGTCTCTGCTCAACAGAAGACCTCCGGTGCTGCAGCGAACATGTCTCTGTGCGACAAGTACTCAACGGCTCTGTTCAAGAGCGTAAACGCGACGGCACAGAGCACTCTGTTGACGGCACTGGTCAACACAGTCGTGATTGGAAGCTATTCGCCCCTAGGAGATAAGCTGAAGGTGCCAGGTATTTTGGCCAACGGGTGAGTACGCCTGATGCTCGTGGGCATGACGGGCGTGTCGACATGCGGTGCAACTACACTAAAATTTGACGCATCGTCTTCTGCCTCGCTAATGCACCGTTCACCCTTTAGAACGTTCAACGACCAGCCAGTAAGCCTGCTCAAGTATTTTGACGGGTCTCTCAAGTCGACCAACGTCCGAGGAGTAGCTCAGTCCGTCAACTTCCTTGATGGAGGTGAGTCAAATTACGCAATAGATAGTGGAGGTATGAGACACACACCGCGGACAAGGAGACGGCTATTGACAGACAATCTCTGCCTGCTCGACGCAACACTTGATGTAGGTGGAGCTGAGCCGCTCAAGAACAACAAGCCAGCCAACGACACGACATCGGCTCAGTATGTCCTCATGACCCACTTGTATCAGGTGCGTCCCCGTTCCGTCATCCTCATCGCCAGACGGGTCCCACTTCTGACCTTCCTCCCTACCCTCTCTGCCCCACACAGTACTTCGGCGCCGCCCTCGGGTGTAGCTCACAGTCGGACAAAGGAGAATTTCCAACCTACCAAGGCACTCCCTCCATGTCCGCCGCACACCGTTTCATGAATCTCGACGCCAACGAGGTAGGCTACTTTATCACCCAAGTAGGAATGGCTGCCGTCTCCTTTGGAGTGAGCACAGAGGACGCTACAGCCGTGGGAACACTACTCGGAAAGATGTTCAACGTTCGCTGTGCACCCGCAATCGTCTTCCCACCTCCGGCGTCTGGAGCAAAGGGACAACAAAAGGCAGCTTCGCAAAGTATCTGCCTGGCTGCTTCTTGCCCTCTCGCGGATACGTCGGACTGTAAAGTCGACTCGGCGGCAAAGTCTTACCCCAATGGAACGAATGGAGTTGCTCCTCAGATGGTCATGGGTGGAAGTGCGGGCGGTAACGGCAACGATACTGCAGGGGGAGGATCTGGAGATGGAGCTGATGGAGGGAGCGAATCCCCTGCTTCGGGCGCTTCACCCGCTGCCTGGATTGGGAGCCTTGCGACTCTCGCCGCACTGGGACTTGGAGCATTCGCGGTTGCTACGCTCCTCTAAACTCCTTCGCATTCGAGGACACTCACCAGAGCTGGAGCGAAGACAATCGCTCCCATCCATCCATCCATTGGGCAGACAGAGCACCGACTACAAGTCCTTTACTCCACGTTCTCCCCCCGTCCCCCCACACCGTTGTCCCGCCCCCATCCAGCCAAGAGTCTCTGCTATTCGCTTCACTTCGCTTCAGCTATATACGTCTTGTGCTCCCTCTTCTCTTATTCCTCTCCTCTTGTCTAAGAGCAATCGATAACGACACCATTCTGCTTCACTCCCTGCACAAGGCACCAGTCACTTCAGTCAGTGATTCTACAGCGCCCGGTCAAAGTAGGGGTCATGACCTTCGACGCAAAGACAGAGCCAGGCAGGCAGGCAGGCAGACACACCGGCAGGCAGACACTAGTGGGAAGTGAAGCGCCTTGAGAGTTTCATTGAGGCTTGAGAGAGAGAGAGAGGGAGGGGGGGATGATGGGAGTGCGATTGTAATGATAATGAGAGCGGGAGTGGGAGTGGTGGGATGGTCGATTCTGGGAGAGTTTTTGGGAAATGATACTACAGAACAAGGACGAGGTCGAGGGTGGGGATGGGGACGAGAGAGTTCAAAGAGGTACAGTGTCGGAGGTGGTGGTGGTGGTGCTAATGGTGATAGAGCTACAGGAGTATCATCGGTCGTTGTGATGCACACGAGAGGATCGAAAGTTGGGCCCGTAGACGGAGCCCCCCTCGTGCAAAAGCTTTCTCCTTCAACGAGGGCCCCTTGGGTATTCCTCCGCTTCTTTGCTCTCCCTCTCACCACCTGTTCAATCTAGCCTCCTCAACCAAGTCCACTGCTCCAAATCCAGCTTTTTCTGCCTCTTCAGCAATTTCCGCCCAAATGCCCTTGTGCGGGTGTCCCTCTGGCTTGATGAATCGCGTAATCAGGTGCGTAGCTCCATTCAAATTGACCACATCCTGAATCAGGACCGCTACGCCCTGCACGGTAACCCTAGTCTGCAGTGGTCCCTTGGAACCAGGCAAGAGATAGTAGCGGTACACGTCGACGTAGACCTTTTCAAACTTGCGCGCCTTGTCGGGTGGAGGGGTAGTGTGGTTCTTGCCGCTGTGGATCTTGGGAAGGACAGAGTCAAAGACGTAGCGAGTCACGTTGGAGGAGCCATGGGGAGGCTTGTCGTCACCATCGTCGTCGCCACCTGATAAGAGCTTGTAAGCAGAATCAGCGTCGATTGTAAAGGTCTCGCCCTTGACCTCCGTGGGCGTCTCGTGCTTCGTAACGTGGTGCACAGAGTCGGCGTAGAAGACGTCGTTGGGAATGGAGTGGAGCATGAGGACCTTGCCGAGGAGATCAGCGCCTTTGCCGGGAGAGAAGAGGAAAGCGCGGAAGCCCCAGGGAAGTCGGTCCCAGGCTGCGTTGCTAGGAGCGAACAGAGTCGAGGCAGTGGTACCCTTGGGGTCGCTCAGCCCGTACCTGAGGCTCTGATTGTGGTGGTGATGATGCTCATCGTCGTCGTTTGTCTTGTGGCTTGGTCGCTTAGCAACGGGAAGAGCGAGGTATCCCTCGGAGCCAGTCTTGAGGAAAGCAGTGGTCAGGGTACTGAACTGAGGCTCGCTCCAGTAGAGTCCCTGCAAGATGCTAGGGAATTGGGCGAGCGGGTAGCTGACTGCGTGCAGGACTCCGTTGCTCAGCTTGGCGTCCGGGTAGACGACGCGGGAGTAGAAGTTGAGGTAGACGCCTGGCTTAGGCAGGAGGGACTTGCCGACGCGGATACGGAGGGGCAGACCATCATTGAGCTTGCCAATGTACTCGGCAATCTTCCCATCGATGCTGAGCTTGGTGCCAACGGTGGAGTTCTGTGCGAGTTGAGTAGAGCTGATGGTCTCCTTGTCCGCGTCGACAAGGTGGTAGGCCAAGACGGCGTCGATGAAGTAGGCAAGACGGCGCCTTCGCCTCTCCTTGTCATCGTCGGATGAGCTGAGGGAGGCTACAGCGGTCTCGTAGTCGTCGATGTGCTTGGATACGACGGCCCAGCTGTTGGTAGCCTGCATGAGTGCAGCCGAGTGAGGTCCCTCGAGGGAAGCCATGAGCTGACCCTCGTGGTGAGGGTCCTCCCAGTTCACGGGTGCAAAGATGGTGAGGGGCACTCCAGTCTTGCCCTTGAGGAGGTCCTTTGTGGAGTCGCTAGAGTAGTTGACTGCCTTTGCCAGCTTAGTGAAGTGCTCGTTTGTGGTGATGACATCGTAGATGGACTTGTCGCTGGCTTCGTAGCTGGCGAGGGATGTAGCTACGCTGACCTCTTTAGTCACGCCGCCAAAGATGGGTGCGAGTACAGTCTGGATGGATGAGGAGAGCCAGGAGGTGAGTGAGTTTGTGGATGTAAAGGTGAGGTCGGAGGTGGAGGAGGGTGCAGCGGCTGCTGCTCCTGCGAGTGCGATGCAGGTGAGTGCCTGAGTGTTGAACCTCATGATGGGCGAGTAGAGGGCCTGGTGTCCAGATGGGAGGGTGATGGTAGAGGAGTCAGGGTAGGAAGTGAGTATATGCTGCCAGTACTTGTAAGCTGGCTGTGCCCTTGTTCCCCCGCACTCGTAGTCTCCATGCGCTGACGAATCGACGTGAGCTCAGCAGTGTGTGTGTGCCGGCGTACGCAAGCAAGAGCCATCGGCAGCCGCTGCCGTCATTGCACCCGTGTGGAGAAGCGCACAGACCACCACCACCACCACCACACCCACATGCCCTGAGACCCACATGCGCATGCATCGCACACCACCACGTTGCGCAAGGGTCCACTCCAGGTCACACACGCACCCACGCAGAGCTCAGCACCTCTTCCTCCTCCTCGCCCCCACTCCGTCACAAGACCGAGGTAAGACGACGGCGCGGGGGAAGACGGCACAAGCGAGCCGCAAGGAAGCAAGGGGGGGGAGGGGCCAAGCGTCAATCTCCGCAAAATCACAAGGATCACAAAGCAGTGAGCGCACAAGCAACCAAGCAAGGGGGGGATATCTTACGCATGACGGGAGCAAAGAGGGATGGAAGAAATCAAAAGGTAGACTAGAGTAACAGTAGAATGAAGAAGCAAACGAAGACGAGGTAGGAGAAGCACTCGTACCTCTTTGGGGGTCAAGCCATGCAAGAATTATCAAAAGGGGGAGGAAAAAGAGTACGCGTATTTGCAAGCTGGAAAGGGAACCTCGTCAGCGCCTTACTTTGCGCCGCCCTTACCTCCCTTCTCCTGCCCATCTTTGCCATCATCGGCCTTCTCGCTACCCGTCCTCCCCCTCCAAATACCATCCGAGTCCACCTTTCCATAGATTCCCGTGGACTGGTTCCTCCTGAGTGCCATGTCCCACTCTCCAACAATCTGCCGAGAATCAACCATGACATTAATCTCCTGCGAGTGGAACCAACTCTGCGTATCCTGGTTACCACTTCCCAGGATCGCCACTTGGCCATCAAAGGCGGCATACTTGACGTGACAGTTGCGCTGCTTGCGCACGGCATTGAGAGGACGAGTCATGTCCTTGCCTGTGTACCAAAACACTTCCAGGTACTTTTCGTCTCCTTTGCCCTCGTTGCGCAGGGTACGGTACAGAGATGTGACCACTTGCTCATTGGTGCCTCCCTGGAAGGGCATCGATTCAGACTTGTCATTGAAGCCCAGATCCAGCCACAGCTCTACCCGAACATGACGCCGCGCAGCAGCTAGCACTGCTGCTTTGATGGGCGTGGCATTCAGTGTGGGCGACTGGACGAAGATGTGCTTCTGAGCATAACGGAAGCCAGCCAGCCAGGCCGCATCTTGCGGATTGCGAATGTCCGAGTGCCCGGGAGTTCCATGAGGGCGACGGTTGACCAGCGCCATGGGCACGGGCTTGTGCGGGGCGTGGAAGGTGTAAGGTCGGAAGTCGAGGATGTCAGAGGTACCTTGAGCAAAGGCACGTAGAGCTGCGTCTTGAGTAGCCGTATGTTCGAGTTTTAACTCGCCATCCTTCTCAGGGTCGGCAGTCCCTCCGTTACCAACAGGAGGAGTGGAAGTGGCAGTGTTCTGAGCAGGGGAAGAACCAGCGGCATCGCCATTAGCGCCAGTCTCTTGGGTGGCCTTTGCACCACCGTCCTGCGGAGTTTGGTTGTGCCTGTCCAGCTCATCAGCCTTGATTTCTCCCTTGACTTGACTCAAATTGGCAAAGTCGAGAGACTTGGTGATCTGAGCCAGACGAGCAGAAGCTGGAGTCTTGGAAGCATTCGATAGGGTTCGCGACTTGGTTCGATAGCCAATACTGCCGGGAGCACCCTCGGTGCTATCTTCGACAATTTCCTTGTCCTCGAAAGCTACCGGTTGGCCATCTCTGCCCAGATTGGCTGCTTGGTCTTCCGCATCCGAGCGTAGACGAGGACCGCTAGGCTGGGATGAGGTCCCCTCATTCCTCCCCTTGCTGCCTCCAGGAGAATCTTGGTCGTCGACTACAGTGTTGCTCCTCGCTGAGTCATCTACGCCATCCTCTGGTACCGCTCGAGGGACGTGGACATTCTTGGTGAGATTGTGAGCCGCCTGGGCTACTCCATCCTTCTTCCTCTGCTCCCGACTCTTGCGGGCCTCATCATCGACATTCTTGCTTGAGCTCGGGCCTCGTCCTGTGATTTGCTCCACTACGTCAACAAGGTGCCTTCGCGGTTGATGCTCTGTCTCTCCAGCAGCACCTGAGCCTTCGCCTGTCTCCGACTTGCCTGATGGCCGGCTCGTCTGCGTCTGTTCTGCAGAACCATTGACCCCTGGCGGTGGGTTGCGTCGGTCTCCCAACACTTTCTGCGCCCAGAGGGTAGCTGCCTGTCGAGCAGCTCCTTTATCGTCACCAGTAGCAGCATCAGCACTACCTCTCCTCTGCATCGCATTGCCTCTGAGCTCATGAGATTGCTTGATCACTCCTTCCACTACGTCTGCAAAGCTCAATCGGCGTCCCATAGATCCCTGGCCGCCGGGAGAAAGGCCACCGAGCTTCTCGTCTTCAGTCTCTTCGTCTTCTTGCTGCAGCTTGCGTCGTGCTACGCTGGCAAGCTGTCGTAGCTTTTCTGCAGACATGGACGGCAAGTGTCCTTCATCACCTTGGATGAAGGCAGTCGGCGAAGGATTCTTGGAGGCGGGATTGCCCAGGCAGGGCAGGGGTGGATTGAGACGATTGCCCCAGGAGATCAGGGCATGGTCGTAGATGGAGTTGACAATGTCACCTTCGAAACGAACGCAGGCTTCAACGTTGGGTCGATCCTGGATATTGTTACTGTTGATGAGAGCTACTTGACGATCAACCAGCAAGAGCTTGGCATGGAAGGTACCCATCAGTGGTCTGTGGTAGTTGAGAATCTCAACGCTAAGATGAGGGACTTCCTCCTCGGTAGGCAGACCGTTCGACTTCCACATGGAGGGTGGTACCGGTTTCCTACATCGGAACAGGTCCGCCAAAGTCTGCGGTCCTCGATCCCACATAAGTTTGACCACGACATTGTCCAGCGCAGGTGCATTGTGGGCGGGCACGCCATTCTCTGTATCGCCGTGCTGCTTCTCCTTTGTCTTACCCTCGTCAATGCGCTTCTTGATCCTTCGGTTGAGCTCCCGAAGAGCGTCTGCGATGCGGTCTACATTCTTGCCGCCCTGCCAGTAATTTGTGAGGAGTATGACCTCGCGCTTGGCGGCGATAATACAGTCACAGTAGTGCTCGATGATGTCAGGACCAGTCGAGAAGATGGAACAAGGTACGATGCCGGTGGTGGCTAGCAGAGGAGGAGACACCACACCAGACATCGGGCTTCTAGGCAGCGGCAACAGCGAGTCTGCCAAAATCTGGAGCCATGTCGAGGGTCAGCAAGGGAAGGATACGAACGCCGTTAGCTCTAAGAGATACCTATAGGGTCTTTCTTCTGCCCTCCTCTACTCACCATGAGGTATAATCTGCTCGGTCCTCCATCCGACTCCTTCTTGTACCCATACCTCGTCCTTACCTCCTCAAGCTCCTCCTCCCCCGGTCCTTTATTCTCATGATGAGTCGCTCCATTGTGCCAATTCCAGGTATGACCTCTTCCCTCCTGCAACTGATCCTTGATCTTGTGCCTCAGAAGACCCCTCTTGTATGCCCTTGGGTTAGGGAAGAGTCTGAGCTCTGCGACCGAGGGAGGAAGTGTAGGGTCGGCGGCAACGGCCGAGGTGATTGTGGCATGGGTATTCTGAGGATGCTCCGTGGAGGAGGAGCCAGCATAGACGGCTGCCGAGTCGCGCGTCGCCTTGCTAGCACCTGGCATGGCGGAAGGCAGACTGAGGGTACTATGCTACTTTCACAGTGTATGATAATAGGCTGAAGTGAGAGTCACTCGCCGAAACGGTGATGGCGACCCGAGAATTCCAGACTATTAGGCGATGGTGTTAGCGGTGGGGTGGGAATAGTGTGGTGGTATGACGTCGATCTCGAGACCGGAAGCGGTGACTTTTAGGCCTAGAGTGTATGCAGGGCGGTGCAGGGGAAGCCTGTAGGAGAGGCGTATAGTGGACGCAAGGAGCAAGGGTGATCGGTAGAGAGCGAGCGCGACGTAGGCGTGGGTGTGTGTCAGGAAGTGAGTGTATGTATATGGAGGAGAGAAGGCAAGAAGGCGAAGATGGACAAGGTAATGAGCAAGAGTAGGAACAGGGGAGAAGGAGAAGCGTAGGGGGGCGGACCGCACGGGTGTGTGTGTGTGTGTGCGTGCAGTGTGCGGTGAGTGAGTCGGGCGGAGGGACAGTGGCTGGAAGCAGCCACAGCCGCACACACGCACAAAAGCGGTGACGGACCCACGACGGACGCACCAGCACAGGCTCGCTCCACCGGCGGCACCGCCGGCAGACAGGCAGCAGCACCAGACATCATCAGTCCCACTCATCAGCCGAGGTGGTGTCCCCGCGCCCTCGGCAAAGGGACTTCTCCCGACGTCCGTCATCGCAAAGGACAGCGCCATCACCATCTTGCTCTCTTGTCTCTTCCGATTCCAAGAGGGGGTTAGCATCGCCCTCCGGGTGGTAGACAAGCCAGCAACCAGGCAGGCACTCGCGGCCACGGCCCTGGTGCGAAGCGCGTGTGACGTGAGAGCCCGCCGCCCCGCTCCACCCCCAGATCGGCTTCGGCATCACTCACGGCACAGAAATAGCAGTCCGACCGATCGACTGACCGAGCCAGCATCGCCCTCGCTTCTGGGCTTCGCGCCCCCTCCCAATAGAGAGGGTCGATGTCAGACCCATACACGGGCGACCCAGTCGGGCGGTGCACATTCCATTTCCCGCCTTCACCTACCTCGTGGGGACAATCAGAGGAGGCGGGGCGCTTTGACACTTTGCGTATGGATCAGATAGAGGAGAAGAGGCCACACGCATTTCGGCAATTACGCGGGAAAAGGATCAGGCGGCGCATGGGCGGGTGACGAGGGCGGTGCATTCTCACTGATTGGGCTCTAGCTCAACAGGGGGATCAAACTGACTACAAACGACCTGAGGAGCCAAATTACATTTTGAGTGATGGAGGAGGGACACTGACTATTCGGGCGCCGATGCTCACGGGAGGGGTAACAAAGCTAGAGTCCATAACGGTGATGCACTTTGGTGACTCGCAGGGAAGCCATAATGGCGGTGTAGTATGAGGGGTGCGCTTTGTTCTGATCTACTCTGCCACTTGCGCCTTGGCTACACCCTCGCTCACCTCCGCGACGGCATCATCACCGTCCTTGCTCTTCTCAGCAGACCCATTCGTCGGAGCAGCAGCAGCAGCAGAGTTGCCAAGCAGGGCACCGCTGGCCTTTCGTCCCTTGCCCCAAGCACCTGCAGCCGGTGGGCTCTTGATGGCAGGAGCGGCGGCGGGTGAGGTTGGCGTCGCAGCAGGCGAGGCGGTACCAGGGGTGGCATCAGAGGCGGGTGCAGCACTTGCAGCATCTGTTGTGGGCGACCTGACGCCCTCACCCCTCCTGGAAGGTGTGCGTCCAGAGCCAGCTGCCCTGGGACCGGTAGGAGCTCCAGAAGCCTTCTCCCTGTCGGCGCGAGGTCCAGTGGGAGCGCCCTTGAGTGCTGCTTCTTTTTCTGCCTTCTCGGCCTTGATCTTCTCTTGCTTTGCCTTCTCCTCAGCTGCCCGCTGCTCCCTCTGAGCCTGTAACCTCTCCTCAATCTGACGCTCCCTCTCCATCACGTCCACAGGCTTGGCCCCACCAAAGGGATTCGACTTGTTCGTCGAGGATGCGCCGGATGTCTCTGCACCCTCGGCAGGAGCAGCCGATCGTGGCTTCAGGTCGAGCTTCTTGCGTTCGGCGGGTGCAGTAGGGGGTGTGACCGCGGGCGAGTCTGTAGAGGGTCCAGCGGGAGGTGTCGGTCGGGCCGAGCGCCAGTTGGCCGCACCTTCGCTGGGGCCAGGAGGAGGAGCAGCGGCAGCAGCTGCGCTTGGCTTCCTCTCGAAAGGAGCTCGTGGGGCTCGGTTGCCTACAGCAGGAGACTCGGGTGGTGTAGGGGTGAATTTGGAGCCGAAGCCCATCCTCTCTTGCGAGGCGAAGCGCTCATCGACTTCAGTGGCATCGCGTTGCCTGAATGAGGGAGACCTTCCAGATGGACCCTCGCCATCGGGGCCTCCTGGTGCTGCTCCACCGAACATGGCCCGTCGTGGACCAGCGGCAGGTACGAATGATGACTCGGTTGGCTTTCCAGTCCTCCAGTCTGATGCAACTTCTCCCTTGGTTGGCTCCAGAGGCTCAGCGGGACCAGGTGGGCCGCCCATTCGTGGAGGTCCGGATCTCATTGGTCCGTCTCGTGCAGGTGGTGCCGGCGAGGCCTGGAACTTGCTACCAAATCCACTGCGTCCGCCGCTGCCCACTTCCATATTGTCGAATCCGCTAGGTCCGTCAGACGGCCGTCCACCAGGTCCTCCGAATCCAGACCTCTCTCGTGCAACTCCAGGTCGCGAAGACGCTCCCTCGACTGGGGGGAGAGGTCCAGCCCGTCTCCACTGACTGGCCTCTTCGGCGATGCTGCTTCCAAATCCACGCTCTCCGGCCTTTGGTGCTTCCGCCACTCCAACGCGAATTGAGCGTCCTGCCAGCTGGGAGCCGCTGCGAGACAGGGCATCTCGGAGGGCGTCTGCTTGGTCGAACTCAATGTAACCGAATCCCTTGGGCTTGCCGTCCCTGTCTGTCACGATGCGGATGCTGACGGCCTGATGGGATGTGCAAGGGGAGAACAATTAGTATTGTCAGTAGAGAAAATTCGGCTACTTGACGCTTGCAGAGCTTCATCTACTTTGCGTACTTACATTGTGAGGAGCAAAGAAGTCAGCTACATCGCCTTCTGTGGCATCGAAGGAGAGACCGCCAAGGTAGGCAGTATAGGGAGGCTTGTCCGGGAAGGGCACGTCCTGCCTAGGAGGTCGATCGTCGAACCTCGGAGGGCCCATGCGGTCTCGGTCAGCTCGGTCGGGAACTGTGGAAAGGTAGTCACCGCCCTGTCGAGCCCCAGGATAACGGTCTCCTCGAGGAGCGGCTGTGTAACATAGCGAATGGATGGACCGAGGAGAGGGGTCAGAACTCCGAAGGTTGCTACGCGAAGGTCTGCACTACGCCGGGCCTCCTTGCACACTCACGAGCAAGCGGAAGATCGTCTACATCGTCTGCCCATGACTTTCCTGTAGCCTCATCGGCCAGGAAGTCATTGAGACTCATTTTGTTTCCCTTTTTGGGCGCTGCGAGGGGAGAGATGAGTGGAGGAAGAACCGGTGTGAGCGTCGACGCGAGATTATGCGCAAGGTTTCCAGCCCTGAATTCTGATACGAACCCATGATGGGTGGTTGGTCTTGGGGTTGCGACTGAGGGTCAGAAGATGTATCTCTGAGCAATGAAGTCTCCTTGTATGCTACTGATGTAGCTTCGAGGAGGCGATGGTAGATGTGCACGTCGGTGTGAAAGTGTACGTGCGTGAGTGCGGTGAATGGAGGATCGAGAAGAAGGAAATATTTCCCCTCTGCGGGCGAGGCGAGGCGACGCAGGCAGGGCGGCGGAGTTCCAAAGGCCGCACCAGAACAAGGCACCGACGATGGACACACAAGGTCGCCTTGCCCCTGAAGCACGTCCTCATCGAAGCAATACTGCAGCAGGCACGCAGAGACGAGGGCGATCACCTCCTCATCACCTACGACAGCACCCAGCTCATCAGAGGGCTCGTCGTCCATACTCATGTCTCTCAGACCTGGAAAGCAGAGCACTCTGCAGGCAGAAGACGCCTCGCAGGTAGCAGCAACAGCAAGCACATCTCGCGCCGAAGATCCTCTCGCGGAGCTGGCAGGACCCCTACCAGCAAGGGAGGACCGTATATATGTGGACAACTCGAGCTTACAAGAGCTGAAGGCGACGTGTGATGAAGCAGTAGAGAGGGTGAGTATGATTATTTTGCGTCGGTTGTATCATGGGATTCTCTTTGACATTGCTCTTGCTCCCCTCCGCCTTGTGTGCAGATTCTCACAAGACCTTCTGGTCACCTTGCTCCAGCCCCATCAGCATCATCAGCAGTCCACTCGCCTCTTTCGTCCTCAGCGGATCTGAGCGCCTCTGTCTCATCTGCGAACGGACATGCCGATGCTTCCGACTTCCCGCCCTTTAAGGCGTCTCATCTGCATACAGATCTACGGCTCGCCCTCGGCTTCTCAGCCTCCTTCATCGTCATTGGCGCTTGTCTCTGGGCATACTTTGTCGAGAAGGACTGGCAAAAGAACAAAGGCTGGACGGGCGTTGCAGTCGCCTCTTACGTTGTGCTCTCCGCACTTCAAGCTCTCGACGCTTACCTTCAAGGGGACCGCATCTTCACTGGAAAGCGCAAGATGCTCTCAAAGCGCATCGAGACTGAGGTCCTGACCATTGCTAGCCCTTCTCTGCCCAAGCCCACGGTGGAGAAGACAAGCGAGGGTCAAAAGTGGATCGTGCCCCCCAGGTATTCGCTACAGGTCGAGTACACAAGGAGGAGTAATGGAGGGAAGAGCCTGCTCAGGAGAGTGAAGCAGAGTGTGGATATGGGTCATTTCGGTGAGTCGAGCTGATGACGGGATTCGATGGGGTTGAAACGAGGCGACACTGCATCTGACACAGAATCTGCGCTTCGGACTTTTCAGGCGAATGGTTCACAGAAGAGGGCGAGTTCGTCGAGGCGATCTTTGAGCAGAAGCTCATTAGCGGGTTGGAGAGGTCGTGGGCTCTGGGAGAAGAGTAGGGGTGGACCAGGACGATGGGCGATGGACAAATTAGAATGTGGCAAGGAGGAGAGCCATCGATCCTTGCCATCAAGATACCAGCATAATGTCCGAGCATCACTTGCTCACCGGCGCCCCTCTCATGACTCCGCGCCCATGTCCGCCATTCACAAGCCTCCTCATACTGTACTTTCTTTGTCATCAATCATCGATACACATCATGAGCTGTGAAAGTGTGTAGCATTCGCCCAGGAAGAGACCACAACGCATCGCTGAAATCCAGAAGTCCGTCCGTCTCGTCTACTCAATCTCCACGACACCTCCCGCTGCCTCAATCGCCGTCTTCAACTTCTCCACATCCTCCTTGTTCAATCCTTCCTTCAAGACCTGCGGTGCGCTCTCTACAAACTTCTTTGCCTCTACAAGGTTCATCGACGAGTTGAGAGCCTTTACCTCCTTGATAACCTTTGCCTTTGCAGTGGGGTCCTTCAGACCCTGGAGCTTGAGAGTGAAGACAGTCTTCTCCTTGGGCTTCTCCTCCTCGGCTTCGGCGGCGGGGGCGGCTGCTGCGGGAGCTGCACCGCCTCCAGAGGGCATGGCGATCTCTTGGATATTGAGACGAGACTGGAGTCAAAGTCGAATGGAAGCGAGAAAAGGGTCAGCAGGACGGAGGAGAGAAAGGATCGGCGAGCCGCATGTAGAGCTGCAACTCACCTTCAGCTGAGCAACAAGCTCGCTGGCCTGCAGCAGAGTCAATTGCTCAATCTGATCCACGATACTGCTCAGCTTGGGGTCTGCGCTTGAAGAAGATGAGGTAGACGCCGAGGGGGAAGAGCCAGTAGCTGGGGGTGGGGAGGCAGGGCTGGAGGCTGGGGACACGGCCGCCGAGGGCTCAGCACCTGTGGAGAGACATCGCAACGCCGATGAGGGGCGAAGGGAGGAGGTACGGAGCTGCTGACGACTTGAGCTGAGAGGGAGGTGAGGTGATGCAGGAATGCGGGAAGGGGAGGAGGGGTCAGCTAGCGAAAGGTGACGGATCACGCAGACGAGCAACTCACCTAGCCAGAGGTCGCAACGATGAGAATGCCATACGAGCTGCCATTGTGGTGAAAGCTCGCTTGTGATGAATTGTGCTTGGATATCGAGGTATGGAGATTGGCTTTGCGTATGCGACGAATGTGTCTATGCGTATGTGCGCCTGTGGGTCGGGCGCTAGGAAGAAGTGAGTGTGGGCGACGAAAAGTGGGTCAGCCTTCCGCGCGAAGCACTGGCCGGGCAGCCCTGGGCCAGACAGGAATCTCCTTCGAAAGGGTGGAGAAAGAGAGGAGCTTAGGCCATGATGGTCAGAAGATGGTCAGTCCATCGCTAATAGTCAATCTCCCCCCATTACTGCGACAATTGAGCTTCAGGCTGACACCTCCAAGACATCGACTCCATGAGCCTCACCTCTTCGGCTGGGTCCATGCTCACCAGGTCCGGTAGGCGCAGCGGTGTCACTCACTTTGTCGCAGCCGCGTCAGCTTCGGCCAGTGCTCCCTCAACTTCCTCAGCATCCTCATCTTCATCTTCGCACTTCTGCTCGCCGGCGCATCAACAACAACGTCGTACTTTTCTCGGCCTCTTCGGGAAGTCCAAGAAGGCCAAGGATGACCGGGATCCTTTCAAGGGCACACCCGCTGCAGCTCCCAAGAAGCTCATCCTGACGCAGGACAATCTCTTCCACCCACTCTCCCAATCCCCCTTTCCCGCCCTGCGAGCAAGGGCAGAAAGAATCAAGAGGCTCGCACCATGTCCCGTTCATCTGCGCAAGGGTCAAAGGGTGTTGGTGAATTTCGAGTGTCCTGACTGTGGTTGGCCGACGCATTATAGTGAGAAGGATTGGAGGGAGGATACAGAGCATGGGAAATACGTGCATAGACTCAGGGAGGCCAACGAGGACGAGCATGACCTCAGGAGCGGTAGAGAGATCACAGAGTTCAAGCTTCCTGGCCCTCAGGGCTTCGAAGAGTCACTCAATCTATCCTCATGGGACGTCTTCTTCTACACCCGAAACTTCCCCTCCATCGAGACGGAACGATCGAGGCGGCATGTCTCTAAGCTACTGAGCTTCCCGACATCGATGGGAGCTGTGCTACACGAACACAGCCCTTACACTACCCGGAACAGGAGAATGACCAGGGAAGGACTTAGGAGTTTCCTTGGTGAGTGGGCGATCTTCCCACGGGGAGGAATGCAACACAGCGTGTCTGATACCTATCCTTGATCTTCCTTGCAGCTCTACGTCAGCTACTACATCCCAAGATTGGCGCCAAGCCCTCTCTTGACGCCATCCGAGTTTTCGTCGTAGGTGCAAGAGCCGAGTCTACCCTCCCTGCAAGCGTCTGGGATCAGCTTCGCTTCATGTTTCCTGGCGTCAATTTCCACCTCTACCTCATCGGGCCTGAAGTATCCATTCCCAAGGTGGAGAACATTGCCCCTGGCCAGTCCCTCTCGGCTGAGCCACCTCGCCGGCAAAAGACACGACCATCTTCCTATGGACCGAATGCCCCCAGCCAAACGCTTGTGGTATCGGAGGCTCTGACGATCACCTACATTCAAAGTACATACGAGTCGGTACATCACCAGATGGAACCCTTTGACCCCTACACCGACGTCTTCTTTGCATTCTCCCCCGGCTTTGGCTTCCCAAGTCAGCGGGCGTATGACCGGCCGAAGTCTGAGGACGAAGACGGTGCCGCTATTGCCGGAGCGAGCTCTTCGAGTACTGCAGGAGCGGACGGTCTGAACACTGCAGCAGCCGAGATCGAGTCTCAGGATGAAGCAAAGGAGAGCGTCAAGTCGGCAGACGCAAGCTCCAACAAGCTCCCAAACCCAGATGCGACTGTCGCCCGTCGTTCCCCCGAGGGAGGCGAGACTCCCTCTATGGAGCCTGCCTTCTTCCCTCTAGCCCCAGGCGCAACACCCAGCTCTACTCTTCCCACTCTCCCTCCGCTGCTACAAGCCCAGTCCGAATGGGCTACTGCCCTCACCCAGATGCTCTCCACCAAGTGTCCCCTCATCATCACCGGCTTCTCCCCCGCCGACGTCAAGCGAGACGTCGAAGCCTTTGAATCCGTAGAGGGCATCAAGGGCGAATTTGAGTGGCTTATCACACCTGGAGAGAATGTATTTGGGAGCTTGAGCTGGAGTATTGCCGATTTCGACCCGAGGGTGGCAGTCAAGGCCAATTGGGGCATTTGGGCCGTCAGAGGAAAGAGGTATGATCTGCTTGGTCCTGGAGCGTATGTGGGCAATCCTTTCGAGAGCAAAGGGCTGGAGGCGGAGGAGAAAGACTAGCTCAGGGTGGTGGTATAGATGCCTCAGGCGAAATGGAGAAGACTGAAGAGGGAGGAATGAATGAAATGATCGATCTTGCAGCCCTGTCCTTCTTCGAACAAAACATTTGTCACCTCTTCTCCGACCCTCGTGACCGCGGATGCTGCAGGTCGGTCTAGTAGCAGCAGTTGCGTAGTTGCAATGGCAAACCTCCAGTCCAATCATTACTTGCTGCATGACCAGCTATGCAGAGCACTCCTGTGCAACCCACTCCAATTGTCAAATTCACTCAACATACTTCCACGTTCATAGATCGTCTTTGCTCAAGCCCTCTCTCATAACGTAGCATGGGTGACACATCGCATGGTATTTTGACAGAAAGTCGTCGTCGCCGTTGTCGCTCCCTCTCCTCTCCGCTCTCCTCTCCTCTGCCCTTAGAGAAGTCTCCTCTGCCCTTAGAGAAGTCTCCTCGACTCCCACGTATCTCCACCTCGACCTCAGCCCTCAGCCGTGGTGGAGTCTCACATGACCCTACAATTGCATCCACCTGCACCAGCGGGCGAATAGGGGTCCTCCTTCTTCTCTAGAGGCCCCCACACTGAAGGGACAAGCACGTCGCGGGTGGATTTGCAGTAAGCGATTAGGCTGCGATGATGGGTGGTGAAGGAGATGAGGGATTTGCAGAGGAAAGGTCAGTAGTCTCCTCTTTTGGTGAAGGCTCAGCAATACTGGCCCACCCTCTGGACTATTTGGCCCAGCTCGAACACACTCGTTCCCCCGCCCCTCCTTATTGCTCATTCATCCTGAACTCAACTCACCTAGCACTAGCTTCGGATACTTTGACTCTAGGCCTCTCCATATCCTCCCTCAACCGCTGATTGTGCTCTGTTAATCTCCTGAGCTTGAGCTCCGACATGGACTGCTTGTGTGGTCGTGTGTTCATTGTGAGGCGTGTGTCTGTCAGGGGATGCGGGGGCTCTGTCTGCTGAATGGCTGGACGCTTGGAGACTGCGTTATCCTAGGGGACGGGGGCGATGATGATTCTCAAGGAAGGCTGAAGAGTATGATCGTATGCTTGATGGCGAGTTGTCGTATAGGCCAGTACTTCTGTGGTGATATGGAGCGACGGAGCGAGACGAATGTAAGCGTTTGCCCTGTTGCGCCTCTGTACCAGGAACGGCGCCAGGGGGCTTAGTTGTGCAAGCACTTACAGCTCTATAGGCAGGACAGTGTGTGAAGACGTCCTTGCTGTATCAAGATCGAAGTCACCTCGACTAACAGGAGGAAGAGCGTACAGGGCGGCGAGGGCAGGGGGCTGGAGGGGAGATGGTGATCGAATGCGTTTTGTATGCCTCGTCGGGACAAGGAGCGAGTTAGAGTGAGGGGGGCATGCAGGGCAGCAGCCAAGGCTCCCAGCCAGTGAGGCACCTTCAACTTCCGCGTGGCGCATCTCGCGTCAACTTCTTCCTTCCGGCCCGATCCAGATTCCGGTTGTCAAGACCTTCATCAGCACCGGAACGGAAGTGGGGGGGGGGGGGGGGGGGGGGGGGGGGGGGGGGGGTGCAGGTGGTGGTGCTTCCCTTTCCGTTGAGGGACCAGAAGCAGCAAGCAGCTCAGGGCCGAGCATCGTACCTTGAAGTAGTGAGGACATCGTCAGGAACATTGCTCTGTCCACAAGGCTATTTGAACAGCAGCAGCACCATCAGCAGCAGCAAGATGATGACCATGCCACACTCGTCGCATTCAGCCATGGGAGGCCCGTCCAACTCGGCCGCAGGGCCCTCGTCCTCCTCCACAGCCAACACCAAGAAGCCTCCCACCGTTCCCCTCTCCGCCGAGCTCATCTCCTCCTTTCGCCCCTCCAAAATCTTCAAGACGGCCGAGTACATTCAACCCTCTCACTCCTTCACCTCCCTCGATTTTGACGATCGAGGAGAGATGTGTGTCTCCTCTGCCTCCGACGAGCGCATCCAACTCTGGAACATCCGCTCGGGTAGACACGCAAAGGTCCTCAATTCGAAGAAGTATGGTGTGAATTTGGCCCGCTTCACTCATAGCAGCTCTACAGTCCTCTATGCAAGTACAAAGACGGACGATACAATTCGGTACCATTCCTTGCACGATAATCGATACCTGCAGTACTTTAGAGGACACAAGAGTAGGGTGTGCGCAATTCAGATGAACCCGGTCAATGATACTTTTCTGAGCGCAGCAGTGGGAGACACGATTAGGCTCTGGGACCTGAGGAAAGCAGACGCCATTGCCCAAATGCCTGTACAGGGTCATCCGACGGTGGCTTATGATCCGAGTGGAGAAGTCTTTGCGCTGGGGCTGAGCGAGAGGATGGCGGTGCTCCTGTATGCCAGGAAAGAGTTCACCACCGTGAGTAGCAAGTCAGAGCCGCGTTCAGCATAGTATATTTTAAGCTCACAAGCTCTCTCCGTTCTATGACAGGCCCCGTTCCTGGTGCTCGAAATCGAAGACGACGCCTATCTCTCTCGCATCTCTATGCCCCCTCGTCCAGCAAACATCACCTCCCTCGTCTTTTCCCCCGCAGCCGAATCCGGTCATCTCCTCGTAGGTACCGCTGGCGATCAACACTACATCCTTGACACCTGGTCAAATGCCTACAAATGGCGACTGGTCGGACATCAAGGTCTCGAAGGCGTAAGCGTCAGCAGCGGAGCGCAATCCGGGGAGGGGTCAGCAGGAGGGGAGTCACCCTCCGAGGCCACTTCAGGAGAGGAGCTCTGCTGGAGTCCCGATGGAAACTTTGTCCTGGCAGGCACGGCCAATGGGGAAATCTGCGTGTGGAAGATTCCGAGCAAGGAGCAGGCGCCCGAGCCCGGAGCGGAGATTTCGCTGGAACCTATTGCGAGACTCAAGGGTCATTCGGGACCTGTGAGGACATTGGCTTTTAGCCCCAGATCGGCTGGTGAGTGAGGGCGAGCGTGGGCCTGCCTGCTGACCTGTTTGAGAAGCTTCGACATTGTACTGATGCAGCAAGACTCGATTCGTGCCTCCTATTCTCCTCGTCTTATACAGTCCTTGCGAGCGGAGGAAGCGCAGCGAGCTTCTGGCTACCACCTGCTCCCTCCAAGGACGAATAGGGGAAGGGAGTCTCTGACCTATAGTCATTGTCAGCAGCAATGCGATATAGCATACATCATGACATGCATCATGGTCGAAATCGAGTGAAAAAGGTGATGATACATTATGGGTGACACAGACACAGAACCGCCATGTCTCGATGCTTGGAGAGCGTGACGCCGACTACCAGGAAAGTACAACTCCTCTCGACTAGTGAAGCGAAATCGCTGGACCTTCCCTCACCTCCGACTCCTAGCTAGAGCAAGATGGTACTCCACAGAGGAAGTCACGCCCCTCCATACCCTCACCACCTGCGACTCATCGACACTGAGTACGATGCGATTGTGCGCTGCATTTGCCTCTGCTACACTACCAGCCACTTTGCTAGTGGCAGCAGCAGCCCCAGTCCCACTTCCCGAAGAGCTGTACAACGTGTCTGAGCTAGAGCTACCGCGCCCTCCAGGAGGCGGAGGCGCAACAGCAGCTACTGTCGCGCCATTTGCCGTGAGCTTGACCCTCGAGCCGATATTGGCAGCCGTTACCGCTGCAGCCGAGGCGGCTGCCAGCTCGATTGGGTCGCCACTGGCGGCGAGGTGGGTGTGCGTCTTAAGTGGGGCGAGGAGAGAGACGGTCACTGGCCTTGCTCCATCCGCCGCGGTCCAACACTCGTATGTTTGTGAAGAGGCGGCAGCACCTCCGTCTGTGTAGGTTGCTCCTCCTGTCCCTGTCGTGCGGGCACCCTCTTGTCCTTCTCCTGGTGGTTCCCCACGTGACTTCCTCGTCCAGTCCCACACATACACCTCGCCGGACTCTGATCCGGCAACGACGAAGCGGTCATCGAAGGTATGAGCGCGAATCTGCGATGTGCGATTGAGGTAGGTGGATCCCTTGTACTTTGCTGTGAGGCGACGGGCGGTAAGAGAGTAGACGCGGATTCGCGAGTCGTTGCTGGTGATCAGGATCTTCTCCTCCGCCTTGGCTGGCTGTGGGGGTGAAACAGAAGTCGCATTGTCTGTGGTGCACAATGGCGCCGTTGCCTGAGGAGGGATCGCCTCGATGCCGGTGATCTTGGTGCCACGTGAATGCTTCCCCGCCGAGCGACGCACAGCAATTGAGCTTTGGTAGCTCAGGTCATCCGTCTTGTAGAAGAGGAGCGCGCCGCTAAAGGTACCTGCAATGGCCCATTCACCCGAGCTGGAAAAGGCCACGGCAGTAATCAGACCGGGCACGTCGACGACGGCGTGCACCTTGCGGGCGGCGATGTTCCAGAGCCGCAATTTGCCGTCCAGGCTGCCGCTCAGGAAGAATCGGTCCTGTAGGGTTGGGAGAGGCCAAAACAGCAGGGTGAGTAGGACTATTTGTATGCTCAAGAGGCCGTCCCGCCCCTCCTCCACGATCCTCTACTCACGTCTTTATGAAAGACGGCAGAGCACACAAAGTCCCCATGAACGAAGGAGACCAGAGCATTCGCAGGCCGACTCAGGTGCCACACCCTGACCGTCTTATCCATGCTGGACGACAGAAGGAAGTTGCCTTTACTCCAGTCTAGACTCAAGACATCGGATGTATGTCCTCTGAATTCGCATATAGGCCGCGAGGAGAAGATCGGTACGGGTGAGATGGAAGATCGTTCAGTTGTGCTGTCTGCCGACCGAGGTCGGCGAGAGGAAGCAGATGTGCCGTCGTCATAGCTAGATGAGCTAGACACATTCGAGGCTCTCCTGACCTCTTGCATCGCCTTGAGGAAAGCCACTTCGGCATGCCGCTTCTCCTCGGTGTCCAGCACCTCAAAGACGCGGATGATCCGATCTTGACCGGCGGTAGCGAGGTAGCGACCATCCATGCTGAACTTCATAGCCCAGGTGGCTTTACGATCGTTTGCACAAAAGGACCCGAAAGACCCAACGGTACCGTGGGACATCGTTGAGCTTGCCAGACTCTGCTGACTCTCAAAGGTGGAAAGCTCGGATCGTGAGATGGAAGGTCGTGGCTCCAATTGATCGACAGACGACTGAGTGGGCATATTGACAGAAGCAGGAGTCTCGGGTGGAATTTCGCAACCGATGTGAAGCTCTTGCGCAAGATAGAGCTTGTTGAAATGGAGATCGTATCCAGTCTTGTTCTTCGATCGACTCTGTCAGCGAGGTGGTGAGAGTGCAGGTTGTCAGTCAGCGCAATCTCGACTCGATCTTCGTATATGAGCTCCTCTCACCTTTGCCTTTCTTGGGCCAGCTTGGCCCTGCAACCCAACGCCAGCCCTGATCTTCACTCTTGTAGATTTGCCTCTCGAGCCATGTGTAGTATCGCTGGGTAGGATCATGGAGGATGGCCTACTCCCACCCGCAACGCTGGATGCTGCTGTACTTTGAGGCACATCGATGCTGAAGCCCGAGGCCGAGGAGACAGACGGGGTTGCCGAATGTCCACGTGTTGTTCTAGTAGTGGCAACGGGGGTGGGACCATTCTCGGACGCAGAAACTTTGCGACCCAGCCTCCAGAAAGAGGGAGTGACCGTAGGGACGGAATTTTTGCTCGACTCCCTGGACCTAGTGACTCCCGACTGCCCGTCGTGAGTGCTGGCCGAGTCATCTCCACTCAATTTACTTCCCGAAAGGCTTTCTACCCTACGACGCCCGAATAGCCTTCGTAGCGGAGGGTTGCCCCCGCCTGCAGGTGGGCTAGGCTTGATGGCCGTTGGCCGGACCTGATGCGGGGTCATCTTGGGCGAAGACTGGGCCCAGAAAGGCTTTGGAGTCGGTCCGCCGATTGTTGCAATCTCCTCTGCCGCCTCACGAGGCGACGGGAGAGACTCTTCTCCGATGGTAGCGTCTGTGTCTCGCGAAGTGACACCATGCAAGTCGGCAAGAGCCTTGGGCGTCTTGGCCCTGCTGTCGTCCCAGTCTTCCTTTCGACGGTTCTCGACCAAGGAGCTGGAGCTTGACTCTTGAGACGGCTCCCTTCCTCTCAGGCGGGGAGGTTCACTTCCCACTAGTATCGCTCCTTCTGTCTCTTGTGGCCTTTCTTCAGCGTCGTCGTCGTCCGCAACCTCGCCCTGGCCGTTGAGGTTGCTCTCCAGACTGTAGCTACGACTGAGTATCGCGCCGAAATTGGGGGGATCAGGTCCTGTATGGCTGAAGGTCTGAGTTTCTGGTGCTTGAGAGGGGGACCCAGCTGTTTGTGGCGACTGGAGCTCCTGTGCCTCGTTGCTGTCGGGGGGTGTCAGCATGAGGCTGGGCCGGGACAGGATCGAAGAGGCTGGAGAACTATCGCCGGTCAGTATACTCGAGGAACGTGACATGTCGCCCTCTGTTGGAAAGTTGCAGAGCATAAAGGATCAAAATGGGAAGAAGATGAAGTCAGATCAGAGTCTGACACGGTCTCGGTATGAATGCGATGCCAGTTGCCTCGCCCTGTGGAGCAAAGGCAATCGCCACGGCAGCATTGCTCCCTTCGCCCGTCGCCAGACTCACCCTTGCGCCGTTGCCCTCTTTTCGCCGCTTCCTCTTGAGCAGCAAGGATCTCCAGCGCTCCCAATTCTCCAACCAAGCTGCCGGCTTTGCCATAGCGTATGCTCACGCTGCGCCTGGCCGTCGGCTTGACCAATCCGGGCACGGAGGTGCCAGTCAAATGTACCAGGGCAGGCGCGGGGCTTTGCTCCCGGATATTGACATTTGCGGGTTCGGGCGAAGGAGGCGAGGAAGGCTTGTAGGGCACGTATACCTCGTCGTCGGAGTCGCCTTCATCGTCTTCGCCATCGTCTGTGACGGAGACCTGACCAACGGAGGAGGAGCCAAAGGACATTGTGGAGCTCATGCGCTGCACTGGTCTCGGCGGTGGAGGTGCAGTGGCAGCCGACATCTCCCGGGGTGAAGCAGGCGGAGCAGGCGAGGCTCTGTCTGTATGTCTTTGTGGGTGTCGTGCTCCATCTCCCTGGAAGGGCGAGTTGGATCTGCTGGCATTGAGGGGTGCGGAGAGGGCATTCTTGACCCAGCTGAAGATGCCGCGCTCCCCAGGATGCTCAGGAGGGGAGCCGATGCGGTCCACGGAGCGGCCACTGGTGAAGGACTGATCCATATGGTGCGGCTAGGAGTGGCGAGGAGGAGGAGGAGCAGTCGTCGCAGGCACGGGTCACGCCGCAATCGTTGGTTGGAAGGCAAGCCGAGGAGGATATTTGCCGCACGGACATAATCCATCACGCAAAACCTCGGCCACCGCGTCTTTTCTGGGTGGAGGTGCGATTGCAGGGGGCCCGCGTCTTTCCCTCACTCATAATACAGATTACTACTATGCTACATGTAGCGACAATCGGCAGTCAAAGAAGTCTACCAGCTAGCCATTCATCGCTTGAACCAGCCGCCCAAGCGGTCTCTCATCTTGCCTTTGCCATTCCCACTCCCACTCCCAGCTTCACCGTCTCCACCTGCTGGCGAGGGTTGCTGCTGCTGCTGAGACGGCGGCGCGAGCTGCTCCTCGACTAGCTCTTCGTACCAGGTCTGGTTTCGTCCACTATGGGATACTTCCACCCTCTTTATGGGCAGAGGCGTTCTTGACAGCTGCTGAATAATTTGCTGAGCCGAGACTTCGAGGGTACTGCTCCTCTCCCTTGGCATCTGCAGGACGGGCCGACGCACTAGCGGCACCAATCCCAGAGAGGTGGCCCGACCTCCACCTCCAGCTTGGAAGGGCAGCAAGATCCTCACCTCCTTGAGGGCAAAGTGAACAGAAATGTCTTCTGCCACAATCACCAGATCACCGTTTTGTCCCGTTGAATTGGATTGACCTTTCTCCTCAATGCGCGGTCTGCTCATTCCCCTCCGTAAGAACACCCCTCTTTCTAGTCCCGCCAATATGAGCAAGTCTTCTAGTCTGCTTCTAGGCTGCCAAAGCTCAAACAGAGCTCGATCGTCGCTCGTCGCGGCCATGTCATCTGCATCGTCGGAAACCTCGGAGGAGAAGAGGGACGACTCCTGCGCATCCAACTCCCGACGCGTAGTCGATGCAATGTAGAGGTCCAGCACCTTAGTCTCCCTTGTGGCTGCAGCGTCCGATTGTATCGACGATAGAATGGGGTGCTGCCGCTGTGGTGGCGCTCTCAAGCTGTATGCAGGCACAGTCTGCGTGGTCGGGACAGGCGGCGAGAGTGCTTGAGACCACGTATGTGTAGAATAGGGAGGCAGTACCTTGCCTCGGTAAGCAGAGACGTAGTGTGACCGTAGAAGACTCATACAGGCTATGATAGGAAAGGAGGAGCATTAGTAGCAGCTCTTATAGCTGTGCTCAAGAGCTGACTGACCAATATACCAAGCCTTGCATACCCTCCTCCCTTCCGCCATCATCCATACCCTCCCTTCTGCCCTGGTCTGCTCATCCTGCGATGCCTGGTTGATCAGTGAAAAGACCCGCAAGAGGACCTCGAGGGGCAAGCGAGCATTCTGTCGTTGAGCCTCGCTGAGATGCAGTGAGCCGGTGGCACTGTCGGGGAGGGCAGAGGAGGCGGAGGTGGAGGCTGAGGAGGTGATTGGGGCTACAGTATATACAGGAGGAGGATCCAAGAGCTCAGAGTCGAGAATCATTTCCGTGTGGGCTGGAGGGTGAGGACGAGGTATCAGGAAGTGCTGTACAAGAAAGTAGTGGGAGGAGATGACCGAGCAGCGTAAGCTTGGATGCCAATGTCAAGGCGGGCAAATGCCTGGCTGGTGCGCAGCTGTGCCTCTGCATTGACCACGCCCACGCCAAGCGCAACTTGGCGCAGAATCAAGATCATTCCTATAGGAATAAATATCGATTGTAATCATAAATTGAAAAAAGGTAACGACAGATATATAGCAGGGAGAATAAGGCTCCGTACTGCAACAGAAATATGGAGAAAGGCAAGAACAGCAAAGGAAAGCGTACCGAAACAAAAAGAAAAGAAAAGGAGTACAGACACAAGGTCTGAACGGGTATAAGGCCACGCCTCGCGTCCAACATAGGGCTCTCATGATCAACGGCTCTCCAAGACAGCGGACAGAGCCTCCCTGAATCCACTAATGAAGGGCTTGAAGGCTCTCCTGTCAAGCCTCTGCTGCAGTGGCTCCTCCGGCAAGATCTGCCTGGTCCTAGACTGCTCTCCTTCCCCACCTAGCACTTGAATGTCCTGATCAGCCTCAATATCTCCCGCAATCCATCGACTGCAGACTTCCATCTGTCTAATTCGCTTGAGCCAGGCTGCCTCTGCGATATTCTTGAGATTGTTCAGAGCACCTCCTTCTAGCGGGTACAGAGAGCCAGACATGCCAGTTGGCAGTGGCCACTCGCGCGCCAGATCATCAGAGCCATCACCGACGGTGTGGGCGAGGATGTGTAGCCAGGGGAACAGAGGAGTGAGGGCAGAAATGATGCCGACAGTATCGTGCGCATGAGAGTCGAAGAAGGTAGTCAGAGCATCGATGTTCCTTGCAGGATCCTGCACTCGACTGCGCAGAGCCTCGATCAGCTCCAGTAGGGACTCGGTCCTGAGTCGCAGAGTGCGGATGGCTTCCTTGAGTGGTCGTCCGCGGTGGTGCAGCTTGGCAACGTAGTCCAGAATAGGCTGCACAAAGGTCGCAAAGGAGGCGCGGAATGCCGAAGACCGGATGATATCTCGAAGATGCTGGCCATCTCGTCGAGCACTGTAGAGTCGGAGAGCGTGTTGCAAATCGCGGATCAACCCGATCTCGCGGCTCTTGCGAGCTGCCATCTCAATATCGAGCATTGTGGGCTCAGAGTCAATGAGAGCTTGGTACATCTTGGTGGCTCCCACGATGACTTGCAGGTGTCGACCCTGCAACAGCGGCGCGTCGTTGCCTCTCAGGATGGCAGAAACAAGCGGGATACCGGCCTTCTCAGCTTGGTCTCGAATGACCCTCTTGACGTCGTCTGGTGTTGACTCTACGAACTTCCTTAGCTTGCGCAAATAATCCGATGGCAGTCGCCTCTTCAGCTCTGCAAGGCCCTCTTCGACTCGTCTAGGGTCGTCGTCCATCACTGCACTCGTCATGCGGGTGACGAAGCTTGGGTGAGTGAGGATACGCTTGAGGTCGTTGACCATCATACCAGTAGGCTCGCTCATGACAACCATCAAAAGCTTCCAAGGGACACTCTTGAACCCAGCTTTTGCTCTTCTGAAGTTGGCGGCAGAATGCGAGCCGGTGATGAAGATGCCGTCCAAGGTCCTAGCGGCCTTCAAGTGAAGGTAAGAGACGACTCCCTGGTAGTCCTCTGGCAGTGACGCGAAGGAGTCTGCCTCTTCGAAGACTTCCTTGGCCTGCAGGAACCCATCAGAGAATTTGCAGTCTTCCCACATTTCTTCGAGCATATCGCGTAGATCCAGCACCTCTTCACCTGCTTGATTGGCAACCTCTTGCCTTTGAATTGAGCTGTCTTCGTCAGCGCGTCTGTTAGCCTCCATAGTGTCTTTCGTGCTCTTCTTGATGTCACGATCGGTAAAGGCCGTCTTGCCCCCAAGGAAGGCCTGAGTCTCGGTGTGATGGCCAACGCCCCGAGCGGACAGAGCATCCCTCAGCCAATCTCGCAGCTGTAGACGACGAGCTTCGTAATTGATTCCATCGTCTTTGCGCTTGCCGAAGAAACCACCCAAGGTGTTTCGCGAGCTGGTGTAGGCCGGTGGATCGACGAGAGTGGCCCGAGAGTCGTTGGCCGGCGGGCTATTGTCGTAGATACCAGGGCTAGTGGAAGAAGACATAGCAAAGCTGGCGCGGCTGTCAGAGATGGATGGTCTGCGCTCACCTCCATTGCTTGGCCTGCCATTCGCATCACTCCCGTTGCGGGTGCCATCGGCAGGCTCCTCATTGGGGATGCCCTTGGCGCGATTCAGCTCTTGGCGAATCTCGCGTCGCAGCTCTGCCTTGAGTGCTGCGATACGACCGAGCTTCGGAGTAGACTGGGAAGCCTCGTCTTGCTTGGCTGCGTTCGCAGCCTTCGCGGCCTTGAGATCCGCCTTGGAGCTTCGCTTACCGAGCTCTGCAGTAGAGCCGCCTCCAAGCTTTTGTAGCTGGCTCGCAACAGGCGCAGGCAAGTCAGGCGAGGATCCATTGACAGTGGCTTGGTCAACAGTTCTGATCAACTCCCTGAAGTGACCAGGCATCTGAGCCATCTCCATCGCGGGAGGCTGCTTGATGCAGGCCTTGGGTAGAGCGGCGCTGATCGCCTTTGCAAAGTCTCTGAATTGCGCTTCGGTGCGCATGACGTAGTGATGAGGCTGCCCATTGTTCTTCCTCACTGTCATGATGTATCCGGTCTGAGCTCCTTGGGCTCGCACAAATACCACGTCTACTTCGTACGCTCCCCGACTCTGCCTCTCAAGCGGGATTCGATAGGGCGTGAAAGCAGGCAGGCGCATCATGTTGGCCGAGGGCCATGGCCAAGTCTCCTTGACGTCACCCTCTCCAACTTGGATAGTTGCGGTGATGTAGCGTACGGCGATCTGCCGCAGCGATCTCGAAAGAACGTCCAACGTCGACTGTGCGCTGAAGGGTCCGCCATCGCCCTCACCATATCGGTCGACTCTCTTGCTGAGGGAGCGGCTCTGCAGCAAGCGGAGCATCGGCGAGACGGCGCGCTTCCAGAAGGCGTCCGCATGAGCTTTCCTCTTAGGATAAGGAGTCTGCCCACCACCAAAGATAGGCAGCATGACAAAGGCAGTGTCGTAGAGGAAGCGCACGAGAGGCAGCTGTGGCAGATCCTCTCTGGACAGCTCACGGTTTCTAAAGACCGCATATTCTCGCCCCCTTGAAGGTGGCTGACGGTGGTTGTAGTAGGCGCTCGAGGAACGACTCGGGTCAAATACAAAGGTTCTTTGCATTTCCCACTCTAGCTCGACGCCAACCATTGCCTTGACGAGGTAGTGGAGTTGCTCTGGTGTCAGTGCGGATTCCATCAACCAAGTCTCTCGACCGAGCTCGTTTCGACCGCGGTCAGCCTTCCTTCGCCTGTTGCTGACCCTCTTTGCGCTCCTAGCCTCGGAGGAGAAGCTGCTGCTGGTGACCCCAGAGACCTGTCTCGAGTGCTGCCTTGAGCGCTTTGGTGATCGTGGCGAACGGAAGGATTGAGGAGAAGCGGGTGGATAAGACTCTGTGAAGCCGTCGTCATCGTAGACCTCATTGTCGTATTCCGTGTAGTCGTCCTTGTCATCAGCGCTTTGATCGTCATAGGAAGGCATGACTGCGCCTACTGCCCTTGGCCTTGCCTGCTCATACTCGATCTCGTCGTCCTCTTCTTCGTCATCGATGAAGGCAGGTTCAAGGGCGGCAAAGGCAGCTGCCAGCTCTTGCGCAGATTGAGGCTTTGTCATAGGCTGTCGTCCAGAAGCGGATCGTGGGTCGGTGAGTTGAGGCGCTCCAGGTTCTTGCTGTTGCTGGAATCGCCTTGCAGCTCGAATAGAGACTGAGTCGTCGGGCATGATCAAAGTCTCGTCGCCTCCACCATAGACTACCGAGGGCGCTATAGCCGGCATAAAGAGCGATGTACCTTGAGCTCCGCGACCTTTGCGGGCATCACCATTGACCTTGCGAGAGTTTGAGGTTACCGGTGCAGAGATCGGTGCGGCGGCAAGATCCACATCATTGTCGTCTTCCGCACCATCTGCTTCCAGCTTTGCAAGCAAGCGGTTGACGACGGAGTGGGCTGCTTCATCGTCATCGTCGTCATCATTGTCCCCTGACACCTTTCTGCTTCGGCGCTTGCTCCCAACACCTGCAACTTCGACGGCATAGAAGGAGCCAGATTGCTTCTTCTTCTTCTTGCCTTTGCTTTCAGACACGGGACGTTGTTTGCCGGCGTTGCTGGGTGCTTGAGTGGTGACAGTATTGGTGTCGTAGTCCTCTTCGTAAGCTCGGCGCACCCGGCTCCAATCGCTGGTGACCGACCCTTCCACCATTGGGGGTCCGGCATCATCCTGAAGCCAGTAGGAAGGCGTGTATCGACTTTCATCGTCTGTTCGGTAGTTCTCTTCCTCGAGACCGTCATCCTCCTCATCATCCTCTTCATCTTCGTCAAACTCATCCCCATCTTCATCGTCCTCGTCCTCGTCCTGAACTTGGCCCCTATCTGCGACGCTCCAAGATGGTCCTACGAGCGAAGCCTCAACACTCTGGGCAATCGAGTATCGCTTAGGGTTGGCCTTTCTGCCTTTTGGCTTGTCAACCAGATCTGGTTGCTTTGCGACGCCGGGCTCCTTGAGACGCATGGCTTCTTTTCCTTTGGACGCACCGTTTGGGCTAGCAACCGCTCGCAGAGGCGACATAGTGCTCTCGAGATCGTCTTCGTTTGTAAAAGGACCAGTGACAGCCGAAGGAGACGTGCTAGCTCTCGTTTGCTGGAAAGCGCTGATGCCTAGCGTCTCGCGAGGAGAGGGGTAGGAGGGCTGAGCTGCACCCTTTGCACCTGGAACCTCTGTCGCTTCATCGGACTCGGAGAAGATCTCCTCTGCGGATTCTGGGTCCACCTCTTCGCCCTCCTTCCTTCGCATCGACTTGAGTCTACCGAAGAGTCCACCTTTGCGTTTGGTCGCCGCTGGACCCGCTCTACTGGTGGGGCCCTTGCGAGTGATGGAGCCCTTACGGCCCGCTCTGGGTCTTGCCGACGCACGACGACCGGATGCGCCCTGTTTGCTTGTAAGCGGCGCAGAGATGCTGTCGTCCCTGGCCAATTGCGCGCCACTCGAGCGCTGTGCCGCCCTCTGGTCTAGCATTTCTGACTCATCGGTAGGTGCAAGAGAACTGAGATCGTCACTGACCATGCGTTGTGGCACGGGTGCCTTGCTCTTGGATTCCCGCTTGAGCATATTGCGGCTTGCGTAGAAGGGGTGTAGCTATGAGTGTCTGATTGTGGTCGCTCCAGCAATCACGCGCGTTGTAATGGGAGGTCCAGTGCTCTGTAGTGAGCTGGATGGTTGTTGTTGACAGGTGTTACCAATCTACGGGAGAGGTATTTACGGGAGCGGATTCTTGTCCCAGTATTTCGAATGACTTGGTGTAGGCGAGCACTAGCGGGATCGCTCTTTAAATGAAGGGGATGAGGATGACAGCGTGATGGATGGGATGAGTGGAAAGATGGAGAAACAAACTCTGGAAAGTGAATTGGGGTTCATCGAGATGGCCACCCACACCGACGAACGGATGCGCTTGTGGCTTCTAAAAGCAGTGGCTGAACGACAAGTCGTCTCCGCCTCGCCTCGCCTCTGCTCATCTGCCCACGCGGCGTCCAGGACGTCGCACCCTTGCTGCAAGCGGGGCAGAGCTGGAGAGGCGCGGGGTAGGACAGCAGCAGAGCACCAGTCCCGACGGAGGACTCGACACTCGACAGGAGGCGTGAGAGCAGACAAGTGCAGAGACCGTGGCAGCGTCGATGGATTTGGGTTGAAAGAGAATTCCCCTAGTCTAATCACCAGGGACGAGCAACACACGCGTCGCAGGCCCAATCAATGACCTCTATCATTGCCCTCCTGAGGCGCTCAGAGCTTGATTGCCATTGATATGTCCAGTATCGGGAGACCACTGTGCTGGGACGATCGACGTCTGCACTCCGACCTTGCATCAATATTGCCCTAGCCTGCATTGAGTGACTACTCCACGTCAAAATTGCACGTGATGGTCGTCGCGTCACATCGGCCAGCTACCAAGGCCTAATGACCCTCTCAGCGCGAGATTCGACGTTTGTCCAGAGATGGTGCCTGTTCACCTTAGTCGACTGTACGCGAGAGCATAGCGCCTAGTCGATGTCCAGCGGCCAGGATGATTGGTGGTGCTTATCGCTCGCCTTTAGTCCTTGAGGCGCAAGTCGCGTGCCAGGCAGGGGCGGAGAGACGATTGATGCGAACGGAACGGAGGCCGGGCTGGCCCAGCTGCGAGAAGGTCAGGGCATTGATTAGCGGTGGGCAGCGATTGCTCTTTGCTGCCACGCCGTCCCTGTTGTCCGTGACCTGTATATCCGTCGTCCCTCGCTGGCTCTCGACGCCCTGGCAGACAATGGGAGCTTATGAGTGGCGGTGAGGCATCCCCTGATAAAGTAAAAGTAGACCATCTGCCCTCTACCACGAGCAGCCTGCACGTAGCCGTCTTCCCTTTCCACACACGAACCTCTGCTTTCCTACCACACTCTTGGCCACGATGACGACAAAGGCAACAACGACGAAGGCAGAGGCACCGCCCATCGCGCCCATGTCTCCCATGGTCATCTCTTCCATTGTGCTCCCCATTGCTGCCATCCTCCTCTACATCCCTTACACTTTCCACACCGGCCTCTTCCATTCCTCCTTCGCCCTCAAAGCCGAGACCTTGCGAGCAGATCTCAATCTCGATTCGTGCTCTCGCTTGGTCACGCCAGCAGACATGGGATGGTGCGCAGAGCCAGTGGTACAAAAGTCAACTGGAATGGCATATTTCGTCTGCGATGACAGCAGACCATGGTGGGACCCTGTCCGGATGATCTGGGAACAGGCTCCCCCTGGCAAGCAGGGCGGCAGCTTGTGGGCGTGGGATCTCAAGGTGAGTAGCCGAACGGGATGTTGGGTCCTGACGCTGCGAAGGCCAGCTGACATGCCCCTTTTTCCCATCCTCAGGACCAATCGAGCTCGCCGCGACAGCTGGAACTGACATCTCAAGTCGATGCAATGGAGATCTTCCACCCTCTCTCCGTCTCGGTCATGCCCTCATCCAACGGTGACTCGCCCGATGCAAACATCCTCTTGATTGCCAACCATCCATTCGCCGACTCCGCCGGGTCTGTCGATGTGTATCGTCATCCTCTTGGTGACGGAGACGGCATGAATCATGTCGCATTCTATGATCGAATTGCTGGAGACGCCCTTGACGGCCAAAGCCCCTACCGAGTCGAAGCCGTCAACGAACAATGGGGTCTTCCCATCTCGCCAGCCGTTGCAGGAGGTGGGCCAGATATCAAGGTACCCAGCTTCCTCTTCACTGCCGTGCCTTCGCCTGACAAGCCAAAGGGTGGACTTGGACCAATGCTGCGAGGTAGTGGCACCGTCCTCTCCCGCAAGCCTACCCTCCTCGAGTACCTGGCCGACGTATTTCTGCCTACTCGTCCCTCGCCTCCAAAGGATGTCTTCTACCATCTCTCCACGGCTTACCGTACAAAGTCAGCTTTCGCAACGACGACAGCATACCCTCATCACCCTCCCCTTGTACGAGCCTGGGACGGCGCAGGCAAGGAAGGCGGGTCTAACAGCTCCATGCACAATGTCTTCGTCACCGGTACCGCCGCCAAGGACTCCCTCTTTGAGCAGTGGGACCAACATTGGGTCCGAGGTCCGCACTATGGCGAAGCAATGGCCACAAACCAGAAGGTCTCTACTAGTGTTCAGGTGCGCTGGCCCAGTTTTGTCACCATCTGGAACAAGGGCTTCGAAAAAGTGCTGCGGGCCATCTCCGTCGACTCCCTTGGGAGACTTTGGACCGTATCTTCTGCTGACGAAGGCCTCTCTGAGAAGCTCGTCGAGACGCTCAGGATGGGCAACAGCACGGAGGATATTCAACCGGGTGTACTGGTGTATCAGACTACCTTTGTACACCGCATCGGAGCTGCCTTTGCACACCCTTGGGAGTTGCAACGTATTGGCTCAGCCAAGAAGAAGGGCCAGTGGCTGACCAAGGAGTTCTTCACTAGCCTCATCTATCGCAGGGGTACCAAAGGTGACAAGGATGTGGGATTCTTGCCCAAGGCGCCTACGGGCATTGCAGTGGATGACGAGAGGAAGAGGATCATCGTCACTTCTAGCTGGGATAAAGGGATTGCTGTTTGCCAGTGGAAGGATGGCTGGGTAGAGATGTAACGAAGAGGCGATTGGATGTTGCCCAAGTAGAGTCCCTTTTTCCCCCCAACCCCCTTGCTTCATCTCACGTCTGTTGCACAAGCGAGGTCCTCACTGCCCTGCGCACGCCGAATGCTTCTCGATAGATGTCACAACATATTCACTTCTCCGCTTCATCTCGTCCGTCAGTCAATCAAACGCTCCTCATTCTCTCAATTGCTTGGTCCTACTGTGGGGTGCGTCGTCACCTTGTATGTGTGGATCAGGTGGGAGGACCGCGTACTCGAGAGGTCGGCACGACTTCGAGAGTCAGATGGGTAGATGCAACAGAGCAGATAGAGTCACGAAGAGAAGGGCTACAGAGTGTTCAATTGCATCACGGGCGGTATGTACTAGACTAGACTGGACTGGATCGGGAAGAAAAGTAGAAGAATGTCCTCGTCCTTGTCCTTGTTCTTGTTCAATGGACTATTGTGCGGATTATGTACAGAGTGGAAGTGAGATGGGACAGCAAAAAGGCGACCAATGCGCTGTGTCCCTCAGCTCACAACCAGGTGATATATGCAGATACAAAGGGTTTTCAAAGATCCGGGTTGAGAGACCTCCTCTCTACCTCTTCCTTCAGGTCAGACGTCTTGGCTGACTCTGCTGCTGCTCGAGGGAACCACGGCTCGAGGAGCTGTCGGAAGATCTCCCTCCTGTTGAGCTCCCAGTCGAACTTTTCCCCTTCGGGCAGAAGACTGAGTCCACCTCTCGCCTCGAGTTGCCCTTCTTTCCCAGCCAGAACTTCCGCAAGACTGCGACGACTGCTACTACCCGTGAGGGCGGCAACAGCTGCAGCGGCAGAGCTTTTGCCGGTGAGACTTTCGAGGATGGATGTTAGCTCGCTGGTGGGACAGCTGAAGCTGACGTTGCGTGAGATGGGAATGTTGACGCCGACGGAGAGGACGGTGATACGGGCGCTAACTTGTATGAGAGCCTGTGATGCGGGCAAAATGGAAGAGGGGTTTTGGTTAGTGGTCTTGCCTTCAAGGAATTGGCAAGTGTATTGCGACTCTCGATCGTGCGGACTCACAGTGAGCTTCTGGCCAGTACTTGAGGTTGTCCCAATGCCACATTGTGAGACGACACTGTCGATCAAGGTCTCACCCGACGAAGAAACATCCAGTCCAATGTCGAATGGGAAGACGACGGTCGTGTTCGCGTTTCCCGCAATCTTTTGGTCGATCAGACTACCATTTCCAATCGATGTACTGTCTGCAAGTGCAGCATCGTAGACGTTTGCAGTGATGTGGTTGATGGTAGCAGAGAATGGGTTCGGGTTGGAAATAGCAAAGTTGATGGAGCCATTGGCGCTGAATGTGGAACCGGAGATGGAGAAGTCATCGGTGGTGGGGACATTGACCGAAAGGAGGGCGACATTGGGCGGTAGCGCGAATGTGATGACCAGCAGGACTACGGTGATGATGATGATGATGGCACAGATGATGATGCAGAAGAGTGTCCGTAGTGTCCTGACAGGCCAGCTGCGTCGGAAGAAGACGTGGCGGTCGTCGGCTGAGAAGACCGAGTCGCGGTTGGACTGGCCAAAGCGACTCTTGCGTCCGTACCCACCCACGATGCCAGCGCCTGTTGCGGCATTCTTCTCATTATAGTCGTTCTGACCGTAGCCTTGTGGCGCATTCAGGTCGCGCGAATCAGTTCCTCTGTAGCCACCATTGTCGTTGTAGCGAGCGGCGTCGTTCTGTCCCCAATCTGCTCCATGCTGCTGCACCGAGCTGCGATCGTTCGTGGCAGCATTGTCGTACTCTTGCCCAGTGGAAGCGTCGTGAAATTCGTACTGGTCTTGTTCAGGATAGTAGTTGTAGCCATTGGCTGCATGCGTGTGGTCGCTTTGAGCTCGGTGGTTGTTGGAAAAGGGGTAGTTGGTCGCCATGATGGGCAGGTGGCAAGACGCTTGAAGAGGAAGAGGCGCGAGCCTGCTTTCGTGTGAGGTATCGATTGTCCTGCGCTTGAACTGACGCCAGGGGCGAGGAGGACGGTATGCTGCGGGAGTGAAGTGGTGCTACAGATGCGGTATGCTAGGAAGAAGTGAAGAGAAGAGTCGTGCTACCAGTTGCGGATCGCGGGGATCATGTCATTCGTCTACTGATTGATTGGCTGACCCTGACTGGTAAACGGCTCCCCGGGCGACTTGTCCGCGAGGCACCGCCTGCCGCTCCCCTGCCAAGCAAACATCAGACGTGCCGAGACCCCGCCCACGTCCCACCACACCCAAATCTCGGATCGGACCCAAAGTCGAGCTTGGCCTGGACTTTCTTCCGTTCCGACGACAGGCAGCGGAAGATCTGGCCTGCAGGCAGAGGCACCCTCATCCCAACACCTCCGCCTCGACGACTCGCACCGACCTTCTACACGCCTACACACCTACGCTTCATCTTCATCTGCAAGAACATCTTCCAAGGTCTCACGGCGATGCCAGAAGCGGCCGAGGCAGGACCCTCTTCCCGACCTGCAGGAGCTGATCTCAGTCTATGGTGAGCAGCCACTCGCCTCCGTCTCAAGCGTAAAGCAGTGCTCATTCTCCCTCTCATCCCCTATTCGCAGTACGTACCACGAGCTCTATGAGCATCTCGAGAATGCACGGTCAGACAGACCTTTCAGTGAAGTCCAGCAGCTCGTTGAATCGAGGCTGAAAGAGCTTGCAGCAGCATGTCAGACGTCCCCACCCTCGCGTACTACCTCCAAGGGCAAGCTCAGTGCAGACTCTGTCAAGCTAGACAGTGGGCTGGAGCTCAGCATCGATGCGGATCAGAGGGACTTATGCATACAGATTAGCGAAAGGTATGATCTCGAGGAGGTTCAGTCCTTGTTGACCTTCAAGCGCTTCCTCCAAGCCGAGGATATCCATCGCGACCTACTTAGGACAACAGCGGCAGCCAGACGCAAGGGCAAAGCTACCCTGTCAGACGATCTCGTGAACGAGATCCTGGACGAGTTCAATGTCTTTTATTTTGAGGAGCAGCTCTATACCATCAGATGCGCGGCCTCGTTACTTCGCATCGCGGAGGACTCGGATCACCAGTACTTTGAGATCGCTCAACCGGCTCTTACCTCGATTGGCACGCAAGACTTCGGCCAAAAGTGTCTGGACAGATTTGTGCAGGTTTCGAGACAGCCTCTGCCGATCGACGTCCGCGATGCTCCTCGCTATTCGCAATTCTGGGCGAAGCATGGTCTGAAAGAGCAGCTTGCCCTCCTAGAGGTCGTGTTTCTCGTCTTTTACGGCTGTGTCACACCCACCCCTGCCTTTGCCATCAAGGTCCTCAAAACCCTCGAAGAGACAACGTTTGGCCAAGCTCAAGCCAGCGAGGCCTTCTTCGACCCACAGTCCGTCGAGCTGGTAGGCGCTGTTCACCACTGCCTGACCCTTATTGCGATTGAGGCTCTCGACCTCGAGCGAGCCATGGATGGGTACGGCTTCCCCCCAGGCGCAAGTCTATCAAATGAGGCCACCGTCAGCTCTCGAGCGTTCATAACAGATGCAAAGCAACTGGATGAGGTTCTGAGCCATCTAGAGTCTGCTTCGGCTGATCCGAATCTTTCCCCCATCTTCCTGGGTTGGGCTCTGGTTCTCCGCAAGACGGAGGATGCGCTAGCCGATGCTCTTGAGCGATCAGGAGGTCGCCTACCTTCCCAACTGCAAGCGCTCAGCGAGGTTCTGGCGCCAGGCGATGGAGGCGAACCGGTATGGACGCGTCTGGCGTCGGCCGCTTTGAATCCCTCCATGGGCTTCTTTTCCACAATGAAGGCCATAGTTGGCTCGCCCCTGATCTCTACTCAGCACTCCCTATCAGCTTCTTTTGGAGTCTCGATAGCAACCTCCCTGGCATTCCGGGCTGTGTTCAAAGGCTTGCTCCTCAGCATCACCGACGTCATCAGACCAGAGTACATCAGCGACCAGGACGCACTGGTTGAACTATGGGAAGCCACCTTCGAAGACGGGCGAGGATCGGAGAGCGCTGCCTCCAATGCAGTAGGTATTTCTGCACTCTGCTGGCAGTTCTGGGAGGTCGACTACGAAACGGACACCCGCAGAGCTGTACTAGAGATGGCAAAGCGGAGATGGCCTGTGCAGTTCCGGCCCTTCATTCGACTCCTCAAGTCCTTGACGGGAGTATGCGACGGAGTTGTGCCAACGAGCAATGGTGCACAAGCGTCTACAGAGGTGCTCCGGCAGCTATACGAGCTTCCTACTCTAGCCCATGCCTTGCCATCTACAGCTGGAGCCTTGCGTCCACCCTGGGAGGTCATTGAAAGCTCAGACTATGCAGTGCTGGACTATCGGTGCACTCGGACTATCCCCATCTTTGGACCTGGGCTCGCCGTACAGCCAGGAACGTGCGGCAGAATGGTATCGGAGGCTGGTCAGACGCCAGTCGTCGTCGTGTGGGAGCCAAGCCAGCCTGTCAGTGGCTGGCGACTGCTTCGCGATGTCCTGGCCAGCTTTGTCAAGCTGCTCGGTGGACCTACTGTCGCTGCAGCGTCCGTCGACCGGGACGATGTCTTCAGCCAGTCTCGCAGTCAAGTGACGAGCTTTGCAAACTTGTCACCTGGCGAAACAGGCGATGCGACGGTTGCGACCGAAATCATTGAGCTCTTCTCGGCCGTCCTTTTGGGAGCTCCGACGCAAGCCGATGCTCTGCTCGAGCATCTGGAAACCGCTCCAGGCGAGGCTCTTGATCCGGATCAGTCGATCTCTTCGGATGCACGTCCCACTCAGCCTTCATTGGTTGTCATTGTTCAGCGCATCCTCGATCAAGCTCTCAATGCTCGCGAGGTCCCCAGTCGGCTCGTTAGCGCTGGCTACAAGCTCCTGAGTCTCCTGCTTTCACTTCGTCCCTCGGAAGTCTGGCTGGCCGTTCGCTCCTCCAACCTCGTCATCGGCTCGAGTGGTCAAGCGGCAGTCGTATCTCGCACCGATCGTTCCACTGCATCTGCGCTGCTAGCTTACGAATGCTCGACTGGCGACTTTGTCGGCCTGCGATCTCTCCTCGCCTTCCATGCCAGCCTCCTAGCTGAAGTGCAAAGGTCTCAATTCCTGATCTCTCCAGAGCTGTCGCGGATCAAGGTCGATACTCTCCTTCGCGCACTAGGCTGGGTATGTGAATCGATCTGGCCAGAGCATCAGAGCTGGCGATACAAGAAGATTGGCGAAAAGGTGGCCATCGCATCTTCGTGTGCCACTCTACTACAAAGTATCCTCACTGATCGTACCCTGGTAGGGTCCGCGCCTGGAGCCGCTCGCGACCTGTCGACTGCAATGGACAACCTTCTTGTTCTCCACTCTTCCTCGCTATACATTGCACCGCTCGTCAGCGTCATCGGAACAGGCCAAGCCCTTCTTCAAGATCTCCAGCGATCTGGCAGTCATGCCAATGCAGAACATGCGCATGATTTGATTGCCACTTGTCTTGCCCTTGCCACGGCAATCATTCTGCGTCGCCAGGAGCTGTCCAGGAGCGGGAGCTACCCGGACAGACCATGTCTTCTCGAGCGCATGATGTTCGACGGCTCAGCGGTTGCGGTCCGGGCCGTATCTACGTCCCAGAGGCGCAGTTCAAGAGTTCAGCTGTTGTCTGCCGTTGTCGCCTATACCTCGCAGACGCTGTCTGCATCTCTTTGCAGACATGCTGGTCTGCTGATGACTGCCATATGCGTTTCAGCGGAAGAGCAAAAGGACTCGACTGCGAGTGGCGCGCTGTCTGTCATCGGTCACCTGGGCTCTGCAGATGACGTGAACACGACGGTGGCTTCGATGGTCGGTATCTTGGACAATTCGCACTACGACGTCGAGTCTAGGAGAGTCATGTGGACAATGGCAGCGGCGATGGTCATGACTCAGCCTGGGTTAGCGCATTTGCTCCTGGGCGGCCACCCCGCCGGCGATCGAGGCGATGAGAAAGCTGTGCCTAAGCGCAGTGCCCTTTCTGTAGCTGTCGACTCCATCCATATCTGGGAGTACCTCTGGGAGCACGACCCCGCGCTCCTTGACGCCGTGCTGCACTTTCTTGGCACTGCTTGGGCTCGAATGGAGCATTTGTCGAGCCTACAAGCCAGAATTGATCCCAACTTCTGGAAGGCCATTACCTCGATCATCGCAGCTGATGCTGGTAATCCAGCGGAAGAGCCTTCTGGGTTCGAAGACTTTGAAGGGCGTCTGCGGACGGACAGCGACGAGGAGACTAGAATATTCTCGCATCGTATGCTGAGTAAAGCCAGGGCACTTCACATCCTAAGCAAGGATTTACAGACTCCCCGAGCAAAAGGCAGTGCCTCGAAGTCCGCCAGTCTGGAAAGCGCAATGGCTCTTGTCACCAACAGTCCTTCGTTCACTGCCTCTCTCGAATCAGCAGTCAAGGTCGAATGCGATCCAGGCCTGCATGCAGACGTCGAGTCCAAGCTAGCGACCGCATTTCCCGAGATTCCTTTGAACGCCTTGCGCCGCCCAGCAAAGGCTCACGAATTTAACTTGACTCGCGAATACGGAGACGACTACGTCTTTGACACCAGAACGCTCCGAAGTAGGCTCGAGGGCTTCTGTAGCGGTGCAGAGCGCGGAGCTCAAATGGATGAGGACGCTGTAGTGGACGAACGAGTCATTCATCAAGCTGTTTTGATGTTGTCCAGCGTCAATTTGGACTGGAGCAATATAGATGCACAGACGACCTATCTGCGAGCATGGCATCAACTGCTCGAGGCACTTTCTCGGGCTGCGAGATGGGAAGTCAAGGGGAATACACAGAAGGAGAAGGAAATGAGCAATTCCTACCTGAAGGCGTGGGTCGCTTGCGCCAAGATTACCTCTTCGGAGTCTCGAGACGGCTCGGTGATGCTAGGCATTCACGCTGCCAGGGTCGACTTACTCGAGGTGTTGCTAGAAGCGGCCTGGGGATTCTCGGCCTCGCAGAAGAGTGACCACCTGGCGCAAAGGGCCCAAGCAGCCGAGATTGAGATCCTAAGCGACGTCGTTGAGCAGGTTCAGAAGATTCTCTCTCACAAGTATTTTACCCTGCAAGCAAGCGTTCGAGGCCCCCAGACGCCAGCATTTCATCGCGGACTGTTCAGCATCGCTCTTCTCAGCGCACGACAGGTTCGTCGACTGGTCCCGATCGCTGTCGATAGTCAATCGCGGTCTGCTCAGGTACAGACGCACCAGACAATTCATCAAGCCATTGACTCATTCACGAGCCATGCGCTGAAAAGTATGCGTCTCATCGTTGATGCCGCAAGCTTGCTCGTCAGCAGTCGAAGCAGTGATGCGGCCGCTTTGGCCTCACGTGAGGAAGATCTGACGCTAGTCTGCAGTCTACTTGAATTGCTCATTCGCCCGGATGTCAGTCTGACTCCGCACTCCTGGCTCAGCCAGTTCCAAGAAGTAGGACTGCTACCGGCCTGCGTAGCACTGCTTCGGCGAGCTCCCCTACGGTCAAGCGAGCAGGAGATCAATACTCAGGCGGCCATGTTCATGCCGGCTCTGTCATCCCTGTTCCTCGCCCTCGCAGCGCAACAGCAGTCAGCAGAGCAATCTGTGCTTGCTGGCTTGATGACTGCATTATCGTCCAATGCTCTGTCCCCTGCCCTCGAAGCAGGAACGGTCGCAGCTGTACTTGCCTCTGGAACTGCGAGTCCGGCCCATGCTTGCTGGGTCACGATGCTCCGGCTCGTGGTCAGCATCGTCGAGAATCTCGATGGGGATGCTTCGGCGACGTGGGCGGCAGCAAGCGTGCGCTTCATCGAGACGGAGGTGGTCGGCTTTGTACGTCTGTATGGTGCACAATTGGGCAAGGCCCTCAGCTTTTCTCCATTGGCAGCCCGAGGCAGCGTCAACACCCGGGAAGGAGCTCCCCTGCGCTTCGTGGAGCAAGATGCTCGCATCACGCAGCCACAGCTCAATGAATTGCAAGCGACGATGCGCTTGTTCCTAGTCATGGCTAGCGCCGATGGCTTCGCTCAGGGCTCGGGTAGGGAAGTCATGGCCACTTTTGCAGACAAGACTTCGGGGATCCTGCAGCAGCTCGTCTACCTCACTGAGCGACCTCACCAGCTGGCTTCCCTCCTACTGCACGGCGGTGGCGACAATCCTGTGGGCGTGGGCTCGGAGCAAGGCGAGTACGAACAGCAAGTCGTGGAGCAGATGACGTCGATTGCTACTACGGCCGTGGCTGCTCTATGGCACCAGACGAGGGGCGATGAGGTGCTAGCCCAGCAAGGAGGTCAGTGGGCAGGTGAAGAATCGCCAGCAGCAGCGACGCTGCGGGACAAGGCTCTCCTCCGCCCGACCATGCGTACCGCCCCTGGTGAATTGGCGTCCATCGGTACGCTCCTCGATCTAGCAGGCCACTGTATCGAGGTTCTGCAAAAGAAGCAGCCCACTCCAGCCTCTGAACACATCTCAAGGATGCAAGTAGCCCTAGAGCAGACGCTAGCCCTTGCAGTGACCCAGCTTCTTCTCAATGCCTCTTTCCCCGTTGGGTCTGCCAGTCATCAGGTTGTGGAAAGTGGAATTCAGAGGGACGTTGCGGCTTGCGTCCAGTCTGGGCTTGGGGCCATCAAGGGTCTGCCTGCTGGAGAGGAAGCGGAGGAGGGACAGAGGTTCTTGAGTCATCTTGCCTCGTTGTGTGAGCAGATGTAGGTTAGCTCGAGGAGAAAGGTGGAGGGCAGGGTTGTCACGATGAAAAGACGAAATAGGAAAGGGAAAGATTGAGAGAAAAATTTGGATCATTTGAATGGCAATGTACACTCTTTGCCCTTGAGAATGTGATCACCGAGGGATGCGCACTTGCTAGAATCTCACTGTCGAGGGTGATATAAATTTACATAATAGGTATCATATAATCAGCTGCATACCTTTCCACTTCCACCACTATCATCATCATCGTTTCCTTCTTCTTCTTCATCATCATCATCACTCATATTCTCTAAAATCGGTATGTCCACTCTTCATAGCATGCTGCGTCGCTTCCTTTTCTCCCTTGAGACTCTGCCCACACTGTCCACACTTGAGTGTGAATCGTGCGGTATCCGTATAGTACCTCTTTTCCTTTAGCTTCTCCCTCAACTTTCCCGCTGCCACATCTACCACCTCTAGTGCGCCGGGCGTAGAGATATCGAAGAGGGTCGAGGCGAATTCGAGTGGTGCGCCGAGCTCTGGAAGGAGGACGAGGGCGTCGTAGTGAATTCCGCTGTAGACTAGGTATCCCCTCGTGGTATACCCTTGACCTTGACCAAAGACGTGTGTTACACCATTGATGACATCCAGTGCTGCTAGCTCCAGCCGGTGTTCCTTGGAGAGGACGGCGAGCTCGACTCCCCCACCCCAAGTCGTATCGCGCTGCATCTTCGCCACATACTCTTTGGGTGGAGCACCTAGAACCACTTCTGAGTATTCGAAAGGATCAGCGAGAATCCCTCGACTGACTTGTTGACGTAGAGTGCGATTGGATGCGGGAGAGTGGGATTGGTGTAAGAGGAGAGAGAGGGCAGAGAATAGGCAGGAATTATCGTCTGGGACTATTTGAAGGGTGAGGTGACCTTCGAGGGGGGAGGAGGCGGGGAGGGGGACCGAGATGGTTTCGCCCTTTTGTAGACCGGGAGAGCTGGATGGAGCGGAGGAGAGAGGAGGTAGAGTGGAAGGAGCAGGAGCAGGAGCAAACGTCCTGGGTATTTGCGCAGGAGGTGCCGGTCTCGAAATGGGCACAGGCGCAGGAGCAGGCGCAGGTGCCGGCGCAGCAGGCTTGAGTATCGAAGGTGCCGCCTCCGGTTTCCTACTTTTCACCGCTGCAGCCGGAGCCTCTGAAGCAGGCGCCTTTGGCGTTGGCGTTGTCATGTTCCGACTTCCCGCCCCTAGCCCAAAAGAAGAGGAGGAAGAGGAGGAGGAGGAAGGCGCAGCAGATGCGCTCCCGGAGGACTTGAGCGCCACGATGATCTGCTCTCCTCTTCTTATCCTCAACGGTGCATCTGAGAGAAGGGTGCTAGAGGGAACGCCATGTAGAGGCAGCGCTCTAGGTGGGTAGCCCGTTTTGACTAGTGGTGCAAAAAGAGGAGAGAGAGCGAGGATGAGGCGGGCGTCAGTCCAACTCTATATCACCCCTCGTGAGCAGATGATCCTCTCCTCAGCTGAAACCCAGAATGCAGCTTACTCACTCTCCTGCTCCAAAGGAGCAATCCCACACTGCTCAGCAATGAACTCCTGCAGAGCTCCCAGGTCCACAGAGTCGCTGAGGGGAAAGGTGGCCGTCCCGCCCGGATGGCGAATACGGATGGACATGGATGGTCCTTGAATGGTCCTGACTGGACGGGTAGCGCTCGGTCGATCCTAGAGGAGCGTTCCCTCTCGAAGCGTTCCTGTAGCTGATTGAGTAGATCCCTAGCTCAGCTTGGTACAGCAAGACTACGTCCTAGCAGCGAGTAGTGGAAAGAGAAGGGAATGTGCCATTCTGTATTCCTTGGAGAGCAACACTTCCGCTTTCACTCTCCTCCTCCCGCTTTCCGGAAAGCCAACAGCCTAGAAATACGCGGCCTCCACACCGATCGGCTCAACAGCCAGCCGTAGTATGTTATAAAATCCGCCAGGATGACGAGGCCTGTTCAAGATCAGCACAAGAAGGCTAGAGAGGGGAGAAGCTGCAAGGAATACTGTAGTGCGTGCGGTGTGTAGCAAATCGAAATGAATTACAAAAGTGTGATACAAGCGGGCCAAACAAGCCCGGTTTTTGCCAAGGCAACAACCATTTCAATCCATCTATCGACCCACCTGCCAATGGCAAACGTCTCCATCCTGTACCTCGTACGTCTTTCCCTGTTGCCTCAACTTGCCAGCCGCTTTAGCTTCGGCTTCACTACCATACTGTTGGATATCCTCTATCGACACGATTTCTCCACACACAAACTTGTTCTCAAAGTCAGAGTGGATCACTCCAGCCGCCTGAGGAGCCTTGAGACCCCGCCTGATGGTCCAGGCTCGAACCTCGTCCGGTCCACATGTGTAATACTTGATCAGGTCTAGACCGTCGTAGCCGGATTTTGTGATCTTGCCCAAAGCTCCGGTGACCTTTTCACCCAGCTTGGCCAACTCCTCCTTCTCCTCTGCAGGACTAAGGTTGACTAGCCTCTCCTCCAGTGCGACGGAAAAGGGGATGAGCTGATCACCTGGGTTGTTCTTGTCAATCCACTCCTTGATCTTTGGCAGCCACTTGTTCTTCTTGCGGACGTAGTCCTTCTCGCTGAGGTTCACTAGGTAGGTGACGGGCTTGGCAGTCAGCAGCGACAGTGAGTTGATGACATCGACCTGGAATTGGGAGAATGCAGAGGAGGGTATTTGCGGTGTCAGCAGCCGACATTCCAAGATACGCTGGAACGCAGTCGCCTTGTTTCAGAGCCCCTCCTTCGTGCATCGCCTCTCCTATGTTGCGCTCAGAATGTACTAATTTTCTCATAAAAGGCTGATGAGGCCAATCGACGAGCTGGGTTATTAGAATTCGGGGGTCTCAAATGCGCCCCCTTGTTCATCTTGGCAACTAGCGAGGTCGAGACTGCCGTCTCTGTCTCGGTCTCCACCTGTCTATATGGGAATGCTCGAGCTGTCACTTACCTCCTTGGGCGACCAGTCGACTTTGCGGACGTCTTGGCTATCTTCGGTGAGGGCCTTGAGAGCCTTCTCCATCGTTGCAATCTCCTCTGCCTTCCTCTTGCCCTCGAGACTATTGGGACCGGAACCTCGAGCATTCTTCTTGGCAGTCTCCAGAGCCTTCTCCAGCCACTCGATGTCCTTCAGTCGCAGCTCAGTGGAGATGATGTCCATGTCACGGGTGGGGTTGACGTCTCCCTCGACGTGAATGACCTCTGCATCGTCGAAAGCTCGAACCACTTGGAAGATTCCATCGACGGCACGAACGTGAGACAAGAAGGCGTTACCGAGACCAGCTCCGGTAGAAGCGCCTGCTGTGAGACCTGCAATGTCGATGCAGGTGAGGAAAGCGGGTACCTCTGACTTTGGCTTGTACTTTTCCACGAGCCACAGGAAGCGCTCGTCGGGTAGCGGCACACGAGCCTCCTCGGGGTCAATTGTGGCGCTGTGAGAAGGAGGGACATCAGAGGATGATGCGATGAGTGGTGGTTCTCCTCTGTGTAGGCTCTGGCGCTAAATGCACTCACTAGGGGAAGTTTGCGCTCTTGCCCAGATCACACTTTGCAATGGTGTTGAACAGCGACGACTTTCCGACGTTGGGCACACCTACGATTCCCATCTTCAAGTTGTTGGAAGGCCTTCCCAACTTGGCCTTCTCCACCACTTGCTGCTTCTTGGGCGGCATCCTCTTCTTTGTGAGTGGGGTGGGGGAGGTGGAAAAGAAGCGAGGGAGGGTGAGAGAGGTGGGTGGGTGGATCTTTGGTGCGTGCGAGAGGGATACGAGTCTGATGCTGATGCTGATGCCGAATACAGACGAGGCAATGCTCATCAAACGGTGCACCTCTTGTCGTGTGGGAGTGAGGGAGATTGTTGGAAGGTGATGTGCCCGCAAGAACTTCTTCCTGTCACTGTGGCTCTGCCTCTGCGTCTGCTACTTGTGGCAGGCCAGTCTGTGAGCGTCACGTGATCTCTGCCCCTTTCCTTCTCCATTCCGCCCGCCTATGCATGTGCCTCCCTCCTTCCTTGGCTGTGGCCGTGTGCTGCCTGCCCGGCTTGGCCTCTGTGCTGCGATGCGCCTGCCAGTCTTGCTTCCCTGCCCGCCCCGCCCGCCCCTGCCGCCCGCCGCCACGCCTGAGTTCAAGTTCCGGCATTTGTTTCCCCCCCTTTGGTGATCCATCCACCAAGACGCCAAGGTCCCACCTCGCCCTCCTACCATCCTCGGCCATCCGCACACCTCACATCTCCCTCTTGACCTCAACGTTTCTCCTTGCTTGACCCACACACACTCACGCACACGTCCTCGTGAACACACTTGCTGAGAGCTGCACCAGCCAACACCGGACCCCACCTCTCGCTCCTCGAATTCGGACATCAACAAACACTTCCTCATTGAGCAATCGCAAACCCCACCTCTCGCTTCCCCTCCCCTACTTGACACAATGCGTGCCACCTTCTTCTTCACCGCCGTCGTAGCACTGGCATCGGCTACCATTGTGGCAGCACAGGAGGCCGCTGATCTCGAGGAGAGGTCACCGTGAGTATCATGGGAGACAGTGGCAGGCGCCGGTCAAGGAGGGACAGCAGGACTGCAGATTTTCCTCTCACTGACAAGTGTACTCACACCAACACTGTCTCTTACTTCTGCAGTGTCGTGTCCAAGGTCTTTGGACGAGCACCCTTCCCCCAAGTGACGCCAGAAGCAATTGAGGAACGACAGGTTAGTCAGGCCGGAGGAGGGGCTTATCCTTGACACTTCGACTTCATCCCTTGATCACCGCTGAACGATATCCCTGTACCCTGCTGTCTATCTCTTTCCCTTCAGCTCGGTGGTGGGGAGATCACCTCAACGACCAGCCTGGCCACTCTGCAGACCATCAGTGGCTACACACCTCCGGCTTCGACCAGAATACCCACTCCCGTCGTGTCGAGTGGAACCATTCTTTCAGCAGCTCAGATCCCAGGCTACAACGACACCGTCAAGGCCAGCGGAGCAGACATGCTCAATGTCGACGGTCGGTCACTCGCTCTGGCAGGTGGTATGGCCGCTGCTGCCGCCTACCTGCTGTTTTGAGCCTAGTCACTGCCCCCTCGACCGCAGACAAAACGCGTCGGTGCACCATGCCGAAATCAGAACCTCATACGCAGCTGTGTCTTCCAAGCACTGCTGATCCCCGAAGACTGCGACGGACCTTCACTACTATCATGACCATTCTCTTGTAGATTCCCTCCCCCTTGCTATCCACTCCACCCTCACCTGACCCTCAATCCTGCCTTGTACAAACTTCGTTGTTTCTATTCCCTTCCCCACCCTCAATGAGTTTCGTGCTGCCGTCACGGACACTCCTTCGCGCCTCTTTGCGCCTCTATTCTTCCCATCCAGACTCTCAATACCAGTACTCCTGTACTTGCTCATTGTTTGGCAGCGCTGGCGCAGGGTGTAGTGTGCTCTTGAAGGTGGAAGAGATGGCGGCATGTCCGACTCGTGCGACTTCGGCGACGATACTCTGAGGTATCTTACCGTTGGAAGAAAGAGCTTGAAGCTTGCGCAAGAGATGGTGCAGCTGTTGCTAGAAATGGAAAGGGCCGGCGTGCTGAATAGCCCTTGGGCGATTGCCCCGCTTCATGACTGCTGATGCAATTGTGTTAGCGATGAGATTGAGACTGTTCACGCCGGTACACGGCGCTAGCGAGTGTCACTGACGAAGCATTGGGTTGTCATATTCACCGCCAAGGAGCTGTTTGTCCCTTGTGCTGGACTGTCCTGTAGAGTGGACAACGACGCTGAGCAGAGTCGGATGGCGAGCCCCGTTTTCTCTACGGCCGTACCCACACCACGTTGCGCCGAAAATCTTATCGCTGGGCGGGCGACCGTGCACGACTTGGCAGACCAGGCCGCCTCTTCTCTCCTTTCATCTGCTTTCGTCGCAGCCTACACTTCACCATCTACCTGCACAACACGCCGTAGAAGCTGTCACTTGTGGTCACACACTTCTCCCTTACTCTGTCATCGACGCCGTTCTCACGCACACGATGTCAGAGCCAAAAGACATCCCAGACACATCGTCTGCTCCCGCCTCATCCTCTGCTCCTGACTCCGCCATTACTCCTCGTGCCCAACGTCGTGATCTCTTCAGCACGCTCACCCCCCTACCAGCTCGTGAGGGTCAGCCAGCACTGAATGCCTCATCCAATGCCGTGGTAGGCTCAGCTTCCCCCGCTGGTCGTCAACATTCCACTGGCGAAGGCTCAACCGTCTCACGCTCCTCTTCCCTCCACGGAAGGAAAGCTACTGAGCCCGCCGTTGAACAACGTCGCTCCTCATCTGGTCGTCGTGCTGGACCCTCTGGAGCAAAGTCACAAGCCAGCTCACCACCATCCCCACATGCCATCCTCGGGGGACAAAAATCGGGCTCAAGACACCTCTCACTGGGATCAGCCACGACACGACCTGTTGCACCACTTTCTACTGGTCAGAGGACCGCCTTCGAAGAAGCCGTTGCTGCTTCCTCCCTCGCTTCTACATCGAGTGGACTGCAAGCCCTGCTACGAGATCACCCTGAACTAGTCTCTTCCGAGCTAGCAAAAGCTGCAGGGGAGAACTGGAGTCAGCTAAACGAGAGTGCTCGAGGGAGCAGGGTACCCAGCGGGCCCTCTACGCCCACGGGAGGTGCAAGGGGAACAGCGGGGACAGAGTCGGGTGCTGGAAGTGAGGCTGCTAGTGAGCACGGTGGTGGTGGGTGGCCAGGAGATGGCTTGACTCCTGATGCCCTGCGGGCGCAGGAAGGAGCGACGCCTACTGCCGCTATTCCGGCTCACACCCTGGGAGGTGCTGGTGAGTACTTGCGCAGAATTCAGCAGAAATCAGCTCGACGAAGCAATAAGCAGGCAAAGAGACGACGTCTCAAAAGTGCTCGTTTGCGCCGCTTGCCTACCGTGGCCGATCGGGCAGACCATTGGCCGTCCTCCCCACAATTGTCTCAGACGCGCCTGGCCGGCATTGGCCGGAAACGCCGGGGGATGCGGGGGAGGAGACCGGGAAGCGATTCCTTCCTGGGCACCTCGGTCATCTTTTCCTTCCTGCTTCACCCATTGCTGAAGATCCCTTGTGGAGAGTGGAGCCGTTGCTGATTCACCCTCGATCCTTTCTTTGCGCTTGTCTTCCCCTCCATCACCAATCGCCTACCATGGCATCCTCCTCACACCCGTCTTCCTCGTCATCGGGCCCCTCTTCCCCCACTCCCCAAACGCCATCCCTATCCCGATCTTCCTCCATCTCCTCGCATTCCTCGGGCAACCCCCTCGCCGCCCATCTACAATCCCTTTCCATGACCAACTCTGCCGTCATTCAAAACCTCTCGGCTTCGACCGATGATGATACTGGCTTGGGTGCTACTGGGACCATAGGAGCCAAGCCTGACTATTCCGAGGCCAAGATTGTAGTTGCAATGGTGGGACTGCCGGCGCGGGGCAAGAGCTATCTTAGCAACAAGCTGATGAGGTATTTGAGGGTGAGTGACATCGATTGGCGCACTCGATGAGGAGCTGCTCTGACTCTCGTCAACCTATTCCTCCCCACCCTCTCTCCCTCTCCCAGTGGCTCGAGTATTCCGTCAAGGTTTTCAATGTGGGGCAGCTTCGCCGGGCACTCGCAAGGGCCAAGCTCGCAAAGTCGGGCGAAAAGGAAGACCAGTCGGCGGCATTCTTCGATCCAGACAATCCTGCTGCCTACAAGCTCCGAACTCAGATGGCGGAAGAGTGTCTTGAGCAGCTCATCTCCTGGCTAAAAAAAGGTGGAAATGTGGGCATTCACGATGCTACGAACAGCAGTCGATCTAGGAGGGAGGCACTGCAGAAGAGGATAGACAGGGAGCCGGGCATGAAGCTGCTATTCCTAGAGAGCGTCGTAAGTTCTTGCGGTGGGAAAGGTGAACAAGCGATTAGCTTCTGATCACCTCTCTTCCCTCTCTCAGTGTACGGACCCGGCAGTCATCGCTGCTAACATCGCGGTCAAGGTCTCGTCCGGGGACCCAGACTATGACGGCATGTCGCCCGAAGATGCCAAGGCCGACTTCCTCAAACGCATTGCACACTACGAAGCATCGTACGAATCCGTCGATGCCAACGGAGAGGAGAATCACCTCTCCTATTGCAAGGTCATCGACGTGGGTCGATCGGTCACTGTCAATCAGATTCACGGCTACTTGGAGTCTCGCATTGCCTTTTACCTCATGAACCTTCACATCACGCCCCGAAACATCTTCTTCTCCCGGCATGGCGAGTCGCAATACAACGTCGAAGGGAAGATTGGAGGTGACTCGTACCTGTCCCCTCAGGGCGAAAAGTACGCAGAAGCGCTACCCAAGCTGGTCCAAGATGCAGTGGGCGATGCCCCGTTGACGGTGTGGACATCGACTTTGAAGAGGACGGCGCAGACGGCTGCTGGACTGCCTTATCCGAAGCTGGCCTGGAAGTCCCTAGATGAGCTCGACGCTGGAGTGTGCGATGCGATGACCTACGAGGAGATTGAAAAGTACTACCCTGAAGACTATGCCAGTAGAGACGAGGACAAGTTCAACTACCGCTACCGAGGTGGAGAATCTTACCGAGATGTCGTCGTACGCTTGGAGCCGGTAATCATGGAGCTAGAGCGCCAGGAGAATATCCTCATCATCGGTCACCAGGCCATCTTGCGTTGCCTCTACGCTTACTTCCACGGACTGGCCCAGGAAGACCTCCCGTACATCAAGATTCCCCTTCACACGGTTATTCAGCTAACACCAAAGGCGTATGGATGTGATGAGAAGAGGTTCCAGTTGCCTATCGAGGCAGTGGATACGCACAGGCCCAAGCCGCCCAAGCAGAGCTTTGTCGTCGAGGCAGAGACGGCTGCTCCTGAAGTAAGCAAAGAGGATGGAAAGAAAGACGAGGCACAGTCGCTGGAGGAGGCTATGACCTCTCTGCCGCCTAGTCAGATTAGAAGAGGTTGAGTGGATAGGGTTGCTCACTTGCATAGAGGTTGGCCATGCGTCTGCCGGCCGGTACAGGGCATGCGGGTTTCCCCATAGAGGCGTGCACATCTGTCACTTGTCGCACTCTCCATCATCCAATGATCATCTTACAGCTCCTTTAATGCTCCATCGCAAGGTGAAGCCGAGGTGAAGGAAGTCTCGCTTGCTGGCCGTACATTTCTTTGGGCGGTGCGCCTGCGCGTGTGGAGTGTGGAGACGAGCTGAGCTGCGAGTCGGGCCAAACAAAGCGCCAAGGCGAGGGGCGAGGTGTTGGTTTTGTCCACCCACCCCTCCTCTCCCTCCTGATAGATACCTAGATAGATCCATGTTCCACCTCGAGTGAGCTACATCGACATTCTCACACCTTGATATCCTTCTCTTCTTCACTCTCACTACTCTATCAGCATGTCGAACCAAGAGAAACGCGCCTCGAGCGGAGGTGCAGGTGTAGCACCAGCACAAAATGTCGACCTTAGTGCCCTAGGTGATGCTTTGGACGAAGCAGGCGACGAGCAAGGAGGCGCTTATAAGCTCGATGATCAGGATGGATCACCCAAGACTCTGAGTCCTTCTTCGCCGCGCTCCTTATCCCCTGTGGGGACTCCAGGGGGTAACGCAGTCACTGCGACTGAGGCTACCACTGCGTCTGGTACAGCAGCATCCACACATATGTCCACGTCTACTTCTACGCCTACTCGACGCTCCTCCCAACCTCCAACATCTACTCCAGCCACACCTACTTCTCAAATGGATCCACAGCTAAAGGGGAAAGTCAAGGCAATCAAGGGCATGTTCCCCGAGATGGACGAGGAGACGATTGGCGCTGTGCTTGCTGCTGAGGGTGGGGATGAGGAGAGTGGTGAGTATTGGAGGGCGGTGGGCGGTGGTGGGACTGCGATCTTCGGGGAGAGATAAGGGAAGGACGCTGATTGGCTGCATCTTCCCCCATTCATCTCCCGTTACTCTTGCCAGCTGTGAATATCCTCCTCTCCATGTCAGACCCTAATGCCTCTCCCGCCCCAGCTCGCACTCCCTCATCAAGGCAGGGTAACCATCCCATCTCTTCCAGCATGTCTGAAGACGAAGCCCTAGCCCGCTCTCTTGCCATGGAGGAGGATGAAGCGTATGCTCGCTCTCAAGCAGCGGAAGAGTCGAGGAGGTACGCAGCGAGGCAGCAAGGTCAACCTGGTGGGCGGACAGGAGGGGCAGGTGCTGGATTGCAGGCTCTCTTCGGTGGTGGTGGTGGTGGAAGAGCAAGAGGAGGAGGTGCAGCAGGAGAGAGTGGTACTGGTGGTGGAGCAAGAGGAGGTGGGGGTGCAAGCTCCTTCTTCAAGGAGCTCAACACTTCTTGGAATGAACTCAAACAGGAAGTACAACCACTCTTCGATGGGAAAGGTCCTCTTGCCTCTTCCCGCCGAACGGAGGCTGGAGCAGCAAGCAACGACAGTGACTCGCCTTCCTTCTTCCGAGGTTCTGGTGCGGGCACAGCGGCAGGCTTAGGATCGGGATCAGGGTACCTAGACTCTCCCACGCCCAGCGCTAGCTACGATGCATCTCAGCTAAAGTACCAGCCCAGAGTCAAGAGAGGTGGTGGAGCTGCTGCACCTCCTGTCCAGACTCACCAGCAGCAGCAGCCATCGGCGGCAGGACAAAATGCTAATTGGACACAGAATCGATATGCCCAACCTTCTGCTGGTCAGCAGCAGCACACTCCCATCCGGCTCTTTGGAGGTGGTGGAGGTGGAGCAGAGGCCGGTAAAGGTCCTTCGCAATACTCGTACAGTACTCCACCACCCTCTCAAGCACAAGCACAGCAGCAGCAGCAGCCACGGGGCGCCCCTCTCGCCGGCGCAGGCAAATCCAGACTCGAGACCCTGGCTAGCGCCCGTACCAAGAGTCCCTCCAGGAGCGACCCACCACCCACTGTCGCATCTGTGCTGCAGCAAGGTGGGATGCGTGGGCGGCGCCAAGAGGAAGAAGACGATGATCTCTACTACGAGGAGCCGGCTTTGAAGCAGAAGCAGGCGAAGGAGGGCAAGGGGAAGGCGGCGGCTGTGGGCGTTGGAGCGGGAGCGGGAGCGGGTGCTGCTGTGGCTGCGAGCGGAGCAACGCCTACTTTGACGACACCGACGACCACAAGTAGCTCGCTGGGCGGTAGCAGAGGTACGAGTGATGACGATGACGACGACGACGATGATGATGATGATGATGACGATAACCTCGAGTATCAGAAGAGTCCTTTTGATGATGATGACTAGAAGAGAGAACAAGGCACGTGGAGAATGCCATGAGAGTGCGAATTTTATATATATAAACGCTCGCATTAGATTTGGATTAAGATTATACGTATGTGTGTATGTAAAGTGTGTGTATAGAGGTGACATAGGGATAGTGCAAAGTATATACAATCGACCAGTGAGGAGATCAGAACAGGAAAGATCAGCCAGTCCTACCTGGTCCGTAATACTTGGGAGACACCCCAGACCCAGATCCAGATCCAAGAGCAGGAGGAGCCAGAACATGGTGTGCTTCTCTTACTCGATCTACAGGTGCAGTCTTCGGACGACGAGATTGGTGAGGTGTAGCGGGTCTTTGGAATACTAACCGCGCTAAGATGGGGGTGGAAGGTGCACTCCAGGTAGAGATGGAGGTGGCAGTTCCAGCTGCAGCTCCAGTTCCAGCTCTAGCCCCAGCCCTAGCGCTGGTCCCAGCTTTGAGCTCAGGCGAGGACTCGTCGCTCTCCGAGTCTACGCCTACATCTCGCGGTGAGTCCGGTGGATCCATCGATCTGTACCCTTCTGCGAAGCTGGCGCCAGAAGTAGTAGCAATGACACGACCACGAGCACCTGCACTTGCACTTGCACTTGCACTTGCACTTGCACTTGCACTTGCACTTCTCCTTGCATCTGCAGCTGCAACCGGAAGAGGAGAGTGCACAGTATCCTGTGACGTCTGCCACCGCAGTTGAATCGTCGTCGCCGTACTGGCAGTCGAGGGGGCTCGTGCATGAGCGACAGATAGAGCGCTCGCGGTGGTGTTGGTAGTCTTGATTGGTCTCCAGTCGGGCATGGGAGCGATCATGAGCATCTCGTTTAGCATCCCATCTACGGAGGTACGTTCATTCTTCGTTCGGTCATGCTCTGCTTCTAGCTCATCGGAGGTCGCGAGCACATTTGCGTCTTCCGAGGCTGCCGCCGAGCTGGACCGGGTCATCTCCTCGTCTTCGCCCCACGTCTCGTCCGAGGAACGGACAAAGGTTGATCCTCGCCTCTCTGAGGCTTCCGAGTGTGTCGAGGAGGCCGAAGAGGCAGGAGGGAGGAATAGGAGCAGGGGTGTATTTCGAGAGTATCTCAAAGAGGAAGCAGTACCAATCGTCGTCTCTCGCCGGGAGTGGCGCGATTTTGTCCCTACCGGCTGACCCGATGATGAGGGTAAGGGGGATGTCTCGGGCCTGGCAGCAGTGGCATCCTTCTGCCATGCATTGCGTCTTTGCCAGTACAATGCCCCGTCGTACTCCCAGGCAGATGGCGTTGTTTCTTGTGACCACAGACTGCTACGTTGATCCTCCGTCGCAGCGGAGGAGCGAATGTCCGAAGAAGGCCGAGCCGGCTGGGGAGTGGACGTCTCCAACAGGCTGAGTGGACGCTCTTCACCTTTTGCCACGGCCGAAGCGAGTGTGGTCGGCACTTTGAGGGTGTCCGCCTCTGGGGAAACATCTAGTGCAGGCTCGCGAGCAATGTCGCTATCCCAGCTAGTCTGCTCGCTGGTCATACGTACAGACATCTCATCCACCGTCGAGTCTTCCATCGGCGCCAGTAGATCTAGTGGCTGTGGGAGGAAGCGGGAAGAATCTTCGCTTTCTGCGGTACCCGGTCGAGTGCTGGCTAGCGCGCCGCGACGACTGACATTCCATGGGTGGGGCAGAGTGCTTTCGCTAGGCACGGAAAGCGTTGCAGCGGGAAAACGCTTGGCTGCGCTGGCTGAGCTGGCACTGCGACTACGCTGGGCACCTTGAGCAGAGGTCTCAGCGTCAGTGGACGTAGGTGGCGAAGAGATGTACTCGATCGTCGACCTGCACATCGAGGCGCGTTGTACACATGGCGGAGCAGCGACCCGCTCGGAAGCCCTATCGACGGACGCTGTTGCTGGACGATTCTGCAGGAAGCTTATCCGCTTGCTCTGTCCCTCGGTGGTGGGGTCAGAGATGGAGGTCACATGTCGACCGAGTTGTAATGTGCGGGGAGGAGGACGAACGGTCGCCTCTGGTCGGATCTGATAGACCGGCCGCGAGTCCCTCAAACGCCTGGTAGATGGAGGGATATATGTTGGGACACGTCGGAAGTCGTTTGGCTTGAGCCCATGTTCTTGATTCTGCCTTTCGAGGACATCGTCCTTCTGTTTGGGATTCAAGCGACTGTGGTTGAGCAGAGGGCGAAGGAGAAGACCGGCAATGAGCCCTATGAGAATGCCACCTATCACAGAAGATGCAATGGCCGCCGAGAGGACAGCGGTGGGCAGAGCTGTAGAGGGCGATGATGCTGAGCAGAAGAAAGAGGAGTGTCAATTTAGACATCATATCATCACACGAACCCTCTCGTTATGCTCAGGATACTCACTGTTCATCTCAAGACTCGAAGAATAAGGTAAGGAGGGAGCCAGTGAAACGTAGAGAATGCCAGTCCTGCAGGCTAGCTCAACGGGGGCAATATAAAGCGCAAAGGGGAATAGAAATGCTCGGGCGGGAGCAATCGGGGGTTATTGAAGAAGATACAGGGGAACCTGACATCCCTGGCGCTTGCACTTGTCGCCACTTCTTTGCGCAACACGCGGTTCCACCTGGCGACGCCGCGAAGCGGATGAGAGATGGGATGGTGACACTGGACGTGGACGCTTCGACCTCGCTTCGAGCCCTTGATTGCTCATTTGCAAGGCTCCCGGTCATTTGCGCAGGTCGAGGTCTTGGGCCTTTGCCACCCCTTGGCGCTCAGATCGCCTCAATCGATGAGCGAGTGGGTCCCTGCGAGAGGGGTTGCCTCGAGCTTTAATGACAGCCACTCCATTGCTGTGGGACTGCTTGGTCAGGGTGGCGAGGGTAAGCTTCCGGAGTCCGAGAGGCAAGACTCAAGCTTTGACAGCGTCTCCAAGCATGGTACTGATTTGACGTACCATCATTTTGCTGTGCGGTCAACTGAAGCGCCAAGCACAGCCCCGAGAATCAAGTCTGATAGTGCACAATCCTGCTTTTTTACTTCACTATCACCTGCTCGCTGGAGCTCCAGCATAGTCGTTGCAAGTCCTCTTACGACTTTGCGCAAAGTATATGGCAAGTCGTATTGAGTAGACTGTTCGTGACAGTGTGGGACCACCGGACGGAGGGGGGGCGGAGTGTGAAATTGCGCGGCGGGAGGCGATGGATTTCTTCCTCATCGTCCGTCCACCTGCGCTCTTGCCTTGGTATCGAGACCATCACTGGTAGCATATCCACCCATCACACTTTGCTAGCATGGCCTCTCTTCTGCTGGCAAGTACGGCTCGTACAGCTGCGGCCTCGTCCTCGAGACGGCTTGTCGCCTCTTCCTCCTCAGCCCTCGAAAGCCTCCCACTGCTCCTCTCCGCCCTCCCACCCCTTTCCAACATCCTCCCACCTCTTCCCTCATCCTCACGCAGCATCTCCTCTCGCAATCCCAACTTCTCAAAGGGTTTGACAAAAGTGCAGCGCAAGCGTGGTCAGATGAAGAAGCGTCTCAATCTCGAAAAGCACGCCTTACTGGAGCGAGTGCGCGAGGAGACGAAGCCAGATCCAGTGCTGGGCTACCGGCCGGGGAATACTCGCGAGGTGGGGACGAACAATGAGGATCTATGGGAGAATTGCGAGCTCAAGAAGATTATCATATCCAATCAAGATGTTTGGGGTCTGCGTGAAGACTCGAGGGGGAACTTGCAGCCGGTAGAGTCGGAGCTGACAAAGGGGACGGAGGAGGAGAGGGCGGTAGCTGCTTCTCAGGGAGGACCTTTGCGATTGAACTTCAATCTCTCCGATGAGGACCGGAAGCTGCTCTTCCAGGATCTGCCGGACGTCAACACAAAGGATCGTCTGACCGTTTCGATGGCCTTTTCCGATGCTGGCTCGGGTACCCACGCGGGCAGTATGGTTGCAGATGAGATCAATCAGCATCTTGAAGGGATCGAGAGGCAAGAAGGGCACAGTGTGGACAAGCTGTCTAGGATGCTGGATCTGAGGAATGCCAGCTCAAAGGGAATCGATGTGTACAACAAGAGGAGGATCGTGGAGCAATTTGGTCAGGGAATCCATACAGGAACGGTAGAGACACAAGGTGAGCTAGTGGTCGAGTGACTTGACTTTTAGCAGCTAGCCTGGAGTGCTCACGATCAGACTCTTTTCCCCCCTCCTTGTTGTGTAGTCGCCATCATGACCTATCGTCTGCACCGCCTACACGAGCTCCTCTCCACTCCCACCTTTAGGAAGGACGAAGCCTCGAGGAGATCCATGGCGATTCTAACGCACAAGCGAGCCAAGCTACTCAAGTATCTCAAGAAGAACGATACGGACAGGTACGTCTCCCTGCTGAGCAGAGTGGGGATCAATCGAAGGGCAGTAGAGGGAGAGATCGTTGTGCCGGGCAGGCCAAAGTTGATTACGCTTTGAGCTGCGCGGAGACGGGTAGAATAGAGATGGCGGGCGGTGGGGCGGTGGGACGCACCTGTGTTGCGAGTGGATTGTATACAGATCGTAGTCTTCAATGGTCATATATCAATACAGAAAGGGCGAGCACCGTTCAAATTCAGCTACAAGGTATCAACTCGCTTCAACGCCAGGCAGTCTCTTTTCCTCCATCCCTTCATCCCCTCGTGTCTCCTTTGAAGCCCTCCTGCTCCACCTCAATCCTCATCCCGCATCCCAGTAGCCTCAAAATAACTCGGCGGCAAATCCATTCCTCCATCCAATCCCTCTCCATCCAAATCATCTGCAAAGATTTCTCCGTCCTCACCAAGCGCCGCACGAGAAGCAGCATCGAAGTCCCAGGCCTCGTCGTCTACCTCTGGCTCCTCTTCCTCTGCCTCCCCCTCCCCCTCCGAAGAGTAGTCCACTTCGCTACCGCGCCCAACCTGCTGCTGCCGCTCATCTTCGCCTTCAGAGGGAGAGAGGGAGGACTCGGACGGAGCACGGGCGCGACGAGCACTTCTCCCCATGCCTGTGCCCGTGCCCGTTCTGCGTGACGAAGGAACATGAGCAGGGCCAGCCGCGACTGTACCTGTACCCCTCGTTGAGGCTGAGGCTGAGGCTGACCTCTCTGTCCTAGATCGGAAGGAAGAAGTGCGCGAGGCTGATGGAGTACCTTCCATTCCCGCTCCGGTTCCCGTTCCCGTTCCCACTCCTGCAGCAGCGGTAGTGCTACTGGAAGTGTACCCGCGTCTCGACGGACGTGCAGAGGTGTGCGTGTGCGTGTGCGATTGCGTAACAGCAGGGGGGCGCGAGTGGTGTTGGGGCGGCGGTGGGAGCATCGCATGACCATGAGGTGGCGGTGGCGGTGGAGAGGGAGAGGTAGGGGAGACAGGTCGCGATGGTACCCGTGCGGAGGAGCGTCGTGAGCCCATTGTGCCTCGCGTCGGTCGAGGAGCAGCGGCAGCGCCGTGAGGGAGAGGAGGGGATGGGTCTGCTCGTGGAGAAGTGGGCCGTGAGAGAGAGAGACCCTCCCTTTCTTGCTCCCTCTTTCGATCACGCTCTCGTTCCCGGTCTCGGTCTCGGTCTCGGTCTCGCTCCTCCCACCCTCTCTCGCTCGGCGCTCGATTTCGTCGAGGAGGAGCTGTAGCAGCAGGCATCCCAACAGGACTATCCGTCCGTCTCGGTCGCGCAAAGAGTTCTTCAGGAGGGTAAGAACCACGCCGAGGTCCTCCAAGCTTCTCGCGATAGCCACCACTCCCTCCTCCTCCTCCTCCTCCGTCATAAGGAACGGCAGAGGCGCTTGCTCGCTTCTCGTCTCTCTTCTCGTTGCGGAAAGGAGAGGCGTCAAAGGGCATAAAGGCACTGCCACTGGCTCCGTATGCGTAGCCGGGCCCGCCATTACCACTACCCGACCCACTGGCCGTGACAGCATTAGGCGTCATTCCCAAAGCAGTAGCCGAGGGTCTTCTACTGCCTCCTGCAGCTGCAGCTGCAGCTGCATGCTGCGAAGAGGAGTGGCCAGAAGAAGACGTGATACTCGGCGCTGCACTGGAGCGACGTGAGCCATTAGGCGGTAGTTGCCTCGGCTCTCCTGTCCGGCTTTTCCTTCCTACAACAGTGGTCTCTCCTGGACTTTCGGGATAGCCCAACGCGTGGGCGCTAGCAATTGCCTGCGCTCTGTGTTCCTCCTTGGAGTTGGAGGTGGAGCTGAACTGTCTTGATTTGCCAGCCGCAGTGGCATGAGAAGAGGTCCTACGGCTTGCAGAAGGTCGCAGGGGTCGACCTGTCGAGGCTTGAGGTGGTAGTGCACCCGTGGGTCCACCGAGGCCATCATCGCTGCCGCTCCCACCGCTGCCGGGCTGTACCTCCTGCTGCTCATGGGGACCGGGGCGTCCAGAGTACTTCTCCTTCTCGCTGACGTAGCGTGCCGGGGGCGCACCAGCCACAAAACCTGTAGGGCTCGGACCCCTACTCGGTCTCGGCCTCGCCCTTCGCTGAATAGCACGCCGAGCCCTCGTTGAGCCTTTCACTGGTCGAACAGGCTTGACCGCCAGAGGTAGTGGGCAGACCAGTATGATCGTCTGTGCCCAGATCAGCCTGCCTGACCCACCCATACCGCCTAGACGCGCCGCGGCGCTGTTCCCGCTGGTGGTAGGACCCTCTACAGCGACAAAGTATTCTGCCTGGGTCAGGAGGGAGTCGAAGCAGGGGGAAGCCTGAGGAGGTAGATCTAGTAGACCTCGCCAGACTAACGTGTTTCCCCTTCCGGCGGCGGCATTAGGGTCGGTAAAGACCTTGGCGACAGAGATGAGCCGAGTCTCGATGGCCGAAGAAGGTATGTTTTTGCCTCCGAGGAAGGACTTTGAGGGATTGATTAGAGTTACCCGTAGAAAAAGGCCGACGCTCGGCGGTTGGATTGGCTGCTGCATTGATGACGGCGAAGCGTTGTCCAGACGTATCTCAAAGGGAATCGTGCTCCGAAGCGGCCAAATCGACGGTTCATTGGGCATCGCAATGCTCCATGCTGGTTGCCCAGGCTCAACCTTTGTGCCATTGGCTACGATGGGAGTCTTGAACATGCGGGAGAACAACGACGAGCCATTGCTCTTCTCGCTCGATGATGCAACGGCGGCCTGCTTGGCTTTTGCGCCCTTGATGTTCTTAGCCGCTGGATCCAAATCGAGCTGTGAGCGGCCCCACGTCGCAATGGGTTCCACCATCTTCGCACCAGGGGTGAGAGGATCTTGCCTGGCCTGAGCACTCAATCTCAATCGATTCGGCAAGACCGTACTGGGCAGCTTGGCAGGTGGAGACGGCAAGTAGACGAATGGTACAAAGACGCGATCGTTGCTCTTGAGAAATCCAGGTCTTTCTACGGTCACTTTGACGTACCACTTTATGCTCGCCCACTCGCCGTCCCTGAGCCCGCCGACTGCCGCCTCTGCGAGCCACTTCTTTGCCGCCAAGAGATGGCCACCTAGCTGGCCGCCAGTATTGACAGAGGCCTGTGTAGCGGGACCATTGGCTCTTGCATCTGCCAAAAAGACAAAGGAGGGCGGCAAGTCTGTCCCATCCTGGGACTTTGAAGGCAAGTCAATCTTGAAGGGAAAAGCATGACGTCCAGCCTTCCAAATTGTAGGATCCGGCTCTTTGGGCGGCCCATTGGCTGTATCAGTGGACCGGAGAACCATACTTTGATCTGCCGCTTCGGGGTTCCAAAGGACGCGCTCAAGCTGCAAGATGAGATGCTCTCGATTCTGCGTTGGTTCTGACCGGGGAGAACGTCCGACGAGGTTGACGGGTGTATTGGAGGGCATTGCGCCGGCTGATCTCTTGTTGGGATCTTCTGAAGGTGGAAGATAGGAGCGAGGCACCGAAATGGTGGAGACGGCCTTGATCTTTAGGCGTACAGCTCCTACTCGATCTCCATCATTGGCAAAGACGACGACTTGTCCATTCATTGCACCCCTGCCTCTTTCTGCAGACCCGCCCATGAAGGTGGGACTGCGCTGAGGCTGGGTGAAGAGATCCACCACCACTTTACCATTGTTGGCTGCATAAGAGTGGGTTCGCTTCAGACCTCTAGCCAGCTCCTTTTGCGCCCGCAGAGCTGCGCCTCCGGCACCTGGCAACGGTCTGAGCTGTGATGGTTGCGATTGCTGCTGCTGCTGGGAGTGCTGGGTGGCGGTACGATGGAGCATCTCCTGCTCCTTGCGCATCTGCTCTGCCGCTCTACGACGCTCCTGCTCTGGCAGATGAGGATTCTCCAGCCTAGAGCGAGGATTGGAGTCGATGGCTTGTTGAGCCTGTCCTGGAGGTGCCCTCAGTACGGCTTCTGGAACACGAGGCGCGCCAGAGGAGGGTTGAGGTGCATACGTCGGCAGGGGTGCAGTTGATCCGGGGTGAGTGGAGGAAGAAGAAGAAGCGGCGGCGGCGGCGGGGGTGGGAGCGTTACTTCCGCTGCCTTGTGCAGAAGAGTCGGGGTTACCACCACTCCGGGCAGCAGCGATATGTTGGTTGACCGCCTTGAAGAAGTCGTCTTGAGCAGTGGAAAGAGAAGAGAGGAATCGATCCCGTGTGCTCATCCTTTACGACGACGACGACGACGATGCCAAGGAAAGCGGGGAGGGGGCAACGACGAGGAGTGGCAAGGCGCCAAGAAGGGTGCGGCGATGAGCCGTGCGGGAAGCGAGGAAGCGAGGGAAAAGTCGACTGGACCCGCCGCACCTCTGCAGGCAGCTGATCGATTGGCCGGTGACCCCAGGCGCTGGAAACCAGACCCGTGTCCACGGAATTCCGCTCCTCGCACTTCTCTCCACCTTCGACGACATAGGACAGGACAGGCAGACAAGCCTCGGAGATCCTCGTCGACAAGAGAGAACAAGTGGTGAGCGAGGCAAGGAGATCAGTAGTTCGATGAGGGCATCAAGCGATACAAAGGGAGCATCGCCCACTCTCGCCTGCTGCATCTCTGGCGATGGAAATAGAGAGAAAGAGTCTATATATAGGATGCATGATACACAAGAGTCGGAAACACATACAAGAAGAAGCACGGAACGGAACAAAGGAAAAGGTGACACCTTGTATGAACTGGAGCGATCCTCCCTCAATGTAATGAATGCGCTACCGCCCTCTCACAGCGCAGTCCTGTCCCCTACACCCTCACCCCAAGGTCATCGTCATCGTCATCGTCGTCACCTCCCCCATCACCACGTCCAAGCGCATCCATGCTCAGCTCCTCCCAAAGCCCCTTGCGCTTCTTAGGCACCGGCGGCAGTCCATCTGCGTCCAGACCGGCCCCTCCCTCCACTGCATCTGCATCTGCATCTGCGTCTACATCGGCATCGCCGCTAAGACTCAAGCCGAGCGTCTTGCGCTTCGTTCCTCTTACTTTGGTTTCGCTCTTGACCTCGCCCAGCACTGCGCCGGGAGGTCTACGCAGCTTCAAGGGCATTACGGTCAGCAACTTCGCCTCTTCCTCGGCAGAGACGCAGTCGCCTGTTCGAGACTGGAGCAATTGCTGCAGCGGAGCAGGGCAACAATTGATGTCCAACGAGCATGCATTTCCCTTGCCCGCAACCAAGTCCGCTGAAGAAGAGGGCAGCGAGCGTCTCTCCCTCTCGTACCACTCCACTAGCCCTACCCTCTTCTCCTCTGCCGCCTCTACGGGCATCTTCAACTTCTCACTACGCTCATTGCCAAAGAGGGCCTTTTCGCAGTAGGCCTCCACTCGGCTAGCAACGGCCAAGAGGACCGTCGCGAGGGGTGCAAAGGTAGGTGCTGGTGGTGTGTTGAGGTGAGCCCGTAGGATAGCGAATGCATTCCGGCTGCCACTTTGAATGGCTGAAAAGAGGTAGAGGAGACGCAGGACATTCAGTGTGTGTTTGATTTGCTGTGAGAACGAAGAGGCGCCAGGCCCGGCCAGCGGGGAAGAGAGCTTCGGTAGAGCTGCCAGCGACGTCTGAGCCACAGGCACCGGGGCGTCAAAGAGCGAGTAGTAGAGCTCGGCATTCGCATCGAGGACATGCAATAGCTGTGTCTCATGCCCTGCCTGAGAGACATGCCGCTGTTTCCTCTTGCCACCCCTTTTGAGATGACCATCTTGCTGGCCAAGGGCTCTACGTAATCCTCTCCTCACTGCGTCGATGCTCTTGAACCACTTGGCGCCCCTGAATTGAGCATGGCTCTTGTACCACAGGCGCTCTAGCAGGACTTGTTCTTCGTGAAGCTCCCCATAGAGGGACAACAGAGAGTTGTGAAGCGAGCGAAGAAGTTTTGGCGACGTCAGGGAGGAGCGTGTGCCAGAAGTGAGACCCCTGACAGGCGTCCCGGTTCGAGAAGTACTGGCCGAGTCCGATGGCCCTTGTGAGGTCACTTGAGCTCGAGGAGAGGCTGTCTCAGGCGTTCGTAGGACAATGCTGGCAGGCATCGGGGTATCAGCGGACATGAACACGTCGGGCAAAGCAAGCGCTGCGCCTCCGTATCCAGGCGGGGGTGGTCCACCGAGGTCCTCCGTTGGCCCGTGGGAGGCAAAGAAGCCAGGAGATGACCGGCCTCTCTCGTGGTATTCTCGAGGCGTGCTAGTGCCCGTGCCAGTGAGGGAGATGCCATACCTTCCCAGGCTCTCGGCTGAGTTCATAAAGTCCACCTGTTGCGGTGTGAGCTGGCCAGTCGAGCGAAGGTGGAAGACAGTGTTTCGCAAGTTACCTTGGGGGTATCGATCGGAGGAGTGTGGGTGTAGAGACGACGCCGATTGCGATGATAGCACAGGCCCACTCTGGATCAAGCGCAGGTCGGCGGTAGAGTCTCCCACCAGGCCGGGGCGGGACGTAGCATCTGTCAGAGACGCACGGTGGCGCGTGGACGGTGGAGAAGCTGGCGCTTCGGCGTTGCCGCCTGTTGGCATCGCGACGAGATTCGAAGCTTCGGAGAGGTCATCCCCAGCCGCCCGCATAGGAGCCCGCGAGACTCGTGGGAGCAGGCTTTGTCGGGACGTCGCTTGCCAAGATCCTCTACGAGATGTGTCGGGCGTCTCTACCGGCGTTGCTGCCGCTTCAGGAAGGGCCAAATCTATTTGAGACGGGTAAAGCGAATCGTAGTCGGGAATGTAAAAGGCTTCTACCTCTGTTGCTTGCCCTTCTGCGGCTGTCCCAGGCCCGTCCTCTCGACTAATGGTGATCTGCAGCTCTTGCTCCTCCGCTTCGTGTGGTTGGCGACTCCGAGAATCTGCAGTCCGACTACGTGGCGGACGAGATCGGCTAGCAGAAGGACTACGGAAAGTTCTCCGTAGAGACCTGCTCAGTGAATTGCGAATGCTAGCCGTGAGGCTTGGTTGCCGACCGGTCCCTCTTTCCCATTCCCCAGTCGACAGCAATGGATCATCGGCTGCCTTGTAGAGCATGACTTCGTCGGCATGTACTTCGCTAGCATACTCTGGGACGGTGCGGATAGACTGACCACTGTCTGTACGGCGAAGACGACGGTGGTCTCCTCTATAACCCCGGTGGCGATCGCCTTCGCGGTTTGCTCCTGCTCGGGTGGGGGCGCCTGTGTGAACTTGAACAGGTCCTCCAGGAGGATGTACAACGAAAGAGGCAACAAAAGCTCTCCAGAGCCTTGTACGAGTGGGGACTTCGGAGCTAGGCTGAGATGTCGGGGCAGAGGTCTGACGCACCGTCTGAAAGCCGGACTCGCCTGCAGAGGTACTTGGGCTGATGCTTCCAGTGCGCAAAGTAGGAGGAGCGATTGAGGTAGGGCGAGATGCACGCTTGCGCTTCAGAGCCCAGGTGACTCCGAGGCCGATGATCAGGGCAAGTGCAATGATGGGGCCTGCGATGGCTGCTACAGGAAAGGACGGACCTGCTCCTGATGATTGTCTAGGCTCAGTCTGGCGAGCCAGTAGAAAGAGCGACTGTGGGCTCGCGAGTGCATCTTTAGAGTCTTGCGACGTCGCACCTCGAGGCAACGCTGAAAATGTAGTTCGCTGGGGTTGGGCTACGCTGAGTCGAGGTAGCCCGAAGAGGATGGCAGAGATGGCCACAAAGTGTTGCATGGCGGCGGCAAAGGAAAGGAGGGTATGACCATGCCAATGAGACACTGCTACGATGTGAGAGTTGTGTCCTCTCAGAAGGGGTGTTTGAGACCTCCGAGGAGCAGAAGGAGCTCTCCCATTGCCTCTGTAGCTACGGGAAAGAGGAAGGAAGACGGGCCAAAAAGGTTGAAAGGAGATTGGGCAGGCACAATTGCTCACGGCAAGTTTTGGGCGGAATCACTTTCTCCCCGGTCGGAGTGGAGTGGACCAGGGGCAGCGCATGGGCGTAGAGTAGAGCACCGCCTCAAGGGAGCAGCAGCGCGTCTAAAAGCCCGGATCGGAAGCGAGGCAGCAGCAGGGCGCGTAGACCGAGGCGTGTAGACTAGGACGGACGCCTGAGCACTAAGACCTGTACATCCATCCATCCATCCATCCACCTACCTCGACTCTGTAAAGTGAGCACAACAGGGACTCTTGCATCAGCCCTCTTCTGAATACTAGCTTGCTAACCAGTAGACAGTCATTTTCGACACTTCTCAACCCAGATGTTTACCATCGCACGATCTGCAGCTGCAGCCGCTCCTCGGCGTGCTCTACTTTCTCGAGTGAGTAGGAATGCGAGTGCGAATACAAGAGGATAATGCGGTCCGCACCAAGCCCCTCGACTGACGCTTTTGCACGCAATCTCCTCCAGCCCTTCTCAAGCACCCCCTCTGCAGCAGACTATGCCCGTATGCAGCTCTTGGGACGCCTGATTGCCGACCCCGAGACGAGGGCCACTCGCTCTGGAAAGGACTATGTCAGGTACACACTTGCCACCAATGATCCCGTTGGACCTCCTGGAGAGGATGGAGAGAGGCCGCCTGAGACGACGAGCTTCCACAACATCTTTGCCTTTGGAGACGCGGCGGTGCAGAGGTTGCAGAAGCTGCAAAAGGGGTGAGTAGGGAGGAGTGGGCTAGGCGGGAGTCTAGGCGGGCAGCGTTGAGAAGTCAGGTACAGAAAGACTGACGAACAAATCTCCTCCCGCTCACGCATCCTTGACTCTGCTCACAGCACGCTCGTCGTTGTCGATGCCGAGTTCAGGGTGCAGCGCAACCCATCAGAGGATGGAGGACCAGCTGGAAGCAGCTACCTTGTCCAACACAAGAGCTGCCACGTCGTCTCTCGTCCCAAGACCGAGTAGACGGAGTGCGAGTGGAACGTGGACTTTTCATTCTGGTGCCGCATGGGAAATCTTTAGGGCTTGCCTTGTGGATAGGAAAGGAAGAGGCATGGAGTGCGGCAAGAATCGCGATGAGGAACGTGTTGGGTAATGTGCTGGGATCAATTTACCGCACCACTTTGTGTAGCATCAATCTGGATCAAGGGAATTTTACACCTCTCTACCATCGACGGATTTGTTCTGTGAAGCTGGTGTGCTTTCGAGGTGTTGCACTGTGGCTCGCGGTATAAAACCCACGTGGAGGCGCATCGCATCGGTCACTCCACACTTCCGGCGGGAAAGGCGGTGAAGCTGGAATAGCCGAGATACTCGATTCTAGACTGCGTGTCTCCCTCACCATAGTCGTCCCTTTTCCCTCTTTCTCGCACACACATCGTCCTTTTCGTAGCTCTTTGCCTCTCCCTTCCTTCAAGATGGCCGGCCTCCGTCTGGCATGTCCAGTCTCCCGCTCCCTGGCCACTCCACTCAATCGCACCCTCTACACAAGCGCTCGACCCCACTCTCCCTCTCCCACCTGCTCCTCCTCCTCCTCATCCCCTCGTCCCCTCCCCTCTTACACCCTCTTCAACTACACCCTCGCCTTCACCCTCCCCTTTTCATTTTGGGGACTCTTTGGTGGGGGAGGAGCCAACAGTGCTGGGAAGAGCTCAACGGCGGATGTGGTTTCAAAGAGTTCGACGGTTTTTCGAGAACAGAATGCATTTGTAGGGAGACAACAGGCTTCTACGCTCATGTTTGCTAGTTTCAAGGGAGAGGGAAGAAAGGAGTGAGTAGAAGTGTGCAAGAGAGAGATGGATAGAGCGAGGAAGGGAGGGAGGAGGAGTGATCTGATCGGATCGGATCGGATGTCCTTCTCCGTCACTTGTCCCTCCAGCTGGCAATCCTGGATCGGCTACTTCCGAGACCAAGGCTTCGACTGCATCGATGCCAATCTAGACTTTGAGCCCAAGACCGGAGGCGGGGGCGGGGCCGGGACGGGGAGCTCCTCGTCTAGCTCTGAAGGTGATGGTGGAGCAGTGACTGGAAAGGTACAGGGAGAGGAGCACAAGATTCTTGCTGATGGTGAGTACGGTATGGAACGAGGAAGGAGCGAGGGGAGAGATAGTGCCTTTGCAGCCTTGTACATCCAACCTCATGCTTCCTGACCCTCCCCCTCACCTTTACTCGCAGAGCTCACCTCTCAAATCCGGCTATCATCACTACAGCGTTCCCCCCTCCTCTTCATCCATGCTGCCCCCTCCACCTCCTTACTCGGGCTCGGCTCTTCCTCGTCGTCCCCTTCTCCCATCTCCATCCTACACGCCCACCTCACCACCCGCCCGTTCATCTCCGGTCTGATAATCGTCGAGAACAGTACTGGCGAAGCACTTTCCCAAGCTCAGAAAGTGGGAGAGGCAGCAGGAAGTGGGAGTGGGAGCGCAAGTGGGAGTGGGGAGAAGATCTTAGAGGAGATGAAGAGCAAGTTAGGTGGAAGATTACTGGTCGTTAAGGATAGCGAGGAGGGAATTAAAGAGGGGGAGAGGTGGATGGTGGAAAAGGGCTTCTGATGAGGAGTAGATCGTGAGGGGTGGAAGATTGTTGAAGACTGTAATGCATCGCATCGTATCGTGTGATATCGTACCACAATTCGGACAGTCGAGTCAGGGCAAGTCTTGGCAAAGGGCATTGATGTGAATGGATGGACAGCCGAGGGAGGAGGGCTCTACTCTAGGATCGTCTGCTCTACGCTCTCGCCTCATCTTACCACCCAGCGTACTGATACACATCACTTTCCCCCTGTCGTCACCTTGTCGTATGTCACGCCCTCTGGTCGATTGTGTATAGGCAGAAGCAGAGACACAGTCAGTACGTGAGCTACTCTACTTGCCCCTGTTGCTCCTTTCCTACTCACTGATCGAGCCGCCGGCCAGTGACCGCTTGACGGACGTTGTGAATGCGGACCGATCTCTGCGCAGCTCGTCTGCCGCCTCTGCGGTGGAGGGCGAAGCAAGTGGGAAGAAGAAGGAGGAGCTCAAACGTCAGCTTCCCTGGTCTTGCACATAGCTGCTCTCCTCTTGACGTGCTCCACTAACCTTTGTTCAGTGGGTCTCCCGGATTAGGCTCCAGAAAGAGGTACTGCAGTCCCACCATTACCGAGTTGAGATTGAGTACGGGCTTCCAGTCTTCACGCAGGATATTGAGGCATACGTTTCCCTCTAGGTCGATGTTGGGGTGGTAGATCTTTTGTGTGCACTTGACCTTCGGAGGTTCATGCGGGTAGTTGCTATTGATGTTGAATGTGAACTTGAACGAGCCGCTCTTGTACATCCCTGACAAGGTGGTGAAGCATTCGAGGAGCATCAATCAGCAAAGAGCTTCACTTCTGTTTCACCTTGATTTGGACCTCTATCGCTGCTCACCCTCATCTGGGTCAATTGTGAGTGTAAAGTTGAGGACGTCTGCTGGGTCTGGGAAGTCGGTCTTCATCGTCTTGGGTAGCTCCAGTTCTGTCAGATCTGCGAGAAGGTATGAGCGGGGGAATCAAGGTGTTCAGCTGCCATGCTCGCCCTTGTGGACATCCAATGACGTCTTGCAGCGATCGTCTCCAATGCCATTGCTCCGGACCTAATCCCATCACTCCTCTCCAACAATCCTTTGCCCTACTCACCTTTTTGTACTCTGAGCTGCGCAGGACTCGTCTTTGGCTTCTTCTTCTTTGCCGACTCTTCGTCCTTTTTCATGGACCAGATCTTGATCATGGCGGGGAAAGGGGTGAAGGGGGAGTGATGGGTAGGTGTGGGTGGAGGGGTGGTGGTGGTGCAATCGATGCAGGTGTTGGCCGAGTGCGTAAGGGATTGGGGATTGGATGCCGGGGACCCAACCAAGTCTATGTGAGTAGCCAAAGGAAGAAGAGTAGACCCAGTTTCTGCTTGAGAGGACGGCGTTGTAGCTGGACTGGTAGACAGGTTATGGTATCATCCCCCTTGTCGCCCTTCCCCGCCTCGTCGTCGTCTGACTGATGCTGCCACTCTGACTCCGCCGCCAGTTCCGTCTCGCGCAACTTTTCCAGGCCACCGGAAGCAGAGGCAGGCGCAGGGCAAAGAAGCGCAAGCCACGGCCAGATACCACCAGGGCCACCAAAGGAAGGACTGGACGATGGCAGTGACTCCCCACTGACAATCACCACCACCAAGAGCATCCCATCTCAATCCACCCCGCACACCTCAACTCGCCAGAGCAGAGGGAACGAGTCAGCATACCCGCACATCTCTCTTTCACACTCCCCCTCCGTATGCTCGCAGGAAAGAGGGCCTGCACAGTCACAGCATCTTCACTCCTCCTTCGCAGCTACACCCCCTCTCGTCTCACGCCAAGGGCTACCACCCTCTCCACCTCATCCTCTCGAAGCCATAGCGTCTGCAGCGCCGCCATGGCCGTAGCTCAGCCGCCTTCGGAAGCTCAGGCTTCTCGACAGCAGCCACCATGGGCAGTCCCGAAGCAAATTGAGCCCACCCCTGAGCTGGTAGTCTACAATTCCCTCACTCGCACAAAGACGCCCTTTGTGCCGCTGCGAGGCAATCACATCACTTGGTACAATTGTGGACCTACCGTCTACGATGCCAGTCACATGGGACATGCTCGAAATTATGTGTCGCAAGACATTATGAGGAGGATATTGAATCATCTTGGTTATTCGATACACTTTGTCATGAACATCACAGACATTGATGATAAGATCATCGTCAGGGCAAGGCAGAACCACCTGCTGGACGACTTTAAAAAGTCAAATCCCACTCTGACGTCCCCACTCGTCAAGGAGGTGCGCAAGAGCTGGTCAGCATTCCTCGCCAAGAAGAAGATGGAACAATTCGCCCCACCTGCTCCTGCTGGCGAGGACATTCATGAAGACGCCATCTGGGAGGAGATCAGTAGACTCAATGGCGACCCAAAGTGGCGAGCCGAGACACTCGCCAAGGAGCCCATGTTCGGCTTGTGGTTCAACGCACTCAACGAGTCACGGCAAGCCATCATCGCAGCTACCATGGCCGTCACTGCCATCAATGGTGCCTCTCCCCCCACCCCTTCAGACGACCTACTTGCAGCCTCGAAAGACATCCTCTCTTCTTCACTCGACGACAGCCTCAAACATACCGTGTCAGACCACTCGATCTTTCGCTCCCTCGCAGCAACGTGGGAGACGGCCTACTTTGACGACATGAAGAGACTCAATGTCCTCCCTCCTAGCCAGCTCACAAGGGTCAGCGAATACGTGCCAGAAATTGTCACATTCACGGAAAGGATTATACAGAATGGATTCGCATACGACGATGGTGCTGGCAACGTCTACTTCGATACCAAGGCCTTCGATGGCGCTGATCTGAGCGATGGCGAAAAGGCGAGCTATGCAAAACTGGCGCCTTGGAGCAAGGGAAACAAGGAGCTCCTGGCAGAAGGAGAGGGTGAGTGTGGGAGTGGGGGTTGAGGGGTAGGTTCTCATCCGTGCTCATGAAGCTCACTTTTTTACTGTCCTTACAGGCTCTCTGACTGGTGCCCACGGCAAGAAGCGGTACGCATCGGACTTTGCCCTTTGGAAGGCCTCCAAAGACGGAGAGCCCTCGTGGCCTTCTCCTTGGGGTCCCGGTCGGCCAGGATGGCACATCGAATGCAGTGTGATGGCTAGCGAGGTGCTGGGCACGCAGATTGACGTCCACTCGGGTGGAGTGGACTTGATGTTCCCCCACCACGACAACGAGATTGCCCAGAGCGAGGTGAGCGGAAGAGACTGCCAGGGGCTGCAGATGCCCATGGGGCTGACATTCATCTTTCTCGGTCCCCATCCCTCACCAGGCGCACCACGGCTGCTCACCCTGGATCAACTACTTTCTTCATACCGGCCACTTGCACATCGAAGGTCTGAAGATGTCCAAGTCGCTCAAGAATTTCATCTCCATCGACGACGCTCTGCAGAGGTACTCTCCTCGCCAATTACGGTTAGCCTTCCTCTTTCAGTCTTGGTCAAGCAAAATGGACTTTAGTGAAGCAGCCATGATTGAAGTGGGCAAAGCGGAGAAGCAATTCGACAACTTCTTTGTCACGGTCAAGACGCAAATGAGGAGTTTCGCCTCGAAAGGTCCGTCGTATTCGGACGGTCTTCACCACTACGGAAAGGGCGAAAAGGACCTGATAGCCGCACTTACCAGTGCACAGCTCGAGTTCCGCAAAGCCCTCTGCGACTCCTTTGACACGCCTGGCGCTCTACGCATCTTGCAGAACCTCGTCTCTGCAGCCAACGTCTATGAAAAGGAAAACAGACAAGGCTTGAATGCCAGTGTCCTCGAGACGGTCGCTCGTTGGGTAGGGGAGATGCTACGGATGTTCGGTCTGGGCGTGGATGGGCTTCGCGACTCTGAGATTGGCTGGGGCGAGGCTCACTCCATTGGCGATGGGGTTGGAGGTGTAGGAGGCGCTTCGGCGGGAAGCAGCATCGACCGGGAGTCCCTGCTCCTCCCCTACCTCGAGGCCCTCTCCTCGTTCCGCTCCTCTGTACGACAACTAGCCCGCGCTGGTGCCCCTTCCTCCGAACTTCTCAAGCTCGCCGACCGACTCCGCGACGAGGATCTGGTGGACCTGGGTGTGCGCCTGGAAGACCTCGAAGGCGCCAGCGGCTCAGCCTTGGTCAAGCTCGTCCCCGCCGAGCAACTCCGTGCCGAGCGAGACGAAAAGGTGCGCTTGGCAGAGGAAAAGGCCAAGCGTAAAGAAGTCGCTGCACGTCAGGCTGCTCAGGCCCGAGCGGAGCGACTGCGTAAAGGTCGTGTTCCCCCCTCTCTCCTCTTTAGACCTACCAGTCAAGGTGGACTTGCACCAGAGGGAGAGTATGCTCAATGGGATCAAGCGGGTCTGCCTACTGTGGATGGTAAGACGGGAGAGGAATTGAGCAAGAGTAAGAAGAAGGCGGCTGCAAAGGAGTTTGCTCTACAGGGGAAGTTACACGAGGAGTACCTTGCTGCGAGGGAAAAGGGGGAGGTGGAGTAGCTGTGAGAGTAGAGCAGTGAGGAACAAAGAGGCGGGAGAGAGGGGAAGAGCTGATTGCTTTCTCACATTTGGAGAAAAAGAGAAGAAAGGCAAAGAGGTATATACAATTACTCTTCTCAAATGCAACGAGGCGCGCGAGGCGAAGAGGGAATGAAGCCAGAACGAGGACAAGGACGGAGGACGAGGGATCGGTGTGGGAAAGGAAGTGCGTGTGTGTGTGTGTGTGTGTGTGTGTCGCCGGGCTACATGAGAATAGGGCAAAGGGGTACGCACCGTTTCGGGAAATGGAAGTAGAGCAAGGTCTACGATCTCCCCCTCTCCCTTCCCCCACTTTCCCTTCCCACCTTCATTGCGGCCTCTCCCCTCTCACAATACCTTTTGCACCTTTTCAGATAAATCGTGCATCTTAGTCTTGAAATCTCCATGTCCACTTCCACTTCCCGTCCTCTTACCCTCTCCCTCTCCCTCTGCCTCTTTTCCCTTTTCTCCACCCTCCCCCTCCCCCTCATCTCCATCAGCATAGCTCTGTACACCTTGCATTTCCTTTGCAGTAGCCACTGCATTCTCCTTGTCTGTCGCTCTCTCCTCGGGGGGTTGTGTAGAGGAGGATTTAGCGATTTCGTGGACGCTTCCTCGGCTAGCGCGAGCGACGGATTGGTCTGGAGTGCCGTCGTGTGACTGGGAGAGAGAGTGGGAGCTGGCACCTTGAGGTTTAGGGCTGGCGACGCCAGCGCCAGCGCCAGCTCCAGCTCCAGCTCCGGCGCCGACGCCGGTGCTACTTGCATCGCCATCCACTTCAGATTCTGCCTCTTCATACTCGTCGTCTTCCGAAGAAGAGCTAAGGTCGACCAGTGGTAGCTTGAGAGGTGCTGGCGCGCGTGGAGTCCCTTCGCCCTCATCCTCGTCTTCGCCCTCGCCTGCTCCTGCATCACCCTCAGTACGGAGGCGTCTCTGCTCGCCATCGGTACTAAGAGAGGCAGGGGAGCCACGTTGGTCGGCTGCTAGGGCTGCGAATGTGCGGAACTTCGTAGAGGCGCGGACTGCATTGATGGCCGTCTGCAGAATGTGGGGAAAAGGGGTGGGAGTGAGAAAAGGAGGATGGTGAGTTGAATAGAGCTTGCTGGGACCTCTTCCTTCCCTCTTTACGACTACTCACCTTCCACCTCTTCCTATAATTCTCCCTCAGCCCCAGCGAAATGTCATGATTGGCCACATTATCCTTTGCTCCCTCCACCAGCCAGCCACTACTCAGCGCCTCGTCAGCCGTAATCCTAGCAGTCGGGTCGACCTTGAGGCAAGCCCTGATAAAGTCCTTTGCTAGATCAGAAATGTTCTTCCAGTACCGGTCGTGGAACTCAATCTTGCCACGCTGCGTCTCGGCGGCTAGCTTCGCGGGGTCGTCTGAACGGAAGGGGGTGTAGCCGCACAGCCTGCGAGGGTAACGATGACGTGGACGGCGAGATGGTGATACGTGGTGAGCCCCGCTCGCATCGTAGTCGCCCCACTCCGACTCTTCGCTCCCAACTCACATGGTATAGGTGATGACTCCCAGACTCCACAGATCCACTGGCTTCCCATGTCCCTTTTTACTCAACACCTCTGGCGCAGCATATCCATAGCTCCCACAAACATTCATCAGCAGCTCATCCTCCGACTCGACCCTATGAGCGATTCCAAAATCCACCAGCACCACATTTGCATCTTCCGCTTTAGAGCGATAGAGGATATTTTCTGGCTTGACATCTCGGTGTACGATGTTGTGATGATGCAGGTATTGGATCGCGGTCATTACCGATCTCACCACTCGGCATGCGTCCAGCTCGGTGAATCTTCCCCTGGAGAGGATGCGATCGAAGAGTTCTCCACCGGTGGCCTCTTCAAAGACGAGGTAGTACTTGTCCTTTGATTCGAACCAGTCGAGGAATTTGACTACGTGTGGTTGATCGAGACCTTTGAGGACGTCCATTTCCCCTTGGACAATCTCGTCGTGGCCCTTGAGAATCTTCTTGGAAATGACCTTGATGGCCACGCCTAGAGGTGGATCGGCTGCTTTCCTGCGAGGAACGAGCAAGAGGCAGATGTTGAGCGTTCAGTAGGGGTTGAATCGCTCGTCTGCTGCTGCCGTACTACCCGTGCTGCGCTGGACTTACCACTTTGCCGACTTGACCTGCCCAAAGGTGCCCGTCCCTAGGGTATCGCCAAAGTCATACTGCTTCTTCTTGACATACGAGGGTGGCTGCTTCGCCAGTGGATTGTGAAGTCCCATTGTGGAAGGGTATCGGGTGACAGTGGCAGACGATGACGACGACGACGATAATGGTGATGCGATTGGTAACGAGGTCTGGCTGGTGGGGGATTAGAACTTAGAGGGCGGCTGCTGCTGCTGCAGGGACGTGCATCGGCACAGCTCGCGGCATTCGGCAAAGGAGGACAGACTGAGGAGATGCCTGATGTGGAGAGGCGTGGGTGACGGTCAAGGTGATGGCGTGAATGGCCTACGAAGAGGAGGAGGAGGATAGAGGGGATACAAGAGGGAGGTGATGGCCGCAAGGGAGGGGCGATGCTACGGTCAGAGGTGGAGTAGCAGCTACACTCTCCAGTCTAGACTGAGGTAGACTCAGATAGCCTCCCACACCCCGCCCTACGCCCCCCCCACGCCCCTTGTGACGCGGAAAGCACAATCGCCGGCGGAGTGGGCGGGCGTCAGGCGAGGGCAGCGAAGCGATCACAGCGGAACGGAAGCAAAAGGGCGGAGAGGGACACAAGTCACAGGCGGTAGTGTGCTAATCAGACATCTGTACTTGGTGACAAAGAGGGAGACCAAGCAACGAGCCCTTGCTAACGGTAACATTGGGCAGAGTACACACGACGTAGTATAACCGAAGCGTGTCCGAAGTATCGTCGGGACAATATCAGAAGTGAGCGCACCGCGCCTACCACTGCGACAACGAACCTGGGCTCCATGGCGCACATGATGGACGCTCTGACCATAACAGCCCTGACCATATCAGCACCATAAGCTTCTGCTACTCCTTCGTTATGCCGTACTTGGGGGAAGCTTGGTGTCCCTCACGTACGTCGAGAACCTATCCGAGGACATACGACGATAGCAGCAAGCGGCAGGGAGGAGGTAAGGGGGTAGAGAGTTTCAGGAACAGAGTGATTGTGACAGGAACAGATTATCTGAACCAGAGCAAGTGTGTCAGGTACGCACGGAACGCACCAGGAACAGGAGGTGAGGTACAAGCAACAAGGGGCTAAGCGGCTCACTCTTGCGTAATCGCGGGCTTCTAAGGAGCCGCCGTGACCCGTACGAGAGCAAAGGTGATGGGTTCAAATAGTCGTGCTTAGCCGATCCACTCTCTTCCCTTCCTGCCCCTTTCATCTTTCCTTCTCACTAGCCCTCCCTCCCGAAAGATGGCTTCACCTCATCTATTACCTATCCCGACCTCTGTAAACCTCTTCATATACCCCACCGCAGTACAGGCACTGCAATCAAGCTTTCAAATCACCTCACATGACGCGCACTCAGTCTCACAAGTCAATCCAGACCGAGTCAGGACTGACTAGATGGCTTCGAGCAGGAGTGATGAGGGGTTCTTTCTTCGTAAGTAGCCTGCTTCACACTACAACATGCTTCGCGAGCATCACCACTGACTCGTCGACTACTTCGGATCTCTGCTTGACAGCCATTCGTAACTTCACAGAACGCTCCTGACATCTGCAAACACCCAATGGAGAGGGAGAGTTGGCTATGAGTGAGTCACAGTGAAAGTCTTGCCTACCGTTTGAAGGCATCTGACGCTAAAGCTTTCCATTACACAGTTGTTGGCAGCTGACTCTCATGAGGACGAATGCTGAGGCGATGCACAGGCTGGGTCTCACGCCGCACCCCTGCAATCGACGACACGTCGGATCACTGCATAATACTGTTCACGAGAGGGAGTCACGACCTCTATACTGGAGTGAGTTCTATGTCACGCTTATCTCTCAGGTTAGGCTCATAATCAACCTGACATTGATGACTCGACCTCTTGTCCAACACCTCTACCACCAGCTCATGAACAACGTAATGGTGCTCTTACCACATCGCACCGCTCAGGTCGGTGATTCGAGATCCATCAAGCGTGCCACTTGATGACCTGCTCGGAGCCGTCGTCCGCCGGAGAGATACGGATCTCAGAGGACGGACTGTGGCGGCGACCCTTGGTATCGCTCGCCTGCAATCTCTGCCGCTGGTCGGCTGCTGCTGGTCGTGACCAGGACCATGGTGCTGAAGAGGAACAACGCAAACATCGCCCCTGTCGAGGCGGCGTTGATCCACACTTGCTCTCTTGGCAGTGTGTGCCTCAACTCAGCAGCCTACGGCGGGCTCGATACATTGGCGCCTATCGCAATACCCGCTCGAGTACAAAACATCAAGACCAGCATCGTCCAGGAGTACGGACCTACAGCTCCACTGCAGGAAGAGGTCTTTGACCATGGCCTCTTGACCGACGTCTATGACCTTGTGAAGAAGGCCGCTCTGGCGGATGACACATGCAGCCCTCCGACTCAAGTACTGGCCGCCATTGCCATCTATATCTATGCTGCTCTTCCCAGTCGAGGGCTTCATAGGGATCTATGTAGATCTCATAGAGGAAGATCGACCGTTTAAGGAATCGAATTCGCTTCTCAAAACATAAGAGAGGAACTTCGCATCACATTGTCTGTCGTCTATCGCATCCTGTTCAGCCTTCTTATGAATACACAACCTCACCCGCTTCTGTCCCATTCACATCAAGCAACCTCGAGACGTGAAAGTGTTTGAATTGTATATCCCTTTCATTAACTCACGCATGACATCTCCTTTCATTCTTTCCCCTTCACTCCTCCGCATCCCCATCTCCATCTCCATCTTCCTCCTCATCTTCATCCTCATCCTCATCCTCGCTCACTTCTTCTCCCTTTTCCTTGAGCCTCTGCTTGTCCTTTTTACGCTTCGTGGAGAGCTCGTCGAGCATGACTAGGAGGTCTTGATTCTCCTGCTCCAGCTCGGCTACGCGGGTAGAGTCGGCCGTGGATGAGGGTACTGCTGCTGGTGCTGGTGCTGGTGCTGGTGTGGGCTCAGCAGCAGGTGCAGCAGTCTGGGTAGCGACCTTCTTGCTCTCTTCCTCGAGCTCCTTCCTAAGTCTAGTAACCTCCCCCTCGGCTTCCTCAATCTTCTCGTTCAGTTCTTCCACCTGAGCTCTCAACGTCTGAAGCTCAACTTTTGACTTCCCTTCAGCCTCACTGCTCGCCTCTCCCTTTTTGCTAACGGCCTCCAGCTGCTCCTTGAGGACTTTTACTTGCTCCTCGACACCCTTTGCCTTCTCTCCCTCAGAGCGCAGCGACCCCTCCAGCGCCACGAGCCTCTCCTGTGATGCGCCTAGCTGCGAAGCGTGAGCTTCCGCCGCACGACTGCCAGCAGCTTTCACTTCCTCGAGTGAGGCCTGCGCCCGAGCTAGCTCGGCCTGGAGAGCATCTCTGGCGCTCGTGGCCTCCTCAGTCTGCTTCAAGAGGACCTCACGCTCCTCTCGACTGGCACCTTCGCGCTGCCCGCCCTCTGCGAGAAGCCGGTCTCGAGACTCGACTTCGCGCAACAGACGCTTGACCTCGTCGCGCAGCTGCTCAATTTGCCGTTGGGCGTCGAGGAGCTCGGCTGGTGCAGAGGAGGCTTCGGAGGAGGTTGTGGCTGGGGGCACTAGCATCGAGTTGGCAATCGTGACTGAACAAAATTGGAGCGATGTGCGAAAAGAAGGAGGTGTCAGATATCATACCACCACTATGCTCCCTTCTCTCACTCCATAAAGCCCTCGCACGCATACTCACCATTCTCACTCCTCCAGAATTCCGCCCAATTCCAATCGAACCAAATCTCCGGCAGATCACCCTCCTCTCCTTCATCAGCAGCCGATCCTCCCATATTCCCCTCCTTGACTTCTTTCGAAGCGTTGGCAATGGGATCCGGCCTCGAGCCGACTTTATCCAGCACGTCGGGACCCACCAGCTTCAGTCTCGAATCGTCCCTTAACCGGTCAAGCTTTGCTTCGAATTGGTCCAGTCCGATCCGGCTGGTGACGAGGTCGTAGACTTCCTGTCGTGTGATGGCATCGCTGGCGGGCTCATTGCTGGCGGCGGTGGAGGAGTCTGCCTTGCCCTTGCCACCTTTGCCGCCTTTCCCTTGGGCTGGCTTGGCTGGAGCAGGCACAGCTGGTCCCCACTCGTAGATGGCACCTAGGACCCAGGTACCCAGTCCGACCAAGAGATGCTCACCATTAGCGCCCTCGGCGACGAGCTGCACGACTGCTTGCAGATTGCTAGAGTCACCAACGAGATCCTTGACACTCTTTGGCGACTTGTGAAGCCAGAGAGCTAGGACAGTGAGGTGCGCAAGCAGAATCTTGGTCCAAGATGCACTGGAAGGACCTTTGCTGGTGGTGGACGTGGAGGCTTGATGGGAGCGCTCGGACTTCAAAGCGTCGCTCTGGGATCGCAGGGAGACGGAGATGTTGCCAATGAGGACCGAGAGGAGCGAAGCAGCCTCGTCTTCATCATCATCGGTGCCATCGGTCTTCCCACCAGCGCTACCCTTTGCTTCCTCACTACCCTCCTTGGGCTCATCAACGATCGTCGTCCTTCCGTCCGCGCCGAACCTCACTCGTCCAGCCAGATCCTTGACGGTATCGCTTCCTCTAATCACAGTGCCCAAGATCATTCCCGCGAATAATGCCCTCAGCTCGTCGTACTCTTCAGCACCAGCACCGCCATTGGTGGGCAGGGAGGTGAGAGCTTGCAACAGAACGTGCCCTGGAGAGTCTTCTGGCCTGGACTGCTCACTGACTGCCATGGAGGCAATGATGAACAGACGGGCATCGATGTTGTCTGTCAGGATACTCTGCAGAGCCTTAACCGCTGCTGCTCTAAAGGCCGCAAGAGATCGGACGCCTCCGTCGATGGGGCGGAAAGGGGGGGCCATGCCATAGACGGCTGCTGACACAAGCGCGAGTAAGGCCGATTGAGGAGGCAGTCTGACGAACTCGACCATGCGCGAAGTGGCTGCAGCGCTGCCAGCACCTCCAGCAGCGCTACCGTCCAGGGCTCCCGGTGCAGCTTTCTCTCCCTGACCTACTTGACCAGCAAGATCAGCAGCGATCTGAACCTTGATGGGCTCTACTGGGGTAACAGATGCCTCGCCCAGTGCATCCTGGACGTTACGTGAGCTCTTGAGCAGCAGAGAGAGGACCTGCAGAGCTTGCGTCTTAAGCGAAAGAGGCGCAGAGGACGCTACAGCGAGGTCGAGGAGCGCATGAAAGAAGCCAGTGGACAGCAGGGCGTTCTGTGGAGGAGGAGGAAGAAGACAGGCGACGGTGGTTAGAGCCGTTCAAGAGCATACTTACTCACTCACGCGCTACGCCCTCTGCTACTCACTTGATTGGCCCTTTTCCCTTCACCAACGCCTTGTACCAGCAGACCGGCGATTCCCACCACCAGTCGCGCATTGATCAACTTCTGACCATCACCCACGATCTTTGGTCCCTGAGGCTGTCGCTTCTCCGATTGTCCATCTCCTGTAGACTGAGGCGGTGGCGGAGGCGCTTCCTCTTCGTACTCGTCTGCTGCATCGTATTCCCAGGGTTGGAAGGCGAATGACTCGAGCTGCTGCTCGCGTTGACCTGCGATGTGGGCGGGCGCATTTGGTGGGAGGGGAGGTGGGTAGAAGAGAAGAGGTGCGAGGAGGGGTATCGAGAGCGTTTCGCGAAAGTAATTCTGCAGCAGAGAGGAGGCGTGTCAGCAAGACCTGCCCAGCACTGTCCTGTTCGCTTACCCACGTGTTCTGCTCACCTGATTGGAGACGTTGTATCTGAGCAGGGCCTCTAGAGCTTCCAGGGCGTCTTGCACGACCACGCCTCCTTCGATGCGTCCTTCCTGAGCCACCACGTCCAGCAGCTTCTCGAATGCCCCTTCAAAGGCAATCAGCTTCTGGATATCAGCATTGGAGTCGACGAGGTGCGGCAGAATGAGCAGCGCCTCGTTGCGGATGATCTCTGCGCTGGACCCGAGCGAGTGACCAGCTGCAGAGGTGGTGGATAGACATTCCAAAATCGCACCGCATCCTCCAGGCGAGGTGAGGACGTGTGACTGCACGAGGTTCTTGCGATGGCGGAGGAGCAGACCGAGGAACTGTAGAGATGCAAAACGCAGGTAGAAGGTGCGTGTAGGACTAAAGAGGGGCAGCAAGGCGTGCAGTGGCTCGGGCGTGTCGAGGAATCGATCCAGGGCAGCCGGTACGAGGGGAGCTGCGGGCTTCTTGCTCGAGCTACCCACGACTCCAAAGGTCGACTTGGGCGGGGCTGGCTCTGGCAGGGTACAGATGACGAGGAGACATTCCACGAGTGCCCTGGCGACGTCGTCGTTGCCTTCTGCCTTGCTGGACGCCTGGCTCACCAGACAGTCCAAGAGGGGCTTCTGGGCGTGATCGGCAACTTCTTTTGCATGATCCTTTGCGAGACCTTTCAAGCTGAGGATGGCTGCCTTTCGCTCTTGTATAGGGTCCTCGGCAGATGACGACTGGGAGAGGCGCTGCGCAAAGGTGTTGATGGTCTGGATCAAGGACTGGTTGGCAGCAGCGCCCTTTGAGAGGGCGCTGTACTGTCGTCCCAGCCACTCGACACCGTGCAGCATCGTCGGCGCACGAAGAGGGGTATGTGACGAGGGGAGAGGGCTACACGGTTATGAGGCGTGAGCTGGAGATGAGCTTCTCTGTTACGCCTCTTGCTCGATGGTAGCGATGTGATGCCTGCAATGGTACGAAGTTGTGTGCGAATGTGAGCATCTGCGTGTATGCGCTGCCTGGTTGCCCTGTGCCTTGGCGTGGGCGAGACGTGGCTGGCTGGTGCTTTGCTTGATCGAGGCTTGCTTCCGTTCCGGTGTGCTGTCAAGCCAAGGCTGAGCCTCTCCTCCACCCCGCTGCCGTCATTGCACCTCTGCCTCGCAGCCCCGCTTCATCTTCTTTCCGATCTGAGCCTGGACCCTCGTGCGGGGGGGACGTGGGCAGGGCGTAGGCAAAGGCAGAGGTCAAGGAGGCTACAGCTTCCATCCCTCCATCCTTCTTCACCATCTCACTCTTGTTCTTGGTCGGTCTCAACTGGGGCCACCTTTCTCCCTCTCCCTTCGGTCCTACCTCCTGTCCTTTCAGCGATGTCAAGGTCGACTCGCAGTCAGTCCTCTGGCGGCCATGGCGGCTACGGGGCCATCTCACAGCACGACGATGACGGCGTGGAACAAGAGACCATCCCCGCCACCTCTACCGCACCTCATCCTTCCATGTACAGCCGTCCTGCTGTCAAGGCTACCTTTGCCATGGGTGCCATCCTCCTCGGCTTGAATCTCTTTGCATTCCTCTTCCTCATCACCTTGCTATGGCATCCGACTTTGCCCTCTCCTTTTGCAACGGCACCCCTCATTCAGACTACTCTGCACCTCGTTGCCATCCTCGTCCTCGGACCAGCTCTCCTAGTCTTTGAGCTCTCTTCATCTGTCACAAAGGGTATCCACGAGGCTTCCCTCGCCCTTGTCGTCATCCTCGCCATCCTACTCGCAGCCATCGAGACCTTCCGAGATGACGGTACCGCCCTCTCTGCCACACCCGCCCTAGTCTTGATGGCCTTGTCCCTGGCATGGGCGGTCATCTCCGCCAAGGTCGTCGCTTCTCTTCATGCCGACTATCTAGTAATGCCTCAAAACGAAATGGGCGAGTCAACCCCTCTACGCATCAGCGTGGGGTCGCAAGACGTGCAGAACCAGTACATCCGCTGGTTCAAGGTTGCCGTCGCTTCCATTGGCACTCTCAACGTCCTCGTCGCCCTACTTCTCATCGTCGGAAACGTCTCATTGGACGGGTATGATGCTGGGCTTGAGACTCCAGGACAGCTCCTTTGGGTCAATCCCGGCAAGTCTTCACGATGGCAGCCAGCTGCTCCCAGCGGCATCATCGATAGCCTCAGTGGACCTGGGCGGGTTCGACTGCACATCGGTCTCGAAGCAAGTCCATTGCCTCCCGCTGAAGTAGATTCGAGCGAGGGACAGCGGACGCTCTCCGCCTCCTCACCCTGGGACGACAAGCCCACGGCCATCTTCTTCCCTCCATCAGGCGTTTCCGGCTACACTTCCTCTCACTGGCTACGATCCATGGTCCATCGCGCCGCCGACAAGCCTGCCACTGGCGCAGAAGACGGCCATCTGGCTCTCAGGAGGGCAGTCTGGTTCGATCCCCTCGGTATGGGACTCAGCGACTACGTGAGAGGCTCGCAGGATCTGGGTCTGCAAGCTGCCGCCCTCGCCGAGGGACTCGAGCAGCTCGGCCTCCTAGATTCTGCCAAGTCAGAAAATAGTCGGACACCGCGAGAGGAGCAGTTCGTACTCGTCTCCCTACACGATGGAGCACTCCTCTCAAGCGTCTTTGCTTCTCTCTTGCCCTCGTCCAAGATTCACTCGCAAGTGTTCATCGACGCCGAGACTCCCACCTCTTACTACTCCACCGACATCTCTGCCGACTCGGGTCTGCGCATGGGGTACGGCGCCGAGGGTCGCAAGACGCGGTTAGGTCAAGCATGGAACGACCTGCTCCCCTCCCTCGCAAGCTATCTCAGCCCCGGTCGCCTGCTCGGCGCTCTCCTCCTTGGTCAAACAAGCGAGCGCCGCGTCATGGGCAGTAAAGATGCTCAGCTCCGTTCCAGCGCCATCACCCGTGTCCTCTCCAAGACGGGGGAGCGCAATCCTTTTGCCTCGTGGTACAGCTGGGAACACCCGGCACCTTCCTCCAAGACCCTTTTGGCGCGGCTCACTTCTCACTTTGAAGCCACCCACGGAGTTGATTCGAGCAACTTTGCTCGACTGAATGCAAGCGCGGCAAGGGAGAAGAGAGAATCGCTACTGAGGGGGAAACCACTGGCTGTTCTGAGCAGTTTCTGGAAGATGGGCAGGGATCCCAAAGGCTGGGGGGAGGTGCAACGAGAGCAGTACGTCAAGTTGGGCATGGAGGGTTCGCTGGAAGAGGAGCGCGAGCTCGAGGGAGCCACGATTCAGCAGCAGCAGCAGCAGCAGCAGCCGCTGTCGTCTAGTGCACACGCAGAGGGCAAGCGCGGTTCCCTTGTTGGCTGGTGGAAGGTGGGTTCGAGGCAAACGTTCAAGGATGGTGGGGATATTGGGTTCCCGGAGGGCTTGTGTGCCGAACAGGCCAAGGGGAGGGTCTGGTGCGAGGAGAGCATCCGTAAGGTCTTGAGTTGGGAGGAGAGTCAGAACAAAGAGGAGGAGAAGAAGGCGCGGTGAAGAAGCTGGGAGAGGCTCCTTAGCATATTACAGTCCTCGTTTCCACTTGGACGCCTTGCAACGTCATGTATCAGTTGCTCCAGCATCGAGTTCCCATAGCTCCACTCAATTGTAGTGTCAATGTCTGTCGATTTTACTCGCCTAGTACGATGAGCTTGAGAGCCGCTCCGCTGCTCACCGTCCTGCACCTCGTCCTTACTTTCCCCCCTCTCACCACGTCACCTCAACCTAGCCTCCTGCCTCTCAATTCCCTCTTTCACCTGCTGCGCCTTTCTCTTCACCTCCTCCTCTGTCCTCAATGAAGCTCCTTCAAGCCGATCTAGTGCATCCCCCGCCCTGGCTCGAGCATTCTCTACTGCTCCACCTACCGACCCGCTGTTACTGCTACTACTGCTTGTGGTGGAGTCGGAGAGGGAGGATGCGGCTGCTCGCGTGTAGTTTGTGAGGGTTGCGAAAGTTGTGAGGATGATGTTGTCTGCTTCTAGGTGGGAAAAGGTCGAGGGGAGATGCAGGAGGTGGTACTGTCGGGTGACCAGGCAGGTGAGGGGTGGAGCAGAGAGTGGGGATGGAGCGAGGTGAGTTGATTGGATTCGATCAGCTGGCGCTTTGGGGACAAGCTCCTATCCTTAAGATAAATTCCTTCTACTCACGTTCCACCTCTCCTTAATCTCCTCGGCGACGCTCTTGTACCTCTTCTCCTGATAGCGACTTCTTTCACCCAATGTGAAGCTACTCTCTGCCCGTCCCTCCTCTCCTCTCAGTCCGCCGGAGGAGGGCTTCCCGCTGAACTTGTCTCTAATTCTATGCTCGGCATTCTCTACACTCTCGCGCGTCTGCTCGATGGCGTCTTGAAGGGCGTCGTGCCGCGAGAGGGTGGCTTGGTGGTAGAGGTAGAGGAGAGCGAGGGAGGTAGCGGCTCCTGCCACGGGTGGCACGGCGAGGCGGGCAAAGGACATGCTTGATGCAGCGAGAGTGAGGGGAGAAGTCACAGAAGCGGAGTCCTTGGGCAATAAGAGAGGTGAGGAGGGAGCTTCGAGCGACGTATGGGACCTGGACCTCGTTTGTTGCAATACCGCGAGAGGCAGGAAGAAGCGATGGCGCCGGGCGCCGTGCAGTGGAGACGGCAAAGTTCGGAACGGAAGCAGTCCTTTCCCATCCGTACAAGCCCACAGTGCGCCTTGCTTTGGAGACTGGAATTGCGAAGACTTGTCATATCGCTCCGAATCAATCAGGCTAGAGAATCAGCAGAACCGCAAGCATCAAGGACATGTATTCTGGTGGCCCGGACAGTGTTGCACAGGGGCAAGGATGGTGCACATTGGCGCCGAAGACTAGGATACGGTGATCGATAGGAGGAGTACCACCACAGGACCTGCTCATGAGGAAACAAGCTTCATATCTCAGACGATATGCCCGTGTGATATTCTCAAGAGCTTTCGCTGTTCCTCGTCCGTACGGCTGATTGCTGCTAGCATGTGCTCGGCGGCGCGGCTCGGCAATGCCGCTTTGCTCCTGCGTCTGACTCCGATGATCGTCGACGCGTATCCATTCACCACTGACGGATGAACGGTTCTTGTCCACCGCGCACTGAGCAACTCGTTGATTGGAGAGAGTGTATCACATCTCTTGACGTTCGTCCAGTACCATTCATTGACTTCCCTCCGCCCTAGCAGAGTTCTTCCTTCCGTCTTACACTGTCACTTCCACTCCTCGCACTCAGCTATACCCACACATGGACGGACACAAGAGCAACGACGAGGCAGAGGGAGCACCTCAGGTAAGCGTACTGCAACAAGGGGGCATATAGTGGCATGAGAGTGGGCAAGTCAGAGCTAACGATCAATATCTCATCTCATTTTTCCTTCGAGCACCCAGAACACCTCTGTAGCAGACACCACCATGGACAGCGCTGTACACAATGGCAGTCAGAGCAGTGCAGCTGTCGAGGTGAGTGCAAGAGCCGCTCCCGGAGTACGAGCTTGAGCACTCAGGTCATTTACCTCTCTCTACCCTTCTCTCACCTGCTCCTCCCACAGGCCAATAGAAGCAACGACTCACAGCAAGAAGCCTCCACCACCTCCACCGCAGCCGAAAGTGCCGGCGCAGACGCCAACGAAGTGAGCGCCAACAAGGAAGCCAACGGAAATGCCAGGGGCACCAACCCTCGCGGTCGAGGACGAGGACGAGGTGGCTTCCGAGGCAGTCCTCGTCAGTACAACAACCCTAGACCACCTTTCCGCCGAGGTGGGTCCGAGAACAATGTCGGACATCGAAGGCATGAGTTGCTCGAGGTCATCAAGATGCAGCACATGAAAGTGAGTGAGATTCACCTCATCTTTGGTGTGGAGGATTCGACTCTTCCTCTGACTATCTCGGATCGCTGTCTGCCCCACTCCAACGCCGATGCAGGTCCTCATCTATACGTCTTCCAGCGACCTCACTCCCGACGAGCGACAAGCAGGAGTCAAGGCTGCTCGTCACGCCTTTGAGACCGCCATGGAGGAATGGACCACTCTCGGCTTCAGCGCTGTCAATGCCACTGATGCCGCGGCTCAGTCTGCGCTCAACGCCGTCGCCGCTGCGACGGACGCTCCCGCCTATGTGGAAGCTGCACCTCCTTCTCCCGAGGCTGCTGAAGCTTGAGCAGTGCCAAGATGTCAGCGGCAGATCCAGCGGGCCTTGGCTCTCTGCCCAGGGCGCCAGAGAAGACAAACATCCATAGACTTCGCTGTCATCAAAGGCAAAGCCCAGAGCCTTTCCTCTTCATGGGTCCCGCGCTCGTTTCTCCTGTCAGCCCCCGATACCTTACATGTCACTAGCCTTCAATCAGAGTAGCTACTACTTCGCTTCATGACTGCTCGGCCTTCACTTGTTGAGATGCGAGATTGGTTTCCAATTGCGCTGCGTTGCGCTGCGTTGCATGAGTACTGCGAGAGAGAGCAGAAAGAGATACAAAAGGGATAGACTTGTACATAGATCCAAGAGGGAGCATGAGTTGAGACATCGAGCATGCGGGACAAACGAAGCAACAAGGGGCGTAGGCGCGCAGGGGACTGACCACTGCCACTGCCACTGCCACCGGCAGTACCTTTAGTAGCTCCTCTTTCCCCTCGTGTCGTAAGGCAGCAAGATTAGCGCCAATGGGCAGATGAGTATGACACCACCACCCATGTAGAGTGTCCTAGTCGCGCCCTCTGCCGTTCCTCCATTGGCACCATACAGGCTCTGACCGGCAAGAGGTGCAATGATCCCACTAATCCTTCCCAGAGTAGATGTAAGTCCCGCAGCTGTCCCTCTTACCGCCGAAGGATAGAATTCGGGTACGACGGCATAGAGTACTGCATTGAATAGACTTTGGAAAAAGTACTCCATTGCATTTAGACCTACGGATCCGGCTTGGGATGTGACTTTGGTGTAGAGGAAGAGGGAGATTCCCATGAGTGCAGAGGAGATGACCATTACGTACTGTCTCCCCACACGAGGAACCTCGATGAGTGCGCATGCTAGTAGACAGGCCGCAATACCAGGAGCATAAATGGCTACGTAGTCTCTGTACGTCTCCGAGAGGGTTTGTCCTGCTACAACTCCCCGATCAGAGAGGATGAGGGGTAGAAAGACGCCGGCGATGTTGAAGCCAAAGAAATCGGCCATGTAGGTGAGCCAGAGGAGGATGGTGATGCGTGCCATTTTCCTGTCCTTGAACAGGAGACCCGCCATGCTGAATTGGGCCCGAGCTTCACGCATCGTCCTCTTGAACGTCTGTGCAGTCGTCTCGTTGGCATAATCATCCTCGGCCTTTTCTTCGCCTTCGCCGTGGATGATCGTACTGACAGGTCGAGTGGAGGAGCTGGCAGGAGCGGCAAATGGATCGCTTGATTCGGCGGAGCGATTTGCGGTCGATCCTTCCTCGCCCTCTTCGTCCAGGCCGAGCTGATGGCGCTTGCACCTCTCCTCGATGAGCTTAAAGTCTCCCATGGTCAATCGAGGCTTCTTGGCCTTGTTGACTCGCGCAATCTCATACAGGACACTGAGGGCCTGCTCATCGTGCCCTCGATTGATGAGGTAAGAAGGCGACTCTCGGAATTTGAAGACGAGGAAGCGGATGAAGAAGACGCCTAGTGTGATGCCGCCAATGGTGTAGATGGCGTAGCGCCAGCCCGAATTCTCATCACGTGTGCAGAGGCCATTGACCTGAGCCTCGCCGCCGCCGCAAGAGTACTTGGGGATGAAGCCGTATGCAATTCCAGAGGCGGCCAGGGTGCCAATGGGCTGTGGGAAGGTGAGGGGACAGGGAAGGAGCGAAGGGGGTTGGTTTAGACATTCACGATTTCCGGGTGCGCAAGCAAGCGCAAGCGATTGCTCTCCTCCCTGTACCTTGCGCACTCACCTGGAAGACACTAAGCAAAGCAAGCAGATAGTGCCTCTGTGTGGGCAAGAACTCCAGCGTAATCGTGCAATCAATGGGGATGTTACCCCCCACACCGAAGCCAGTAAAGGCAACAAGCACTCGCAGTCCAGTAAAGGTATCAGGAGCTCCCGAAGAGATTCCAAAGATGCCCGCGATGAGGCAAGTGAGGTAAAAGGACCACTTTCGCCCTACAATGTCCACCCCGATGCCCCAGCAAAAGGCACCGACGGTGAGGCCCACGTTGAAGGCCGTTGACAGGGTACCGATGTTCTCACTACTGGCTCCGAAACCAGTCTCGCTACGCAGGGGCACGGTGATCAGACCGAACATTTGCGCCCAGAGTAGGTCAATGAAGAAGCCAAGACCACAGAGGAAGAAGATGTACCACTGTGAGGGGGGGAAGAGAGCAGGAGCAGAGGGAGGGAAGGGATGCGATCCGGTGCGTTCAGCGACCCAGATCCAGAAGAGGCCGCGGACACCTATACCCTCTTCTCTCATCGCCTCTGAACTCACCTGATATCTTCCCATGCCCATCTCATCCAGTTCGGCGCTTACAGCCAGGGATTTGTTCTCCTTTGCGCTCCTATCCAGTTCAAATCCCTGCACCCATGCAGGTTCCTCTGCCTCTCCAGCCTCTGCCGCTGCCAATTCCGAGGGGCGATGGAAGCTTCTCCTCTGAGAGCGGGAGCGTCTGCTGGAGCCCGGACGACGAGGCGTCGAGGGACCAGCAGCAGCACCGTCGGCACCAGCTTCACCCCCGGCGGCAGGGTCAGAGGGGGAGGAGCCATCCTGTGCTGGGTCGGGGGAGCGTGGCTCTTCGTCTGAATCGCTGTACCTCCTTGAGAGGATACGCTTCGAGGAAAAGGAGCGCTTGAGGGTGGGTGTCTGATACATTTCTTCTAGTCTGATGGAAGTGTGAGAGTGAGGAGGAGGGTGCGAGCGGGACTTGGACTTTCCTTTGCGAGAAGTAGAAGAGGAAGGGACGTGAGAAGAAGATGTAGGGAGGAGCCGGGCGGAAGCAGATTCTTGATGGTCGTATTCGTCACTGTCGTCGTCGTCGTCGAGGGAAGGATCTTCGTCGCTGTAGTATTGAAAGACGTCGTCGTCGTCGTCGCGAGGGCGAGTAGAAGAGCGTTGTTGGTTGCGAGTAGCCTGTCTGCTGGTCTGTCGTGGATCGAGGGAGAAGCCAAATGGCATCAAAGAGGGGAGGTGGGGTGAGGGTTGGTAGAGAGCAGTGGCTGCGCTGCGAAGAAGAGACGGAGCAAGGCAGAAGAGCGAGGATGGAAAGAAGGGAGGAAAGGGTCCGCTAGCTCTCTCGCCGGGGAAAGAAACCACTGGCGATTACGCCAAGTGCTGTACGAAGAGCGGCAGCAGCGTGCGGAGGTAAAAAGGGTCGAGATAGAGTTTGACAAGGCCCGGGGGCGGAGGTGGGAGATTGTCCTTGTGCGATGACGACGACGGAGGCAGACAGACAGACAGACAGACGAGACAGACGGACACAGGACGGCGCTACTGGTAATCAAGACTGAGACACACATACCAGGGCTCATCAAATAAGCGCGGCAGTGGCAGGCAGGTCCATGCGCCCCGCCTTGCATCTCCACCAAGCTCCACACGCACGCACGCAGCAACGCCGCGGGCAAATTTCAGCCTCGTAGTCTTGACGGATCGATGAGCAGCTTCTCCTGCGTCCCTGCCCGTGCACGACCTTGAATGATGTCCATTCTAGCCCATCCCAACCATCTCCCATCCCCTTCTGTTCCTCCCGTTTTCCTTCTTTCCCTTGCCCCCCAGATCCAGATGAGGTCAGCCTGCCTTGCCTGCCTGCATCTCAACCGAGGCGCAAGCGAGGTGCGGGTGCGGGAACAAAAGCAGAGGAGCGGAGCGGGAATCTCTCGACGCTCAGATCAGGCGGCAAAATCGGGAAAGAGGGGGGCAAGTGGGAGCAAAGAATAGGCGGGGGAGAATTAATACGGCCGGGAGAAGGGAGGGTGCCTGTGCTTTGTACGACTTTGCGTTGCATTAACGATGAACATCGGTCGGTATAACGGCACATCTAGTGTATCCTCACAGCGGATTAGCTGCAAAGCGCACAAAGCTATCGCACCCCTCGCCCCACAAACTGACAATGCCCAGCTCGCTTCCCTGTCCAAAGTAGGTGCTGTAGAGCCTCGCCATTGGCAGTCCATACCCCAGTCCCGCCAGCGTGCCCACACTCGACTGCAGTCCAGCACTAGCCGATAGAGCTGAAAGACCATCGATGGTCGAGTCGCCTCCACCCGAGCCCGCATTGGCTTGCATCGAGTACGGTCCAGCTTCTGCATCCTGCGAGCTGGGCGAGCCCTTGGACGCATTGCGACCCGCAGTGGTAAAGGCGTAGGAGAAGACACGGTTGAGATCGCTGGGGTGGATACCACCCCCACGGTCGCGAATCCGGAGGGAAAGGTGTCGCTTGCTCTTGGCAATGGTCACCTTGACCGGCTTCACCTCTTCCTCTTCGTAGTCCTCGTACCGCCTCGACCGGCCCTTGCCTTCCTTTGCGCGTCGACGAGATTGCTCTACGCTGGCCCGGAATGAGTTCTTCAGGAGTTCCGTCAGGACATACTCTAGGTGTACAGGCACGCCCACATACGTCGCCGAGGTGTGACCCTCGATGAGAAGCTTTGGCGCTACACCCAAGGTGGACTGGCAAAGCTCCGTCACCACGCCGCCTACGTGTCGCAGCACCGTGTATGGGCTCAAGTCGGTGTGGATCGTTCCTGGCGAGGCGATGGGAGGGGGGACCGTACCGTCTGGATTTGTGGACCGCATAGAGGAGGAGGCGAGGGAGCTGCTGGACCCTTGGCAGTGAAAGTAGGAAGAGGCGAGGGAGAGGTGCTGTTCGGCGATTAGGCGGATACCGATTCGTGCGTGAATGGCCTCGTCCAGGAATGCAGATACAGCAGTGGGTGATGCATAAGAAGCGCACTCCAAAAAACCTGCAAGGAGATGGCCAGGCAAAGTCTTCCATCGTCAGCGAGGTGTAACGTCATGCAATACACCTTGTCTCCCTCCCGCTGCTCACCTCTTGCTAGACTGGGCACATTATCTCTATGTCTTTCCACCATCTCCCTCAGCGACTCTACAAATGCCTCTTCTTCTCCTTCATTCCCTTTCTCTAGTCTCTCCCTCCACGTGGCCAACGTCTCGAAGCTGTCTGCATACAGTCTCGCCACTTTACCAATGTGCGGATTCGCCCCCACGATGAACGGGAGAGCGCGGAAAGCGGCTACTCGCCGAGCCAATCGGATGGGCAGCTCGCGGGATGTAAAGAGGGCCGAGGCGTGAACTTGAGCTTGAGTTGGGGATTCGGATGAGGAGGGAGAAAGGGACAAGACGGCTTGTAGAGAGAGGTTCGTAGGCGGGATGGATGTGTACTGCTGCAGAAGCGTTGGTGGTGCGCCGAATGTGGAGATTGGCGAGGGCATAGCCGAGGAGATGGGAGGCGCGAAGGATGGGCTGGGCGTCAAAGGTGATGATTGTGCTTGCTTGTCGGGAGATGATGACGAGGCAGAGGAGGAAGATTGAGAAGGGGAGGTCGCATTGCTACGGTCCGACTCGTTGTAGAACGACGAATAGGGAGGCGGATAAGACTCTTCGTCTTGAAGAGATGAGGCAGATGATCGTGACTGCGTGGAGGAGGCCGGCGCAGAGGCGGGCGTAGAGGGTGGTGGAGGGGAAGACGAGGAGGAACAGGAAGAAGATGAAGCAAGGGCAGGAGTCGCAGTGCTTGCAAATGTCCGTGATCGCAATTGTGATTGCGGTGGGGCTGCCGATGGTTGGGGGGTACTGCGAAGATCTCGGACCATCGGCCGTGCTGATGCCACCCTCGCAGCAGCAGCAGCGGTGACAGTGGTGATCTTTGAGCGTATCATTGCAGCGATTGGACGTGCAGCAGGTGGATACGTCGCCCTGGTAGTGCAAGTCGTGTGAGAGAGCGATACGAGGCCGAGGAGCGAGCGCCCTGGTGGAGCGGATAGGTGCACCTCTCCGTGCCGAGTGGATCTTCTCAGGCCTTGCTCCCGTTCCGCTCATGTCCCTCGCTGCTGCTCCGCTTGGTCTGCAGTAGAACAGCGCGCCTAGCTGAGCCTCTGAGATCCAGCTTTGGTGACTAGGAGGATGTCATCTGCCATCTTGGACTATATATACGTTCGAGCTGGCAAAAGTCTTCAACCAGCTCAGTTGGGAGCAAATGCATAGCCGGGATAGCTCAGTTGGGAGAGCGTGAGACTGAAGTATTCGGTTATACAAGCCATTCGAGGCTTCTCAAGGTCACTGGTTCGATCCCGGTTCACGGCACATTTCTTTTGCTTCTTTAGCACCTCGTAGGTCGTACCAGTGGTGACATGGCCTCCCAGCGCACGCTGCGAAGGAAGTAGCTCACCCGCGCGCGGGGAAGTTGCGTTTTGTGCACGCCTCCACGGCAACAACGCGTTGGGGACGTTAGAGTCGACATCCGGAGGGCGGAGATAGGCTCTCTCAATCGCTTGGTCACCGAAGACGACAAGTCTAAGATGTATTGCTCAGATGCGACAATGGCTTAGATGGGTATGTGGAGGGAACAAAACACAGCAGGCAAGGTTCGTGGCGTTTGTGCGCTCGACGTGGTATATGCGGGGTATTCAGTGGGTCGAGGTCGTCTCCACTGCACGGCTCTCAGGCAATCGCCCCTGCTCCGTCGGTAGGGCCTCTCCGGTCTCTAACATGCGCTTGGCTTCTCTCGTGCTTTACCTCTCCATCACTCTAGGCGCTACTAGCGATGTCCCCGGCTTCATCTCTTCCTCTTCCCGCCTCCACTACCACCCGCTCTCGCACCTGCTGCACTTCCATTCGCCCCCCTCCCCTGCGCCTCGATCTTGAGTGTTCCACCACCATAGATAAAGTCCGGTACAGGATTCGCCTTTGGGATCCTTCGCTCCCTCTCCCTCTTGACTTCTTCAAGTTCCAAGCGCCTCTTTTCCTCACGGACTTTGGCTCGCTCTTGTTCCAGAAGAGCATCGCGGGCTGCTCGCTTAGACTCGTAGGCGCGACGTTCCTGCTGACGGGTTTCGAGAGAGGAGATGAATGGCTGGACTTTGGTAGGTGCTGCCTTGGTGGTAGGTGGAGGGCGAGCGCCGAGTAGGCCATTGGGGAGGAGCTTCTTGGCAGCGCCTCCGCTCCCCGCGAGCCCACGGAGCTCCTTTTCCCTCATCAACTCCACCTCCCGCTTAAGCATCTCCGCACTCTCCTTTTCGATCTCTTCCCTCCTCTTGGCCAAGTAGCCTGGCAGGCCATGCGCCTTGACCGCCTCACTCCTGCTCCTGAGCCGCTTCTCCTCTTCCTCTGCCTGCGCCAGGAGCTTGGCAAAGTGTTCCGAGGCAGGCACGTATGCCGCGGGCTCGGCAGAAGGGGGTAGGGGGACGAGGTTGCCTGTTGAGGTCTTGCGGAAACCCAGAGGGACGTCAACACTTGCGTGTTGCAGGGTCGTGGGAGCTCGCGAGACTCGGGTGAGCCTGAGAGGCGCGCTGCTGCTGCTGGAAGCACTTGGAGGTGGTACCGTTGGGGGTGGTGGTGCGAGCTGCGAGGCTGTTGAGTTCGATGCGACTACAGGTAGTGGTGCGAGACGAGAGACTGCCGCGGTCGATCGGCTCTTGCTCTTGCTCTGGACCTTCTCGTTCTTGTCATCGGCCACCACGGTGGTGTGCTCGCGGCGACCCTTCTTGCTGGGTGGGACGCTCGCGGTGGGCTCTTCTATGATGAGAGACTCAGCAGCTTCTTGCGGGGTCGTTGATACAGGGTCGGTGGCAAAGGACCCTTCCATAGGCGGCGTTGCAGCTCTGGGCGAGTTGGAGCGCCCGAGCGATACGGACACCGTAGGCGCAGGCGTCTCGCTGTTGGAGCTGGAGTGAGCAGTCTCGTCTTGGGTGGGCAGTGGGATCGCCGGCGTTGGTGGTGCCTCCTCCTCACTCCTGAGCGAGTGGTCGCGTGACTGTACAGGCGCAGGCACGCTATTGACAGGCGCAGGGGCAGGTTGAAGCCTTCGACTTGATGTACGCTCACGCCGAGCAGAGGAGACCTTTGGCTTGACGGCGCGAGGTGTGTTCTCCTCTGCCTCTTCCGTTTCCTTTTTCAGCATCTCTGGGCCGTCTTCCTGTCCACGCCCCTCTGCCCGCACAACCACCTTCTCATTCTTCCCTGCTCGGAACGGCCTCGCCTTCCCATCCACATCCGAGCCACGAGGCGGCAGTCGGCCACCCTTCTTCAGCCACGAGACCTTGGCCGGAGGTGTTGCCAGCGTCTCCTCATCACGACGCGCAGGCGTGGAAGACTTGTCTTTGCCGAGGAGCTTGACGAGCTCGCTGGGTCGTTCGGCAGGGCGCCGCTCAGCGCCAAACGGCGAGGAGGAGAAAGAAGAAGAAGGGAGGGTAGACTCTACCTGCGGGCGCTGTTTCCTGTGGTAGGGTGAAAAGGGGAGCATGGATGGGAGGGTGCGCTTGCTTGGCGAGGAAGGGGGAGCCGCGAGAGGGACAGAGTCTTGGAGAGGGAGACCACCTTGGAGAGTCTGCTCTTGCTGGTCGTGGTCCTGTTTCCGCTCCTCCTCTTGCGCAGCCACCAGCCCAAGCCTCTGCCGCCTCTCCTCTCGACTTTCTTTGAGATCGTGGCGCGCCTCGAGAGCTGCCGATGACAAAGACTCGCTCGATGAGTGTAGGGATTTGCGGGGCGTCTTTCTTCTGCGCACCTCGACATTGGGGGATGCAACGACTTGCAATGGTAGTGCGGCGCGAGGTGGTGTGATAGAGGAGCTCGAGGGCTGAAGCGTCTCGTTGCTATCCGACCCTCCCTGTTTCCCCCATGTTGCACCTCCATTCATCATCGTCTTCCAGGCCAACTCTTCGAGCTCCTGATCGTCGAGGGCATCAATATCCTTGCGAGGCGAGAGTTGCGATGACGAAGACGATGCCACCTTGTCGGCACGTACACGAGCACGCGTGCGCGTACCCGCCTGCAAGGGGAGCGAGGTATCCATGAGCATGGACATGCTATCATCTGCCGCGATTCGCGTGGGCGATAGGAGTCCAGGTGAAGCCATGATGCTGTTGCTGGCCGCTGCTGCCAGCCGACTTCTCCTACTCATAGCCGGTGAGCGCAGGGTGGGTGTGTATGGTATGGAGGAAGTTGACTTGAGGCTGTTGGTATTGCGGAAAGAGAACAGATGAGAGTGTTGATCCGTCTGCCTCGCCTCGCCTCGCCTGTGCTTCCCCGCGTCCGTCGAATTGAGGCTCCGCTGAGAGAAGTCCCGGACAAGGCGGAAGGCGCGCGCGCTGCTTTGCTCTCTCTGCCTCTCTCACCGCCCCTCGCTCTGCCCTGCGCCGCTGCCCTGCCGCTTGGGACAGCAGCACAGTGGCTGACGCTACCGGGCTCGACTCGCCGCCCAGCACGCCGTCAGCATAGTCCATCCATCCAGGATCGTCTCACACCTGCGGCTACGAGTGCCATCGATACGCAACGCCATCGTCGGCCACAGTCAGACTGCTCTCACTCCCACTCGCACCTCTCACGTCTCACGGCCACTGTCAGCTCGGCTCTCGGTCTCCCCTTTTGCCCTGCGCCCCCGCCCCGCCCCGCCGCCCGCGATTCGCTCCACCTCGTCGCAAATCTCCTCTCCACTTTCACCACCTCTACTCCACTTCCCACCACTCAGTCCTTCCCGCGTATCGACCCAGGCGAAGCACCACGCTCGCACACACACAAGCACTCGCTTCCCCGCATTCTACCTCGAGAGGACCATCACCCATTCGGTCCTCGTCTCTCCTTTCCTCTGGGCGTGGGTCACCGTAGGATTCTCGTAGGATTTTTCTTCCCCCCCCCCGCACGTGGCTCCCCTCGCCCGCAATGGCCCCGCCTACCGCCGATGAGCAGCAGCAGGCGGCTACCAGTGCCTTCTTGGCCGCCATGCAACATTCACATCAACAACTACAGCAGCAACAGCAACGCCAACAGCAGCAGCAGCAGATGGCAGGCGTGGCGGGAGGCGAGGCGGCTATGCAACAGTCTCAACAGCAGCAGCAGTATCATTTGCCGCCATCGTACACCCAACAGCAGCAGCAGCCACCCCTACCTATGAAAAGAGACCAGACTGAAGACGATGGCGATGACGACGACGATGAAGACGACGCAAGTCCAAGCGGATCGGGTGGACAGGCCAAAGCACCCCCTCGCAAAGCGCCACGGAGGTCATCGGGATCAAACACCAAAGCTGGCAGCAGTGCATCCGCGGCAGCAGGCAGTCACTCGGCGGGAGACAATCCCCCTGGCCCACCTTACGTGTGTCCGGCTTGTAAGACGACTTACTCCAGGCTGGAGTATCTACGTAGACACGAGAGGAGACGTGAGTAGAATCGCAGCCATGGTCACGCGTACATGCCGACGCGGACGTGCGCGAATGGGCGGATCGTCATCGATGTCTCACGGACCCCTTCTGACCTACATTCCACCCTATTTTGACCTCCCTCCCCCTCACAGACCAAGATATTCGGCCCTTCGTATGCGAGTGTGGTAAAGGCTTCTCGAGAAGGTGAGCCAATGTGATGTGGCGCGGGGAATGACCACCCACACCAATGCTCACTAGCCCCTTCCCCACCTACAGTGATGTCCTCTCGCGCCACAAGAAGCAATGCCACTATCACCTCACCGGCGAACAGCCATCTGCGGAAGCGGCTGAAGCTGCTTCAAGAAAGACGCGTAAACCATCCTCCGCCACCAACGCTAGGTCCCGCAAGACATCTTCCAGCGGAGGAGGTGTAGGCGGCAGCGGCGGAGCAGGTGGCAGCGGCAGTCAAGCAGGTGGTAGTGGGGATCAGTCACCGCAGCCAGGTCAGCCGTATCCCAATAGCCAGGGTGGGGACTTCGGGAACAACGCCCACACTGGCCAAGCTCCGTCGCTTCTCCCCCAGGCTGGTGCTCCAGGAGGCATGGGCCTGCCGCCACCGCCTCCCTTTTACTCGCAGCACCCTACCAACGCAGCCGCCGCAGCCGCCGCGGCAGCAGCTGTAGCAGCCGGACATGGAGGACCAAGTGGCCAGGCAGGCGCTGGACCGGGAAGCGGCGGAGTTGGAGCAGGCGGCGCACCACAGTCCTCCTCTGCCGCTCAAGATGGCAACGCTGGCAACCAGACCAGTGCCAATACCGACTACTCGCGAGCCAATGGGTTCATGTCGGCCATTCACCACGCCCTCAACACCTTTGGCCACCACAACTCTCACTCCAATTACCCACCCAGTCCCGAGTCAAACGTCAGCTCTCGCAACTCTTCGCCTCGCCTCCACTACCGCGACGCCATTCCCTACACCCATCGCTCTGGCAGCACTGGAGGCGGATCGAGACAATCCTCTCTCCGCAAAGGAACCCTGGACCCTTATCATGCGCCCGTGCCTTGGGGTGCAGACAATCAAGACGGTCGGTCATCTCCTGCTCCTGGCTCGTCTACCTCTCGACCGGGGTCTCTCTTTGGCAAAGACGGAGGTAGTGCCAACCAAACCCGGAGCTCTTCGGGCGCAGCAGCCAATGCTGGCGCAGCTGGAGCTGGAGTAGGATCAGGTGTGGGCCTGCCCGGCTTCTCGAGTTCTGCCTCGCCTGCTGGCGCTCCATCCTTCTCTTACCCAGCCAATGAATTCGCCGCACAGTCTTCCACGTCTAGCGGCAACTCGCAGAGCCAGACTCTTGCTCCTGCTGGTACTGATGGCCAAAACAATGCCGGTAGCGGCTCTCAACAAGGTCAGCAAGGTCAACAACCCAGCTCTCACCCACACTCTCGTGCCGATCCACCTCGCTTTGCCGTGTCCACCGGCCCCTTGTCCCCCTTTTCCGGCATGGGTCTGGCCTCTTCGATGAGTCCATACCTCAGCGCCTTTTCCAATGCCCGAGACACTCCCCTCGTCGCCAGCCCCGGCAGAGGCATCGCTCCGGGAACACCCACTTCCTCGCTCAACACCAACGTCTTTGACTTTACCATGAGGCCTCCTCCAAAACCTGCAAGCACCGCCTCGCAAGGCCGGAATGGGTCTGGATCAGCGCCAGACGGTAACAACAAGGGCGCTCAAGGTCCTTCCTCCTCCTCCTCTGGTTCAGTAGCGTCAAAAAGCAGAGGTCCCATAGCGACGACTTCCCCACAAGGAGGTCATGACCCATCCACCCCTTCTGCGTCCGTGTCAGCGGCTGATGGAGGGAGTCTGCCAGCCCTTGCGGACTTTATCGACGATCAGCAGAGGAGCGCTGCCAATGGTCTGCTGACTCTCCTCGGCGGAGGAGGAGCCGAGACGCCCTCGCGCTTCGTTCGAAGTGACACCGGCAGACCCGTCGGTGCCGGCGCTGGCAATGCCCAGGGTGGAGAAGCAGGTACTGACAATTCCAATACTACTGCAGGCGCGCAGTCTTCCTCCTCCTCGTCTCAGACCGGAAGGCAGAATCGCCCCGACAACAAGTCAAGCTCTGCCATGGAATCCAATCCGGGCACAAATTCTGCAGACCCGTCTTCGAATCCTTTTTTTGAGCCTGCCGTCACCCCCGGCCCGGAGGCCTTCTTTTTGCGTCTCCAAGGTGGCGAGCAGGATCACAGGGCAGGGATGTCGTCGTCGAGTGGTGCAAACAACGTCGGCGGCAATTCGATTGGTGGCCACTATAGCCATCTACCCTCGTCTGTAGTCAATGGACTGCTGAGAGATGGCATTGGGCAACACCAGCAGAATTCTGATTCCGCTCCATCTGGCGGTGCTGGAGTAGACACTCCCAACTATGGCATGGGCAGTGGAGGATGGGGAGACTTTGGTCTCTCGAATGGTTCGGCGGGCAATGTGGGATGGCTGTTGAGCCCTTCGATTCAGGCCCTCATCTCGTCCTTTGCCACTGGGGCAACGCCAGGTATTGGGGGAGATGCCAGTGGCGGAGGCTACTTTGCTCTTGCACGTAACCACGGGCCCAGCGCCATGGGAGCCACCCCGTCATTGAAGCCCATCATGGCGTCCTCCATGGACATTGATGGTGGAGCGCAAGCAGAAGGCAAGCCTGCGGCTATCAATGGAGCTGCGAACGGCAATGTCACTACAAAGGAAGGCAGTGGGCCCGAGGGTGAAAAGGTCTCCTTCATCGACTTGGGCACCCTGGCACTCGAAAAGGCCTTTGATGACATCAAGAATCCCTTTTATCTGCCTCGAAGCATGTTCAAGACTTGCTACTCCGTCCCTCACTGGCATCTGCCTTCTCGTGCTCGGCTGTCGATGCTTGCCATGCATTCACAGCAGAATCTCTGCAAACACGTTCCCATACTCCACGAGCCTACTTTTCGACTGGACTCGACCCCTGGATGTCTGGCTTTTGCGGTCTGTATGCTGGGCTGTCACGAGGTTGGTCGTCGATGGTTTGGTGGGCTGGAGGTGGTTCCATTGGAAAAGGCCATTAGCACGGCTGAAGACAAGCCGTCCATAGAAGACGGCAAGGACGGTCTAGCTCGGGACGAGGAAGACAATCAGGAGCTGGTGAAGCCTATTGTCATGACCGAGGTAAGTGGCTGTGGAGAGCCGAGAGCCATCTCTCAATCCTCGCGGCCACCTCTGCAAGGAGCTGACCTTTCCCCTCTCGCCTTCAACATCAGAAAATGGACATGCTCATGCGATCCTTCCCGAGCCGCTGCACACACGTCAAAGACAAGGTCTCCGTCGTGCAAGCACTTCTCCTCTCCCAGACTAGCAACTTCCTCAGCTCAGACACGACCGTACGTGCCATTGCATCGATCTCACACAGCTCCGTTGTCGGTCTCGCCCGCAAGGCTGGCTTCTTCGACCCCAGCGCTGAGCACGTATCAGTCGAAATCGACTATGCGCCCGAGGTAGCTCTGCAGAGGCTGTTGGCGGACAACAACGAGCTCGCCTTTGCTTTCAGCTTCCTGCCGTCGTACCTCCCTTCGTGCTCGGATGAAGAAAAAGTCTGGCGTCTGTGGTGCGAGTACGAAGGCAGGAGAAGGACAGCCTTTTTGCTCTTCTTGATGGATACCGTCGCGTCACTCGACGCTGGTGTGCCCATCGTGGTCAAAATCGACGAGGTCAAGCATCTCCCACTTCCTGCTCCCGACTTTATCTGGAGGGCAAGCGATGCAAAGTCTTTCCGGACGGCACTCGAGTCGTACAAGGCTCCCATCCTCGACGGGGCCATGGCTGAACTCCTCAAAGACGAAGAAGAGGAAGGAGAGGGCGAGGGTGAAGAGCAAAAGGCCGACAAAGGCGCTGTGAAATCGCAGTCCGCAGAAGCGTCTTCCCCGACACTCCTCGCTGGCCAACATGGTCCCTTTGCTCGCCTCATAGCCATTCTGCCCATCCTGCGGGGCATTGTCCACCTGCTACAAGACCGCACGGACAAGCCATCACCCCTACAGTCGTGGCTTCCTCCGTCTCACTCTGCAGGCTCTGATGATGCGACAAATGAAGTCAAGAACGAAGAAGGCACCGAGGAGGAGCAAATTGACGCTCAAGTCGACCTCTTTAAGCGAGCTCTCAGTCGCTGGCGCGAAGGATGGGATCAAGACCCTCTCTGCTTACAAGCCTCGAGTCCGGTGGCTCAAGCCAAAGCCGAAGCGGCAAGAAAGGCCGAGGAGCTCGTCTCGCAAAGTGTAGGTGGCGGCGCAGCTGCCGACGCTGGTGTCAAGGCAGAAGGCGGAGAGGCATCAAAGGTGAACGGTGGCAGTGGCGAGCCGACCAAGCCTAACGCAGCTGCCGTGCCTTCTCTCGCTACCATCTTCACTAGCAAGACGGCCTCTGGTGCTGTCCCTCTGTGCGAAGATGCCCTGCCCTTTTACTGGCTCTCGCACGTCCTCTTGGGTCATGCCACCAGTCAGCAAGTCTCAACAAGCTCCCCCACCAATCGTCAGACAGGGGAGAGCACAAACGGTAACGGCAAGCAAGAGCGTGGAAGACAGACTTCCTCTACTGCCTCTTCTGCCGGTACGGGCGGTGGCAGTGGCGCTTCTTCGCCCAGTGAAGACCGCAAGCGCAAAAACAGCAGCACTGCTCCCGCTCCTCTGCCCTCGTCCACTGCTGCTGCTGCTGCTGGCGGCGGCTCTTCCACAGGAGGGCAAAGGCGCGTACCGGACTTTAGGAACATGCTTCGCTTTGCAAAGACCTTTGTCAAGTCTGGAGAGGGCGTCAATGGTACTACCAGTGGTGGGCAGCTCGCATTCACTCCTGCAGCGGCTGCTGCTGCCGCTGCTGGAGTGGGAATGGGAGTTGGAGTTGGAGTTGGAGTCGGAGCTGGCAAGGAGGAGGAGGGTGTGGATGCGCAGGTGAATGGAGGGAAGAAGGAGTAAGCGATGAACGCTGAGGTGGAGGAGGACGGAGGCAGGCAGGCTATGCGATCAACGGAGTTGCAGATCATGCTCGACTCCCAAAAGGAGGGCAGCTGTAGCCTCCCGAGAAAAAAGGAGTGACGAATGCTGAGTCCCCCCAACCATGTATCTCTCTACGTAAATATACGAAATGCACAGTCTGTACGTTCGCACACACGCACCCAAGCACGCAAGCGCTAGCTATTCTTCTGGTCTGGCTTTGACTTTGACTTTGACTCTGATATATAATTAGCAATGAACCCGCTCCCCCCCCCCCCCCCCCCTCCCCCCCTTTCCGCCCCTACTCGTATGACCGGCGGTGACCGGGTAGACTGCTCCATCCGGTCCCGCGCAGGAGTGCAGCGTCTATCACGCAACATCCATAGCATTCTCCTCGCCTTCCCCTCCGCCTCCACCTTCGCCTCCGCCTCCGCCCTCTCCTTTTCCTTCTGGAGCGACATCCCCTGTACCCTCCTTCTTGACAGGTTCTCCACCACCCGTACTAGCAGAAGTGGAGGCAGAGGCAGAGGCAGAGGCAGAAGTGGTGCGACGAGTAGAACGTCGTACGTTTGCAATAGCGCTTGACGTGCTACTGGCATTTGCAGCGGCAGCGGCTGTAGAAGCGGCAGTAGGCGTCTTTTCACCACCGGTACCGCCGCCATTGACAGCATCTGCATCTGCATCAGGACTGTCGTCGTCTTCGTCTTCAAGGGCCTGGGAAGCTCCGGCCTCTTTAGGCGCACTGTCCTTGGCGAGTTGAGTGTCTTTGTCTGCGCTAGCGCCTTGCAGCTCTTGAGTGGCTGCACTTTTCTTGTCCTTGTCTTGCTCTTGCACTTGCTCTTGCTCTTCGTCCTCCTCATCCCCATCCTCAATATCGGCCACATCCCCATCCCCATCCCCGTCCGTCATGGGTGCAGCGCTCGAAGCAAGTTGAGGCTTGGAGGAAGACGCAGTGGCGCCTTTCGCTTCCGCAGTAGCGCTGTCGCTTTTAAGCCCGCCGGTCTTGCTACTGGCGGTGCTAGTGCTGTTGGTACTAGCAGACTTCTTCTTCTTCTCTCCTGCAGCCGTGCCTGAAGCAGCAGCAGCAGCAGCTTTCTTTGCGCTGCCGCCTCCACCACCAGCTCCGCCCTTTTTAGCACCACCAGCAGCACCTTTCCCAGCTCCAGTACCAGTAGTCCCACTTTTACCCTCGGTATTGGCAGCACCGTCGGTCTCCTTTGCAAGGATGTCGACGCCCAGCTTCGCGCGCGCGAGTTTCAGACGGGCGTGGTCTCGTCGAGAGCGGAGATCGCGGTGCACCTCGAGGAGGTGGCGGAGGTGCTCGACAGCTGAGAAGAAAAGGGAAAGGGGTAAGAAAGAGATCAGTCACCTCTGCTCTGCTCACTCTGAGCTCATTCCCTCGCCAGCCCACTCACAATGGCCTAGCACGACTGCCTCGCTCCTTGGCCCTGCTCTCCCATCCAGCTTGTCCCCACCTGCGGCATCCCCTCCGCTCTCTGCTCCTCCATCCCCTCCACCTCCACCGCCCTCTTCGAGTGCATCATTGAGAGACGGCATACCACTGCAGAGCATCTCGTAGCCTTTGCGGATATTGGCTCTTCGCTTCTGCTCAGAGGCAATGTGATTGGCCTTCTTCTCTGCCTCTGTCAGCAGCGTGTGCGGAGGCTTCCTCCCTGTAGCGGCAGACTTGTCCTTGTCTTTCTCGCCGTCCTTGCTATCTGCACCCTCCCCGCCCATGCTCGTGTCTCCATCCGACCCTACCTGACCCGAGGCAGACGCCATGTTGGAGTCAGACTGGCGCTTCTTGACTTTGTTGCTGCCTTTGCTGGTTTCTGCCTGCGCAAGCATTTTCCGCCGGCGCTCCTCTCTACGTCGCTCCTTCAAGTCGACCAAGTGAGGCTGAATTCGCCTGCGCTCCTCGGCTGCTTCCCTACCGTAGAAGGCAGCGCAGAGGAGCTCCAGCTCGTCCGGCTGCCGAGCTGCTGCAGCTGCAGCTGCAGCTGCCTTGAGCTGAGAGGTGAACTGCGCCCGATCGATCGCCTGAGGTCGGACATTGATGGGCGGGTACGTCTGGGAGGGCTCAGTGGGTGAAGACCTCTTCTGCCATAGAGGTCCGTCGCTGCCGTCTCGCGAAGCGCGGCGGTCCACTCCGTCCACCATCCTCGAAGTTGAGCCTTCCTCCTTCTTCTTGTTTGCAGAGGAGTTGCGAGTGTTGCCAGACTGTTGTTGTAATCTTTGCTGCTGTTGCTGTTGCTGTTGTTGCTGCTGCTGCTGCTGCTGCTGGGCACCTCTCATGTCCATTGACATCCCCATGTTCATACCGCCGCCCATCTGCTCCATCCGGCCAGCCATGCTGTTCCCGAAGCGAGCAGCAGACGCCTCGTCAAAGGTCCCTGCGGGCGGGGAGGCGTCGGGAAAGTCATGACTAGAGGGAAAGGACATGGCAATGGTGGAGAGGTGGCCTCCAGCGCCTTGAGAGCGGTTCGCATGGACACTCCCGTCGTGGTAATTTGCCATGCCCGGTAGATAGTCTGCCGTGTTGGGCAACTGGGAGCTTGACCAGTAGGAAGCAGGAGAGCTCGTGGTAGGCATGGCTTCCCCTCCCCCGTTTCCTCCTCCTCCCATGTAGTTGATCCCTCCTGCCCCGTCTATGCTGGACTGTTGACTACTGCCGCTCTCCTGCCGATGACGAGTCATACCTGACCCTCCTGCATTGTTCATCTGCTCCAGGTAGCGTTGCCTCTCGGCTTGGAGAGCCTCGAGCTGCTGTTGTTGCCAAGCTCTATTGCGACCATATGGACCAGAGAGTGCTCCTCCGGTAGTCAGCCTACCGGCAGCAGCAGCGGCAGTCGCAGCTTCGTCCGGGCTCATGGCTTGGGCCGGCGCCCAGGGAGATGCAGAAGGGGTTCCGGCCGAGAAACTCTGTGAGTGATGAAGACCGCGCCCATGACCTTGGTTTGCCGGCCACATAGACTGGCTATTGCTGCCATCGCCGCTGCTGCTCATTTGACCCCAATTGGGCGGAAAGCCTTGCTGTTGCTGTTGCTGTTGATGCTGTGACTGCTGCTGAGGATGATGAAAAGAGTGTTGTTGCTGTTGCTGTTGCTGTTGTTGCTGTGACTGCTGTTGACCTTGATGCCCGGTCCACGAATTCATACCTGGGGCCCATGAGTTGCCGCGGGACCGAGATGGTCCCGCTTGCGGAAAGCCTTGCTGCTGCATCTGATGTCCTGGTTGCAACGATGCTGCATCCTGATACGTGCTACCACCAGCGCCAACGCTACCTCCCGGACTGTTCCATTGAGCATTGTTATTGGACCAGCCAGCGCCTGCTATGCTCGCAGCTCCTGCCCCGGCAAAGGGCCCGTCGGACGAGGAAGCCGATGGGCTGAGCACATGTTGCTGTCCCCAGGGCTGACTTGAAGGGCCAGCTGTTGCGCCGCCGCTGCCTCCCAAGTCAGCACTGTTGGCATCGGCCATGCTGTGTATCAGTCCTGGTGGTAGGAGTGCAGGGACCTTGATTCCCGGTGCGCCGTGCTGAAAGGGGTCAAAGCTCTGAGCCGAGGCAAAAGAGTCGGATATGAAGCGGGCCTCATCGCTCGAGAAGAGGGACGAGGAGGAAGGCTCATCCGAGGATACGAGTGGGTTGGAAGAGGATGAGGCAGAGGAAGAAGAAGGCACCATGGCCGATGTATGCGGCTGGGATGCCAGGGTGGTGAGAATGGAAAAGGGAGACGCGGCAGTAGTGACCGTAGACGTCATCAAGGATGGGAAGGGATGCTGCAAGCGCTCAGCCAGCGCAGTAGAGGTGGTATTGGGCTCCTCACTCCTGCCCCCTCTCCGTAAGAGATGTCTTCAGGGCCACTGTCCCGCGTTCAGGATGGAGGAAAGGGGGGAGTATGAGAAATCGCGAAAGTGTCCGCACTCGGCCGAGGACCAGCAGGCGATGGCAGGGAAAGAGCGTGTGGGAGGTTGGAGGGAGGAGGAAGGGGATGAGGGGGGAGACGGCGTCTGAGCAAGATGATGAGGTGAAGGAACTTGTATGATGAATGAGAAGCTTGGCAAAGAGGGGAGGCTGGCGCTGTACGATGAGGGGCAGGTGGCTGTATGCGCTGCGAAAGAGTAATGGTGAGCCACAGGGCGTGGCAGCAGAGGCGGGGGGGCGGGGCGGGGCAGAGGGAGAGAGAGGGCAAGGGAGAGCGGGGCCGGGTAGAGGCGACAGGCGGAAGTGGGGAAGCACGTCCGTCGTCCGGCGAGGCGGCAGATTCCTCCAACCGAGGGAGCGGGTGGCAGCCGGCGTGGATGGACCGCGCGACATGGAAGCCGACGCCTGCCCCGCCCTTTTCCCAGCTCCCAGCCACCGCCACAGCCACCGCCACGCCCAACCGAGGGCTAGGCGGCAGAAGCGAGCCTTGAACCCTGCACCGGGGCTGGGCCTATCACCCTTTCCCCCACGTCGTTGAAAGCTCACAATCACGCTCAAAGCAGATTCATCCTCAGATGGCAAGGGGACAGTCGCCAGCCCCCACTTCTTCCTCCCAGCAACAACATAGACGCCGGTCAGGACGAGCGCCAAAAAGAGGCTTGCTCGATGGGAAATATAGTAGACCAACCTGCGCCCCACCACCGGCACTGCGTCTGTCCTCCAAGACTCCGCTCCGCTCAACCTTTCACCCGCTGCCGGCGCCGGGCAGATCCGGGGTAAGTGAGACGAAATACACTCCACCCTCAATCAGCCAAGCAACCCCCAGGCACCCGACCCCACACGCCGCTCAGACCAGCCGCCCAGATCAGAGTTCCGACCATGACACAATCACAATCGTAGTCGCCCATTTGGGCAGTAAGACATCGACCCCGGAATGTGAATTGGTAATGCTTCGCTTGGAGTAGCAGCGGGAAGGATCTGAAGATTAGGGTAATGTACGTACAAGGGTGGGACTATTTACAATGTGCTCGGTTCACAATTCGACTCGGCATCGACGGCGAGTGAACTCTATCCTCGATGGAACGCAGTGCCTGTACTTGGGCCTGCCTGACCACTGGCGCTCAGCTGATGGCAGAGGCAAGACCGTATGTTCCGCGGTTCTTCGCTTGACCTCAGGCATCTCCTTGGGCTGTCCTCTCCTCGCCAAGTCTCTGTTCTCCTGCATCTCTGTCACCGCCGCCGGTGGCATTCCCTCTATCCTTGCCGCCTTTCTTGCTGTCCAATCCCACCCACTCCAGATGCAAGACGTGACCCCGCTCCCTTCGCGCATACCATCCCACATACACCACCCATGCCGTGCCGATGAGCGCCCAGCTCACACTGGCCGGCCTGGCAAATTCGCTCGGCTTGTTCCAAACCAGGGTGAGGACAAAGTGGCACAGGTCAAAGGCATTGATCAGGGATTGCTGGATGCCAAAGTGGAGAGAGGCAGTGGGATGCTCGTACAGGGCTTGTTGCAACAGAGCTAGCTGCGTAAGGTCGTATGTCCAGAGGCCTGTACGAGATAGCGCCATCCCAAGGAAGAGGCATGCCGTGTTCCAAGGTAGACCCACGCCCACCCACAGGGCGCACACAGTCGGAGTGAGGGAGATAAATTCCTGAAACAGTGACCAGGAGCCCAACCTGACGAGGCCGACACGTCGTGATAGGATCGGCATGATGATTGTGCCCAGTAAGCCCATGGCGACACACAAGCCTCTCATGCCAGAGACAAAGGCATCCGAGTAGGAAATATCGACCGCCTGGCCTCCACTGCCTGGCGCTGCGACCTTCACGATGCCGTTTGATGTGCTTGAAAGCGGCAGGGCGGAAGGGTGAGGCTGCTTGAGGTAGGTCAGGAAAGTGCTGTCGAAAGACAGAACGCTCGTGTACAGCAAGGCGAGTGCAATCGAGGTCGGGAACGTCGACAGAGCAGCAAAGGCTTGCAGATCCTTCCGGAGGGCATGTGCCTTGGTGGTACCTTTTCTGTAGACGGCTTCAGGCGAACGAAGCGTTCGAAGTCTCTCCCTCGCTCGCAGACCCTCTGCTTGAGCACCAGCGTCCTCTGCCCGCAGGCTCGCCCGCCTCGACTGCTCTCGCTGCTCGTCAGCCCCGATCTCTGTGAAGCGCTTGTAGACTGTTCCTATCCAGATCCACTCAAAGAGGGATGTGAAGCAATTGATGCCCAGCAGAATAAAGGCAGACACGCGGTATGACGTAGTCGTCGTCAAGAGAGAGACGAACAGGGGTGCCAGGAGCTTGGAGATAAGGTCAATCTGACGGCTGTGGAAGAGGTGGAGAAAAAGAGCACAAGATGAGACGATGAATGCTGAACGACAAAGTCATGGGCTTGCTAGTCCAGCCTACTCACATGATGGTGTTGAGCTTGGTCAGCTTCCTTTCCTCCCCCTTGGCAATCGTTGTCACCCAGTCCCTCTCCACCGCAATTGTCATTCCCGTCCCGCTAAGCACAACGAGTACGCCTACAAATGTGAGGGCCACAAATGCCGCCCATCGTTTGCCTTCTGGGATGGCAGTGTCGCCTAGATTGAACAAGAAGCAAAAGCCACCATACGAGCAAGCCACACTGAGCTTCTGTGCAACGATGAAGCCCCTCACCACGGCCAGCCTCCTCGCCTTGTGCTTGTCTACGTTGCGTCCCACCGAGGGGGAGAAGAAGAGCGAGGCGATCAGCAGGCAGAGCCCGTAGACACTTGCGGGAAGCAGGGTGGCCGGGAAGAGGTAGGCAAAGTAGAGGGGAAAGGCGAATTCGGCGCTTCGATAGCCCCAGGAAGAGGAGATGTGCTGTACCGCCAGGCAGACGATGGCGATGCGATCCAGGTGATGCTCTGAAGCAGAGGGAGGTGTCGTAGGAGCAACCTCGCTGGTCGGGGTGAGCGGAGCGTTTGATGATTGGTAAGCGAGAGAAGGGTCGCTGCGAATCATCCTCAAAGGAATGTCGCAAACATTGTCATCATCGTCGCCGGGTTCAGTCTGACGCCCATGAGCTGTCTTGACGCGCCTTTCCATGGTGAGCTGCTTTGCGAAGACTGAAGTCCGGGGCCTCGAGGAGGTGCACTTGCAGATTGGCGGGTTGAGATGCGTTTTGCATCGGAGGAGGGGAAAGGAAAGGGAGGAGCAGCAAGAGTCCTAAGAATTACGACCAGCGCTGGACGAGGACCTCTTCACTGCTCCTGGATGGGCGTATTCGTCACTTCTGTCGGCGTCATCGGCGTCAAGGCGGATGGGCAGCAAGGATTCAGGCGGTGATGATGAGGAGGAGGCGAGAGCGCAAAGGCAAAGACGACGTGGACGGGTGAAATCATTTGCCGGAGTGCACGGACCTTGAGGCGTGCATGCCCGCAAAGGTCGCCTCCGAGGCACACAGAAAGGGAGACAGGGCGGCGCTAAGTTGCAATTGCACGAGATACGAGGCGAGGATTTTTGATGAGGAACCACAATCAACGGTGCTCGTTCGTATGAGCCTCACACAAGGCAGGCTACAAGTGGGACACACGTTGATTGCATGACATTGCTTTACGACAAGAACCCCTTGATCTGTCCTCCCACATTCTCGACGTCTATCAGGAACGAGTCATGTCCCGTTGGGCTATCCAGCTCCGAGTACCTCACCTTGCGATTTCCCGTCATCCTCAGACATTCCGCCAGCTCCCTCTGTTGATCGATGGGAAATAGAATATCGCTCTGAGCACCGATAATCAAAGTCGGAGTCTTGACCAACCGCGACAGACCCCTGGTCAGCGATGGCAGGTAAAAGTGTGCTGAGGGAGAAGAAAGAGTCCTAATGTGTTTCCTCTGAGGCGCACTCGTGTCTCCTTCTTTTTCACCGTAGATGCTACCTGCCAATCCTCTAATACCACTCTCCTCGGCAGTGCCGTGAGCTCTTGTACGCCTCTCATCTAGATCTTCCAGAGCTTCGTCGCTCATGTCAAAGAGGTCCATGGCTTTGCTGATGTAAATTAATGAGTTGGCATCGTACTTGAGGCAGAATTGCTCCCCCTGATAGTCGATGTATGACTCAATTTCAAAGTCGGGGCACAGGGCTGGATCCGCTTCTTGCAGACTCGGACCCGTCAAAGAGGAGCCCGCAGAGCCCTCACTGCTCACCACTGCTTTCCGCCTTCTCCTTCCGAAGCGCTGCTCCCACTCTGGCCCAGAGCGGTAGGTGATCGTGGCAATCTGTCGCGCCAGCTTCATGCCGGTGTGCGGCGGCAACTTGTTAGGGCCATAGTAATGACCGCGATTCCAGTTCGGATCAGACATCAGCACTGAGAAATTAGACGGTAGCAGTGTAGCTAACGTCAGTCGAAGTATCCTGATGCCCCTCGGCGTCCTACTGCTACTCACCACTCCTCTGAGCAAAGCGAAGGGCAATGCTGCTGGGTCCGCTTCTCGCGCAGCCACTGATACTGATGACTCTCTGCACCCTCTCGGGTTCGAGATGGGCAGCTGCGATGCTCTGCATGCCTCCCATCGAAGACCCAACGCTGGCGAACAAGGTCCGAACCCCCAGGCTGTCCAAAAGGTGGAATTGCGCTCTTACCATGTCAAAGATGGACAGGATTGGGAAGCGAGTTCCGTAGCGGCCGCCTTCAGGATCTAGAGGGTGGACTGATGAGGGTCCGGTGGAGCCATAGCAGCCCCCGAGAACGTTTGTGCAGATGACAAAGAAGCGATCTGTGTCAAGTGCCTTGCCAGGGCCAATGAACTCTTCCCACCAACCTCGCGCAGTGTTGTCCGAATGCGACTTGGCATGCGATGAAGCCGAGAGGCCGGTGTGTATGAGAATGGCATTGTCTTTGCGTTCGTTGAGTTGACCCCAGGTCTCATAGGCGATATCGTACTCGGGCAAGATACCGCCATAATCGAGAGGAAGGGGCTCAGCGTGGTGGTACGTCTTGTAGCCAGAGGTAACAAAGGAGTAGCTTGGCTCTGGGCCTGCTGATGAAGACGTCGAGGTTGAGCTTGCAGCAGCAGCATCATCTAGTTCCGGTCCTTGCTGAGACAAGAGACGTTGCGTCCTGGCTTCGTTTGCATCCAGACATGGGAAAGCCGGGGTCTCTACCACTGCTCGGGGCTTGTGACGTCTAGAAGCGGAAGAAAAGGAGGCAGCCAATGGCGGCTGAGCGGCTCTCAGGAGGGTGCTGCTAGCACTCGTACCAACAGCCCGCCAGCTGGAGCGCATAGACGGTATGCGAAGACCTGCGGCGCTAGCTGATCCTGCCATTGCCGTCAGTGGCAAGAAGATGGTACAATGCACGGCCAGGCAGCAAGCTGGGGCGGAGGTACGGAAAGAGACCTTCGCTGCTCTTTCCGAAGATCACACCATCGCCTCGGCCATAAGGAACTCTTCGGAGCCGAGAGGGAGCGGGGTGGCCACGGCGGCCGCTTGCCACACACACTGACGCAACTTCAAGCAGAACTAAAACGGCCTTTGGTAGTCTCCACGGCTCTCCTCTTACTCCAAAAGACGTATCATTGTTAGCAAGAGATTGGATCAGACGGAGACTGAAGAGCGCGTGGCACCCCGGTCGAGTGTGTGCTAGGAATGGAGTAGTGGCTGCAGTATGCGTGCGAAAGTTCCCCGGCAATATAGACGTCCGTTCCTCCAATTCCCGACTGGAGATCAGGAATCGATACGTCGCCGTCCTTGCCGTCAGCCCTAGTGTCAGAGAGAGGTTATCAGTCTCGGTCTTTCGGAGCTACGTTGTCCGGCTGTCTGTTATGCTGCTCTCTGGACGAGTGTGGCTTAAACAAGGTAGAGTGGAGTCGGCGGGGAGGGCTGACAATCTATTCTCCGCGTCGCGTGGCTCAGTCCGTCACGTAGACGTTCTATGCAACACCAGGGCGCCGGCAGCAGCGACGTCGAGCCAAGTGGCCGTAATGCGATCAATCGAAGGACAACGTCAAGCCACCCTAATGCTGTCCCCGGCGCAGACAGCACCGCACGGCCAATGCTCACCGAGCTTCCATCGGGCCCGGGCCCGCAACTTCTGGCTCTGCTAAACATAATTTCGCTCCCACCTCTTGTTCTCTACCATCACCCCCTTCTCCTTCGTCTCGGTCCCCTTCGTCTCCCTCTACACTGTCCATCTTCGTTTCATCGTACCCTAGCCACAGACGGTTTGACATCGTCTTGTTCGCTAGCACTCCGCGCCCAGTCTTGTGCTCTGCGAGTTCCATCGGCACTTGAGATCTACCTCTCCTGCTAGTCAGGCGATCATCTCTGTTCTTCGTTCAAAGCTCAAGCTGGCCTTACCCCACCGTTTCGCATTCCGCCATTGAATCACCCATAGCTGATCTGAGCTCGATCATAGTCAAGCGACTAAGACACTGGTCCACTTTGCACCTGCGCTTTTTCTTTGTCTCTATACTACTCGACTCCTCTGGGTGCTTGATAGCTCTTCGCATACTCCTTCGTCGGACGGTGCTTTCTTACTTTCTCCTTTTTCTCTCTCAGCATTGCCATCAACAGAGGCTGGTCGTGAGTATAGAGCAGAGCCCGTGCTGCGCTTACTTCGATTCGTCTTGTATGTACTCACACACCTGTCTCCCTTTCGTTCTCGATCTACAGCTCTCAAATACTGTTCATAGGAACTAGTGCTCGTCCTCACTTCTCTGTTGCACTTCAAAACGCTCGCCCAGCATGACCAACATCAGCGTCAATTTCCTCCACCTCTTCTTCCTCCTGCTTTCTCTTGGCGCCATGGACCAGGCCAATCAAGGAGGGGGTCCCCTGAGAGGCGCTCGAGCAGCTCCCGTGCTGCCCTCTACCGTCTCCGCCTCGCCCTCCCGTCGAGGTTCAATCGTCGTCGATGGCGGTCCGGCTTCGGAGGCCGCTACTCCCGACAGGAGGGGTAGTCTGCTGGCGGGGCCTCGCGTGGCCTCCGTGTCGCAAGTCTCAGCTCGCCGTCTGAGCTCTGCATCTATCAGCTCAGATCGTCGGAGAGACTCCATCTCGGGCACCCCGGGCCGAAGAATGAGCTCCGTTTCCATCACCCCCGAAAGTCGGATGGGATCCATTTCGAATCCGTCCGGCCGACGCATGATCTCTCTTTCCGCCGCACCAGATCGCCGACGCAGTGCTCTAGCAGTGCCTGCGAGCGATCTCAGGAGAAAGTCGAGCTACGGACTCCTTTCCACCATTGCAAGAGACATTGGCGAGGATGACGACGACGACGATGAGGACGCGCTGAGCGACGATGACGATGATGATCCTGATTCCAGCGTTATTCACTTCCCGGTGATCAAGGGACGTAACGCGAGCGGGACTCAAGGCGTCTCCTTGGAGCTACGAGAGCTTGAGTCCAAATCCGGCGCCCATCCCCAGATGCTTCTGCAGCACCACCTCAACACAGCGAACGCTAAGCTCGCCAGAATGGCGGGTCTCGATCCATTCACCGAAGAGGACCGAGCAAATGCGCTGCAGCGACGGAGAGAGTCCATCATCGAAGATGTGCAGCGTCGGTCTTTACAGGAGCCACGGAGGGTGCACAGTGGTCGCTTTGGCTTCGCACCTTCCTTTGCGGCAGGCGCCGACTCGAAGAAAGACGAGGCCGCCGCTCGTCGTGCCCTTGACTTCGAGGAGCAAGACCCTTTAACCCCGAATGCTGTTCCCGTACGCAACCCATTCGAGGCCCGTGAAGGACAGAAGGTGGAAGAAGATGCAGCTGAAGCTGGCGACGAGTCGATCGTTGAGGTGGCCTCGGACTTTCCCCTCGTGGAGCGAGGGCCAAGTGAAGATGAAGACTCTCATGAGCTCGACCGTCGAGGGACCTACAATATCGCTAAGCTAGGGTTTCCAAAGGCGGCTTTGAAGGCTTCCGAGAGTGAGACTTTGATGACTGCCGAGGCAACATCCCACTCTGGTTCCCTGGGACTGGCGATTGAGGCCAACGACATCGGATACATTGCCAATGTCACCATTGGTGGAGCTGGAGCTTTCAGGGTGCTGATTGACTCTGGCTCTGCCGATACGTGGGTTCCCTCGACGGCATGCACCGATTGTGGCAGCCACAAGCAGTTGGGCTCCTCTACTTCATCGACGTACAAGTCGGGCAGCAAGAACTTCTCCATCACGTATGGAACAGGATCCTTGTCAGGTCATACAGCCACGGATACGCTCAAAATCGGAGGCTACTCTCTCCAGAATAAGACTTTGGGCGTGGCAACCAAAGAGTCAACCGACTTCTCGTCTTCGGAAACGCCCTTTGATGGTCTCATGGGTCTCGCCAATGCCCAGCTCGCCAGTACTGGTGCTCCAACGCCAATCGATTCGCTGTACTCCAAAGGTCTAGTCAGTCAACCAGTGATGGGTTACCATCTCGGCCGCTCTGCAGATGGCCGGAGTAACAACGATGGCGAGGTGACCTTTGGCGGAGTGAATAGCGACAAGTACACCGGTAGCTTGACTGTCTTCGACAACTACTCTACGCAGGGCTTCTGGGAGGCAAAATTCTCCCAGGTATCTTTTGGTGGCAAGGCGATCAGTCTGACCGGCTCTTACACTCGCTCTGCCATCTTGGACACAGGAACAACTTTGATCGTAGCACCGCAGGCAGACGCAGATGCCTTCCACGCTGCCATCCCCGGTTCCAAGTCCGATGGCTCCGGAGGCTACACGATTCCTTGTACGACCTCCAAGCAAGTGGCATTCACCATTGGCGGCAAGACATGGAAGATGGACCCTCGAGATATGCTCTTCCTACCGGTTGATTCGAACAATCTAACAGGAGAATGTGTCTCGGCCGTCAGTGCTGGCACGGTTGGGACGACGGGAGAGTGGCTGTTTGGTGCCGCGTTCCTGAAGAACGTCTACTTTGCCACCAATGCAAAGACAAATACGATTGCGTTGGGTAAGCTGGCCGAGACTTAGCAGGTGTAGCACGATAGCATAGCCGGTGATGGACGTTGATGTGCAGGTGTGGCTGGCTGTGCACGCTCTGTGCTTGTAGTCTAATCCTATATGCTCCCCTGCTCACCACCTGTCAAGCGCATCTTGCTGATCTTTCCGCTGCTGCATCGTCTCGCCTTCCCGCCTCCACATCCCGATCGATCGCCTGCTGACTGATTCACTGCCGACTGATTCGCTGCCATCCCGTCGCGTCGAAATCTTCCCAAGTGTCGGCTGCAATCCGCATCGTCGTACTGACCGAGAACCATATCTTCAATCTTACTGGATTCCCTTCATCCTCCTCATTTCCCAATCATCCGCTAGAATTGCTGGCCTCACGCTGCTACTGACAGCAGCTGTATGTCCATTCTCTCTTTCCGTTCTGTTCTCGCTTCTCGTCATCTCGTTCCCTTTGCCACTACCAAATCACTCTACCGATCCTTCGCTCCCTCTTCGGCGGCGTTCTTCTCGAGTAGCATGCCAGCAGTTACTCTCCCTCGTAGATCATCCGCCCGGCAGACCGCGACTGCAGCCTCGCCAGCTGCTTCTGCTGCCTCTGCTGTGTCAGGCGTAACTGGTCCTATGGCATCCACTTCCACCTCGCCTTTGGCTGCTGCCGCTGCTCCTCCACGCCCGTCTCGCAAGAAGTCTACCAGCACAATCACACACGCCGTATCCGACCATATTGCTGCCGATGCAGCCGCGGCATCTGCAGACGGCACCACTGCCCCACAGTCTAATGGAGTAGACGAAAACCAAGCCCCTTCTGCGCCCAAGGCCAAGAGAGCTCGCAAGTCCAAAGCAGCAGCGGCACCAGCTCCCGATGGGAACGGCACGGATGCAGCTGGTCCTCTGGGAGATGCTACCAATGACACTCCTGCTCCAGCCAAGCGTGGTGCGAAGCGCAAGGCAGCGTCAAAAGCGACGGCCGCCATCAAGGAGGTAGACCAGGACGATGCCGCTGACGCATCTGCCGACGTCACCGCCGAGTCCGTGGAGCAGGACGGCGAGCCGGAGCTAGACTCGGATGGGGAGCCTGTACGGAGGGCCAAGAATGGTCGAAAGCTGCCAAAGAAGAAGGCCAAGAAGCCAAAGGTGTACGTGATACCCGATGTGCCCAAGCGGGACTTTCGGCAAGAGTACAGACCCGACAGTACCGACGACTTCTCCTCTCAAGCTGCTAGAAGCCAAGGCTTCGTGGGCAGGATAGGCTATGCCTGTCTCAATACAGTCCTTCGCACTGCGGATCCTCCAGTCTTCTCCTCTCGTACAGCCCGTATCAAGTCAATTGACGAAAAGGGACTGGATTGGGTCAAAGAGCTCGCCTTGCAAAACTGCAGAGACATCATTCCCATGCTGCAATGGAATGCAGAACACAACATCCGCTTCATGCGTCTATCCAGCGAGATCTTTCCCTTTGCCTCGCACAAGGTCTATGGCTACGATCTCGACTTTGCAAAGGAAGAGTTGGCAGAGGCTGGGCGTGTAGCTCGAAGCCTAGGCCACAGGGTCACTGCACACCCCGGTCAATTTTGCCAGCTCGGCTCGCCCAACCCAGAGGTGGTGACGGCTTCTATTCGGGAGCTTGAAGTGCACTGCGCCGTCTTCGACTTGATGGGCATGGACCAAGACTCGGTCATGATTATCCATGGTGGCGGTGTCTACCAGGACAGGCCCGCCACACTGGAGCGCATGAGGGATACGATTCGCAACAAGCTCCCGCAGAATGTCAGAAACCGCCTCGTTCTAGAGAATGACGAGATCAGCTGGTCGGCTGAGCAGCTGCTGCCCATCTGCCACGAGTTTGATATCCCAATGGTGTTTGATTTCCATCACGATATGCTCAGGCCGAGTGTCAAGAGTCCGCGGGAGTTGATGCCAGAGTTGTTGGCGCTCTTCAAGAAGAGGAACATCAGGCCAAAGGTGAGCCGGCATCGACTAACCAGGTAGTTGTTTCATCCTGCTGACCGTCTTGCCTTTTCCCCCTCCTTCCGCTCGTACAGTTCCATCTCTCCCACCCCCGTCCCGGTTCCCGCAACCTGCGCGAGCGGCGAGCCCACTCGGATCGCTGTACCTCTCTTCCCCTCGACTTGCCTCCCAACGCCGACATCATGATCGAGGCCAAGGACAAGGAGCAAGCCGTTCTAGAGCTCTACCGCATCTACGACCTCTTTCCTGTCGAGCACTCCATCCTTCGCCCACCCGCCGACGATATCACCTCTGCCACTTCAGGACGACGCAAGACCCTCAATGGCTCTGGCGGTGCTCGCGATCAGGACACGCAGAGTGAGGGTGAAGACGATGGTGGTCAAGACGAGGATGGGAAAAAGGGCAAGTCTCCTCGCAAACCAACGGAGAAGCAGCTCGAAGCGGAAAAGGTCAAGAGGAGTATTGAGCATGCAAAGAAGATTGCAGCGAAGCGTGGGTTGACCTACAAGGGACCCGAGTGGATCGACCCGGGGAGCAATGCACGTCGCTTGGAGCAAGGGCCTATTCTCAGCACACAGGAGACGCTCGTGGTCATGGAGGAAGAGGCTAGGCAGATTAGAGAGGAGCTCAAGTTGAGACCGAGGGGAGAGCGCTCCGTTAGTGAGATCAGGGACGCCATCGAGGGAAAGATCCGACCGAATGGCGAGGTCAAGAGCGAGGCCGAAGGCGAGAGTGGCTCGCAGGAGAGTAGAGTGCCCAAGAGTGAGATTATGCAGGACATGTCGGAACACAAGGTTCCTGGCGAAGAGGAAAAGGTCGTCTACCAGCCTACGACGCCGAAGAAGGAGAATGGTGAGAATGGCAGTCACCCCGTGAGGGGCGGCGTGATGATCCCCACCAGTGCAGAAAATGTAGAGAGGGTGCTTTGATGCTCTTTACTGCGGACTACGTAGATGTATCAATACTACCATTGAGGTCAAGACCTGGTCATCATCGCTGTGTACAGGTGTGTTTCGCAAACGTCCGAAGGATGTTCCCAGCTCTTCTTGAAGTGCGCTCAGATCAGGGTACGCTTCAGCCCTGCAGCAAGTCACTGATGTCAATATCCATGCTGTCTTGCGGCAATTGGATGCCATAGTCCTTGGCCAGTACTCCGTCATTGTGGAACTTTGAGAGATGCCGCACTCCAGAATCGCACCTGGCGGGAGAAGGTGAGGTGGACATCAGCAGCCGTCAATCGTCCGACTTCCCCTCTCCTTTTACTCTCGTCTACTCACAAGATGGTAACGACGGTTGGTCTGCCCTCTTTGCCCAGCGCCTTCCACTGCTCCCTCATCTTAACAGCACTTCTCACCGCCGCTACAACATTCACCGCGCTACTGCTCCCCACAAAAAGTCCATCTCTAACGCTCAACCAACGACTCATCCTCACCGCCTCTTCGTCCTTGACACTAACAGCGTCGTCAACCATCTCAATCCCAAAGGAGAGGTTCTTGGTGACGCGGTTCATGCCGATGCCTTCGACGATGGTATCCACTTGGTGACGACGGCGGGTCCCTTCGGCTTCAGTGGAGGAGTAGAGGACGCCGTGTTTGACCTTGTTAAAGAGGCCGGAGCCTTGGGGATCTGCTAGCACGATGCGTATTGGTGGAGGGGTTGATTGGATTGTGTTGGGAGCTGGGCTGGCGTGGGTCCACGATGAAAGTTTTCGCCAAAGAGAGGACGTCACAGCGAATACTCCCGCAGCATCCTCTCTGTTCTTGCTCTTGCGGCGCAGTGCTGCTTCCCTATCCCTCAGAGCGGCAGCGACGCCGCTGAGAGTTCCTCCTGTGCCAGCACCGGCCACGAAGATGTCCAATTGAGGATAGTGAGTCTGGTCACCCACGCCCACCTCATCTAGACTTGCGGCGCCACATTGTGCCCATATCTCTGGTCCTGTCCCATTGTAGTGAGCCTTGAAGTTGGAAGACGTCTCAAATTGGTCGGCAAAGAAGCCTCTTGGCCGGCGTCGGAAGTCGCCTCCCGTCGACGATGCCCTTTGCTGGACGAAGAGGGCCGAGGCGTCATCATCGACCAGCTGCGTCTGGACCTCCTCATCTTCTGCGCCGCCAAAGGCAGCTGCAAGAGCTCTTGCCTCATTGACAAAGTGCCTCTTGTCAACGATACCTCTCGGCCTGACCTTTTTCACCTGAGCTCCTAGCTTTTCCAGCAACTGACTCTTTTCAGCTGCGACATCGTCTGGAAGGACAATGGAGCATCGGTAGCCCTTTGCGCGACAGAGGGTGGCGAGGGAGATGCCTGTGCTGCCGACGGTGCCTTCGAATACACAGTCACCCACGTGGGGAGAGATGAGGGAATCGGCTTCGGCATCGAGGAGGATCTGCAGGGCTACTCGATCCTTGGGCGAACCTGCGGGGTTGAGGAATTCGCATTTGCCCTGCGAGTGGGCGGGGAGGTAGGTGTCATGAGAGGCGTTGTGATGTGAGTCTGCAAATTCTCTGATATGATCTACTGTGCTACTCACCAGAATCTCGCAGCCAGTCAATTTGCTGAGGCTCTCAATTCTCATCAAGGGCGTGTTGCCAATGAGTCCTTGTACTCCCCTCACCACGCCTGGCCGGTGAATGGTGGCCTTGGAAGGAGCGCTAGGCCCAGCTTCTGACGTCTGATCGACATTGTCATGATCGTGGTCTTCTTTGGGCGTAGTAGTGCGCTTGTTTCTGGGGCGACGTGAAGCCGAAGTGTTGCGGGCTCCTCTACGCCGTTGTTTGGTGAGATAGATGCCGCTGGAGGCTGCGAGTGCGCCGAAGAGGAGGCCGGCGAGGAGGCGCGTAGGTCGTGTCACCTCTGACGATGAGGTCACTGACTGAGTTGACATGACTTTTGGGGGGAGCGAGCTGATACAATATCGCCGGAGCCGTAAAGGGGAAGCAAGTGATCTCGAGGTCGTCTATGGTCAGGAAGGAACGGCGTTGGCGCTGCCTTCCTCCCTACGGAAAGAAGCGACGGAAATGGGCGGCGGCGGACATTGGAAACCAGGGAAATGGTGGTGGCCTGAGCGTTGGGGGTTTCAACTGTAGTCTAATAGAAAGGCAACGAGTTCGTCGATTAGAAGTAAAAGGGCAAATGGCGAAACATTCCCTTTTGCTGTTGAGTCTGCCTTTGCTTTTGTCTTCGAGCTGAGCAATGCGATGTATTGCCGATGATTTGGGATGGACGCAAACACATTTGAATTGATGATTAGAACGGAGCAGACCAGCAAAGCTTCTGGCAAACGTGGGGCGTACAAGGGGAACTCAGGCACACGTCTCCGCAGGTAGACGCGTCGTGCAGGCAGACGGCCACGGACGAGCAATGCGATCCTCTACCCTTGCTTCCTCACCATCTCCTCCCTCCATGACGCCTTGACTGTCGCCCACCCTCTCCTCTTACCTCGCCATGGACACCCATGGTCCGCCCCCCACACCGCTCGCACCCAGCGGCCTCGTAGCACCCGCACCGCCCTCCTCGCCTGCCTGCGCCACTAGTGCCAGCATTCAAGTACCCCGTGTCGTCTATGCCATCGAGGTCACTCCCTATGACGCGGGCAAGACGCTCAAAGGGGGTGCAACGACTCCCAACGGCCAGCAACTCTTCCTAGTCATCGGTCAAATCGAAGTGTCTGCTGCCTTGCGTTTCGAAGAGGTGCTACAGCGCATCGAGGCTCTCACACGCCTCAACCTCGACGAATACGACGTAGTCTACAGAAAGCGTCTCTATGGTCATCCGTGGAACAGCAGCCTTCCTATAGAGTCTCAAAAGGCCCACGATGCATTCGTATCCGAGGCACTGCGAGTCAAGGCAGATGCTCCCATCATGGTACGACTGCTCAGGCGACATCACGGTCAACACGGCCAAGAACACTACCATGGCCCACAGACTCCCCAGCATACGCCACAGCAGCCGTCCAGTAGGTACACTCAACCTCAGCAGAGCAACAGCAGCAGGAAAAGCAACAGCGGCAACAACAGTAGCAAGAGTAGACAGACTCCTACTGCTGCTTCGCCCAAAGCCCCTTCGTCAGTAGAGCTCGTAATCTTGATCCGAGTCGTTCAAGGTAGAGAGATTCAGAGACTCAATTCACCTGGCTTCATCGGCCCTTTGGATCAGCGTCACCTACATTCCAGCCACTACCGGACCATGCGCCCCATCTTCGACACCACGACCGCAGCAGCCGCAGACAAAGTCACTCGATTCAGCATCAAAGCATCACACGCCTTTAGTGTCCTTCGAGAGCAGATGACGGCAGAGGTCAGAAGGCTACTCAATGACCGTCAGCTCAAGCTCAGCAATTTCCATATGACCTTCAGTCCCTCGGAAGGCTTCAACAACTTTCACAAGAGTATCGTCATCGATAGTCCCACCAAGTACCGCAGCTTTGTCGACGAGGTGCTCATGAAGAGCCGATGGGGTAGACCCTTGATCGAGGTGCAGCTCAGATGGAAAGGAGCGGAGTGGGTTACCTCACCCACATCCAATTCGAGGGAACATGTCAGCCGATCCGAGAGCCACAAGTGGGGAGTCTCTTCTGGTAGGGAGAGGCACAAGTCCAACACCGATTCCGTGGCTCGAGGAGAACGTTTTGGCTCAGTGTCGCCGATCGGAGCTCAAGATTCAGAACAGAGTCTGCGTTCCTTTCCCAGCACCCCACGACTTCCAACAGATCGCGAGGGCAACACGAATGCGCTCTCCAAGAGAGGCAGAGCAGAGGACGAAACCAGCGAGTGTCGAGGCTCAAGGTCCGAGAAGCGCCGCCGACGTTCTACCACTTCGCCCTTTGCGGCTCGAGAATCGTCCACTACTCGCTCTTCAGCTGCAGAGGAAGGCGAGCACTCCGAAGCGGGCAACATCGGTACCATCGGTACCGCAGACATCATCTTGCCCGACGGACCCTACATCTCCATCAGCGAGTTCATGCAAAACCATCGCCCCGGCTACGACGCGCTCGTGGAGAAGTTGCACAAGCAAGGCATCAGAGACATGCCCCACCTCGCCGCCTGCCAGACTACTGGCCTCCTCAAAGGACAGCAGAGGCGTAAAGACGAGGATGCACTGAGCCTCATTGATTGTGTCTGCATTGCCACGTGGTTGAGGCTTTGGAGAGAGATGGAGCCAAAGACGAAGAAGGAGGCTCAGGACTTTTGAAGGGTACGTGGGGTACGTAGGGCTTCAAGGGCCCAACAAGAATCAGTGACAGGAGAGTGAGGCGTCGCTCGCGACCTTCTTCAGAAGGCGGTATGCCCAGGAGTCGAGAGCTTTTGTGTCGAGATCCATTCTGCCAATTACATTGCCTTTGTCACCTTAACTCCTTGGTCAGAGACGCTTGGCGTGTTGACGCCCATCAGGGTCTAAACTGCACGCTCGACTGACCAGTCTGACGGACATGACGGACAGGCATCACAACTAGCCCTGCTCATGAAGTAAGTATATTGCGTAGCCCTCACCGAGTCCGGTCAAAAGGCCATCCGCCTCCCCCTTTTGGCTGCTGCTGCACCGGGCAGAGGCAACTGCAGGCTGAGAGAGGTGCTTCCCTGACCAACAAAACCACCCTGACCATTGCGGCCACCACCACCGCCACCACTGCCGCCTGGTCTACCGCCTCGAGGCGAGAAGCCCTGTCCAAAGTTGCCAAAGGGAGCAGCTCTTCCGCTACTGCTACTGCTGCCCCCGGTCCTGCCTGCAGCGCCACTGCCACTGCTGTTCCTCGCTCCGACAGGTGCGCGAGCTTGATCGCTGACTCTTGGTCTCTTTGTCTGCCCTGCTGCAGACGTAGTCGAAGGCGTGAAGCGCTTGCTGGGACGGGGTGGAGTGGTAACCTCGAAGACCTCGTCATCGTCGTCGATATCGATGTGACGGCGTTGGTCTGTCGTTCGGGGCTGACCGTTTCCATAGCTGAAGCGGTTCACGTCGATGCCGGAGGGTCGAGTATTAGCAAATTCCTTGCAGACTGTCACGAGAAGAGTGCATCCCGATGATCAGCACACCTCGCACAGCCTCGCACCGAGCTTTTGTCGTTTTCACTCACCGTCCAAAAACTTTCTGCCGAAACTCTCATACTTCTCGTCCCCGACACCATTGATGGCGAGAAATTGGGCTATACCGGTGGGCATGGTATCCGCAATCCGCTTGAGTGTGGCGTCATCGAAGATGGCTGTCTTGGAGCATCTGTTCGTATGTGCGAGCTGTTCAAAAATTGATCAAGGCGCAGACGGAGTGAGCGAGAAGCGGAACACTGGACGGCATTGCAGCTAGACTCACGTCATCCCTCAGTCGGGCCAGTTGCTCATAGCACGCCTTGGTGCTGCCGTTGCCGACACCATTAGCGGATGGGCGCGATGGTCGAGTCTCGGCGACTCGGTGGCCAGCCCTGCGTAGCATTGCTTGACCTAGATTGATCCCTGCGCCATTTGTTGCGACAGCGTTCTGGGGCCTCTTCTCTGGGCGAGCATGAGGACTCAAACCGACGTTCGAGATGTCAAATTCATCGACAACTCCATGATACTCTTCGAAATCGTCGAGGTTGAGAGGCGCTGCTCGAGTTGGGGCGACAGTCTTTCGTTGCCCCGTCTGCTGCCCAGGTCGATTTGAAGATGCTGCTGCATTGGTCGAAGCAGAGGGATTCTGAACTGATAACTCAATTTTCATGCCGCCGTCGACGAGAGAGTCTGCTTCAGGACCAAGCTGTAGGGAAGAGGGACGTCAGGTGTCTGGGAGTGTCAGAGGAGTTTGACGATGTCACAAAGGCTACCCACGCACTCACCTCCAGGTATGCATTGGCGAACCCAGCGGCATTGATCTCTGACCTCTCGTTGAAGACACCGCGAATGGTCAGCTCCTGAAACAGCCTCTCCACGTCTCCTCTGTTCATCGAGCAACCTGCGCCAGCCCTCTTGTGCATGTGATGGTTTTTGGTGCGGATTGCCTTTGACTGTGAGCCTCGGAAGACATCGACGTAATGGAGCAGCGTGCAACCGCCCTTTGCCCCTCCACGCACAGGCCCAGCAGGCCGACTGAGATCCTTCACCAGCTCCACTGCATGTCGGGCTTGCACTGTGAGATCCTGTAAGACGGCTTGCTGATGGTTGGCGGCGGAATAGCAGCAATTGTCGCAGGTGTGATGGCAGGACTCCGAGGGGAATACCTCGCCGAAGTATTGGAGGACCTGTGATCTCCTGCAGTCACTTTTGTTCATGCAGTACTGTACCACTCGTCGCAGGTTGCCGTGCTGTTGCTCCTTTTGATCCTCTGTGCCATCCCCATCGTCGATCATCCTCTTGATGGTGCCCGTGTCCTTGTAGCTAAAGTAAAGTATACATGAAGAGCTCTTGCCATCTCTCCCAGCTCGACCAGTCTCCTGATAATAGCCCTCGAGCGATTGAGGCAGAGTATGGTGGACGACGAACCTCACGTCGCCCTTGTCGATGCCCATGCCAAACGCAATAGTGGCTACGATGATCTTGAACTTCCCAGCCTGCCAGGCTTCTTGGATGGCTAGCCGGTCCGTCTTGCCCAGAGCGGCATGATAATGTTGAGCATCGAGACCATGTTCCCTAGAGAGCTTTTCAGCAACCTCCTCGCAAGCTCGCCTCGAGAGACAGTATACAATCCCGCACTGGCCCTTGTGCGACGCCTGGATGAATTTGGCGATGTCTGCAACGACGGTCTTGCCGCTCTTGTCTCTCACTTCGTAGCGCAGGTTGGGTCGGTTGAAGGATGACTCGAAGACTCTGCAGTCTTTAATCTTCAGAGAAGCGACGACATCTGTCTTCACCCGGAGATTGGCAGTGGCAGTCATTGCCATCATAGGTACATCAGGAAATTGCTCTCGCAGCTTGCCGAGGGCCGCATAGTCTGGTCTGAAGTCGTGTCCCCATTGGGACACGCAATGAGCCTCGTCAATGACGAAGCGGGCGAGCCGACCCTTGTTGTTGAGCGAGGTGAAAACGTCTTGAGCCTGCCGAGACCGACCGACAAATTCAGGTGTGACGTACACTAATCGAGTCGTGGGTTCTTTCGAAAAGAGTTCCGAAAGCGCAAATTCGCGATTCACGCCTTGCATGTCTCCGGTCAGCATGAGAGCTGGAATCGTCAGGTTCAGTAGATGACGCACTTGATCGTGGATTAGCGACAGTAGCGGGGAGACGACGACTGTCACGCCTTTGCTCGTACCAGAGTCGATGAGGGCCGGAAGCTGATAGCAGAGGGACTTGCCACCACCTGTTGGCATCAGACAGAAGACATCCTTGCCACCTAGAGTGGCATTGATCGCTTCGAGCTGATTGGTGCGAAATTCTTGGAGCATGAAAGTGCGTCGTAAGGCCTTGGCCACATCTTTAGACCATGGGTAATTCATCTGCTCTCGAACGCTGGTGACCCTTTTGACTGCTGTGACTGCAGCGCATGAGCTGCTCGAGACACCGGAGGAGGGATCTGTTGCGCCGGACTGTTGGCGAGCATCGTCGGGCATGACCGTAATTGCTCCTTCTGATATCCTTCCTGATCGATTGCCAGCGCTGTAGTTTGCGACCACTTGATGCTCATCGAGGCGAGAGCGGTGAATACGAGACCGTTGTCCCATGCGCTCTTGCAGATTCTTCTCTTCCTCCCTCAGCCCAGACTCTTCAATCTCTGCCATCAGGGCCTCCTCATCGTCAACGAACAGACCTTCCCAATCGTCTGCTTCATCCAGAGCATCGAGGATGGCGCTCCTGCTGGTACCTTGTTGGCTGGCACGGTTGTTGCTGTGCTTGTCGTCTGCTTGCAGTCGCTGCTGCGCTGAGCTGCTGATCTCGTGCAGCGTTCCAGTGTTGTGTGATCGAGGTCGCGAGGTACTGACGGACGCTTGCCTGGCGATGCGAGACAAAGACGGAGAGGATAGTATAGCGGGAGGCGGCGTGAGATTCTCTTCGTCACTGAATGCCGCGATAGAGGAGGTCGCTTTGAGAGGTGTCGCCTGATGCCTTGGTATGGAGGGCTGAACGCGTCGATGTCTTTCCTCCTGCGACTGAGAGGGACGGAGGGATTGACCAGACGAGGGGGCAGGTAGAGGCTGCTGTTGTTGCGCACTCTGCGAGTAGGTGGGCACTCCCCTCTCTGCTAGGATAGATCGCAATTCTGCTATCCGATTAGTCAGGAAGACCCTGATTGGGAAGATTACGGACGTCAAAGGCTTATAAGTGAGCTGACCGCTTCTTCACAATATCACCTTGCTTCCGGCATGCTGACAACTGACCTGGAAGCCTTGAGCCACTCTACATCGGTACCAGAAGGCGCCTTGCCGTCGTGATAATCGATCAACTGCTCATTGAGATCATTTTTGCGGCTCAGGTTGGTAGCGAGCATGGCGTTGAGCTCATCACTCGTTCGCTGACACGAGGATAGAGGTGACAGACAGTGAGTCAGCATTCGGGAGCGAGCAGTTTCCCCATTGCATGCTGCGTAAGCAGACCGCTGCCGCCCACTCACCGCATCTAGCTCGCCCGAAGAAGATGGGCGCGATCCAGAGGGCGTACCCACAGCACTGCCGCCGTTCTTCGGCCTCCTCTCTGAACCACTTTGGCGACTGCGTACGCTGCCCCCGCCGCTCGAGGGCGGCAAGGGGCAGGACGTGCGGTCCTTTGTCGATGGCAATGACCTCGATTCCAGGGGCGGTGTAGCTAGCGCCAGTATACGACTGTTTGATCTGGGTACTGTACCTTCTGCTGACGCCGTGTGCCTTTGCGAAGACGATGCCGAACGCCGCAAGCCTTGCTCATCGCCACTTCCTTCCATCATTGAGGGGCCAAGTGGACCTCGCCTCTCGAATGCTCTCCTCGCATCGTTCTCCTTGTCCTCACAGCCTTCTCCCTCACTGTCTTGACTGATGTCGGATTCGGAAGTGTCGACGAGGATGGGAGGCGGTCGCTGATGAGACGATGATCCGGCAGAGGGGGGAAGCGCTGGAGAGGCAAGGCGCGGTAGCATTACGTCGCGACGAGCAGTCCAACGTGGCCCTTGGACTTCAAGCGGACAGCATAGCGGCTGCGGCAAGGTCTCTTGAATCTGCGAGAACGAGTAAAGGTGTGTTAGGGCTATCGGGAGTGGAGACAAGAGGGTTTGCAGACGAAGTAACAGCAGCAAGGGTGGTAGTACTCAAGCCAAGCTACGGCTGCCGGCTTGGAATTCGTCCAGTCGCGTCAAAGTGAAGCGGAAAGGGGGCGGAGTTTCAACGCGACGTACGTACGCGGCGTCACCTCTTGGTCTTCTTCCCGTCGAAGAATGGCTCCCTTGCGGCTCTTGCATCCACCTTTCTTTGAATCCTACTCGTCGATCCTCTGAGAGAGACACGAAAATCCACATTCTCTTCATCGTACCTCAGCTGAGCAGGTCAAAGGTGCTGGCGGCTCGTCGATCCGAGTGCTCTGTCAGGCTTTCTGCCCGCCTTCCAAGCTGGGCTGCCTCCCTTGCCAGCGCTCCCAGCCTCAATGCTCGCCATGAGTCCTCCCCTCCCTCGGACTGGCCGCATATAAGAGCACTCCGCCACTGAGCCGTGCCAAGACAGGATAGGTCGGCATGGATCGGCCCGAAGGGGACCCATATTCAACAGATGACGAAGAGAGACGGTTCGAAAAGGCGGTGGGTCATTACATAGATCAAGCGCTGGCCAACGGGCACGAGGCTGGAGAGGACGACTCCGTCGCTGGACTGGACAAAGTTTGCGAAACACCACAAGAGCTCTACCAATACGGGCGAGGCGGCAACAGAGACCAAGAGTGTGATGACGACCTCTTCGGAGACGAGACGCAAGCTATAGACCATACCTCGGATTCTTCCAATGATGCAATGGATGATGGAAGCTGGCAGATGTCGCCTTCTCCATCTTCTGGATATCATTCTCCATCAATATCCGCGTCGACGAATACGCCTCGCGCTTCGACATCTGCACTGATGCTTCCGTCCGGCACGGGAACGCCAATGATCTATTCCACAATGAGAACACAGCCTCAAAATCCCAAGCCTACTCCCCCGTCGCACTTGCCAAGGCGCCTATCGGGCAACGACTACAGACGCCTCCGTATACAAAGGGAAGCAGAATACAAGGAGGCCCAGGAGAAGCTCAGGAGAGGCGAGATCACCTCTTCACAGATGCCAGCTCCCATCCGGCAACGCATGAGCAAAAGAAGGAAGGCCTTGCTCAAAGAGCAGAAGGAATTGGAAGGGGCTGTGTGGAAGGTCAGATCCGACTCTGAAGCTGTGTCGGCCTGCTCATCGCCAGCCACAGTCACCCGAGGGGGCAGTCTAGAGGGAGCGCAATCTGTCGGAGACAACGAGGACGAGGACGACGACGACGACGACGACGTGAGAGCTCTAGCGCTTTCTGCGTGGAACGGCTCTAGACGCACTAGCGCCGCTACCGAGGCCGCGCAGCCTTCGACAGGAGACGCAAGTCCAACTCGAGCATGTTCGTCCCTTCCTCTGCCACTATTTCCTAGTCCCGCTGCTGCAGCGGCTAGCCCATCTGTCACCTCTGCGCCCCGGACTCTGCTCAATATAGTTCTCAAGCCTGGGCCAGAGCAGGAGTGGACCGCGGCTGCCGCTGCCATGCATCCACTGCCGTTATCGCCTTGCAGGACACCCGCGTCAGCTCCATTCATGGGCAGTGACAATACCCTCGGCAGAAGCAGAGAGCACTCGGCGATGGCTGTCAGCGCACACCCGCAGAGTAGCGTCTCTAATTCCCGTCGAGACTTTGCCTCTGGGAGCGGAAATCGGCGCATCACCGCACAACATCATAGACAAGAAACAGGTCACCAGCAGAGTCGTAGGGAGCACAACACGGCGGCTATTTCTGCCTCTCTTCCCACGACGAAAGCGCCCTGTTCTTTGTCAGACAGTATACCCAAAGCTTCGTCATTGTCTCCCTCACCGTATACCGCGCCCTTGCGCCGTGCGCTACATTCATCACGCCAGCGGATTGCTGCACAAGTCCAGACCTATCAGACAGCCGTGAACAGGCTTAAGCTGGAAGCTGACGTTCTCAGAAATGCTAGCAGAGTCGTAGACTCGAGAATCTTGGATCTGGAGAGAAGGAAAAGGAAGAGGATCATGGCGGGAGAGGAGGCGAGAAGGAGCATGCGAGATGGAAGCGATCGATAGCGGAAAGTGTCCCACAATGTCACCTTTGCACAACTTATACCCCTGCACTACTCACTGCCGCCGAGGACCGCGTTTGTCTACTGCAGCATCCCATCGTGTTGATGTCGGTGAAGCACTCCGGGTCTCGTCGCTCAGTGCCCCGGGCACACAAGCAGAGCTGAGGTAGACACCGTATATTGCCGCTGTGCCTGGGCCCTGTGCAGTGCCGCACTGGCTTGCCGGAATGGCGAAAGGTCAATGTCAATCCGAGCCATTTTCTCTCCTGCGCTATGCACCCGCTTCTGGTGAAACAGATGACTCGGGGCAGAGCGAGCGAAGAGGTATAAAAGGAAGCCAGACCTAGCTTGCTTCCCTCCTCTCTGCAGCAATCGCCTGATCTTCCGCGTCCTCTCGAAGCGACACCGACCACCGGTATTTACCAACTATCATCATCCATCAGCTACAGTTACCTACCAACTACCACAATCTACCAACTACCACAATCTACCAACTACCACCATCTACCAACTATCTCACCCATTACCACAATTACCCACTACCGTCATCGATTACAATGACTACCTACTATCATTGTCGACTACCGTGATTGCCGACTACTATTACTACCGACATCAGACAGTGTTACAATGACATTGCTCCGAAATCCCACATGGGCAAGGGCTTTGCGGACCAGGGCATGTAGCTCTCGTGAGTACCTGTTCGACGGTTAGAGCCACTCTTTCTTGACTGATGGCCTACAGAGGGAGCTTTGGGGCCCATTGCTCCCATCCGACGCCACTGTGGAGAGTCTAGCAAGCTCATCACAGCGGACAATGGCATGGCTGAAGCGGTAGTGCACTGAGTAGTCTCACCTACGACGAAAAGCGAGGGTCCGCCCCAGCCTCGAGAGGCTTCTTGACCCCGGCCACCTCTGTAGTCCATCACGGGGCCGGTGCGGATGATGACACTTGCTCGGTTCTCGATCATAGAGGCCACCTTGCGGTACCTGGACGCGGGTATAGGAGAGGCGTACAATGGCGCTGCTGGGTTGATGTCTCTCACCTGGACCCTGACCTGCGTCTGTCTCGTCCGGGTTTTTTATATGGGGGAGGGGCCCGACGAGCCAGATGTAGCACGAGGCTAGCGTGCTAGTTCATAGGGACTCGCTTGCCCGGCATGACCACATTCGGACGCCGGGATAATGGGGCGTTACCTACGTCTGCTCGGCCGTGTCGTTGTGCATCTCTCCACGCCAAGGACCAGATGCCAATGAACCAACTGGCGAGCGCTGACGCACCGGCCCCATGGGAGGAATATTGCATCGAGTCGATCACACTTGGTGTCTGTACTGTCACATTCGCGCTTTGCCTTTTCTACTTTTCACAGGCACAGTGTATAAGCACCACTTAAAACATCGGTGCTCCGCAACGGCCACACCTAGGACCAGATAGCAAGCAGCCCTTCCCGGTCAAAAGTATCGAGAGTTGATGGGCCGTTGAGGGGTACGGTACTTTCTCCATCCTGTAAGCGCATGTGCGAGCCCTCGTAGCTTTTATCAATGTTGTTCTTCCACGGAGCCGCTCCTTCGAGTCTGCTCAGCTATGTACTTCCTCGATGCCTCATCTTGTAACGGGAGTGCCTGTACCAGCAGAAGCTCCTCCGTTGACATGTAGCTGGTGATGCTTTGCAATCTCCCAGATGGCGCGGCCCGTGTCAGGGCCACATTTTGGTGCCGTTGCGCGTCGCAACAATATGCACAGCGGCACATTTCGTTGGCCCCGATGGCACACTGGCGTGAGACGGGGCTCTTGCTTCCTTCGTCATTCTGTCCATCTGCCTCTCTGTATCCTTTCAAGCCCCTAGTTTCCTCGTCTCACTATCTGTTCGGAGGGACACCGAAGAGGAAGCACGACGAGAGGCAGGCGACGACTCTTTGACCCATGTAGGAGGACATGCCGCTCAGGCTCCACGAGGAGTGGAAGAGCTTCACAGGGGTGTGAGCGAGGGCGGAGGGCGGCGAGAGAGAGAACAATTCCTTCGTGAGTAAACAGCTTCTCGCGCCTCGACTTCGTCTGTAGACTGAGGAGACGCAAGGTGCTCGCAGACCAGCGAGTGTCTCGATGCCCCGACCCTCAGGCAGGAAGAAGAGGCTCGAACTCCGCTTCCACTCCCTGAGGAAAGCGTACCGGGAGCAGTGTGCTTGGAGAGCGTCGCGCCAAAGGCAAGGCTTCTCGGGCATCGAAGGGACTCCAGGCTTCCCCTTGCTGGGTAATCAACAGTGATCGGTGCGAATGATGTCGATAATTTTAATTAGACGCTGAAAAGGGCTGCAGCCTTGCACTCTGCGCAGGCTCAGCCCCTAGAGAGGACCAATCCATATTTCTGACGCATCGACCAGTGCACATTCAGCATATTTATTCAAAAGAGGAGACAAAGACTGGACGCTGACTCCTCTGTAGCTCTTCACCCACAGGAACGATACCCATGCAACCATGATACCCGATCGATCACAAAGTATTGTCAGAAGTCGAACGTGGAGCGCAGATTGGAAATGGCCAGCATGAGCATGTCTTTAGACGTCTACACTAGTGAAGGCGGTGACCACTCGTGCTGCACATCTGCCATCTATAATATACATTGAGATCAAAGCTTGTCCCAGAAGCTTGTTCAGGTGGTGTGACATCTGTGTTCACTTCTCAAAGCACCGCTCCCACTTCACCCTCTCCATCCTGCCCTCGTAGCTCTTGAGGAACGCGTCCATGGAGCAGACTCCATCTTTACGCTTCTCGGACGCGCAGGCGCTCAGTGAGTCGAGCGGAAGAAGAGCGTCGTTGAGCTTCATCCTGATGAATCGGCCTTCGGTGACGTTGTTGGACGTAACAGCGGGAAAGCGGCTCGAAGCCTGGCACTGCAGCTTCTCCACAATGAGGCGAGCTCCGAATGGTACGAGCTGCGAGGTCCGATACATCCTTTGAGGATCAGGTCGATGGACGGGGAGCTCCCTTGCAAACGCCGGCAGATCGAGCGCTGCGAGGACGTTGGCGATGACGCTATCGTGAGTAAAGTCGACGTAGAATCGTCGGTCCACTGGGAATGTCCGTGGGTGGGCGTCAAACGTCGAATTCTCGCTGGTCTGGAGACGAGGATCCCAGGCTTGGCCCTCAAGTCGAGCAAGCATCTCATTTAGCCAGCCTACACCCTGCGCCGGTCCCACGCTTGAGCCTGAGCCATAGCCTCCGTAGAACTCGAGATCCCACGCGTACTCGTACCCAAGCCACTCCTCCTTGGTGAAGAGAGAGCAGAGAGCGGTCGAATCGAAGCCGGCTACCGTGTCGTAGCTACACACCTGCTGTAACGCGTTGATGAGCTTGGGCGTCTAGAAGGGAAACGAAACCAGAGGGATGACATCAGAATGGCGTCGCAACGACAGGAATCTGTTGCGGTACTAGTGCCAGCTGTACTCACTAGAGTCACACCCTTGACGTATGGCTGCAGCCTTTCGACAGCAGCCTTTGCATAATCGTTGATCCACTCCTCCTTCCAGGCATTTCCGACTTCCCAACCCGCCTTGCCTGCATTCGGACAGGCAAAGTTGGGAGCCAGTGTAGTATTAAATCCATCGGCTTCGATTTGAATCTCGAGAGTCGACGAATTCTCCCAGGTCCCTCCCACGCCAAGGGCTCCTGCCAACCAATTTCTGGCGCTCTCGACGATGCGGTGCTGAGAGCCAGCTCGAGCGAAGAGGGTGCCGAAAGTGGCAATGTCTTCGTAGATGAGGTTGCCGTAGGAGATGATCGCAGAGACTCCCTCGTCGTACAGTTGCTGACGGCCGACGGGAACAAGTAGCTCCTTGCCAAGGCGGTATCGGTACGCGTTGAGGAAGGAGAGCGGGCCAGAGAAGACGGGTCGGGGAGATTGACCGAGTAGATCGCGGATGAGATTGGCGGGCGAGCCCGAGGTAGGGTAGCGGCTGCCATGCTACGGAGGAAGCGAGTGCAAAGGAAGACTTTGGATCAGCATTAAATTCTACCACGGGGAATTTGCCTTCAGATCTAGTCATACTCACTCTGCTAAGATAGTGGACCTGCTCGATGATACAACCATCAGGCATCCGCCCATATTTGCCATCGTCGATTCCGAACCCACTCGAGGCTGCATAGGGAGTAAGGGGACCCATGTGAAGGCTGGGAACGGTGTCAAGATAGGTGAGAAACAAAGACGATCAGCTTCTTCCGAACGACGACGTGACGTTCTTGCTCGTTCTCACTCACAATGGCTCAAAATTACCGTACTGCGACTGCGCGTCAGGCAGGGCAATCTCCAAGGGCAAAGGGTTCCATGGCTTCTTCACTGCCCCGCTCTGACTGACAGTATCTTCCTGTGCCAGCTGTGAGGGTGGTCCCTTCTGGGTGGGTCCAGGGTAGCCAACATCGCTTGGGAAATCATAGGGCATCTTTCCTCCCTTCCAGAAGTTGCCGCTCCATCGCCATTCTGGCAAGTGGTGTCCCGTTCCCTCGCCAGTGGGCCCGACTGCGAGGTAGAATACCAATGTAAGAGCTAAGAGGGCTGAGGCCGCTAGCGCCAGCTTCCGCACGAGCGACTGCATCTTGACCCAATTGATGAGTCTCAACAACCAGGGTGGTCTACCAGCGCTGTTCACTGGGTCTTGCTCCTCTGCCTTTGCCATCTGCTTGGCCAGGGCCCTCTGCCTGCGCTTCTCAAGGAGCTCGTCCGTCTGATCCTCGAGATCCATACCGTCCAGCGAGTCTGCCTCATCGTCGTCGTCGTCGGTCGCGCCGGTGGCCTGGCTGGGCCGGTAGGCGTAAGGAGTGTTTGAAGTGGCTGGGGAGGAGCTATGCGGTTCAGGAGGTGCTCGCTTCAGCGGTTGTGGGCCGGTCTGGAGGCGCTCGAGGATCAAGGCCTGCGATTCTGCCGCCTCATCATCGTCGCGCGAGTAGTGCGAAGGCATCTCGAGGGAAGGAGGAGATGGTAAGCGAGCGACAGGCTGCAAAGCGATGATCGGCGGACGATCGTCTGGATGGTGGACGGTGGATGGGCGACGATGAGAGTAGCGAGTCTGGAGTTGTTGCTTTCGCCGGCGAGTAAGAAACGTGCAACAAGGGGCCAACGGGGTGTGGGTGGTGCTTTGAAACTCCGCCCGACCGGCTTGTGGCCGCTGAAGCCACTCCACTTCACACGCCCGGTTAGAAGAAGGTCGGTGACAAGATCCGCTGTTGTCTCCCTTCTTACGTCTCTCGCCGTGTCATCTTGTCCCCACCTCACCATACAAGAGTGTTTGTCGACTCAGCTATATATCATTTCAGTGAAATCTCCATCCTTCCGGCGATCGATCTTCCACCATGGCACACAATTCCCTCTCCATGCCTTCCGTGCCCTACTCCCGGCCTCAGACGCCTCACCCACAGCATCAGGTCGGCTTCGTCGGACTGGGAGCCATGGGAAAGCATATGGCGCTGAATCTCGCTCAGAGTTTGGCAACGCAAAACATGCCCTTGCCGCCTCTCATGGTGTACAATCGTACCGCTTCAAAGGCGCAAGAGCTCGCGGATTCCTCAGATGGCCTGATCAAGGTCTGCGAGGACCTCGCACAGCTGGGACAGTGTTGCGACCTCATCTTCACCAGTCTGGCAAATGATGCGGCTGCAGAGTCAGTCTATGCTCAGCTTCTGCAGGGAGAAGAGAAGCGCAACGGTACAAAGGAGGACAGACATTCGACTTTCAGAGTCGTATACGTTGACACAAGCACTCTCTACCCCGAGACCTCTGGTGAGTGAACAGGCACAAAAGACTGGACAGCGGCCTAGCAAGAGTGGTGGTACAGTCTGCTCACCTGACTTATACCCCTCCTCGTTTCCCTTCGGCTCTCTCTCTCTTTCTCTCTCTCCTTTTTTTGCTCCCTTCTCGTCTCTTGACGCATGCAGGCAAAATCGAGCGGATGGTGTCCTCGGTCCCTGGGCGTGCCTACGTTCAAGCGCCAGCCTTTGGACCACCACCAATGGCCAAGGAGGGGCAGCTGGTCTTTGCATTGGCCGGTCCGCACCAATCCAAGAAGTTTGTCGCCCAGTTCCTGGTCCCTGGCATGGGCCGCAAGATCATGGACTTTGGTTCAAATTGTGAAACAGCATCGTCGTTCAAGCTCATCGGCAACTCGCTCATTCTCAGCACCATCGAGATGCTGTCGGAGTGCATGACCTTGGCAGAGAAGACGGGCTGTGGTGCAGAACGATTCTCTGAATTTGTCACCGAGTTCTTCCCTGCGCCATCCGCAATCGGTTATACCAAGAAGATTCTCGAGCAAAAGTTCCTGTCCGACGAGGGCTTCTCTCTCAATGGCGGGATCAAAGATGCTTCGCACATACAGCGCCTGGGCGCCAGTGTGGACTGCCCCATGCCCATCGTAGACATTGCCATGTCCCACCTGATCTCTGCCAGAGCCAACTCGAATGGCAGGGATCTGGACTGGAGCTCCCTTGTGGCCGGTCAAAGGATTGCTGCAGGATTGCCGCCCTTCTCGAACAAGGTGGGGCTGGAGAAGTGGGGAAGCGCAAAGGGAGGAGCAAGCGCGGGCTCGTCGAAGAGTGGAGAAGAGCATAAGCAATGAGTGAGACACCAGCCGGCAAATATGCTGTACGCCTGACTCGCAAGGACGACATAGTGATGGTCTCGTCTTCTGCTCAGCAGTCGGATTCGTCTTGTTTTCCAATGACCATCGACATTATTCGGATCGCTTAACCTTGTGTATTCGTGATGCCTTACCCCACCCCTGCCTGTACGCCGGCCACTCAGCGGGCCTGTTTCTCCACACGCCCGGCCCATCTTCCCGCCGCGACGCTCTTTCCGTCAAAGCACAGACTTGATCCAGGAGCACTCCAACTAACACGATCACCAAAACGTCGCCTCATCGAGACCAGTGAATGCCGTGGTTCCATCAACGTGGCTGTCTTGGACGTGGCAGTGAAGCTTCTTCTACGGACGAGCCACCGTACGTGCCCTGACAGCGTCATGGACCTTACGTGAGTCCCTTGAGCTCGTCTGAGCTGATTGCAGATCTTGACTTGTGCCAGGGTCTAAGCAGCCGTATTTCTGTTGCGAATCCTTCCCTTTGTAGGTGCCCAGAATCGCCGTCAGTACTGGCATCCGCTTCGTCTCCCACGTCGGACGATCTGGAGAAGCTCAAAGCGGCGCATGCAGACACCCTGCGTCGAGCTGAAGAAGAAAGCAGGCAATCGCACATCTATCTCCAGGCGCTCTTTGCCGAGCGCAAGGCGCTCGCAGCACAGAATCTGGATCTACAGAAGCAGCTTGACGCTTCGCAGAAGGGCTTGGAGTCCGAAGTGGAAGGCCGCAAATTAGACGTAGCCAGTCTAAGAGCCGAGGCTGACCAATGGCGTGCTGCTCATAAGGCCCTTCAGCAAGAGACCACTTCGCTTCGGGCCGCATACGACAGAGACAAGGAGCGATGGAACAGATTCAAACATTGGTGGGATGATAAGATTCAAGAACGCCGGTCCACATCTGGTAAAAAGAGCAAGCTCAGTGGAGAGGAACGAGCCATGTTACAAGGTCTCGACCTGACAGACTCACCTGCGAAAGCAGCCGCTATATCCAGCGAGGCCGCAGCCATTCCTTCGCCTGTGGCTATCCCGTCAAAGCTTGCCCCCTCACCTGCGCAAGAGACTTACACTCTGGCCTCGGGGGAGCCGAAAAATCGACCAGACCATCTCAACTCTGCCGCGCTGCTGCCTCTACCGACAGCGCGTACCTCCACCCGCCGCCTTCGTACCGACGCCGCAGAGGCGAGCGAGCGCGTCCAGGATTGGCTACAGATGGTTGATGCTCGCAGCACGATGCTGGACAACGTGCGAAGGCGCGAAGGGGCGGCGAGAGAAAGTCAATCTTTGAGTGCCGCGATGGTCCCTTACGAGCCTTCAACCGGGGAAGGAGGCGAACCAACGCGGTCGGCAGGTGGGCATTCCCAGCGCAAGCGGAGACGTATCACCCTTCCGGGCAGCCTGGACGAAGCAGTAGTATGCCGAAGTCCATTCGGCCCATCAACGTCGTCCGACACGCTACTCCAGCGCGGAGAAAAAGCACGGTCGGCCACACCTCCAGAGCGGTGCCCAAGCGGTCTCGAAGTCCAGCCCACCATCAAGGTCGAGTCAGATGACGATGCACAAAGACTGGTAGCCAGAGCGAGACTCGCTACAGCTCACGACGAGCACCGCTCTGAGATGGAGAGTCGGGAAGATGCTATCCAGCGACGCCGCAAGAAGGACATGGAAGACCTGCGTAAGAATCCTTGGAAGTACCGCGGGCATGGCAGATACGCCGATGAGTTGAGAAGGTGAGTGGGCATGGAAGACTGCTGCCCTGAACACGAAGCTGTTGCTTACCCCTTCGACTCCTTGTGAATGTGCCTGCAAGGAAGAATGCCCTGACCACAGACTACGAGCTCATACCGGAACTCAATGGCGGAGCCACGTACGAGCATGTGGACGTGATTCGTGATCGAAGGATCAGAAGACAGATGCATGCACACGGATGCCCCTGTTGCAAGGATGTGAGTACGGGGCGGTAGCGAGACGGCTTTGCTGAGCTGATCGAAACGATGTGCGTTGAGCACTGCTCCTGCACAGTATTGGGACTTGGTGGGACCGTCCGTTAGTAGTCCAGTCGCGGGAGGCATCACAATTGCCCGCAAAGCTGTTGTTTCAACGTCAACCGCTGCCAGTCCAATCTCAGATGCCCATCCGGCCCCTCGCGACAGCGGATATAGCCGTGTGCATATCTCTAAGGCGGACGCTGGCTTTCAGGAGCGCCAGTCCGAACGGGCTCGCTTGATTGCCCTCGACGAGGAAGAAAGAGAGCAAGCACGTCTGGCAGATGAGAGACGTCAGCGAGCCGGCAAGCACCGAGCTTGGGGTCAGCCGCCTCCTACTCCCGAGGGATATTGGTGAGTGTGATCGCATGAGAGGCCTCTAAGTCTCGTGATTTTGTTCTGATTGCATTTTTCTTTTCTGCGACTCCAAGGGACATCGGGTTTCCTGACACGCCACGAAAGAAGGCTATCAATGACAGTGCCAAGAAACAGGCGGCAGAGAAGGAGTGGCAAGTGCAGCGGTGAGTTGGGCTAGACAGAGCGCTCATGCTGGCCCCTATGCTGACGCCGCTGCGTCATTCCACCGTGCACGTATGCACGCTCTGACAGGGACAAGCGATACCGCAAACGCAGACCAGATGAAGGGGCGTAACAGCCGTAGGGGACACTTGTCATCTGGACTGGACGCCAACGGCTCAGTGAAGATCTTGTAGCAGCCTATTACTATATAGAAATCGAGCTCGAGGCGTAGTCGTGGGCAGAAATTTCTGTGATCTTGATACTCGGAGTTTAAAGGTGTGGCGCTCGCCCCTAATGACGCTTATCCGTGCGTGTGTGCATCTGGACTTGCACTTCTACTCGACCTTCTCAAAGAGACCATCATTGCGAGTCTACAAGGACTGCAAATACTCCCTCCTGCTGCAGCTCCGACCCCTGACAATCTCGTCCCTCCACTTCGCATACTCGCAGCGATAGATCGACCCTCTTTTGTAGCAGAACGTCCACCTCTGCCTGATCTGTGCTACCCTCCGGCTCGTACCAATACTGCGTCTATCTTCCTCGGCGCCCTCTGCTTCCTCACGCGTCTCCATGGCCTCTGCCTCTACCTCTACATCTGCAGGGACGGGCTTGGTACTGCCTTCCAGACCCAAACAGCCCTACCTCAGCGTCGTCTGCCCGTATCCGCAATGTGGGACCCAGCTGGAGTACCTTCCGCCCACTGCTTCCCAAGTCTCGAATCTCCCCTCGACCGAGAAGACGTTCAAGGTCACCTGCTTCTCGTGCAAGGGAAGATTCGAACCGCCGAACTCTGCTAGGCTGCTGAGAGAGGCCAGAGGTAGCACAGCAGCCGATGAGAAGAGAGCAGCAGCACCGAAGAGGCGGATCGGGACGGATCAGAGGCCTCTTGATCTCGAGTAGTAAGTAGCAGACACCGACGGAATGTCTTTATAACATACCTGCACGCCTGTACCTATACTCACAGGGAACGACCCGTCGCCATCGCTTTTGTCACACAGCTACGACATCCTCAATCTACCCCCGACATGTTCGCAGGACGACATCAAGAAAGCCTATCGCAAGCTCGCTATCAAGCTCCACCCCGACAAGAACCCCAATAATCCAGAAGTGGAGGAAGCTTTCAAGAAACTAGCCACTGCTTATCAGGTGCTCAGTGACCCCGAATTGCGACACAAGTACAATGAATTCGGAGCTAGCACGCCTGGACTCGTACCGGAGGATGGGTTTGTGGATCCGGAAGAGGTTTTCGGAAGTCTCTTTGGCGGTGGAAGGTTCAAGGACATCGTGAGTGGCAGCGTAGAGCATGACGAAGGCTCTGGTCGATGTCTTTGATCCCAACGTTCTGGCTGACTCCCTTCGTTCCCTTCTTTGCTCCTTTAGATCGGCACGATCTCCATTGGCAAGGACATGAAGGAGGCGCTACAACAGGACTCTGAGGAGCTCGAGAGACAAGCAGAAGCAGAGAGCAATGCCAGTGGGGAAGCCAATGGAGATGGCACGAGCTCGAGCTCAGGCAATGCTACTGCCGCAAAGACTCCTGGCCTGTCCCCTGAAGCAAAGGCAGCAAAGGAGGAGAAAGAGCGGGAGAGGACAGAAGAGCGGGCGAAGCAGAGGGAGGAAAGGGTGGTGAAGCTCGCAGAGCACCTGATCAGGCGGCTGTCTGTGTACACCGAAAGCGTCAGAGGTATTGGCAGTGGCGAAGAAGCTCTGAAAGAGGAGGTGAAAAGGAGTTTCAGGGAAATCACGAGGCTCGAGGCCGAAGAGCTCAAGGGCGAGAGGTGAGTACAGGGTTCAGGCGAAACGAGGTACATTCGCCGCTGATGCAAGCGATCCCAATCGCCATCCCTTTCAGCTACGGCGTCGAGCTTCTCCACGTGGTCGGCTTCATCTACCTCTCCAAGTCGAAGCACTACTTGGCTTCGTCCTACGTATGGGGATTGGGCGGCATGTATCACTCGCTTACCTCCTCGGCCCACATTGTCTCCTCGACTGTCTCGACGGTCAGGGCCGCTCTCGAGCTAAAGAATGTCTTCGAAGAGCTGAAAAAGGCAGAGGATGGAGGCATCACGGAAGATCGTCGGAAAGAGTTAGAGGAGAAAGCTGCTACCAAGGGGTAAGTGAAAGCCTCAGCCACGAAGCGCCAGGAATGGGATGAGACGAGGCGAGATGAGACAAAGCGTAATTCTGACTCAACCATCCTTGCTCTGCACAGTATGCAAGCGCTCTTCAAGGGCGCCTCTCTTGAGGTCGAGTCCATCTTGAGAGAAGTCTGCGACCGGGTTCTCTACCCCTCACCGTCGACTGATGGGCAGGGAGAGGGAAGCATTTCCAAGGAGACGCAAAAGCTCAGAGCAGTCGCCTTAGGCATCGTTGGGAGTGTTTACACTGAGGTCAAAGCAGCACCCGGCGGCATTGGTGGCGAAGAAGAGTACGTCAAGATTGATGCGAAAGGTAGATAGGACATGTAGCAAGAGAATGAGCGAGGCATGGCTACATTGAAACCTCTGCTCAGTGGCTGAGAACTTTCAGATTCGAGACCTCTCGGCCAAACCTGTCTTCTCTACCGAAGCTATCAACCTAAGACTTCGAAGCGAACGTTCCACTCGATGGCGGCTTCGGCTTGCGACGCCTCTGCCCTACATGTGCCTGCCTGCCTGCCCATTCGCCCTGAGCAATCGGCTCAGTGGTGAGACATAGAAATAATACCGCAGGTCGACCATGGCACCATCGAAGCATCACGGGAAATCTGTTCGCAAGCGCAGCATGAGGGAGATCGGCAAGTCTGCGTGATCGAAGTTTGCGAGAGTAGGGGCCTTGACCCCGCACAAGCTCTTAATAGCAACGTGATACTCTCACTATGACGCGCTCTGCAGCTCTAGTTGCTTGAGGTACTTATCCGATTGAGCTTGCACCTTCTTTACGTCATCTCCCCCACTTCCCATCATTCTCTGTAGAAGGTTGCCCGGTCTGCTGTAGAGAAGAGAAGACATGCCCCATGCAAAGACCCTGACTGCGTAGATGGTCCACTCTGACATGGGACAGAAAAGCGCTGTCTGACCAGGGAACATGTACTGCACTTTTTCGGCATAGGGGCGATAGACTCGCTCGTACTCCTTGAGGGCGAATGGAAGATCGGTATGATGGCTCACCAGCTGTTCTGCCAGAACGCGAGAGGCAGTGATGGCATTCACCGCCCCCATTCCCGTCGCAGGAGACGGACAGCTAGCAGCGTCTCCCAGCAGCACTACGTTCGAGCTTTCGTTGCTCCACTTGCGCATCTTGACCTGCGCAAGCCTTGACAAATAGAAGTCATCGGTTTCCATCATCGCCTTGCGTAATCTGGGCCACTCCCATATGTCCTCGCTGAAGATTCTGCACACCAATGCCTTTTGAGCTTCGATGCCCGCTTTGAAGGCCGAGTCTAGCTCCTCTCTCAGCGCCTGATCATCGACTGGCTTCATGATGAATGCGCTTCGTGTCTTCCCTTTTCCGTCCGGCTCCAAGAGGACACTCTTGCCACCCTTTGCACCGAACAGACGGGCCCATCTCCCGTCCAACTCTTCAGAATGAGGCATCGAGAAATACGCACAGTACATCCCGAGCGGTTTGATCGGATCGTACTCGGTCGAGGGAGGAAATGCGATCGACCTGGTCTTGGACGTGAGTCCGTCGGCGGCGACGACCAGATCGTAGACCTCTTTCGTGCCCGACTTGAGAGTCACTTCGACCTGTCCACCTTTCTGATCCGTGCAAGCTACGACGTAGTCTCCAAAGCGGTAGTCGACCGTGTCCAGGTTTCGTGTCTCATCGTAGAACACTTGTGCGAGGAGGCCTCGCGGGACCTCTATCTCTTCCGTATCTACCGCATCGCCCTTATCTTTCCGGGCGTCTCCCACGTCTGGAGTCTTGGCAAGCTCGCGTTCAAATTGTCCCCAGACCGTGTTCTTGTCATCGACAATCTTGATCCCCCTCGACTTTGTGGCAAAGTTGCGGATCTTTGCCTCCAGACCTGGATACTGGCGGACGATGGCAAGTGCTGCTTCCTGCACATCGACATTCTGTCCTGCAAGGCGGAACGCGGGCGAGCGTTCGAGGACGACGAGGGAAAGATGCAATTGCGGATACCTGGACAGCGACTGAGACAAGAAGTAAGTCAGGGCAGTTCCGGCCACTGAGCCTCCGCAGACAAGAATGCGTAGGTTGACCATCGCGCTTCGTAGGGGAGAGACGGACGCTGACAGTAGATCAGGAAGATACAATGGTCATGCAACCCCCTTCGGCCCGATCGCCCGATGCGAGCGAGCGGGGGTGGATTGCATCGGGACTGAGCCTTGGTGCGCTCCATGTGGGGTAATTACTCAGCACCGCTTATGTAATACTGTAGTCCGGATTGAGAGCTGGTCTGAAGTTGTGGTCTTGTGCGTCAGCTGAAGGGGAAAAAGGGTTGGGTAGCAGTTGATCTGTGGTCTTGTGCGTCAGCTGAAGGGGAAAAAGGGTTGGGTAG